GGTGGTGGGGGCGGTGGGGTGTAGTACGGGGACGCCGGCGCAGGATGAAGAATGTGCGAAGAAAGGCGTTGAGGCTGTTATTCAATTGTGGGAGGAGGAGAAGGCTAGAGCTGAGCGAGCGAAGCTTTGAAGGATAGGAAGGAGAGCTCGTGAGAGGCGATGGCAAATGGTGAGGGGAGCATCATGGAACTACATCTGTTCTCGAGGACGAAAGAATCGAAACCCGAGCATCGGTGCGTGTTATTCTAGGGGTGATGCAGCGCGTACTGTTTCCTTGAACTTTTACGATCGTTGGTTAACGATGATGCTTTAATAGTGCCGTAAGATTGTATCGATTCGAGGTAGATACAGACTGACTGCATGACGACCAGAGGCACGACTCTGTGAGTCCTGTGACGTTGAGTCTGTGTCTTTGCAGGATAGCAACGCGACAGTAACGCCGGTGTATTGCTCTCGATGAAGAAGAACTATCCGGTCTTTGTCTTGGCTTCTTTCAACGAGGATCCCATTTCGGCGATCTAGTATAAGCTTTCTAAGCACTCGGAGATCGAAACCGATTCTCGTTGGTCGACGGGCGCAAGGCTGGAGCTCTTCGGCCGAAATTTGTATGAGGTGGAATATATATCTGTTCGACGTCCGCGTGCATTTCACACCTTACACTTCACCAAGGCCGCATCCAAGAAGGAGAGGCTAGCAGTCGTCATGAGCAGGCTGTTTTGTCAGCCATCTGGTCGGTGTCAATGTGACCCAGTTCCGACTTGCGCACGGTGTTTCGTGATGCACTGTTGGGCATGGAGAACCGGTGAATGACGACCACGACCATGCCGATCGTCTGGTCGACTAATGAGGTAAATGTATATATATGTGTCCAGCAGGCAGGAATCAGATGCAATATTCTCATCCCCAAAAAGCATCTTCATCTCTAGCTCAGCAACATGGTCAAAACAATCGTGATCGTCGGCGTTACTGGCGCCCAGGGCTCCTCGGTAGCAGCCACGTTCCTCAGACTCCCTTCGTGGCATGTTCGAGGCATCACTCGCAACACTAATAGCGAAGCCGCAAAAGCTCAAGCCGCCAAAGGCGTTCAGATTGTTCAGGCCGACCTCGATGACGTCCCTTCACTCATCTCCGCATTTGAAGGTGCACACGCCATCTTTGCCAACACGGACTGGTCAGCAGCACTTTTCTATGCTCTCGAACATCCTGAAGTTGGCGACGCGCGACAGTACTTTCGAGATGTTGAGTTCCGATACGGCGCGAATCTTGCAGAGGCAGCGGCGGCCGAGTCGACGATGAAGACACTGGAGAGGTTCGTTTGGTCGAGCTTGAGCCACGCGAAGAAGCTTAGTAAGGGGAAGTATTCGAAGGTTTAGTAAGTCAGTCTCTGGTGTCCAGACCTGGGTCAGGAAATGAGCACTACTTGGAATACAGCCCACGCATGTGTTTTGGGTAGACAAAGAAGTGCTCTCGATAGCCCGGTAGACTTGCCGTAGAGCATACCGACCGTTCCCAAGACAAGGCTGACATGATTCGCAGTCACTTCGACGTTAAGGCTGAAGTTGAGGATCACATTCGCGAACGCTATCCAGAGTTAGCAGCGAAGATGAGTACTGTGCATCTGGGCAACTATGTCACCAATTGGCAGTTGTAAGTCTATCCGCCATTCGTAAGCCCGAGCCATCAGTCGACCGACAGACAATTCCGACTGAACACCAGTGACACTTGTCTCGGATGGTGTTTCGAACTATCTCGAAGTCCTGTCTGAGCCGCCGGCATCTTTGAAGCCTTATCGGCGCGGGTCGACGGTTGTCTGGCCTCAAGCCCATCCCCCACTCCCATCTGACAGTGCCCCAACCCGGTTCAGGCTGACCAATACCGGCAGGTATCCACCAGCAGCGCCCCGGAAGCAGGCCGATGGCACATTTGTCATTGAGTCCGCATTGCCCGACGACTTCAGGAATCCTTTCGTCTGGGCACACAAAGATACCGGAGCCTTCGTGAAGGCTTTGGTGGAAGAATGTCCGTCAGGAACAAATCTCAGAGCCATTTCAGAGACATTGACGTGGCCGGAATACACAAAAGTTTGGGCTGACACCTTGGGCGTCAAGGCTGTGTATAGAAACGCTGGGCTCGAAGAGCACTTCGGCGATAAGGGCTTGCCGGCTGCGTTGAGGGAGGAAATCATGGACGCGTTTTCGTACGCCATCGAATACAATTATGACGGTGGCGACCCCAATATCAAGACTGCTGAACAGGTAAACTGCGATGCCCGCGATTGTGAGGATTGTGCTGACTGATCTGCGTTGCAGCTTGGTATCAAGGTGCCGACAACTTCGATGGCAGAGTACGTGAGGCAGGAAACTTGGCCGATGTTGTAAGGCCAGATGGTGAAGTGATGGAAGCGGTCTTCTCTCATGGCCTGAATGATGGTGTAGAAATGCCCACGGGAGGGGCTTCCTCCTCCAAGAGGAAAGATTGGACTTTCGACAACAGGATAGTAGATTGATAATATTGGCTCAACCTGGGAGAAAGTACTCGACGTCATGTGTTGTTTCCGGCTGCCGAGTGACACTGGCAGTCACAGTCCTCGATACCCGCCCGCAGCTCCCACTGGTCGCTGTCACAATAAGGGGCAGGCGCCACCGGGCTGATCAGGATGAAGTGGAAGCGGTGGACTGCTCGGAGGGTGTGTCTGCAGTTTCCACGACGTTATTGACTCATCAAGACTTGTCAAGAAGCTGATCCAGTCACCCGGTCTCGCATCCCTCTCACGCCGCCGAAAATCAGCAACCTCATCTCTGGCTTCGCAACCTCGACACAGCCCGGGATCAAATCCAACAGCTCGTAGACCCGTCTCAGCCACATCGGCGTGCCCGGGAGTCCAACGTCCCGGCCGGGGTAGCCGAAATGTGAAATCCGTTGTTTTATGAAGCTGATGAGCGGTCCGTCAATCTGGCGTACCTTAAGATGGCTGCTGGCTTGGGGAGAGCTCCGTGCAATGAAGACTGCGCCTGGCAGAATATCTGACAGATCCAGGAAGAGGTCTTGGCATGGCGTCAGCGGGAGGGATTGGTCAAGGGAGAAGTTGCCTGTCTAGCAACCACTTGCCCATGCGATTTCAGTTGCCATGGTTATATATTGCTGGCGTTAGATTCTGTTTCAAATCCGCACATAAATCGCCGTGTCTCCAGAAAATTGGTTACCGAACTCAGGTTCGCCGAGGGTCGAGATAAGCGGAGGATATTAGATAGTGCCTGAGACGTGTGCGGATTTCAACCTCGTGGGACTCTCTGGCGGAGGGGCAGAGACCGTCATTCAGGCTAACGGTCGATGAAGCCTCATCAGATCCAGGGGTCGATTATGTTATTGCTTTTTGCACAGGCTGCAGACTATTTGCGACTGTCGGAGTCGTGGTCGCCACAGACTTTTTGCGCTTTCTGTTGGCGACAGGCCTGGAGTTAGTGGTGTAGGTCGTTAAGGGACCGTTAGGCATCAATTAATTCGATGTACCCAGAAGTCGCTATGATGAGTGATCCAACAGTTCTATCCACAGGTTCGCCTCGCTAAATCGATGCCAACTTATTGCTCAGATTTCCGAAGGCGGTCGCATACACCTGTTGTTGAACAACACCTTACACCTTGCGCTTTGCATGATGTTGCCGGTCGTTCCCATGGACTTTTCGACTTTCGCGTCGTCGGCACCCGCGCCTTGACCATCACCAATGTGAACCTCGCTCAGGTAGCCGGAATCCTTGGATGGCTCGTAGTGATTGAACATCTGGGGATTGACGACCAAGCACTTCAACTTTCCCGTTCCACACGCATGCGATAGTGCCACGTCGAAGGCCTCATCCGCGCCTGCCGCGGTTATATCCAGGATCTTTTGCGCGCTATCCCGATGGACACCATATCCGAACGTGCACACCGTCATGAAGCCCGCCCACTGCACAATACGATGATCTTCCTCAAGGAAGTCTCGCAGGAAATGCTTCGACCAGCCGGAGTATAAGTCTGTCTTACATCTCGAGTTGTCCCTATACCTCAACCCCTCTTGCTGACCGGCTTCAACCATCGCCGTACCACAATGCCCCAACCACAGCATGTCCCATTCCTTGCCCCACGGCGACCCGTCTGTCACCTTGGTGAAGTTCCTGACATTGTCCGACGCCAATCTTATCTGCTGTTTGATGTTGACATCAAAATCGACATCGTCCTCGACAATGAACGCTGTCTCCAAATCACTTGCGATGAAATGTTTCAGAAGATCGAGATGCGCGAACCACGCCGTCGCGGATCCCTTCGCTGGTGTTGTCTTTCCCTCTCCTGCGCCGATCTTCTGGAATGCCTCGACCAGGCTCTCTGGGTTGCGCGGTTGCGGCGGGTACTGGACTTGTATTCCAACATATTTCGCAGCAGCGTTCAGACCGCGCGATCGCCAGCTGGGGCCTGTCGAGAGCGCGAGGATGGTTTGGAACTGCAGCAAGAGCAATGTCAGCCGTCAAATACACCAGAACACAGAAGAGGCTGTATGTCATACCCCAAGTGTCGCATTTGCGGCAAGTTCCCTGGGTGATGTCCCAGAACTCGACGAGCCGCCGGCTACGTACGTCCCATCTGTGTTAGGGTGCGACGAGCCCCATGGTGGTACAAAATATATCCAAACTGTGAGTATAAAGACACCAACAATGGCGATCGCACGATAATTCGGCGACACGCCATTGATTGGTTTCGAATCGAATAGCATTGTTGTATATGGTCGTCAGCTCATGTCGTCGAGGTGTGCAGATGTTGAAAGTCCGTCACCGAGAGCGTCCAGATGTCGGCTGGAATGGAGCTGCCTTGCCGCTTAGATAAGGTCTCCCAGAAGCCTGGAGCCTAAATTCACTTCCCAGGTCCAGGCCTCTACCACAAAGAGCAAGGTACCTTTTGACAGTCGGGCCTTTCTACAGAGCGGCAGCGGCGACAACCGAGCCCAATGAGCTTACTACCCTTCATGGTGTTTACGATACTTGTATCTAATACCAGAATCTCCTGAACCAGGACAATGTTTCTACTTGGACGCCTCAGCCCCCACGCGGGAAGAGGCTACCATTTCAATTTGCTATATTTATGGCCCCCGGAGAACTGCCACCGCTCGACATTGGCCAGCGCAGCCTAAAGTCTCAACCTTAAAAAAATGTCCCTTGTTAGCGAGGCGTCTAGCATCAACTTCAAGCACGCACCGCGCCCCAAATCATAGCACGGCTCTGACAGCAGAGGAGACATGACTCAGTGGCTGCGATCATGGCATCCAGATGAGTTCGCATTGTCACGCTGGCGAAGAGTGCGCAGACTGCTGACGGCACGCCTGCTTCTGCCCGTGCGATGTTGTCGTTGTCGGTGCTGGAGGAGCATGAGCCACCTGTTTCAGCCTTGAACGGCCGGCTAATCGGTCTGCTCAAGTCACCTGTCCAAATTTCTCGGACATGCAACGCCGGAAAAGACGAAGGCTCCATTATTCTCTCATGGCAATCTTGCAAACCACAAGGCGTCACTGGACCACAAGGACTCACAAGATCCCTATGAAACCTTCGGCTGAACTCTCCGGTATCAGTCACCCATCGCGTCCCCTTTCTTTGCAGTGCCACAGCAGAGACTCTCGATCATGCGTTCAGTTCGTCCAGTCCAGAGCCCGACCATGCTTTTGATACCGGTCAGAGCAGGATCCTGGAGGGGTGATTTGATGATCTCCATATTCATGCAGAATGCATCAAATTATCCTCCCTACTACTAAAGTGGCTGTGGAGTTCTGTTCCATCCGGTAAAAATACCAGATACAAGCCCAGCGAACTGGAACGCGAACCCCGTCAACCTATGCGACCACGCCTCTCTTAGCGGCGCGTTGTCCATCAATTTCCCACTTGCTGCAAGCGCGCTGCCTTTCGACTTTTTGCCTACTCAAAACGGGCGCAGTTGCGCATGAAGCGAAGCCCAAGCTTGGGCCTGGATCGCCCGTGATGCCGAACCAAGGCCCTCTCTCCTCCACCAGAGAGAGACGAAACCCAACGCACGCCCGAATAAATACTGTCCAGGATCCACTGACTTGTCGTACTTGTCTCACACATTCTGTCGCTACTGTGAAGCGCTGCTGATCAATACCTCGAGCTTCCTCCCCTCCTGCTTGTTGCACATCACCATTATTGCGATTGTAGAGCGAGGCAAGGTTTTGCCTTGTTTCTTCCGCACAGCCAAACAAAGGCAACCATGCCTCGTATACGGCTCATCGCGCCGACGCTTCTCCTCACCACTCTCACGAGCCTGGTCCACGGTCAAAGCCGCCCCTCCTGTGACCCCGACCTCGTGAACCGGACGAACCCCAATGAATACTTTGTCAACCCCAACCAGTTCTGTATAGACAACAACTATGTGGGCGTGAAAGTCAGGGAGGAGGGGACGCCTATGAAGGTTCAGTGGGTCTCGGCATCGTCGCCGGTGACGCTGCGGATAGCACAGATCAATGCGACGAATCCGCTGAGGTTGTTGGCTGGTAAGTCACCATATGCCAACGTCCAGTCAGCACTAAAAAGCATTCCCACAACTAACATGACTGCTAAACAACAGATGACCTGACCGAGGATTCTTACGAATGGAACGGCTGCCTGCCCGGCCAGCTCACCCTCGAGAACGGCATTACCTTCAACTTCCTCCTAAATGACGCCGACGGCACACCCTTGTGCTCCTCGGATTTTTTCAACGTCACCGCTTCGGATAAATGTAACGGTGCGGCCAGCAGTGCCGCTTCATCCATCACGGGGTCCGAGACATCGACGCTTGCTTCGACGGCCGCCGTGCCGAGTGTGACTTCGTCGCAGACGACTGATGGCGTGGCTTCAGGTACGGCTGGGACTGCCGCTGGTGAGACCACTGGTGCGGACGCGACGGCGGAGGAAACATTACTACGACAGACGATGGTGGGCTCGGCACAGGCGCGAAGATTGGCATTGGTGTTGGTGTCGGCGTCGGCGTGCTGGGACTGATCCTCTTCGGCGCAGCTTTCTGGCTGCATAGGAAACGAAAGGGCCGAAATGGCAATAGCAGCAACAGCCAACCCATGATGCACGACAATAATCACGGCCAGGCGGCCCCGCCATATCCAGCATGGTCACAGGGCAACGTGTCGAGTCCGACGCACTATGCGAGTGAACTGGGCTCCGACAGTCATACCTACAACCAGGCGCCGCATTACTCCGGCGCATACTCTGACAACGCCTATAAACCGCCAATGAGTCAGGCGCCGCCGAGGGGAGAGCTGCCCGGTTGATGAGGACGGGGGTGTGATGATCATGGTGAACCTATTTCTTTGCAACATTGGCTTTAAGTATCAGGACGCGGTGGCGTGGTTGGTCTCCACTGGCTGTTGTTGCAGAGGGAATCAAGCAGCTCAAGTTGTAATAAACAAGAGTCCGAGAAATCAAGCTGTCGTTCTGCTTTTCTCATCTGTGGTTTTGCTACCTCCCCAGAAGGCTGAGCCGTCCAGACCATGAAAGACGCTCTTCCCGTACGATGTCACCCGAAGTGCCAGCTAGATTTGTCCTCATTGCGCTGACAGATCTTTCACCACTCCAGATTCCGGCAGACGAATCGCGAGTCAAGCGTCGCGATAGAAGTCTGAGTACCCTTTCTACCCACCCTAGCACTTACTCGCGCCAGTCGCCCTGTGTAAGTACATCTGCATGTATCTGATAGACCATCTCGTAGCACCCAAGCTTTCCATTGTCCTTCCCAATCGGCCGACCACATTCATCCTGTTTTCATACCAGGCCCAACCTCGATGTGCGCAAACGGCAGCAAGGGTCTTCGAGGTACGCTGTCTGCTAATCAAGATCCGAAGGCAACTTGCCTTCCTTTCATGCTCACAACATACTCGAGCCGGAAGGAGACATTGCCCCAATTTGGGAGGAACCATTCAGACCGTCGGGCGGACCTCCACTCCCATCAGCCATTCCACCCGGCCCACCGCCCATAGACTTATCAGCATTCGCCATACCGCCTGTTTCATAATACGTCGTCGCTCCAGTCACCTCCTGACTCTGCGTCATGTCAATGCCTACGCTGATCCAAGCCAGAATCCCATCTTGGACCGAATCCCCCAGCAGGAGATACTGGACGAACGGATCAGTGGCGTTCCCTTCGGATGCTAGGATCATATCTTCGGAGCTCAATGTGAGTGCCTGACTGTTTGAAGCATAAGGCTCCAGTGCTTCGACCTCCGAGATGAGGGACTGATCGAAGAACAGTTGACCCACATGAGAGGCGTGGACGGGACCGGAGTTGTTGGCATCAAGAAGGGTGTCGTTGAGTCGAATCGTGGTGGAATTCTGATTGTGGGTTAAGAGGTGGATGTGGGTAGCTCGTCCTGTCGTCTAAAAGTTAGGGATCGCTTCTCTGGAAGGGACAATCTTCAGAGTGAAGGACCCACCAGTATAATGACCTGGGAAGATTGTTTCGAACTGCACCACCCCAGACGCATCAGTCTGCTGGATTCCCCGTAGGAAAGTCGTATTCAAGTTGCCTGTGTCGTTGCTGTTCCCGTTCCCGTTTGCTATTACTCCACTATAGACTCCTGTGGAGTTGCAGTTCCAGATGTCCATAAATAGAGCGGGCACAGGTTCGCATGTTGAGGTGTCAATGATCTGGATCTCTAGTACAAGCGGTACACCATCTTGACCGTCGGTGAGGTTTTGGCGGATGAGCTCCCCGTTGACATAATAGGGACCTTGTGTCACTTCGGTCTGGAGGGTACACGAGGAGGTGTCCTGGAAGAGAGCCATCTCGTCTGATCCAAGTGAAATAGAAGCATTGGTAACCTCATGTGAGGTGTTATATGTGGCGAAAGAACGGCGATGAAGGTTGAGACCGCGTTTCTCGCGCAAGTGACTTGCTAGTGCATGGCGACGAGCCACACCTGCGGAATGAAGACCTCGTGCCTTGAGTGACTCGGTGCAGGAGTGAATGGTGGTCGGGCCGCCTTGAAAGAATTCTGCTCTTTCCAAGGCTTCTTCTGCGATGTCGTGGCCAGGGTGAGCGTGGGCCATCCATGTCGTAAGGAAAGCAAGGACTGCAACTGAGGACTTGTGAGCCATTTCGGTAAGTTCTGGACTGGTAGAGTAGTTGTGATCGGTAGAAAGTTTCACTCACTTAGAGGTACCTGCTTGGACACAGATAATGATGATGATTCTCGTTTTACGTACAATATAGAACCCTGCGGGTACGCGCACGTTTTCGCCTTATATGCCTAGATCTTATCCTTGCACTAAGTCTCCCACGCGTGTGCATTCGCCCACCTATTCGCCGTGTTGTACAGCTACTCCTAGGCTGCAGAGGGGAAAACCTCGTGTCCTGTAGAAAACCCCCTACCTGTGTGCTCAGTACTCAAGACTGAGAGATATATCAGGGAGCCTCTTTAGCTATACATCCAAGATACCCTATCAAGGACTATACTCAGGTGTATCAGGGTTCAGCCCTCTTGATCTTAAACGATGTTGAATCGCGTCTCTAATATTCTCTCTTCGTGTGATATAAGGTATATTCAGCCGGGTTCTCCTGAGAGTAGATCAGCACCGAAAGTACCCCCTCGCGCAGGAGTTCTGCACGGGAGGGAGAGGTCGTCTTAGCTTCAGCTCAAAGGAATGGGTAGTCCTGAGAGGCTACTGACATCCGGCACCACGCGAAGGTGCGACCTCGAAGCCGGACTGCTTGGACACAGATATCTATATGTTTTACTTTGTTGTTCACTGTCGTCCATCCTTGATGCAATGACCCTACTCAATGCCGCATTTGCTGATAGTGTCCCTATCGCCATTCAGTCGTTTCACTTAGATTTGACCGCGTCAGCAGATGAAGCTCAGCCCACACTCAGGTCTCAAGCTGCTCCGAGATATATGCGTATGTCAATGCCAAGATCCATACATGGGGCATGCATGTTGCTGACAATGTCGGTTCTCGTAGCCAAGAAGAGCTTGTGTCGATAACGAGAAGCAAGTCTGGAGTTTGCCAAGACATGACGACAAACCTTGGAAGGCTTATTACGTGGCGCGACCCACCGCAACTATATAGCAATCGAAAAAGATCCAGGCTTCCATGGTGATAGTGGACGCCGAAAAATATGAAAAGGTCAACGTGATTGCGACGACCAGAGCAACTGCCGGCTTTCGTCCGCGTCAACGATGAGGCTGTGGTAGATACAGTACAGCGTCCTTCGGATTTTGCTGTGGGGCCTGCATATAGGACGAAACCTGGCCCAGGATGTGTCCATCAACGGGATGATGAATCGAAAAGATCAGCCCTGAATTCCTCCTGGGAATTGAGGCGTGATGCAAGCGTATCGTGATGGACTCGCGGATCTTGTGGCCGCTACGTCATCAGCAAATTTTATGGTGCGTCAACGAGTTGTTGGAAGGCTCGAGCGGGATTCTGCCTGCACACAATCGTGAAAGAGTCTTTCGTTCCTGCTTCTGTCAAGCCGGCACTATTGAGAGGCAAGAGCTGGGTGCTGAGTTCGACTTCAGACTCTAGATGTCAACGACTTGGTCCATTGTTGCGACTTGGTCCATTACTGAAAGAGCGCGAGCACAGAGCAGCCAGAGCGAACGGAAAGCTATCCAAATCTGTGTACTGTGACGCTCGCCCGTCCATCGCCCTGGGTCATCGCTAGCAACAACGCCGCTACCCAGTCCACGTCCACCACCCCTCAAAACACCACCACCACCCCAATCGCGCCCAAAACACTTAGCCCCATTACCCACCATCCAACCCTCACAAACCTCTCCCTCGACCCGACTGCCACTCCGGACTTGCAGTCCCCCTCAACAACCCCAGACATCCATTGATGCTATGAAAGCTTCCCGTCCACGCCACCAACCCCTTCCCTATCCATCCGACCATTCCCCAGCCTAGTCCGCCGAGACTTGCTGCTAGGGCGATCGTTCCTGCTGTGACATCACCGAGAGGTACTATGGAGTTCAGAGCGTAGCAGATGCCGAAGATGTACAGCCCGCCGGACAGGAGGAGGCCGGTGTTGCGCTGCAGAGCCGAGGCAATGGAGTGGATCTGCGGCTTATAGATAGAAAGGTGCGGTGCGACTGGTCGGGAGAGGCGTTGTGTTGCGAGGATTTGCGTGTGTTGGGCTGGCGTTAGTGGTGGAGACGTTCGTTGCTGTGTTTGTGCTGTCGCAGTGATTGCGCTGCTGCTGGAGAAGCGGACTCGGTTCACGACGACTGCTGGCGAAATGCGGGTGAGAGCAAATGGTCTTGGCCTATCTTGTAGACTGATTGATCTGTGGCCAAGGAACCGCACCGGCGTTAACGTTGAGGAGCTCTTCCTGCTCGCTAGTCTGACAGAAGTTGGGAAAGAGGCCATGGCCATCAATGATCAATGGTCTCGTCCCAGAATACTTTTTGTCCTCAATAAGAGCTGATGCGTGTGAGACCCTGGTGTGAGAATCTAGAAGTCTGCAGCTCTTCAGGTCGTCCTGAGGTCTTAGAACAGTGAACGGTGGAAAGTGTCGAGCATCGTGAGCGTGTTCGGAGACGTGTATGCCACAGCATCGGATGCAGGTTGGACGTCACATCACCGAAAACAAGTGCGACATCCGAAGAACCACCTGCGGATGTTTGAACGACGTCTCCAGATGCTGTAAGTTGCGTTTGTACTCTTGAGAAGCCAGCTGGTCGTACGTGGTGAGTGCTGAGTGCTTCGCAATGCCGGATCCGTTCCGGACCGCGGGCCGGGTTGACTTCCGACGCCTGACCCAAGCGGAACACGTCGGCCAGTCCAGTACTACCCTGTCACAAACGCGTCGCTAGAATCACGCGCAGTCTCCTGCAGTGTGTGTTGTAGCGTGCTGCTGATCAGTTGTAGTGAGAAATTGCCTTCAGTCGGGTTGGCCGCACTGTATCGTCGAAGCGTGTCTCGGTTCAGGCTTCACTGAGTCCGTCCAAGGGAACAAAAGCCGTTCCATTTCTGAAGTCACAGACGCCCGCCCAGAGGCTCGAGCAGCATCGACTATATCGAAGCCTGCGCAGATGATGTCTCCAATCTCAGTCGCAGCATTTGACACGCTTTCCATCCGGCAGAAGGACTCAACTATCACTATGAAGCAGTTCCAATCGGAAATGCCCATTTCGGCCACTTTGATTGACAGATGAGCTTGGTACCACGGCTGCCACTCAATCTCACCTTTTCCCGTCAGCTCAACTCTGGTCTCCCAGGCCGCTCCAACGTACAATGCCCAAAGCAGAGCACATCGGTCCTCATAGCAAGGATCCTGACACAGAAGGACAGCCTCGAGACATTGTTTATGCGATCTCATGGCACTGGCAGCTCTCATACGGTCGGTCATACTCTGTGAAGCTCGGCCATTCCTGAAGGAAAACACAGTTGTGGTACAAATGACAAAGATCGTGCAGAGCACAGCCGCGTCGATCGCAGAAGGTAGGACCGGATCGTCCGGCTCATCAGTTCTGAATCTTCGGGCAAGTCTGAAGAATGCCATCGCTTGGGTGACCCTGATGAAGAAATCGTTCAGCGTCCAGGGTTGTAAGCAGCCAGAATCATCTCCTCGCTGACGCCGTACTGCAGCCCTTATGCAACGAAGGGCTTCCTCGTTCTTCCGCGTCATTTCTGATCTACCATGCGGCAGCCGTGAACCGAGCGATGCTTGATATGCTGCCCATTGTGCGAAGGGCATTAGAACGGTCTCCACATGTCTGATTGTGTGGCGCTCTGCGACAGCAGGGTTTGAGCAGAAGATAGCGCTGTTCATACCGAACACAAAGAACCGAAGGTACATTGGTTCGACGACGGTCTTGCTGGCAGCATCGTTGTCCGAGACGAATTCCATGAGCCGCTCCCACTGTGTTTGATGCATCTCGGCCTCTTCAAACTGCTGAGAGAACATAGCTGCGCAGTACATCGAGCTTACAGTCCGGAGTATTGCTGTAAAATTATCATTGGCAGTGTCAAGTGCGCGACGTAGCTGGGCGATAGTCCTTTGCTTGCGGTGGAGCTCTTCTGCCGTGAGCTGGAAGTCGTCCTTGCGGGTGTAGACTTTCTTGACTGTTGAGGCCGAGAGCAAGAAGGCTTCGGCACTGACACTGTCCTGCAGGCCCAGCAAATCACTTCTGATCATGCCTTCAACAACCTCATGAGTTTCTGATCTGCAGTCTTTCGCCGCTCGGAAGACATGATCTCTCCAGAAGGCGATCAGGCCATTGACCTCCGCTGTCATCGGCACTGCGCCACAGTTGAATGGATCATTGTTGCCATGTACCAGTGCGCTAGGCAGAGCCGACGGGCGTGGAAGGAGACTATGAGGTTGCAACGGAGTCCGGTCTGTCGCATAGATACAGTCATAAGTGCCGGCAAGCTGCAAGCGCGCCTGCTTCTGACCTGGCTGAACTGTCGATTGAGCCTTCTTGCGCTTTTGCTGGAGCCGTCGTTGCCATGAAATGGAGGCAGCATGGGAAAGAGCAGCCGACTTTCCCGCGGCAGATCCTCTGTTGCTCTGCTTGGGTTCATACGCTAGGAACACTGGACGTGAGACAATAGCGTCGTTCTCCATCTCTGTGCACGCCCATTATATTGGTAATCGACTACAACCTCTCAGTAACGTGTGTGGTGGGTAATTCGTCCATTGTCTCGCGATACGCCGAGCAAACTATCATTCTGTCACATGATGCTTAAAGACTTGTCTGTTGTCGCAGCTCCAAGCGAGTACGCGATGCTGAGGCAGCTACTGATCCTACTAATGTAGTCCAAGCGCCAGAGGCATGCGTTGTCTCTGCAAGGTGAGCGCACGGGAGTTCGACCGAAACCTTTCCGAATCTTGGCGTCGTTGCCCTCCAAATTTGTGTCCTACGAAACAAGTCCTCATCGTTCTTCGAGTCATGCCACCTCACCGCCACCCGCGCCAGTATCCTGACTCCTACCCTGCTGCGTCTCGCCTTCCTGCTCCTTCGCTCAGGATCTGTGAATGGCCTTATGAGGCTTCTTAGGACGCGCCAGAAGTGTGTGAGCTGTGAATCGATCTCATTGCTTTGTGGTCGGTTGATTGCTCGAGTGCCCCCGGATGGCAAGTTAATGCGGAAAATGCGCGAACGGCGGCCATTTTGAAGCATCAGCTGCGACTCATCCGTGAAGCGAGCCATTATCGAGCAGCCGATCAGCTTGTGGTGAGGACGTGACAGCTCACAGGAGACTTGCCGTGCGCTTCAACTCTCCTGAAGCCAAGCGGGCTTCGAGCTCACGAGTTGTCGCCTTCCCCGGTGTACCAAGTCCATTTGACCAAGCCCAACGCAATCTTTCTCGCATTCAGAGCCATGTCCTTCACAGGAGATCGGGCTGCCGCGTCCTTATCTTCAGCCTTGAGGATCTTCCGGATCATTGTTGAGCTCATCTCTCTTCTTGGGCCTCCAGCGAACTGGATATATCTGGCCTCTCCTCCTCCCTTCATCTTCGTGACCCATACTTTGATGTCATCGGCAGCGGACGCATTCATGCTTTGGGCGCGTACATCCAGCTCCCACTCACCGAGAGCATCCTCCAGCTTTATCGGCTGTCCTCCATCGGGGTCGAAGAACGGCTGACGACTGTCATTGCTGCAGACGAGAACTTCATGATAAACGCCGAACTCATGCATGAAGTTCGGCTCGTCTAGGTATTCTGGGCCTACAATGTGCACCCAGCGGATCCTCACACCCTTCTTCCTAAGCTTCTTTCGGATGCGCCAGTGTATGCCGTCCGTGTCTCCCACAACACGATACCAAGAGTCCGCGATATTGTGTTCCTCCCAGAGATCAAAGCGTGCGCCCTTCTCAAAGAGGATCTGTGGTCCATCCTCCAGCTTACGACTCAGCTTATCCCTGACCCAATCGTCCCTCTTTGCGAGAAGCAGCGCAGCACTGATTTCCAAGCCAGAATGCTGTTTGGCGACGAAGAATGCAGCTTTGTGGGCTTCGTGAGGAGGGTTGAATGTTCCGCGATATAGTATGATATCGTGTATCACGCTTGGATCGAGATCGGGGCCCGGACCAGCCGTTTGATGTTTCAGTTGGCCGTTAGGCTGCTTCCAGTACTCCCGACACTTTTCGAGGATGCAGTCGAAGAAGGAGACTGGCTTGGAGTATGCTGGTGCCATGACGACGTGGTTGAGGAGGACTTCGGCGGAATAAGGGTAGGGGTTGAGGTGGAGGATTCGGTGTTCGAGGAAAATGCGCTGTGTTGACGAGGCTCGGCTTTTCGAATGAAATTTGCAGGCTCAAGTTGTTGTTTGTGTGCAGCTCACCGTCGCCGAGCCACTGGCTAACTGCAAATCATAGTCCTGCGTTTCTCTAGCCCCACAGACTGCGTGAGGCGGATACTCATCCTCACGCAGGATACGGAGCGTGAACAGAAGAGCTAGGTGACTACTGGTGTTCACATCACTACAACGGAGCACAAGGGCGAACAGCACTGTGAGTCTTTCTACAGCAGGTCTACTGAGCTTGCCAGACATAGCCATGTCCAAGAACTATGCATACCATTCTATCAACTGGAAAGTTGATCAATCAGGGAGTTGCAAGGAATCGCAGGATGCTCATTGCCTGCAAAGGTCCAAGCAGACATCTCTTCACACCACAGATACCCTGGTTCTCATTGCAATCGAGACGGTTTTGGAGCTCTGATCTTTGTCTGACCAAGCTCACAGGTCGGTGCTCTGTATGTTGACCATTGCTGACCACATATGTATGCTCTGCTGCTATGCCAAGCCCGGGCAACCTGACGCCTTTTTGTCTCGGGAGTCAAGTTGTGTTCTGAGCAGACTGATTTGTCTGGCTCGGTAATTTCTTAGCTCAGGCTCAACAGAGAATAGTTCTGTTTGGTCCACTGACTTTGAGCACTTTCTACTGAGCATCAGATTGAGAGGCCAGAGCCTTGTTGATTGAAATCTGGTGGCATGCATTGTTGCTTTCATCTATGCTACATTCATATGCTATTCGTCCTTACCGAAGTTGCACCCGTGGCCCCTTGAATCTTTCGGGAATGCCGCATCTCAAGGCTGCAAACATCCTCTCGATGCAAACCAGGCTAATAATTGCGGACTGACGTCCTCGGCATGCAACGCCCTCGGCCGGCCTTTCTCCAGACTAATCTCCCGATCCAGTGTCCATGCACTCTGGAAGGTGTTGCGATATAGCTCTCCTTCCATGCTGCCAGATCCCGAGATCTCGTCCACCCACAGGTGCAGTCCCAGGTCTATGCATGCGGCTGCAATCTGGCAGTTCCACAACCACAGATTGATGGTCGGGTGACTGACATCCTCTTCCTCGTTGTCAAACTCCAGTTGAGACTCTGCTTGTGCGTAGATAGCCAGCAGCATGGCGCAATGGATGCCAGAGATGGAGGAGAACAGATCCAGCTCTTCGCGCTTATGCAGCTGCATAGCATGCCGGACATAGCGGGCCGCAATGTCGCGGGAGTTATGATGAAACATAGCTCCAATGGCTGCACTTAGGAGACGCTGGCTGGTCTTGATGGTACCAGAGGATGGCACGAAGGGCGACGCGTCCTGCGCGTGAGATTGAGATTCGAGTTGCAGGAATGGGTATCTGGGATGCACAAGCTCGAAATACACTTTCAAATAGCTTGCTGTGCGTGGCGAGTTCAGCATCCAGCCCAGCTCCGCATTCGAAGATGCTGTTGGTTGAGTGATCGAGCACGTCGTGTGTCTTCGCTTGGCCGGACGTACCTTGTTCGACCAATTGACGACACTATCATTACTGAGACCGCTAGCATTGCTGTGTGCAGAGCTGACTGAGTCGCGTCGAAACACAGGTGGAGGACGATCGGTTGGCGATAGGAACTCGCTGTAGTAGTCCATCTGAATGCTGGTATTGGCAGACATCTGGAGAGCTGGAAGCTCTTCTTGAGCCCGAATCGGCAGCGCGAACGTAGGCTGCATTGCTGGAGTGCCAATTGGAGAAGTATCGTGAGAAGTGATGTGAATCGACGGGATGTCCTCGATGTGTGTCGGGAATGTCTGAGCTCGCGCGATGCCTTGCGAGAAGTACTCTGTCTCGATAGTCGGCTGCATTGAGAACCAATTAGGGTCAATTTCTGGACCAACATCGCTGTAGGCCGCTGGAGTGTATGGACTTGGCATGCTTGCCGACTGTTCGCCCAGATCGTGAACCGCATTGTCCTGAAGCAGGTTGTTGGTTTGTAGGTGCAGCTGTATTGGCCGTGGCGAAAGTATTTGAGGCTGTTGGCCTTGCAGAGGCCAGTGCTCTCCAACGGAACTGCATACTTATTAGTTGCATACTGACAAACAGCTTCATTATTACTTGCCTCCGCGAACGCGATCTGCGTCTTCCCGGATCAATGCACGCAACACCAAACCTGAAACATGATGCACAAGGACCAGGTAGACCCGAGCACCTCACCTTACGACGCCTGCATCGCAGACAAGCAACAGGCACTGCAGCACGCCTTGAGCTATCGAAGGACTCCCTACGCGGTGTCGTTGTCGCGTCCGTCGGCAGTTCTGGACTTGGCGACCTCGAGTCCGGGTCGTCATGGCTGATGCTGATAAAATTGTTCATCTAAGAGGTTGCAGACTGCGTAGACACGAATCTCCTTCTTACGAGCGACAGCAGTATTGCCAATGTTATATCAGACTGCTCGAGGCTGTGCACGACACGTATTGCCAGACACAGTACAAGGCTCGCTCAGACAGCGGGTGTTTTAGGAAGAGCTTACCTGAAGGTCTGGCGTCACTCAACGGCACGATCATCTCACGCAAAAGCCGCTTCATCGTGTCCGAGTGTAACCCGATCCTACCCCAGACTCTGGGCATGAAGGTGGCAGTGCAAAAGGTTGCGATAGCAAAACTGCGTGTTAGTCCGCGGCTTGGTTGAACGGGGACAACGATTCCATATAAGCTCGAATGGAAGGAGGAAGTCTTCGATCAGATCCTGGAAGGTGCAGCAAGCTGCAGCTGCCAAGGCCGTTCATGCAGTAGCGACTGCCCACCAAGATGGCCATACTCCGGCGCCACCGAAATGCTTCGCTGTGGACGCCGAGCTGTTCCGTCGGCAACAAAGTCTCTCTGTCACCACCCTTCGCTACTTTGTAAAGTGAACTGTTTGCTTGGACACGGCGCACTTTATCAACAACAGACTAATCGGCTACCGAACATATATATGTGTTTCAATCGAGGCTCTTCACCAGGTCGTTTCGTCTGGTGTGCATCACATGTGGGAGATTCGTGTCGACGCTGTCGACGCTGTCGACAAGCGAACGTCCTACACGGAAGAAATCGGCTGAAAGGGAAGGACTATCTACGTCTTCTAGAACGCGTGGCTTGCATGCCCCCAGGCATTCGGCCGGCAGTTGTAAGCATCACACGTTCACACTTTGCTACATGATGGCATCAACGCAAATGCGCAGTGGCTCATCTCAGGAGATTCTGCAAGTATCAAACTCGTGTGAGTGTAATCGTAACATCGTTCAGTACAACACAGCGCGGCGCTGTATAAAGACATGCAACTTCTAAGCGCTCAGGACTCGAGTGATCTTCCAACGACCACTCTTCTCGGCCGCTTGATTCTCAACATGAACCATTCCCACTGGCTTCTCATCATCCACGACCTTCTCAGCTTCGGACTCGGCTGAAGGAGCGCCAAAGAGTGTCTCCATTTGTTCCAGAGTCTTGCCCTTCGTCTCCGGAACGAAGAAGAAAGCCCAAACACCCATAAGGAGCATCAAGGCTCCGAAGAACATGTAGGTACCGTAGCCTAGTGACGTGATCATGTACGGTGTGGTCCTTGAAATGATGAATGACCAGAGCCACTGATCAGCGGTTGTGATGGCGACACAGAGCAGTCTGATGTCGAGAGGGAAGATCTCCGAGCAGTACACCCACGTGATGCCCTGGCTCAGTGTCAGCAGGCTTGATCGCTTGGATGCGTGGACCGTATACGTACCTGCCAGGTCGCACAATAAATGAAACCATATAGATATACACAAACCATGGCCAGATAAGCCCATCCGCTGCGTGTAGCGTTGCCTGCCTTCAGCGCAGCAGTAGGATCAGCCTTGAACACATACCCGCCAATATACCACATCGGGAGCGATCCAATGAATGCCCCGTAGATCAGACCATTTCTTCGACCAACCTTCTCGACTAGCCAGAGGGAAAAGACAATCATCCCAAGAGTCTTAGCTATACCGTAAAAGCCTGTTGCAAAAAGCTTGGTCGAAGTCCCGGTGATGCCCAGAGTTTGGAAGATACGGGGGCTGTAGTACGTGATAATGTTCACGCCTGTCATGTTTTGACACATCATCAAGATGAGGCCCAGCCCGATTCTGTTGCGGGTACCTTTCTGGAACAGTCGCTTGAATTGCTGCTTTGCGGTAAGATGTCCTGCATTCATGAACTCAGCCTGCTCACGAATGTCGGCAAGTTCTCGACGAATGTATGGATGATCGGCAGGCAGCGTGCGTAGCTGGCAAAGAATCTTCTCTGCGCTTCCCAGTTGTCCTTCTTGGCCATGAATCGTGGTGTCTCCGGGCAGCAGAGCATACCAAGGAACAGAATGGTCCCTGGTAGCAATTGTACTGCAAGCGGCACAATCCACTGAGTTTTGGTGCCCTCGGAAATTGTTCTGTTCACAGCATAGTTGATCCAAAATCCCGTCATTCCTCCGAACTGAGAGCATATTTCGAAGATGCCAACAAGTCGACCTCGAATGCTGGGAGGGCTCGTTTCCGAAATGTAAACTGGGACAATCAATGAGACGGCGCCGATACCAAGACCTGCGATAGCTCTGCCTGTAATGAGAACTGGAAGCCGACCATTTGAAGCAGTCATCAAGATAGCGCCAACGAGGAAGATGAGAGAAGCTATCATGATGCTCCTCTTGCGACCAATCCTCTCGGCCACTGGGAACGCCAGCAAAGCGCCAAAGAAGCATCCGCTCTGAAAGGTCGAAACGATGTTGCCTTGGAGAGTGTCAATCTCGTGCTGGTCTCGACCTTCAAGACCATAGTCACGCTTGAAGGAATCAAGAGCCATGGTGCCACCAATGACACTAGTATCATAACCCACTGTGATGGTCAGCAGGGCCTTGTAACGATGCAGGCAACGTACTGGCGACAGCGCTCATCGAGCGATAGCCGCAATGAGATGGACCTCCAGTTCCTGACCTCCTTTGGGTCATCCGTACCCGACGCATGGAGGCTGAAGCCCATGATCGCACTTTCCTCAGTCCTTGAGTACAGGTGGAGTAGCGGAGGATGAAAATGTCGCACTCTGGGGCGCAGCGTGTTATGCGGAGGGAAGACACAAAGCTGGGGAAAGAATACAATCACTATAAGCAGTTTGGACGGTCCTCGAGAGGCAAGCTCCAAGAACCGGAGACTGGTCTGGGGAAGCGTTGGCGCGCACGCTAGAACGCCGTCCGTGCATATTCAACATCTGATACTGTGGCATTTGATCGGAATTTGCAAGAGTCAGCTCTGGTAGCGTGCATTAAAACCTACCTGATGTGGCAGTAGGAAAAGCGGAATGGGGGATATCCCATCGTACGCTCGGTTTAGCGTGCTCGCAGCATGCAGGTCGGCATATTTGAGGTGCATGAAGCATAAGGTCTGGACCTGATTGAACGTGGTAAGAAGGTGTAAGTTGAAGCGGAAAAATTCCAGAGCAGGGGTTGAAGATGGTCAGGTCTTGGCACGAGGAGTTTCCGGCTTGGACCACGTCTCACTGCCGTTCCAATAAGGTAGGAACAATTATGCTGTTGCCGTCCTTGAGGTCATCGTGACAATCATTGCACTGACGCCATGGCTGATTTCAGAGTCTTTCTGGCTCGTGGTGCCGATTCTGTGCAGGTGTTCTCCAGTATTGGACCGCTACTCGCAGCTTTCTGGAAGCGGTGCAATGACCCAGCTAGGTAGGTCCGATAGTGTCATCGCTTTCGTTAGACACACTTCAGTCGTGGAAGAGCAGTCCGTCGACAGTCATCAGCAATGTCATGCAGCGCGGGACACACCCCACGCCGCCTCGTTTGCCTTACCTACAGCACGGTGGTACTGCGGGGATAGTTTGAACCGGATTGCGGGGGTGGCAACCATGCGACGTCTAGCATGCCTGCTAGCTATTGAACGAGTGAACGAGGCAAACCACACCATCCCGCAAGACGTCACCATTCAAGCGCCTCCGTGACACCACAGCAACAGGTTCAAGAGACTCGTAAACATATTAGGGCTTCACTACTTAATCACCTATGATAAACATCAGCCTGAGAAGCAATCTAAGCGAGCCATCAACTAGAGTGCCAGAATCATGCCTGGGACTACCTCAATACCGGAGACGCAAACAGTAGCGCTGGTTCACAAGCAAGGTGACCCTGTTGAATTCGACGATACTTATCCCGTCCCAGTTCCAAAGGACAATGAGATCCTCGTCAAAGTTCTGTACACAGGAGTCTGCCAAAGCGGTACGTTGTGACTTGTTCTTTTCAAGAATCGTTTCGAATGCTCTACCAACATAATGCTTCCTTCCTGACAGACCCCAGACCTGCACACAAAAGCCGGCACTGCCCCTTCCGCCACCGGCGCCCCGATCACCAACATCAAGCTCCCGCACGTTGGCGGTCACGAAGGCGTTGGCCGCGTCGTCGCCCTTGGCCACCAGGCGTCCTCAAACATCACTCTTAACACCCTTATTGGCATCCGCTTCCTCAGCACGACCTGCCACGCCTGCGAGTATTGCGTTGCAGGTCTCGATCAGTACTGCCAGAGTGCAACGAATCACTTGCATCACGAAGATGGGAGTTTCCAGCAATACTGCCTCCTGAGATCGGGGAAGGGAACGGAGGATTTCGTGGTTCTAGGCGACGCTGATGAGGCAGACACGGATCTCCTGAAAGTCCTTGGGCCAACACTCTGTGCGGGTGTCACTGCTTACAAAGCAGTCAAGAACTCCGGCATTCAGAAGGGCGAATGGCTCACTGTAGTAGGCGCGGGAGGTGGACTGGGTCACTTTGCCGTGCAATATGCACTCGCCCGCAGCGCCTACGTAATCGGCATCGACGCCGGATCTCACAAGCACGACTTCATCACTTCCCTCGGCGCATCCCACTACATCGACATCACGCAAACCCCCGACATCGCCTCTGAGGTGCAGCGTCTCACCAATGGCGGCACCCACGCCCTAATCGTCACGAGCGGGCACCCAAGCGCATTTACCAAACTTGGTGACATGATTCGTACCGGGGGATCGCTGTGCATGGTGGGAATCCCGCCGGGGGAGGTGAAGCTTGACATGCCGGTGTCCGAGATCATTATTCGCGGGTTGAGGATACAGGGGAACTTGGTAGGATCGTTGGCAGAGACGATGGAGGCGGTTGAGTTGGTTAGGCAGGGGAAGGTGAAGCCGAGGGTGCAGGTGTTGCCATTCAGGGAGCTGGAGAGGGCGTATGAGTTGCTAGAGAGTGGGAAGGTGATGGGCAGGATTGTGCTGAAGATGTGAGGCGTCGATGATCAGCTTTCTACCGGAACTATATACCTGGATATGTTGCTCGCTGAATACAAGATTGAAATTTGCAGTATTTCTGTCTGTGGCGACGTACTTGCGCAGTGCTGGCGCCGGCTGAGACTCCAGTGAGCGTGTTTAACCGCGGGTAGACTCGTCCCACCAGGTAGCGGCGAATGCCACCATAGCATGACAAGCGTCCAGCATCGTTCTTGCCTGGCCTGACGCCCGGCAAGGGACACAACTGGTGAACGGGAAAAGGCAGAAGTTGGGGCCAAGGCAGATGTATATGTCTCTTCGACGGAGTAAAGATCCGCGGCAAGCCGCATCGATCACTTTACCGACTCGGTCTGGCAGTATTCACTGTGCATTGCATTACATGGTGGGTAGGTGCTGCCTGGCTGATTCACTTCGACGGCCATGGCAATGACTCTTGACCCACGGAAATTCATCCTGTGTTCGACGGCCGATGACTAGGCACAAACCCATTGAGTCCTACGTGCACTTGCTATACATGCCTCAAAGCCATTAGATGCTTGACTTATACCGCTCCTCAGGTGGTCCCACAGGCATGCCCATCGGCTCACCACTATGCTCCCTCACCGTGGTCCCAGAACTCCTCTGGTCATCCTGCTCCACCACATACTCCCTCTCCACCGTCGTTTCAACCATCTTCGTTATGCCCTGCGGCTCAACGTAATTGGTGAGGTGAATATCGCTGCCACTACTCCCTTTTCTCACGGTCACAGGCTTGGTGGCTTTGTTCATGCTAATTTTGTCCATCATTGCGTGGCCGCTCTTGTGGTTGCTGCTGTGGCCATGCCCATGACCCTTGACTGTCGGCTGCGACCGTCCCCAACTACCAGATTCGGAGCCCTCGTCAGCGGCTTGATTCCCAGTACTACGGACGACGACAGAAATGAGGCGAGCCATGACGAGCTCGATTTAGAGCTTGGAGATGTATGCTAGCGGGGCGAACTGCACGTAGCTGTGCGTCGATCGAGATCAGTCAGTCGAAGTCTTAGTTGATGGAGATCCGGGGAGTGGCAACTAACATGAACTGATTCGACAGACTCAGAAACCCCAACAAGAGCGCATCTAACGTAGTGCTTACGACGACCATCCCAACATTCCAGTTGAACAGCCTCCAGTACTTATTCAGCCCAGCAGCGATCAAATTGAACCGGACCAGCCACAGGAAGTAAATATTCAGAGCAAGATCGATGATGAGGAAGAAGCTCTTCTCGCACTTCTCGAAGATGATATTGACCCGGATCTGTTGGTCCGTGGCACCGGGCAGGTGTGAGGAGGTCCAGATGTAGCATACTGCAACGGTGATGGGCGTGATCAGAGCGAACAAGCCCCATCTGAGGTAGCTGGCTTTGCGCTTGTTGACCATGATTAGGGAGACGCGATTGGCGATGATTTGCGGGAGGAGTTGGACTTGAAGGGTCCAGAGGATGACTGCTAGGATGTAGTACCATAGTCTAGACATGAGTCAGTCATTCGACTGTGGTGTTGATCACCCACTCGTGGACGATACTTACGCTGGAGGAATTACGCCTTGAATGAAAAGCATAGTGGTGACGGAAAAGATAAAGTTGGCGGTGGCTTCCGTCCACACGAGGTAGAGGTACGCATTGTGGAAGCTTCTCGTGTGTCGGTAGATCCTCCTCGTTTGATGATATGCTTTCGCAACCGTGAATACGAAAATGGGCATGAACATGCCAAAGAACAGCGTCGCGATATCCATGATGGCACGTTGACCAGCACGTGCGCTGTGAGGTAAAGTCAAAGCAGCAAAGTTCCAATGCAGGATCAGGACCTGTCTCTCAGAATCGAGACAACGACGTCGAGTCACGATGCAATACTGGAGCTAAAGCTGCAGCTTTGTAGTCCGACCGGGCCTTGTCTGCTGTGAGGGTCTTTCATTGTGGATACCATGGCCCGGGAGTTGTCTGCAAGTGTGTCACGCATATCCACAAGTCGCAGATCAACGGCCCAAAGCTGTTGAGACTGCGCAGGTAGCATCGCCAGGACAAGGTTGGCATGCTGTCGCAGCTGTCAAAACAAGTACTGCTTGTCCTAGCTTACGTAGTGAACGTGGAGATGAGGCGACTGGCGCGCATCGTCTGAGATCCGCTGCACGAGTCGTGGATGGCAGATGGATACTTTGTGATTATGGCCCGGGTAGTATGGAGTGCTGTGCTCAAAAGGGCCAGCCACGTTGTGTACTAGTCAATCGAAACCCCAGAGTGGAGAGCTTCGATGCAAAAGCTCAGGATTTGGACGTTGGATATCTCGGGGAGACCCTGTCAAGATCTTGACGATCAGGAGGCGTACCTGTTTCAATCCTTCACTTGGTATTGGATCCGTGAAGCCATCGCGACTTTGTCTCAACCATTTTGTTCCCTTTATCGGCGTTTCTGTAGACTAAGAATCACCTTCCGTGCAGCCAAACGCAGAGCGCTAGGTGATGCAGTCTCTGTAGAACCAATTTAGCGAAGCAGGTAGGCATCGGAAGTGGTTGGCAAGAGTGACACCGAGTCAACGATCTGCACCGAGGACAATCCGGGACCGGAACTGGAATAAGCGCTCCGCTTGGCTCTTGGCATACGAACTCGGTGAATAAGGCTGGGCTGCAGCCTGGTCCCCCAGACGAAATCGAGCTTCGGTGTGTCGTTGGTGCTGCTCTGTCGGCGGCTGTCGAGACCCGCGCTTGATAACGACTGATGTCGATACGCTAATCATGGGCTTTCTTCCTCATAAAGTTGGCCCTCGGGCTAGATCCCCTTGCGCCTGGCTGATGATAGAGGCTAGGAGGAGCAAGCGCCAACTTTGCAGGGTGTTCCTTGTCGGATGCAACAGAGCCAGAAGACATGCGACTGTGGAGCATTTCACGCTTGATGAAAGGCTTCCTGAATGTGCGCAGCGTCCCACGAGGTTCGCCGGCGTACTCGAGCTTCCGCTCCTATGGTCAGTACCGCCGAAGAGCAAGCCAGAACAATCGAGCTCGGCAAGGCAATGAAAGAGCAAAGTATGAACGACCCTGGCACATCGTCGTCAGCCATCAGCGAGGTGAAGAGCTGGACCGAGTGAACGCTGGCGTGCGACCTCGAACAGGGTCGGAGTCTGTTCTTGCGAAAGTCCTTCTTATCCTACATCACTACGACATTCGTCGTGGTGGCGTCTTGATCGACATCTTCGATCGTCAATACCTTACACATGTGCTCGATCCCTGTTCAATCAATTCAACCCCCTTCGTTAACGACTGTATTACTGCCCTCCTCCCTCTTGCCTCCCGCTTCCCTGCTCGGCTTGTTGTGGTCTTGCGCGAGGAGCGGGAAGATGATACGCTGACGTATCACATCGACTTCTTAGCAGTCTGCGGCCCCCGTGTCCTCGCGAAGCTAATAACTGTCGCCACCGATGCCGTTGTGACCAGCGGTCACGTCGCTGGGATAGCCGTACGCGGCGTTTCCGTCGTGCTCGGTCGGGCTCAGAAGGCTGTTGGCATTCTCGGACTGACCACCTGAAGCGGCATTGGAGCCAGCGACACCGGCCGGATAGCCTCCGCTGCTGGTTGGTCGGCCCTGGTTTTCGCCCCTTGTAGATTGGGTCTCATCCCAATCAGTTGGATGTTCAGACGACGATCTCTGTCAAATAGAATTTGACAAAAGAGACGAGGAAGACAAAACTCACCTCTCGGTACTTGGACAAATAGATCTTGAGAGCTTCTGCGTAGTTCTCGAAGCCCAGCGAAGTCATGGCAAAGAGGATATCCTCGCCATTTACCGTCTTCCGCTTTTCCTGCTGGCACTTCTCTGACGCTGTGGAACGTTAGTCACGGGCGTACGGGTGTAGCAGTAAAGTGGCATACCTTCGCTTGTGATGAACGAAATGAACTCGCTCACGCATTCCTGCATGCATTCTTTGGCCTCTTTGGCTATTTTGGCATTTTCGGGGAGAGCCATCTTCATTATTCTCGCGACTGGTTGAAAGTTATGTATTTTAGCATCATTTCCAGCTGTCAAGACACGTGAAGGGAGACCGTCCAAGAGGACAGTATGGCCTGGCCCAGCGCCATTGGCCGACATGATGAAATGATGTGAGTGGTTGAAGCAACGCGTGCTTGCGTGCTGCCACTGACGCAGGTCATATTGAACAGGCGCAAGGACGAATGAGGAGACGAATTCCTTAGTGTGTCCGGCATTGTTGCACACTGCTCGGGATCGTACAGACTTGGATGGCGGATGCGACGGGCAACGCAAGACAGACAGCAAATCAAGGAAAGAGGGTGCAACCAACCATTTGCGATAGGAAGCCATCGATCTTGCTCTTTGACCTCGAAATCTGTGAGAGGGCCTTGTGCTTCGGCTTGATCCATATCCTGTCCCTGCTCTTCACCAGATTGCGCGTTCTGGTCGACATCCTTTTCTTGGGGAGAGTTCGACATGATGTACAAGTATTTCGGATAACCACAGGTGGACTCTTGGTGATGGCCACGTCAGACAGTCTAATGCCAGGTGGCGTCACCGAGCGGTCAGGATAGTGGTGTTTCTGCCCAAAGCGATTCCGAGAAGCTTCGCTCGTTTCCTTCTGCCGTGCTGCGTAGGGCCAGTCTAGGGGTAGATCGAGCTAAGCGCAATGCCTACAACTACGAGATTCCGATCGCGGGTAACGTAGCGGTCAGGTAATGACTGGCTGACTGTGGATAGCGTATGTGCTGGCGTGAATTACCGGACGCGGCGCAGGTGTATGTCGTTGTGCGCGGGTGGTGTTGGTGAACGCGCAGGATGGAGATTGGGGGGTTCCCTCGAGTGGGAGACTTAGGTGGAGTTTGGCGTACTGCGGAGGGGACTGGGTTGTGCTTCGTTTTTTGCGCTCACAATCCTATTGGCAGCTGTGACAGGGCGAAAGGTGGATGGCTGCAGAATGGGCCGCAGCGCTCAAATCTTATGCGAAGCCCAAGACTTTCGTCAACGATCAAGAAGCGATGCGATGAGGCTGCAAGTGATGAGAGAAGCTGACAGGAGCTTCTGCGCAGACTCGGACAGCTGAGAAGAGCAGCGACTACGATGATGAGAGGGTTGGAGCGATGGCTGGAAGGTGAACAATGTTATTGTGATGAAGCTACGAGGGGCGCATCGCGGCTATCGCAGCCCATCACTTGCCGGTTTCTAGGGGAGCTTTGGTGCCTGCGTCGCCCGCACCTATCATATTGTGCCTAGATTTCAAGTTCCTAAACCTGCCAAACCAATCCGCTGCAAGCATTCCAGGGTAGCCGCGCAATCGTTCTTTCGACTATGTAAAGAGGTTGAAGTCATCCTCGACGGCAACATTCTCTCTTCTCGTCTGTGCAATATTTTGCTAGGAGTCGACAAGTTGACCCACGAAAGCAGCTGTTCGTTGGGTAGCAGCCAGTAATCCTTGTCCTCAGCTGCATGTCGCATCAGCCAAAACAAACTTGGACGGTTCTTTTTCCAAGGCTTTCTACCGCCTCGTCCAAACTTGGTCCCCGGGGAGTCCGGAAGAACACACGATTTAAAAGCAAAAAGGATGCGGTGAGTGACCGCCATTTGAGCCAGCTTCGAACTTGCCGCGATCGCAATCTCACGCCACCATGTTCAGTTGACGTTGTTTCTGTCGTTGAGTCGTGCACAAGGCAGGACTTATTCGAGATTGAAGGCGGCTCACATGCAGTCACAGTGATGCGCGCAATTGACCAATGACCAAATTATTGGGATGCGAATCGACTGTGATTCGAGGAAAGAGACAGCCCTATTCTTTGTCCACAGTCTCGCTTAGGCTCTGCTGCTCCTGCACGATGATGATGCCAACCAGCGTGCCCCGGAATGCCACGCGGAAACCCAAGAACCTGACGAAGGTCTGTCAGGTCGCCCAACGAGTCTCGTGTCACACAGCAACATGGGCGATGTTGCACAGGCATTGTCAACGATGAGTTGCGATTGCTGAACCTCCAACGCTGTACTTGCTGAGACCTACGAGCGCGACAGGGCCAGAATAATTTAAGACGCGATGCCAGCACTACAGGCGCGTTGGCCTCGTGCCTAAGCTTCTCGCCTCACATTGGGCATGAACTGGCCAGCCCCCACTGACCCCCTCAGCCGAGGAACATGATTCCCTGGACCAGGTCGACGACTCTTACTATTACGCGGGACGTGTCATACCGGCATATTTACAAAACCCGCGACGCGAACGACATGTTGTGACCTTTCCAAGACAGCGTCCGACCTTCGGCACAACATGGTGCGCAATCTGCTACTCACGAATCTCAACCAGCCTTGAGATTGATGGGTGGATTTCAAGTACCTCCATTGCAATAGGTCCTGAAGCTTCGTCCACGACGCGCTGGCTCGTCCAGCTCGCGTCTCTGGCAGGATCACTCCCACATAGCGCTGCACGCGAGTCGAGCCGGTCTCAGCTCTCTTGAACAGGCCAGTGGCTGCGAACGCCGCAAGTCAATGCAAAGTCTTGGCTCGATGGATTCCGCTGTAAGGGGATCGCAGGCGTCGCAGAACGCCGACGACGGCCGGCTCCTGGAAAGGTAATGATTCGTCGGCTGCCGTTCGTGTTGATCGAGATAGGCGGGATCCTCGATGGGTCTCGAAGCTGGGCCTTTCGCTAGCATGTACCTCATTCGAGACGCAGTGCTGCAGCTCACCCTCAAGCAGAAGCTTCCCCCTCATTAAGCTGACCCATGAGATCAAGCGCGGAGGCTCAACCGCTGTTATCTCGAGGTGTCACCAAACTTCAGGGTTTCTCGGCCAGCCCCGCCATCAAGCCAAGCAAGCTAAGATTTCTGCCTCGGACCACTAGAGCCTTCAGGCGTGGTCCCACTCGCGTCTATCACAGAAAAAAGTCTGAGAACACCAAATCAGCATCACGTTTGTCAATGCGACTCGTTATCAGTGTGTCTTGGCAAGATATCCGGCCGCCGACGAAGGTCGCGAGCCCTACGAGAAATCCACCGTGTGGGAACGTACTACTAAACAGTATTTGACTTCGTCGGCCGGCACTGGATTTTTCACAGCTCCCTCCTTCAAACACACTTTGTGTGCTCTGTGACTTCATTACCTAAGAGACCTTTCTGCGACTTGTACAGCATCACAGTCGCCCAATATGGGGTACAACGAGATGATTCACAACGCCAACGTCGCCGTTGCGCGGTCGTTCGTTGGCAGACGCTTTCGCCTTGAGGGATCTGGTCACAAGAAGGAGCGCAAGGGATCATATTTCTTCACCGAGGTCAGAGCTGGCCTGGCTACCTTCTTCGCCATGGCCTACATTATCTCCGTCAACGCCACCATCGTTGCCGACTCTGGTGGTACTTGTGTTTGCACTGGCGAGGATCTGTGCGTTGCTGATCCAGAGTTTCTGCTCTGCAAGGCTCGCGTGCAGCGCGATTTGGTCACGGCTACAGCGTAAGTCTCAGCCATCCAGAGCCTTCCGACTAGGGACTGACATTCGTACAGCGCGATCTCTGCTCTCACAACTTTCTGCATGGGTCTCTTCGCAAACATGCCTATTGGACTAGCGCCAGGCATGGGTCTCAACGCTTACTTCGCCTACACTGTCGTCGGATTCCACGGTTCAGGGCCAGTTCCTTACCGCATTGCCGTCACGGCCGTCTTCGTGGAAGGCCTGGTCTTCGTCGGCTTGACTCTTTGCGGACTTCGTCAGTGGCTCGCTCGTGCCATTCCATCCTCCATCAAGCTCGCCACTGCAGTTGGCATCGGCCTGTACCTGACCATCATCGGTCTAACCTACTCTGCCGGCATTGGCGCGATCACTGGCGCCGTAAGCACCCCCTTGGAACTCGCCGGCTGCCACCCTGCGAACCGCCTCGAGGACGGCACGTGCCCATCATTTGACAAGATGAGGAACCCTACCATGTGGATCGGCATCTTCTGCGGCGGCTTCCTGACCGTGCTCCTCATGATGTACCGCATCAAAGGTGCAATCATCATTGGCATTCTCCTCGTCTCAATCATCTCCTGGCCTCGTCCCACACCGGTCACATACTTCCCCTACACCGACCTCGGCGACAACATGTTCGATTTCTTCAAGCAAGTCGTGACCTTCCACCCGATTGGCGAAGTCCTCGCCGTCCAACAATGGAACATCTCCGAGTACGGCGGACAATTCGGCCTCGCCTTTATCACCTTCCTCTACGTCGATATCCTCGACTGCACCGGTACCCTTTACGCCATGGCGCGCTACTGCGGCGCTATCGATGAGCGCACCCAAGACTTCGAAGGCTCAGCCGTCGCCTACCTCGTTGACGCCTTCGGCATCTCCATCGGGTCGCTCTTCGGCTGCCCGCCAGTCACCGCTTACATTGAGTCCGGTGCCGGTATCTCTGAAGGCGGAGCCACGGGCATCACCGCCATGGTGACAGGTCTTTGTTTCTTCATCTCCATCTTCTTCGCGCCCATCTTTGCCTCCATTCCACCATGGGCTACGGGATGCACGCTCATCATCGTCGGCAGCTTGATGGCCAAGCAGGCCGCGCAGATCAACTGGACGTACATGGGCGACGCTATTCCCGCGTTCTTGACCATTGCGCTCATGCCGTTCACCTACTCCATCGCCGACGGTCTCATCGCGGGTATTACCAGCTATATTTTCATCAACACCGTTGTGTGGATCATTGAGAAGTCTTCCGGTGGGAAGATCAGACCGGAAAACAAGGATGTCAAGGACCCTTGGACGTATAAGATCGAGGGTGGTTTGCTACCGCCGTGGGTCAAGCGCGCTGCCCGTGGAAAGAAGGACTTCTGGCGACCGGCGGATGATGAGGAGCATAACGTTGTTCCGGCCGGTGGTAGCGGGACTTACGATGGGAAGAGTGCGGAGATCAAGGGTGTGGAGAGGGATAGCACGAGTGATAGTAATACCGAGGTGAAGGAGAAGCTACATGAAATGGCTAGACGGGGTTAACTGTTGGTCTTTCTCGATATGAAAGAGCAATGTCCGCTGGACAGGGCTGCCATTCTGTGGCATGCGTGAGCTGTTTCAGCACCTAGATACCACAGACGAGTTTACTAGAGACTAGTCAGCTATATGTATAATGCAGTGCTTCTGTGAGTTTACAAACACTTTCTGCGATCGCACATCTCCCACAAAAATCATCCTCGACCAGTGACGAACAAGTCAGAGGTCCACGGGTAGTGCGGATAGAAGGGGGAAAGCAGCAAGCACGGTACTGTATATGCGTAGACTATGAATTTGTCACGGGCGCAGCGCAAGGCATACCTTGACTTACCAAAGCGACTTCCACCGAGAGACGCTGCAAGCACCTCGACCGGCTGCCAAGCTACCTCATCCCACCTGATTCGAGCGTGCACACATACGTTGTAGGAATTCCGCATAGAGACGCCTTTCCCCCCTGTCATTATTGTTCAAGCTGAATCCTCCTGCATCGCCCTCGCTTCCGAGTACTGTCTCCAGACAATAGTCCCGATTGAGGACGGGACCTTCTCTTTCCATCTTGGATTCGTCTTGAAACACGGCACGGCACGAGTCTCCGACCGACCTTTTTTCCAGCATAGCAACCCACATATAGACATGCATGTCTAGCTAGGGTAGACTCCACACGGCGGCGGCGGCTTTCTCGTATCAACGAGCAAATTGTTGGCTCGTGCAAGATCAATTTACATTCAGCCTGACACTAGTAATCTTGGAAGGTCCTCCCGGCCGCAGCACATTGTACATCTGCTTCCTCTGCCATCTCGAGTCCCGTAGTGGCAATTGGCTGCATTAGTTCTGATAATGCCATTGTATTCTGCCTATGGGCGTTTTGTCTGTGCAAAAGCCTCGCGGAATCTACGGCAAATCCTGCCATGTTACGACCAGGCGCGAAATTGTGGCTTGCAGTTAAGGTTCAGTATCATGGCCTTTTGTAGCACAGCAGTTGGTGGTGGTCCGGCCCAGCCTAATGAGCTGTCAACTCCCGCCTGTCGTTCTCGTCCTCTGGTTTTTACGGTCCTGCATGCCTGCGCCTTCCTGACTCTCAGCTGATCGCTCACACCGCAGCTGATATTGTGTCTGGAAACGGAGATCGCAACAGTCAGTAATGGCTACGGCCACGTCTAACGACTATGCGATAGAGACCAACGCTGGCATCGTCACCACCTGGGTACCACTCTCGACTACCTATTCGCCCACACAAGCATGTCGCACCAGCTTCAGAGGCGTATATGATGGTGGCTCCAATGACGGCTTGAATGCGTTCGACCCGAACTATTCAACCCTCGACTCGAGCTACTCCTGTATGCCAGCGGCCGCTTCGGTCTGGTGGGATCAGCCAGTGGCATCCGATCAGACGGCAACGACGACACTTGGTATTGGACCGATAGTATGTCCCGAGAGCTGGCATGTCGTCCAGACCTCGACGAAAGATGTGACTAGTATATTCTCCATGTGTTGCCCAACGTGAGTGTTGTTGTCATTGAATCAAGCTGCATGTTGCTGATATAGTGAAGAGGATACGAACTCAGCAATGGCGGCAACGCTGGAGCAGTCGTGAACATCCAAGGAGTAGCACCGCAGGGGCGAGCCTGCGTTTCCGATGTCAGCTCGGGACAAGTGATCAACCTTTGGTCTGAGACTGAGCACTTCGATTCGACTTTTAGCGCTTCCACCACAGTCTTCGCTGTCGGCCTGATTGGAATGAACATTGACCGCGCAAGGCTAACCTCTTCCACTGCATCGAGCACAATTACAAGCCAAACAGCCACGAGTAGGACATCCTCAAATCCTGCTGCATCAAGCTCGGGAAGCTCCAATCCGTCCGGCTTGTCCACAGGCGCAAAAGCTGACATAGGGGTAGGGGCTGCCGTCGTTGGACTAGCGCTGGTTGGATTGTTGATACTCTTCGTAATGCGAAAGAGTAGGAAGTCCAAGAGAGCTCATGCTGAGCGAAGGGGCCAGGAGATTCTCCAAGCAGACTCGAGACCATTGGCGGAGCTTGACCACAGCAGACATGAAGAGGCGCGACCTCTGGAGAAGTACAGAGACTCACCAGCTGAGCTTGACGCCCGATAGCAAGCACGAAGCTCGTTCTTTCAAATCCCGTCGTTTCCAGTTACGGATCTGCGCATAGTATCAGTATGGTTGTCCGCTCGCACCGAGTCAGCTCTTCGATCTTTGAAACGACTGGCCTGATCGGAAAGAGAGCTCGTGGCATGTTCTGGAAGCTGGAGTGCAGCTGCTAGGTCGAATTCGCTACCCACGACCCTTGAGTACGCCTTCCGCACCTGCAGCAGAGTACAGGACAGCATAAGCCGTGTCGCAAGTACGCTGCATGATCACCATCGCATGTATGCAAGCGACCGAGGATCATTGGCCAGTCCAAGGCCAATATGTCGCACTTTGGCTTCAACCGATCTTTCGGAGAGCTGCAGCAAGTTGTCAGAAGCAGGAACCTGCATACAAACCTAGCTTAGGTACGACGCCTTTCACAGTACAAGTCGGACAATTCCGCATCAAGCAAGCTCGCTCGCATTTCAGTGCATTGGTCTCCACAGATCTGAAGAATCTCTACCATTACATCACTCATTGATAGCCGGCAAAGAATATCCGTTGCTGCAAGTCTTGCAATAAGCAGTGAATTGATCAGGTGCCAGAGCGGAAGGAGCAAAACAATCCGATGTGAATGGTGGCCGTGGCGGAACAAGGGGTACCTTAATCAACTGAGCCGCCTCTAGCCGTCCAAGCTTTCGAGTTTTGAATTTTGTTGACATGCAGTTTTATCTACTAGTATGTCACCGTGCACGCCCTTCCGATTCATAACATTTCGGTCGAAACGCTATCAATATAACGAAGCCTTGTTTTTCTTTGATAGCCAAAGGTACTCGCACGAGGTGAGAACAGTCATACATTATCCGATCTCTTTGTTTCGTGTTCGCTTGTCATACACATAACAACTATACTACGACCATTCTGCCAACCAGATAACGTTGAGATCGACCAATAAGCATAGCGACGCAGTACCCCGACTTGAGCCTGATTATGGCTCCGCACGCCGACCGCGACATGGAGGTCACAGGAGTCACAGACACAACAGCGGTTGCCGTTCCTGATCCCGTAGTCTCCAAGACAGTCAAGCATCCCATTTTCACAGTCGACGATGTCTTCCCACATCGGCAAGAAAATGCATCTGCGCTCAAGACTGGCGTGGCGGCGTTCTCAAGTGCCGACTTATTCAAATCAAAGGGTGCCTTCCGGAAACCAAAGGCGAAGCGATTCGACCACCGGATCAGTATCGAGTCAGCCGCTCGGCAGCCGTCCTCACTCAAAGGCGCCATGAAGTATTTCCGACCAGACATGATCTCCCTATGTGGCGGTCTACCATCCAGCGACTACTTCCCCTTCGAGTCCATGTCGGTCAAAGTACCCTCAGCGCCTCACTTCTCCGAGCCAGCCACTCGCGAGACCGGCAACACCCTCACATCCGGCAAGCACGACATCAACAATGGCACGTCACAGTTCGACCTTTCTGTCGCCCTCAACTATGGCCAATCGATGGGTCCGCCACAACTCATGCGCTGGATCACCGAGCACACCGAGATCGTCCACGACCCGAAGTACTCTGACTGGGATATATGCATGACGTCTGGCTCAACCTCCGCCCTCGAAGTCGCCCTACGGCTCTTCTGCAACCGCGGCGACTACCTCATTACGGAAGAGTACTCCTTCTCATCCGCGATGGAGACCGCCCGGCCCATGGGCCTGCACCTCCTCGGCATCTCAATGGACGAGCGAGGCATGCTCCCATCCGCCCTCGACGAAGTCCTCTCAAACTGGGACGTCAATGCACGGAAAGCGCCCAAACCCTTCGTCATGTACACCGTCCCCACAGGACAAAACCCAACCGCCAGCACGCAAGACACAGAACGCCGAAAAGAGATCTACGCCATCGCCGAAAAGCATGACCTCTACATCCTCGAAGACGAGCCCTACTACTTCCTCCAAATGGACCCGTACATCCCAGGCCACACACACACCGTCCCCACACCGTTCTTTCCACCGACCACAGTCCCGCAATTCCTCTCTGCTCTAATTCCCTCCTTCCTCTCCCTCGACACCTCCGGCCGCGTCCTACGCCTCGACTCCTTCTCCAAAATCCTCGCTCCCGGATCACGCTGCGGCTGGGTCACAGGCCCCACGCAGATCATAGAGCGATTCATTCGCAACAACGAAGTCTCTTCACAGACGCCCTCTGGCTTCTCGGAGATTGCACTCTACAAGCTCCTCGAGGAGAACTGGGGCCACAAGGGATTCCTAGAGTGGCTCATGTTCATTCGCGCCGAGTACACCCGCCGCCGGGACGTGATCGTCAACGCGTGCGAGCGGTACCTGCCTACAGAGGTCGCGAGCTGGACGCCGCCGAGGGCAGGCATGTTCCATTGGATCGAGGTTGATTTGATGAAACATCCGAAGTACCACAAGGGGATCAATCAAGAGGAGTTCCTGGCGATCGAGGAGCAGGTCTTCCTGGCAGGTGTCGAGCGAGGCGTGCTACTGGCACGGGGCAGCTGGTTCAGAGCTGAGAGAGGCAGCGATAAGGCACTTTTCATGCGCACCACTTTCGCGGCGGCAAGCGAGGAGAAGATCCAGGAGGGGATCGAGCGCATGGGAAGGGCGCTGAGGAGTGAATTTGGGCTGGAACAGACGGACTCGGCGACTAATGGTGTCACGAATGGCATTACGACGAATGGTCACGGAGCAGTGGAACTCGTGAATGATCGGCAACCGGCTGCGAATGAACAAGCCGGAGCCAGAAGTCACAGCATACGGTGCTTGAACGCGCCTTTCTCAGCCAGGATTGAGACGATGAAATTATACGCCGCGTCCGTCCGCGAGCAAGTACCGCGTCAAGCAGCGATTCAGACGCGCCTTTTCACACGGACCAGCAAACCAACCTGGCGAAATCGAATAACACAACGCGCAACTCGTGTTCGATAGACAATCGCCATCGACCCGCACCATGGAAGAAATCCTGGTTGCAACAAGACTCGAAAAACAAGAAAAAGGATATCGCCGGATATCGTCTGATCCATATGTCTCAATTTGGACAGGCTCCACAACCTTCCGCAGGACCCGGATATTCCCACCGTGACTGCACGGTACAATAGTAAACGAGCAGATAAAGACCTCGTGATGGATTGCGGATGCGGAGGTGGCGATGGGAAATACAATGCTGACACGAGGGAATGAAACGTCTGGGGATGAGGGAGGAAAACGAATCATGCATATTGGGCATTGGGTTCCTGCGTTTCTGGACTTCAGTAATCGAAGCATTTATATTCGAGAGGCAGCAGTCAAACAATGCATGCACGTGGCCATAGAACGCCTAGACAAAAACAAAGCATTCGTTGCAGCAGGATAGATAGTCTAAATGCCGCTTGTGTGGTCTCACTCACCCGAAGGTGTTCAGTGCTTCTTAGATACTCGATGGAACTGCTTCGAATGCCTATCTATCTACATGCCCAATCAACCGGCAGTCAAACTGGCTGTACCCCTGCTTCGCCATATGGCATACTGCTTCGAAACCCATTGCGATGATATGCCCTTTAAAACGCCTATCAGCGCTATGCATGCTCTCGCAACCCTCTTTACCCTGGTGTTGAGCCTTTCCCAAATCGTCATCGCCCGTGTATTTCGAGAGCGAACCCCGATCCCGTTTTGCCTTCGCATGAAGATTCATTACAGCATTATCATCATCACCGCCAGAACCAAATTCAAAATCCCAGTCAGCCGCCCGAGGAACTACTTCTCTTCGTAAGCGTCCCCGGCCCACCCAGAGGTCGCGCCGTACTCGTACTCCAGTCACTTTTCGACCGATCGGACGCCTTCAACGCCCCTAGATCACCCCTCTTTACCTTGTTGTTTCCCACAGTAAGAAATGGGCCGCTGTGGTGATCGTGCTCTAGCACCAAAGCAGGCTGCTCATCCATCTCCGGCGGCGGACCCGGTATCTCCGCCGGTGCCGCTGAGATGACGTTCGCAATCATAGGTGTCCCCAGCTGCTGAGGTTGACCATCCGTAGCGCTGTTCAGCTTCTCGACGTTCTCCTCTGTCAAGGCTAGGACGCCATTGCTGCTGCCGTCGCTGCCGCTGCGGTCTGCGTAGCCGTTTGAAGTTGTCGCAGCTAAGGGCGATGCGCGATCCGCCCGCGGCGAGGAGTAGCCCGGCTCGCCGTTGACGACGTCGAGCAGCTTCGCGTCTCTCAGTACACGGGCTTTGTCCTCTGCCTCTTCTCTTCGTTGTGTCCGCTCGTTCTCGGTGTCGAGACCTGCGAGCTCTCGTTCGATGAGACTCTTAGACTTGCTGGCTCGTCTCGGCCTCAGGCCGCCACTACCCGCACCACTTGGCGTAAGGAGAGTAGCTTCATCGATCGACTTCTGCGCGGTCGCCGCCGCCACCGCAGCCGCTCTAGCAACGAGAAACTCATTCGCGATGTCATCGTGCTCTGGACAATTCGACGAGTGATCCGTAACAGTGCGTGTCAGCATTGGCTTGCTCTCGCCGTTGTCCAGATGCGAGGAGGACCGCCGGAAATCGTCCTTTCCAGTCCACTTCAAAATCATCTTCTCGAGAACAGCACGTTTCACTGGCTTGGCGAGGTAGTCGTCCATGCCGGCCTTTTCGCAGCGCTCTCTGTCTCCTCGGATGGCTGAAGCAGTCATGGCGATGATGGGAATGCGTTTGATGGCTTCGATCGACGCGTAAGGGTGGTGGTGGCGGAGGAGGTGGGTGGCGTTGTAGCCGTCTAGAACTGGCATTTGCACGTCCATCAGCACAATGGCTGGGACAGGCGTGGCTGCGGCTTCTTCGAGAGTCAGGTCTGGGCTTGTAGCCCGTAGCATGTACTCAAGTGCTTCTCTGCCGTTCCACACGGCGGACACGGAGAACTTGAGGCTTCGAATGAAGCGTATAGCAATTTGCTGGTTCACGGGATTGTCTTCGACGACTAGGATGTGTATGCTTTCTCTTGGGTATGCTTCTGGGGCTGGCGTATCATTCGCAGTCCGGCTGGGTGGGAATGAAGCTCTGTTTGCTCTCATGCTGATAGAACTTCGAGGAGATTGTAAAGGTGGACTGAGACGACGAGGCGTCCTTGCTTCTGTAGTGCCTTGGGATGAATTCTCGGCCGAAGCGAGAGACACCTCTGAATGAAACCGATCTGGTAGCGCTGATATTTCTACCAAAGGTGGTGCGCCAGCAGTTCCCGTGACATACTCCGGTTTCTTGAAAGGAATCGTGAATGTTGCTATGGTGCCGGAGCCGAGCTTGCTAGACAGGTCAATGGTGCCCTTCATCAGCTCGACCAGGTTTTTGCATATTGTCAAACCAAGACCCGTGCCTCCGAACCGTCTTGCAGTGCTGGAATCGGCCTGACTGAATGGTCTGAAGAGTCGCTGTTTAACATCCTCCTCAATTCCAATGCCTGTATCCGCGACTGTGAACTTCACAGTTGTGGAGTCGCTAGTCTCGGAGAGAACTGCTGCTGCTATCCTCACTGATCCATTCGATGTGAACTTGATGCTGTTGGTCAGCAAATTCGTCAGGATCTGCCGCACACGGCCAGGGTCTCCGAGGAGCACCAGATCCGATGGTAGACTGAGATCGCTGCTAAATTCGAGGTTCTTCCTTTGTGCCGCGTACGACAGCATCTTGGCAACATCTTTGAGGACGATCGGCAGAGAGAATTGTACTTCCTCAACATCCAGACGGCCGGACTCAATTTTCGAGAAATCAAGGATGTCATTGATGACTGTCAGCAGTGAGTTGGCAGACCGCTGGATGTTCTGTGCGAAGTCTGCCTGTTCCTGGTCCAGAGTCGTATCGAGCAACAGTTCCGACATGCCCAAGACTCCGGCGATAGGTGTTCGAATCTCATGCGACATGTTGGCGAGAAAGCTGGACTTCATCTTCGATGCCTCTTTGGCAGCACTTTCATTGGCTAGGAGCTTAATGTTCTCCTGCTCTTTTCGCCGCAAGGTTGTCACCTCTGTCGTGATACCAATGACGCCTTCCACAATGGTCTTTTCGATTTTGCCGTCTGGTCCAGGTTTCCCGCCTCGCATCGGAACGATTTTCGATCGGAACCAGCGGTTGTCATCATGTATCTCGCGCAACTCGAGCTCCGACTTGCCATCAAGAATCCGTTCGATAGACGACAGCATCTCATGCATCAGGTGTGGCTCGTCGGTCTCGGTATGCTTCAGCATCACCTCGCCGATTGGCTTGCCAATAACCTCCGACCTTGCTCGTTCCGGGTCCAGGACCTTCCATGGAGAGCCCTCGAGGAAAGTCAGCCTCATCGAACTATCGACCATCCACATGTTCATTTGTGAATGATGCAGCACGTCAAGCAGTTGCTGTCGGTGCTGTGATGAAGCATTCCGAGCATCAACAATGTCCTGAATGTCCGTACATGTGCCAAACCACTTTACAATCTTGCCCGTGTCGTTGTCGCGTAACGGCATGGCCCGTCCAAGCATCCATCGCCATGCGCCATCGTGTCGTTGACAGCGGTACTCAACATTGTACGGCTCGCCTGTAGCAAGGGAATGCTTCCATTGTTTCACGGTCTCTGGAACATCTTCCTCATGAAAAGGCAATTTCCAACCAAGTCCTAGCGAATTCTGCGGCGTAAGGCCTGTGTAGTCGTACCATCGCTGAGAGAAGTAGTCATGGTAGCCATCTGGTCGGGTCGTCCACATCATTTGTGGCATCATATCACAAATCAGAGCAAATTGTTGCTCGTTCTCGGCGACTGTTGTCGCAATCTTCTCAGTATACTCAGTTACATCTTTGAAGACGACCAGACCAGCAAAGAACTCTCCTTTCTCATCAAAAACCGGATGGCCGTCAACGTCATATGTTGACTTCTTGCCTGTCTTCTCGTTGATGAGCCCGATCTGCCAGCGAGTGAACGGCTGCTGCGTCCGACACAATGTCACAGTAGGATTCTCCTCTTCTGCTAGTGGCCTCGAAAAATCCGCTGTCCATGGACTAAACCTTGACATGAAATCGTAGCCTTCCTCTGAAGTAGGATCAGCATGAACTGCTAGCATCTTTCTGGCCGCTGGATTCGGGAAAACAACACTTTCGTCTTTCCACATTGCTAAAACAGGCAAATGCATCGCATTGAGCATCGCGTCTTTCATGCGCGTGACCTTCTGGAAGTCGGTAATAGTGTTCGGTTGACTGCATTTCGAAGGCGCGCCACCGGGTATGAACGTTGATGAATTGCTTGAGATAACATCTGACGGAGTATGCACTGTACTGCTTGAAGTTGATGATGTGGGTGTGTGCGACCGTGTTGATCGCGAGGACTTCGTGGATGTGCTCGACTTGGCCCGAGTCATGGCGTGAGAGTGCGGTCCATGTCTCGCACCCGAAGGCGGCGGTACTGAGGGACTTGTGAACGTCAGGGTGAAGAAGCGCTGTCCATCTAACTCCCATATCGAGATGATCATTCTGCAGGTCGACTGAGAGCCGGAGGAGCTTTTCGTGCGCCCATGATTTGAGCTTAGCCGTTGAGTCGACACTAGAACATCAATGACAGTATCTCGTGGCGTCGCACCTTGTCGACTCGGCGATCGTCCACGAGGAGGGCCCTCGCTCGCTGGAGTTGCAACCACATCCATGCCAGTAGCGTCATATCCTCAGCGCCGTTGGCGGAAGGCGTGTCAGAGCCATCAAGAGCGGCAGTCAGTGTGTCCAAGAATTTCTCCCAACTGACCCAGACAGGTACGCCATCAGATAGCATGTCGATCCCGATCTGCGACAAAGTCCGGCCTTTGAGAACATCTGTGATTGACTGCTCGGGACCTTCGGCTGTATCGTCCAGGCGCAAACCCAGCAACCTTCCCATTGCCTCATTGGCGAGCAGGATCGTCTTCAAAGACGACAAGACCAGTAGCGGCGTGGGAAGGTGTTGCAAAGACGCAAGCGCTATATTGGCCGCCATTGGTAGTCGTGGGAGCTCAATACGTAGCGTCTCTGCTGAGGGAGTCCTGCTTCTCGGTAGAGGAGCATTAGGAAAGTAGTCTGGTGCGTTCTTGATACGACTAAGTGATCGCTTTAGCGACGAGTATTCTTCTTGTGGGTACAAGCTCGGGTCCAGCTCAGGTACTTCATCGTCGACGTTGAGGTGTTCGACACCCAGTGTCGCCATGGCGGAACTCGAAATGGGCGCGGACCCTGGTAGGTGCTCGATGGTCGGCGGTGTCCGCGTGCCCGGAATACGCGAGTTGCAGGGTGACGTCGGCTGAGGGGCCCGATCCCCAGGATCTCGAGTTGTCTAAGGCATGCGATTCATGTTGAAGTGCTGAAGTACACCTCGTGTTTGTGCTGGAGTCTGTCTGTGGGAATACGGGGCCACTGTGTTTGTTCGTGCGACAATGAAGAAGATTCAAAGCAAACAATAAGCAGCGCAGTTGACGACAGCGACATGATCTGCAGCGGAGTTTTTGGACGCCGCCAGTCTGGACGGCTCAAGTTTCATTTCAATTGACTTTTGTGTTTTGGTAAGCAATAGGGCAGGAGTAGCCTGTAGCCACGCCTGCAACTGCCTGTGATGCACAAAATCCATCCCCATCGCCACCCCTGTTCCCGATCCATCGGACCCAATGCAGCTACCGCGCTCAACCGAGCAGATGCCATGCGATTCCGATCCAAGGTTCCGCTCTCTGGCCTCAGGTTTGCATCTTCATCGCGACCTCAACTTGCTGTCGCAATTGCCTTTGTGCTTCTACAGCAACCATGAGCCACGTGTAAATTGAAGAATGTGCATGGATTCCCCGCCGTCACACCGCTTCGGCCGATCTCGATCTGCAGTTCTCGTGTTCTCGAAAATGTCATCCACCAGGGGTAAGCCACTGACGCGTTTTGGGCCAGAGCCGCCTAACACATCGCCGATTAGTTTTTGGACTGCCTCGAAGTTTGAACACCTCTTCCTGCTGACTGACGGTGTCGCCGATGCTCAGACTTCGCTGCCAGACCTGTGAGTATGCTGACATGCAATTGACGAGCAGGTCTAATATACTGGGCGGCCTCTGGCGACCATGTTGAGCCCATGAATGCTTTGAATGTCGTCCTGCACCCATGACGTCGAGATGGGACAACCAATGATGTTGACTAAACATTGGTTCGACCCTATGCAAAACCAACATCCAAGCGCTGACATCCTGCCTCTGGAGGCCGCCCGATGAAGAGCAGCAGTGATAGTGTCGCGAATGATTGCCACGCATAGCAAGCAGAGCTCTTGACTGACTTCAGCAGTAAATGTGAAGTCCGTGTACCAACAGGTACTGCTAGATTAGGGAAACTTCTCATCTAATCGGGTGCAGGCCAGGGAGGGCGCTGAGTATCTAAGATCAGTTCGTACATCATACGGCCGATTTTGAGATGAGCCTCACTTGAGCGTTAGTTGGCAAGAATGTCTGTTGTAAGCTTTCTAGCCAGGGAGGGCACTGCGAGAATTCGACACCTGCACAGTTATGCAAGACCCAATACTTGGCGTCACAGCTTCCACCTCGGCCAACACCTGCCTCGCCTCCGTCAGGACTGACTCCCCGGGGAGCTCGCGATATCCTTGCGCTTCTCAATCAGGCCATGGTCCGTGTCCAGAGCAACGTTGATGTCGTACGCCTTCACGAAGAAGGAACACATTAATCCAACACCACAGAGGGCCGTTAGCACAATGTACACCACACGAATACTGTCAGTGTACACGACCTGCAAGTTGTACTTTCCCGCTCCTTCCTCAGTATCGCGAATGACCTGCACCAAGGCAGCGGCATCCTTCGCCAGCTCCGCAGCCTGGTCAGCGTATCTCGGAAAGTCTCTAAGCTTTTTGATCATTGCTTCGTTTTTTGTTAGCTTGGATCGGGACATGAGCGGGGAGTGAAGGACGGGATTGGAGAGGATCGTGGATCAGGAGTACGAGACACAGGCATTAGGAACAGGTCTGAGACCTTCAGTCTGTAGTTCCTTTCCGAACCAATCTTGGAAAGAACACTCACAGTTCTGAAAGGTGACGCCCCCAATGGCAACTCCCACCGCCTGGCCAAGTGTGCGGAAGAAAACGAACGTCCCTACAGCAAACGCCATATCTTCCGACGTGGAGGGCGCCTGGACTTGGAACTGCAGCGCACTGAAGAGGATCCCACAACCCATGCCTGGCACGATGCAGATGAATACCCAGGCAGGTACGGAGGTTCTCACGTCGATGATGGTAGTAAGTCCAAAGCCCAGTGTGGCCAATGCCCAGCCGAGCCAGATCGCCCAGCGGTAGGCATTGGCCTTGGTGATGGCAAAGCCAGTGATCACGCTCATTGGCGCCACTGTTAATGTGGCCGGAAAGAGCGCGACCCCAGCAATGACTGGCGAGTATTCCTTGACCGCCAGGAAGTATAGTGGCTGATAATATAGTATCGTCCACACGAGGATGCCGTGCAGGGCGGACTCTAGGTACCCAAGCGCTGCGGTCCGGGTTCCGAATACCGACAGTCGAAACAGCGGCTCCTCAGCGACGTACTTCTCGTAGAGGACAAACCCAACTAGGCCCGCCACACCAACGACAAGCGGCAACAAAGTCCTCCAATGCGTCCACGGGTACATGACGCCACCCTTGGTCAGCGGAATCAGGAAGGACGTCGTACTCGCCACAAACACCACAGAGCCCACCCAGTCCACCCTCCTCAACTTCTCCGCGATTGACTCCGGCACAATATTCAACTTCAAAAACAACAGCACCATGGGATACCCAACTCCAATAAACGGCAAATTCAACCAAAATATCCACCTCCACGCATCGACCTGTGCAAACGCACCCCCGATGACAGGCCCACTAACACTCCCCAACGCCCACGTCCCCGCCAGCACACCCATCCACTGGCCCCTGACCCTCAACGGCACCAAGTCAGTAACGACGATCTCGCTGAGAGCAATGATGCCCCCACCTCCAATCCCCTGAATCGTCCTACCCGCGAGCAAAAGCTCAAAATCTTGGGCCAACGCCGCCATCAAAACGCCCACGAGGAACAGCGTCATCGCGACCAGGATCAAAGGCATGCGCCCGAAGATATGACTGAAAGACGCGAACAGGGGCTGGAAGACCGTGCTAGCCAGGAGAAACGATGTCTCCGCCCAAAACGCTTCCAAAGCAGAGCCGTGGAGCTTTTGCGCAATGGTGGGCAGCGCAACGCTGATGGACGTGCCGTCGAGGGCGACCATGAGCACGAGGACGGCGAGCGCGGTGAACGCGAGGACGAGGGCCCGGGTGGGCTTGAAGCCCGCCCCATCAGAGGCATTGTCTTCTCTCTGGTGCTGATCTCTTTTGCCTGGGGTTGAGGAAGTGGGGAAGGCTGACGGCACGGGCTGTGTTGTGGCAAGAATGGTGGAGGGTGGTGCCTTGTCGGCCGCGTTGACGTCGGGGACTGCGGTCATTACGTGAGAAGGAAATGGACTGACGTCGAGCCAGCCCGGTAGCGGTGTGGCCATATACGGGAGCGCTTTCAAGTCACCCAATGAATGACTTGTCGATGGCTAGATGATGATTTATAGCAAGGTGCTGCACACTATCCCGGGAGATCGCTGGACCGCTGCACATCTTATACCCCATACCACGAACCAAGAAAGCAGACTCTATCCTTCCGCTAATATCCAAACCGTCCACCTGCTGATTCACCACCTTTCTGGACACTGTACCGCGTCCAGGAGTTTCCGTATCTGATGTCGTGCAGCATGGCACCGTCTCGTCGCCTACGCATGTTGACACTAACAACGCCCAACGTTGTACGTTCGAAAGAGTAAATCCGTCCGCTGCCAAGCGCGCTTCAGTAGCCGAGCACTATGACGAACATCGAGCACGGGTTGCGCTTTGGGGAGTCCGGCAATGATGACGGAATGTGTCTGACTGAGTACGAAGACCGCCGGGCAGGGATTCGACAGGAGTCTACATGCGCCTTCCCCAGGAGGAGGGCTGCTGAAGAGAAACCACGGAAAAGGGGGAAAGCGGAGGTACTTAGTATTTTGCAATTGCTCTTGGCATTGTCTCGGAATCGTATTTCTATGAATATGAATATGACACTAGCCAGCTTCACATTGGCATATCTTCGCTGTTTTCTCGAATCCTCGAGATAGGACGCCTCAACTCAATCATCGCTATCTCGCTCGTCTCGGCGGTGGTGACGCGGAATGCGACGGCGAGCGCGTCTCTCTCCGACCGCGACCCCGTCCATTCCGTACAGGTGATGGGGAGTCTGAGTAACTTCGTGCTCTTCGTCGCGGAGGACTTCTCGAGCGGCTTCGCGAGCGCGAATCAGACATCGACCTGCTCGGACTGCGTCTTCTCCGGCTCGTGGAGTGTACAGGTGGGCGGCCTCGACCTTCTTGAGGACGTGAAGGAGCTCTGTCGGGAGAGCTGGAGTAGCTGCGTGCTCGTCTGCGGCGGGGTGGGGCACGTGACCGGGAGCGAGATACGGAGACACTGAGGCTGCGATCTCGAGTCCGAGTAGGACGATCGCGAGAACGATCTCTGCCTCGATCGTTGCGGGGTGGCGTACGCGAGCGGCTTCTCGAACGTGAGTCTGAGCGGCTGGAGTAGCTGGAGTAGCTCGAATAAGAGCTCACGCTCTCTGAATCGGATGGGGAGTCCCTTGGAGCTGGCAGAGGAGGTGGTGCTGGTTTGGCAGATTCTTGAGATGCTCGCGCATTTCCTCTGTCAAAGCGCCCATGCCAATACTTGTGAAGTAATTGATTGAGAAGCGAGTGTTGCGTGGCTCGTCCATTGGGAACAGACCCGTAAAGCTTGGCTTGATCATTTCGTCCTGGAAGCGTTCTTTGAGCTTCGGCACGCCCATTGCCTCTGCGAGATCTTGAACGAGGATTTTGATGAAGATGCGGCTTGACGATGTCGTTTCTTCTTCATTGAGATGAATTACTGACAGGCAGTGCCAGCCAATGCCATCATTCGAAAACATATGACCAAAGAAACGTGCGATGTTTCGGAGGCGATTCGTCTCATACCGATGAATCGTGTCGTAGTATTTGGCGAACGACTGCTCGAAGAGATCTGTCCACAGGCGGTTGAGCTTCGCGAACCTTTCGCCGATCAAGCCAAAGAACTTTGAGTATGTCTTTTCCTGTGAGCAGCATTCGACCAGCATCGATGGCAGTTCGTGCTCCTGACCTTGCGGAAGGTTGACTTTCATGAGCTTGTGCACTGCTTCCTCGAAGTTCAAACTCGACATGATGGTCAAGTAGATCGTCCTTCGTAGGTTGACCAGGTCTGTATTGGTCTGATCTTTGATCTCCATTTGTTTTGTCTGTTCGTCATCTGAAGCCTCAGAAGAGTCGTCTGATCCGCTGTCGCCATCCTCCTCGTCGTCATCGCTTCCTTCTCCCAGGATCTCGGCTCTCAGGTTTCTGTATGCTTCCTCATGCGCTTCGTATCCGGCGTCGAATTTGAAAATGTTCAACGAGTCTTGAGTATTGATCTCGTCATCCAAATCGATCTGATGGGTGATCTGGTCCTCCTCTTCGACCAGATCAAGCTCGTCCTTGATGGCCGGATTGTCCTTGTACTTGTCCTTTCGCACCTGAAATAGCACCTCAATCATATACTGGACTCGCTTATCAATGTCTGCTTCGTGTAAAATATTCCGGAATTGGTCAAACACTGCTAAAGCGATTGGCTGGCTCATTTCTTCTAGATGCTGACCGACTTCTCGCGTTAAACCCACCGCAATCTCGACCGAGTCGTCTGTAGGCTTATGAAGCAGCAATAGCAGGATCTGTGCGACGACCGTCTCGTGTGCGACTTGCTGATTGCAGAGGTGTGCGATAAACGTAGTAGAGGAAACACAGACGGCCTTGTCGTTTCTCTTGAAGCCTTTTCGGAATTGAACCACCAGTCTCTGAAGCAGTAGCTCGCCGACTTGTGGCAGTTTAGTGTTGACGATGGCCGCCATCGCAGCATAGATCGGTGTAAATGGCAAGGATGCCGCTTGCGCTTTCATGATGCTTCGGCAGAATAGACCACGACCTCTGACCAAGTTCTCGCTGAAGAGTTCCGGGACGATATATTTGATGTTGGAGACGTTGATCTTGTTGATCAGACCGTTGATGGACTTCTTGAGAGCCTCCCATGCCATCCGCTGGTACTCTTTGCTCGTCTTGTCGGTGATTTGTGATTGCAGCGCTCGCAGTCTCGCTGGAGGAATGTATGTGCCGCCAGATCGCATGGTCAATAGCTTCTCATATTCGGCCTTCGCGGATGCCTGCTTCTCCTCGTCTGTCATCGGCTTCCGTATGGTTGGCTCCTCTTCGCGTGACTTGAAACGGGCCTGCAACATGCGTTCCCGCTCATCTGGCTCACGATCCTCTCCATGACCGTTGCGCGCATCTCGGTCCTGCCTAGGCGGCGATCTTCGACGTCTAGGTGATGGCGATCTCGATGGCGGCGACCGTTTCCGGGCGGTCGAGGGTCCAGGTGAGTATGTTTCACCAGGCGGCGGCGTCGGCAGCCGCACTGCAGATGACAAGACAGCAGCCATGATGGCGATCGATGGGCGACGTGTCTGAGAGCAGTTCTTGACCCGCGCACCTGAGAGGATGTCATGCCATGATCTATTCGTAGCAAGTAAGTTATGTTCAGACAAGATGTAGGCAACAAGATCGCGGCGGCGTGAAGAACTTTTGGAGCAAGGATCATGGCTTGGCATAAATTTGGGGGAACTGCGCAGTACATTGAGACAACTGTTCAGGAACGACTCTCATATCGAGCCATTCCTTCTCATCGATCGAGCGCTCCGCAGCTTCCTTCGTTCATCACTCCTGCCTTTCGTTTGTTGGACTGTTGTGACACGCCTTTGACCGGCCGTCATGGCCACAACTGCCTCAGAAACGCCGCTGGAGCCCTACCTGCGCGGCCCTACTAGCAAGAACACCAGGGGAGTCCTCCGCATCATCATTCTTTGTACAATAGCAGCTGCAGCGGTATCAGCACGCCTTTTCAGTGTGATTCGTAAGTTCTTACGTCTTGGGAGTCAATTATCGCTCTAACATGGCTAGGATTCGAGAGTATAATACACGAGTGTCAGTCCGCACCCTCGACGTGACTACCCGATCTAACGAGTACCGCAGTCGATCCGTGGTTCAATTTTAGGGCAACGAAACACTTAGTAGCCCATGGCTTCTACTCGTTCTGGGACTGGTTTGACGACAAGACATGGCATCCACTGGGAAGAGTAACGGGAGGGACATTGTACCCCGGCCTGATGGTCACATCTGGGGTCATCTACCACATCCTGAGGTTGCTGTCATTGCCTGTCGACATCCGGAACATCTGTGTCCTCCTCGCTCCGGGCTTTTCAGGACTGACCGCATACGCCATGTACCTCCTCACCTCTGAGATGTCCAGCTCGCCGTCTGCCGGCTTACTGGCGGCTGCCTTCATGGCCATCACTCCGGGCTACATTTCGAGATCGGTGGCAGGCAGCTACGACAATGAGGCTATCGCTATCTTCCTGCTGGTATTCACTTTCTTCCTCTGGATCAAGGCTGTCAAGGTCGGCTCCATCATGTGGGGTGCTCTGGCTGCACTCTTCTACGGCTACATGGTGTCAGCTTGGGGAGGCTATGTTTTCATCACGAATCTCATCCCACTGCACGTGTTCGTTCTCATCCTCATGGGCCGCTTCAGCTCCAGAGTCTACATTGCATACAATACCTGGTACGCGTTGGGAACCTTGGCCAGTATGCAGGTCCCCTTCGTCGGCTTTCTGCCCATTCGCAGCTCGGACCACATGGCCGCTCTGGGCATTTTCGGACTTCTGCAACTCGTTGGATTCTTTGACTTCCTGCGGAACCAGCTTCCTGGAAAGCAATTCCAGACTCTACTAGTGGCACTCGGTGGCAGCATTTTCGTCATCGCTTTCGGAGGTCTGATCCTTCTGACAGTTACCGGCACAATTGCTCCGTGGTCCGGTCGATTCTATTCACTTTGGGATACCGGCTATGCCAAAATCCACATCCCTATTATCGCCTCCGTTTCCGAACATCAGCCTACAGCTTGGCCAGCGTTCTTCTTCGACCTCAACTTCCTCATCTGGCTATTCCCAGCTGGTGTGTACATGTGCTTCAGGAATCTTCGGGATGAGCATGTCTTTGTCGTCATCTATGCGGTCCTCGCATCTTACTTTGCGGGAGTCATGGTCCGTCTCATGCTCACTTTGTCACCCATTGTCTGCTGCGCGTCTGCCTTGGCTCTGTCGCATGTGCTGGACAGCTTCTTGCTTGCCAAGTCACCAGCAGCCCCCGCAGCAGAGACCAATGGTTCGGCTAAACCGCCGTCGTCGAATTCTTCGTTCGGCATCAGCAAATCCATTCGTCAGCCGGTCGTCGGCATCTATAGTCTGATTTCCAAGTCGACCATCGCCTCACTCATAACAGGCTTCCTCCTCGTGTTCGTGGCCCATTGCACATGGGTCACCTCCAACGCCTACTCATCTCCTTCAGTCGTCCTAGCGTCGAGAATGCCAGACGGCTCGCAGCATATCATCGACGACTACCGAGAAGCATACTACTGGCTCCGTCAAAACACACCGCCAGATGCTAAGATCATGTCGTGGTGGGACTACGGCTACCAGATCGGTGGCATGGCTGATCGTCCGACGCTCGTCGACAACAACACCTGGAATAACACTCATATTGCCACGGTCGGCAAAGCAATGAGCAGCCGCGAAGAGGTTTCATACCCCATTCTCCGCCAACACGACGTCGATTATGTTCTCATAATCTTCGGCGGTCTGCTCGGCTACAGCGGCGACGACATCAACAAATTTCTTTGGATGGTCAGAATTGCCGAGGGCATCTGGCCAGAAGAAGTAAAGGAGCGTGACTTCTTCACCGCCAGAGGCGAATATCGCGTAGTACGTGTTCTTGAGAACCTGAGTCGGGCGAAGCATCACTCGCCTGATTTCAGTTCTTCCCCGATACATGTTCACTCTAACAGAGGCAACAGGATGATGAAGCGACGCCCACAATGAAGAATTCCCTCATGTACAAGATGAGCTACCACAACTTTGCGAACCTTTTCCCGCCCGGACAAGCCCAGGATCGCGTCAGAGGCTCGAAAGCGCCGAGTCAGAACCCAGAGCTGAACACTCTGGAGGAGGCTTTCACGTAAGTCTACCCAGTGTTCATCTCGTGTGAGGAGGCACAATGCTAACAAATTCTACAGGTCCGAGAATTGGATCGTTCGATTGTACAAAGTCAAGAAGCCCGACAATGTTGGCCGAGATCATAGCGGCGCAGTTGCCTTCGAGAAGGGCCACAAAAAGAAGAGCAAGAAGGGTTTGAGAAAGTCACGCGTGGTGTTAAGGGAAGAGTAGACCTTAACTGCATTCCACGAACAATGCGATCGACGATCCAGATCTCATGCAAGTGTACACGCTCGAATCACTTGCGGCACTGGTGTTTACTGGAACTGGCCAGCACCGCTCCGATGGGATCACATCTTCAATCCGTAGCTGGCCACAGGCCGTTAGTCGCTAATGTTTCGGAGAAAGGGCGCCACATCTGTCGCAGTCAACGACAGGACGCCTCCCGCAACGTTAATCCAGTTGTGCCGCGGGACTTCGTGATAAGACTTGAGTACAACCAGGCCGCGAAAGCTCAAGAACTTGCTCAAGGCGTGCTCGAGGCGTGCTCAAGTGTGGTTGTGGAGACAGCGATCTACTAGCACTTTGACATCGCCGAGGACCTAGGAGCACGTTGTGTACGAATATGAATGAAAAGTTCTCCAGCGAAGAGAGCATCTAGACAGTTCCGCGAGAGGACAATAGCGACCATTTTCTGTAGAAACCAATCTGGTAGGCAGCCTTCCTAATTGGGACTTCTATCTGTCAGAGCGATTCTCAGAACGTGTTTTCGAATGAAGGTCTTTTCGAGTCGCGACTGTGAAAGCAGGCCCCGGCTTCCAAGGTTCGTCTTCACACATGACCACGATCCGGTGCCTGGTCGCCCCTGCGGGACTGCATTGTATCCTATCCCACAAATGATCTGTTGATCCCGCGAGATGGTGTTTGGCCGCACGCGCTGACCTTAGTCATCGATCTGCACCATTGCACAGTACTTGAGGAGTTAAGGGGATGGTTCAGCGCTCGAGGAGATAACAGATGGCTTGCTATTTGATTACATGAATTGGAGCCAGCATCTTCGACTAGGAGGCTTCAGTCTGAGCCTCTTCGAAACGTCTTTAGGGGACGGTGGGTGGGGGAGGTGGTGGGGAGGAGGTGGAGGAGGTGGCCGCGAAGCGGACACCGACTCACCACCACCTCAGGCGAGCGCAGCGAGCACTCCAAAGAGAGCGCCTCAGGCGCTCCCTATAAGATGAGGGAGCGCAGGAGTGCAGGAAGCAAGTGTTGGAGGGCGCCAAGTGAGAGGTGAGATACATTATTCGCAACCATCTTTTTCTTTTCATTCTCTTCGAGTTGTATGTACACAATAAATCTTTGCCCTGGGGTATGTCCATCTCTCGAGTCTTCTCATTCTTCGAGTCGACGCGCTCGGCAAGAGCGAGCTGTGGTCTGAAGTAAATGGCCCCCTCGATACTAAGTATCGTGTTTGGTCGCACGCGCTGACCTTAGTCATCGATATGCAACATTGCATATTGTGCTTGAGGAGTTAAGGTGCTGGATCAATTGCTCGAGGAGTTAGACCAATTATCTGATTACATGGATAAAGACTGCAAGCTAAGAGTGTGAAGCACAAAGCTCACATCGACCACTATCGCAGACATCCAAGCCCTTTCACTGCCACCCATCTTCATTATGGACATCCTACAGCGCCCACTTCCCAATGCCCCCAGATTTCTCGCCATCGCCCTCGGTGCCGTCATCACGCACGCCGGCGTTTCCGCCTTCGTCACGCCCACAACCTTCACGGCTCAATTCGGTCTTCCCCAACAGCCACCCATCAATCCCTGGGTCTACGCCTTCGCAGCCCGAGAAGTCACCTTGGGCCTGACGCTCTGTGCATTTGCCGCACGAAAGGACTGGAAAAGTGTGGGTGTGGTCGGAGTCATAGCGGCGCTGTGTGGCGCGACTGACGGTAAGGTTGAACATATCTGCGAGAAGCCCAGAGGCGAGGGTTTCCTTCAGCGCTGAGCGATGACCATGCGCACGGACTTGACGAGAGTGCAGATGGTGGAAGCTCATCTCCCATCCTTCAATTCTCCACTGTACATCGCAAATCCCAAGAACGAAGCTGATCGCAACGCCGCACAACAGGGGTACTGCAGGGGAAGTACGGCAATGAGGGAAAGGGAGATTGGGCAGGGGCGTGGAAGACGCACCTGGGACCTACTGTAGCATTTGCGCCTGTGAGCTGGTATCTGCTGTTGTGGTAGACTGGCCTGCATGACGGGGCAGAATCGATGGGATACCCGGCCCATGTGACTATGAAGTGAGTTTTCTGTTGCCTTGCTTCCCTGCATTCGAAGATGAAGAGCCATACCAGCATGACCACCAGCATAGAGGGAAAATCCCGATGCGAATTCGGCCTCGCGAAAGGTGCTCAAGCCACACGGTAGACGCAACCCTCCCGTCCCGTCGCTGCCACGAAAGATCTTCTCCCATCTGCTTCGACCCGATCCGCAATCGCAAGCTCATGCACAGTCAGATTGCCAACCTCTCTTCGAAAGAAAGTACAACGAACTGTCGATCAGATCAACCCTCGGAGCACTTTTCCTGAAAAATTGAGAAGGTTCTGATCCATCATCATTCTGTGATCACGCCTTGTTACGATCTGAATCTAGCCGGTGAAGTAGAAGAGGGAGAAAGAGAAGGGTGCGAGTTGGCCTTTCAGAGCCAGCTGATATGTATGAATGTATTTTCCACCAAGCTTGGCGCCAGGCTCATCAGTGCGGACGAGCTGAATTCAGCTTACCATGTTTCGTGCCACTGTTTTCATCCCACATGCTGCCGCGAAAGTTGTGGGCTCGATCCAGGATGGGGAAATGCTTTGAGCTTTGACAGATAGAAGTTCCAGTCGGGAAAGGGTGCCTGCCAGTTCTGGTTCAACTAGCACGACACGATCGTTGGAAGGTTTTCGAAATTCTGATATCAGCACGAAAATTCCTGCTCTGGTCTGTTCAGATAATCTCGACATTCATTTCCAGCTCTAGGCACATGTACCATATCTAGCTCCGCAGCCGTGAAGGCCGCCCGCCCGGTGGACTTTTAGACACCGTAAACGCCGCCTGTGGTATCATTTAAGATCCGCTGATTCCAAACTCCCGCTCCAGTCAACGCTCACATCATCTTCCCACCTACAAAATCCGCCCAGCTGCGCACCTCCGGCGGGATGACGCCTTCCTTGCGCGGCAGCTTCTCATTCATGCATTGCGCGAAGAGGAGGGAGGTTTTCGCTTCCATGAACAGACTGTTCAGACATTAGCATGGACCCAATCAAGTGTGTTTGTGAGGTAGGGAAAGAACTCACGGTGTTCCGAAATCAACAGCATTCCTCCTCATCACATAATCCTCGTCCAAGAGCGTCTGACCTCGCTGCTTGGCAATATTGAACACGCCCTTAATATTAGCCTTCTCAAACACTTTTCGTAGTGCGTTCTTGTCCGTCTTTGGGAAATCCAACACCTCAACTTTGACATTCTTGCTCGTGCTCTGCTCGAGATGCGAAGCCACGGTTTGGTTGGCGGCGTAGAATTTGTACCCTAATGGCTCGAGGTAGTCTACTATCTTTGGCAGCTCGGGAAGCTCGGTGGAGCCACCGAGGAGGATGCCCTCGCCAGGTTCGGGAAGGCGGAAGTTCATGGTTGATTGCATTGACGCCCAGTATGCCTCGACGAGGTTCTTGCCGAAGCAGGCGATCTCACCTGTGCTGCTCATCTCGACTCCCAGGAAGGGGTCGGCGCCAGCTAGACGTGTCCAGGAGAATTGGGGCACCTTGGTAGCGAGGAAGTCGCGCTTCTCGGACATCAGGTCGCGAGCAGCGGGGACGTCGGTATTGACTAGGGCTTTGGTAGCGGCGTCGATGAAATTGGTCCCAAGGACTTTGCTGACAAAGGGGAAGGAGCGGGAGGCACGGAGGTTGCATTCGATGACTTTGAGTTCGTCGGCGTCGGTTTTGATGATTTGCATGTTGAAGGGGCCAGTAATGGACCAGGCTTTTGCGACTTTCTCGGCGATTTCCTTGACGCGGGTTTGGGTTTCGCTCGAGAGGTTGGCCGGTGGGAGGACTAGGGTGGCATCGCCGGAGTGCACGCCGGCGGGCTCAACGTGTTCGGAGACGGCGTGGAGGATGAGGTTGCCGTCGTGGGAGACGCCGTCGACGTCGATTTCTTGGGCCCCTTCGATGAATTTGGTGATCACAACGGGATGTTCTGGGTTAACGGCAGCGGCATTTTCGAGCTTGTTCTTGAGCTCGTCCTTGGAGTGGACGACGCTCATTGCTGCTCCGGAGAGGACGTATGATGGTCTAATCAGAACTGGGTAGCTGACCTCGTCGGCGAACTTGTATGCCTCTGAGACTGATGTGAGCTCCTTCCACGCGGGTTGGTCGACGCCGATAGAGTCCAGAATTTGTGAGAACTTGTGGCGATCTTCGGCCTTGTCGATGTCCTCGGGGTTCGTCCCAAGAACTTTAGCTTTGCCATCCTGTTGCAGGCGGAGAGCGATATTCTGAGGCAGCTGGCCACCGACACTGACGACCACGCCATTGGCGTTTTCAAGCTCATACTGCGAATCTCGTTAGCCTTGTCCGATACCTGCATTAGGAAGTGACTCACAATATCCATCACACGTTCGTAGCTCAACTCTTCGAAGTACAGCTTGTCTGCAGTGTCGAAGTCGGTGCTGTATGTCTCAGGGTTATAGTTGATCATGACAGTCTTCTTTCCCATATTTCTCAAGCTGAGTGTGGCGTTGACAGCACACCAGTCGAACTCGACCGACGAGCCAATACGGTAGACTCCTGAACCGAGGATCACAGTTCCATGGTCATCGAATGTTACGTCGTGTGAGCTCGCGTTATATGTTGTGTACAGGTAATTTGTGTCAGCAGGGAACTCTGCAGCCAGAGTATCGATCTTCTTGACCCATGGGCGAATACCGAAACGCTTTCGTCGGGCTCGGACGTCGTTCTCGTGTGCACCGACATACGAAGCAATCTGCTTGTCGGAAAAACCTTGCTTCTTTGCTTTCATCATCAGCTCCTCCTTGATGCCATAGAGCGAGCCGATTTCTGTGAGCTCATCCATAGTGTTCTTCAGGTTTTGGAGCTTATGCAGGAACCACTTGTCGATCTTGGTAAGCTCATGTAGTTTCTCGACCGAGTATCCTTCGTGGATCATAGCTTGACCAACAGCCAGCCATCGTCGGTCAGTGGGATTTTTGAGGGTCTCGTCGAGGTCATCAAACTTGTCGCCTTGGAAGCCAACGTAACGAGGGTCGACCTGGCGAATGGCCTTTTGGAAGGACTCCTCGAATGTACGGCCGATGGCCATGACTTCTCCGACCGACTTCATAGCGCTGCCAATGTCACGCTTGACATGCTGGAATTTCGACAGATCCCATCGAGGTATCTTTGTGACGATGTAGTCCAGACTGGGTTCGAAGTTTGCTGTAGTCGTCTTCGTCACTGCATTTGGTAGTTCGGGCAGAGTGTGGCCCAGACCGATCTTCGCAGCCGTGTAAGCAAGGGGATAGCCGGTCGCTTTCGAAGCCAGCGCAGATGACCGGGACAGACGAGCATTGACCTCGATGACTCGGTAGTCAAGTCCATCTGGCTGCAAGGCGTACTGCACATTGCACTCGCCCACAACACCCAGATGCCGTACAATCTTGATGGCAGCTGTCCGCAGCATATGGTACTCCTCGTCACTCAACGTCTGACTAGGAGCCACCACGATACTGTCGCCTGTGTGAATGCCCAGCGGATCGAAGTTCTCCATGTTACAGACCGTTATGCAGTTGTTGTCGGCGTCTCGAACGACCTCGTACTCCAGCTCTTTCCAGCCCTTGAGCGACTTCTCGACTAGGATCTGTGGTGAGAGGGAGAGCGACCGCGAGGACAGGTCCCGCAGCTCCTCCGCATTGTTGGCGAAACCTGATCCCAGACCACCAAGCGCATATGCTGACCGAACAATGATGGGGTATCCGACTTTCTCCGCAGCGTCGAGCGCCTCATCCACAGTCTCAACAGCTATGGACTCAGCAATAGGAATGTTGATCTCATTGAGGGCTTTCGCGAACAGGTCTCGGTCCTCACTCGTCTCCAAGGTCTTGATGGGTGTGCCCAGAACCTTTACACCATAGCGCTCGAAGATACCCATACGCTGCATCTTGACTCCCAGATTGAGGGCGGTCTGACCGCCGAATGTGAGGAGGATGCCATCCGGCTTTTCTCGCTCGATCACGTATGTGACGTATTCTGGGGTGACGGTAGGTAGTAGACTTCGTCGGCGAGCTTGTGGTCGGTCTGGATAGTCGCAATGTTGGGATTGATTAGGACTGAGGTGACGCCGGCCTCTTTCAGTGCTTTGAGTGCTTGTGATCCTGCATTCCAAATTAGCACATGCCTAGGGAGTGGACCGCATCTGATTGCTCTAGCAGTCGCAACCTGCTGCTATGACTTACCGGAGTAGTCAAACTCGCCAGCCTGACCAATACTGAGACCACCTGAACCAATGACCAGCACCTTCTTCACATCCACGAGGTTCTTGCCTGGCTCGATGACACCGCTCTCAAGATAAGCCTCCGGCCTCGGGGCCTCTTGAGCCACAGCAGCATAGTGTCTGACCGGCCTCACAGGTCTATTCTGTTGCCAGGATGGTACCTTGGACCTCAGGATATGCGACTGAGCAGCAGCAGGCCGCAACTGGGTAGTGAAGTGCCTGCCCGGGACACGCAGACCTAGACGAGGCTGTCGCACCAGAAGTGCTGAAGCATGCCGAAGGGCCTGAGTTGTTGGTGGCATTTTGGTCAGCCAGTGCACTCTGGCAGTTCTACACGAGGTTTTCACCAGTGTGCAGCGGGCTTTCCAGTAGTATATAACTTCGCGTGACTCAAATATTTTTTTCTCTGCATGAGCACGGTGAGTGAATCGCGCTGCAGAAAAAAAAGTGGAGCACAGATAGGACAGCTTCCGATTGCGGGATAACGGCGTGCACCTTCACTACCAGAATTCACTGCCTGAGACGATGACCTCTACAAATACACCCCAAGAAGGAGCGATCAATGGGAGATATTCAGGCATATCGTAACACACATCTGTCTTCGTAGACCTCTGTACAAGTCAACATTCGCTTTTTTGTGGATGGTGCAATTCCGCTATGCATGATCCAGCCGATCTGCCATCCAAAGGCAGAAATTTTTTCTGACGAGTGACCGATCGAAGGCCGCCATCTGCTGCTCGCCAGTCCAGCATGTTTCCTCTACTCTGAAATTTCTCCTTCTGTATCTCACAGTGAGATGCATGTACGTCTGCGAACAACAGACGGACTCTGCATGTTCTTTCAAGCATTCAGCTTGGTGTAATTGGCAGGGAACAGTCCGGTCCGCCCCTGGTATTCTCCGTGCCACCAGTCTTCGTCTGGGAATGTCTGCGAGTCATTAGAGATGCTACGTCCCTGCTCAGATGAAATACTTACCACGTTCTCGATCGTAGCGTCTTCGGGGAAGGACAACTCATTGTCTTCACCGGCTTCATAGTCATAGAGCGCGGTAGCAGTTGCCCCAGCAGCCTTGGCCGGTGCAGCTGAAGATGTAGCAGGAGCGGCAGGAGCTGCGGGAGGAGCAGCAGCTGCGGCGGGCTCTTCGTCAACCTCCACCAAATAGTTGCTGGGCACCAGTCCGGTCTGATTGCATTAGTGATACGTTAAGATCGCGGCATGGATAGCTTACCTGGCCCGCTTCGTTCTTCACCAACCACCAATCGGGATCTATCTTCTGGATATCGGTCACAACTTCGCCTTCACGAAGAGACACCTCGTTGTCCTCGGCAGCTTCATAGTCATACTCCGCTTTGGCTCGTGAACCCGCTCCTCCAGCTGCCTCGGTAGCGGCAGGTGCAGCCTGAGCTGCTTCGTGGCCGAAAGAGCTCTCTGCTGCAGCTTGAGCAGCGGCCCGGCCCGGATCCGGCCCACGCTCAGGCTCCTCTTCTTCCTCAGGCTCGGGAACTGCTCGAGCCAATGAAGCTGCAGGTAAGACAGGAGGTGGCGACAGCTGTTCCTCACGTGCGTCTTGGACTGCAGTCCGGCTTACCGGAATCGCAACCTGGATCGGTGATCCTTGTACTGGCTCGGGGGTTGGTGGTGTTGGACTGCGTGGTGGCTGTGGCGGCGGAGTGGGAAGCCTGTCTGTCTCCGTGGACTGACTGCCAAGCATGCCTGGAATGGGTACGCCACGGTTCGGCTTTGTCGTTGTGTCTGGCTCCGGCGCTGGTGGAGGCGCTCGATCGAAGCTGCTGGATGGCGCACCCATCGGAGGCGCACCGCTGAAGCGGTCTCGAATGGAACCAATGCCCCCGGATGGAGACGCGGGAGCTTCGTTCTCCTGCTCGCCGGTGACTTGAGCACCAATGCTGGCTCGAGATCCACCGGTGTGGGTTGTCTGGACCGAGTTCCATTTCTTGCCCGAGTACCCGCTCTGCCATCCAGCGTTGCCGCTAGTTTGAGGCTGAACCGGCGAAGCACCGGTGTAGCCGGACGGAGGGAGGGCGTCGTTTGAGCCGCTCTCGCCTCGTTGGCGAGCCTTCTTCTCGGCCCATATCTGAGCCGGCGTCTTTCCGCCTTGGTCCGCAAAAGTTTTACTAGCTGTACCAACAGGAGCTGCCGGTGCGAGTGGTTTGGCCCCGAACCCGCCAGGAGTCGGTGCCTTAGTTCCAGTGAAGTTCGAGGCACCGCCAAATTTGTTGGCCACCTTCGGCTTCGGCAGACTTGTGAGACGCTCCGGACCCTGGGAGAAAGCGGCGGACCGTTCGGACAGAGACGGCTGTCGATCACTGGCATCTGACGTGGGAGCTGCTGGAGATTCCGGAGCGGCGCGAGGCGCAGGCGCTTGATCGGACTGCTTCGCTCGAGCGCGGATTGCGGCAATGTCAACCTTGCCGACAGGCTCGTATGCTCCCTTAACCAGCTCTGGACGGTCGTCCTTCGCTGTTCCAGATTCTTGGGCTCTCCGCCGAATTTCTGCTATATCGACCTTGCCGACTGGCTGGTAAGCACCTCGTACCACATCAGGTCGGTCCTCCGAAGCGTTTGCTGAGCCCGACGTAGTGGCTGTGGGTTGTTGAGACAGTGATCGCATGTCGACCTTCGTTGGTTGATAAGCAGAGCCGACCTTCTCTAGCTGCGTCCGCGTCACAGGCGGCGCATCTTGTCCCCAGCCGTCCTCATCGACATTCTGCTTCGGTCGCTGTGGGATGTTTCGGGCCAGGGGATTGAAGCCCGATCCGATGCCGCTCGATTGCGAAGCTGTGAAGGCGGGCTTAGAGGCTACTGCTGGCTTCGTAGACGCGGCGACGGGCGGTGGAGCGGAACTGCTGGAGTATTTGGATCCGGATGCATCGGCAACCTTCTGGACGATACTGTCAGGTGTAAGATCGCGGTCTGATCGAGCAGTGATCTGAACATGGTAGCCGTGAAGCAGTTTTGCTACAGCTGCTGTGTGGCTTGTGAAGTATCCCTTCGTTCTTTCAGGCACGCCCTCGCCGCACCACGCGATCAATGCGTTCTTAGGTAGTCCAGTATTCGAGTCTTTGATTTTGACATACGCAAACTGGATTCTGCCGTCCGAGAATTCGTCAATGAGGTCGACCAGTTCGCCTTCTCCCGTGCTCTGCACCTTCAGCACACTTTCTTTGCCGGCATCTTGTTGAAAGGTGTTGGAAAGCGGTGCCGAGACTGAGAATACGGCCCACTGGCCATATGTGGGAGAGCTGGCTGCCTGGCCGGCCGGAGGAGGGGAGTTGACGATGGACTGATAACTTTTCGAGATCGATGGGCCGTTCGTGGACAGATTCAAATCCATGATGGGAATATGACAGAAGGCACCGGCTGGACTTTCAGCAACACACCAGTCAAGCTTACTGCCACACAGGTATCGGACAGCGTTCACAAGAGTCTTTGGGGTTGGCTACGAGGACTGTTCCTGGAGTGCTTGGACCAGGTAGACAGAGAGCGAGTGGACGATGTGATCAGCTACTGCAGCAATAAAGATGCCTAGAATTTGTGTACTGGACGTGTACATTGAACTGCGAGGTTCCGCCTTTCGGTGCAGGCGGTGCAGTTGCAACCCGGTACCGCTTGGCAGCTGCGTCACTTGGTAGTGGTGGAGAATATCGAACGGCACTAGCCGCGGAAGACCCACCGCGACAACTCAACTTGAATGCCCGCCCATGCCTCACTTCCAATTCTCTCTTCTTCCTTTTTACGTCGTACTCTCTGCACCCACGACCCTTCTCTTACCATTTAGTATTATTTTTTGGTCTGCTGCATGCAACCAAATTCGGTTTTTCTACGCTGCTTCAGTTCGCGTGGCTCGGATCTCTCATCCTACTCAAATTGTACTTCAAGTCAGACGTGTATTTCCAGGTCCCTCACACAGCGACCCTCCTGCCGTATCCAGGCACCTGTCTTTTGGAACCATGCAGATGTAGCCCAGGACGACTTCAACTCCTCAGCACTCGGGCTGACGCACTCGACTGCCACGGCCATCCACAGGTCTCCGTCGAAATTGGTTTGAGGATCCAGATCAAGCATGGATTTTGGCACAGTAGCTCTATCAATTTCCCCCATTGATAAGCGATTGTGACAAATTCTTGCTTGGGTATGTGTTTCTCGCCGCGGGCGGCTCTGCTTTCGATGCGAGTCGACGGCATGGAAAGCTATACGGATGAAGTGGCACCCCAGAAGCGGAAGCTCAGCGACCATAATTTGGGACCTGTCTCAAATGCTACGTGTTGGGAGGACACTACCACTGTCAATGAATCAAAGTCCCACGTCGCCAAACGTGCACGGCGTGAGACCCTGGATGCGTCCCCTATTGTGAATAAATTTGGTCCATCTATCGATGTTGCAAATCTGCCTCCTCAGATTCTGCAACACATCTTTTCTTTTGTTCACCCTGTTACATTGGGCCACGTTCTTCGCGTCTGCCGCAGATTCAATGCGTTGTTGGATCCGTCGAACGACAAGCCACAGCCCGCCCATGGAGACAGTGCCTTAACAACCCACAAGCCGGATGATGTTTGGGCACGTTCGCGGCGCTTCCATTTGCGTGGATACCCTAGACCATTATCTGACCTGAGCGAGCTGGATATGTGGCGACTCATTCGCGTCCGGCGCTGCCAATTCTGTGGTAAATCCGCTCATCCGACACCGTCATTTCTCAGCCAGGTTCCCTGGACAGGTGGACCTGGTCGCGACGACGTTCGAACTATTTGGCCATTCAGGATCCGAGCTTGTGGTTCCTGTCTCGAATTAAGGCTTCGCAAGGTAAATCTTCTGAGATCAGGAGGTGGATGGAGTCCTGACTTGTATCTAGGAAACAGAACTTATGCTTTCAGGATCGTCAGTTCTACAATCCGGACTGTCATTCGCGCTATTTACGCCTTCCTTCAATTACGTGACAACGACAAATTTACGACAACATGATCCACCAACAGAGCTTAAGCTGACCAAGTACTACTATATTCCCGAAATTGAGGCTCTCGAAAATGAAATGGCGGAGGTCCAAGCACTCGGCAGCGCTGCCACCCAGGAATGGTTCAAAGGTTTACAATTGACAGGCAAGCGGAAGCGCGACGATACAGAGCGACTCGAGCAGTGGGAGACCAGCCTTGGAGCCAAGCTACAGATCAAACCGCAGGCATCAATGTCTCTTCCAGCGACTAGGTCGCCACCGCTGACAGCACTGTCCGTGGTTTCTGGCACCTCGCGAACCTTGAGCCAAGCTCACAGCCACACTCTGAGTTTGAGCTCGCCATTGAGACCATTCTCCGCGCTGAGCTCGCAGTATGCTCCATCGGTGATCTGTAAGTCTACATCCAGTGCCATTTCCTGAGCCTCGCATCGTACTCATTTCTTGCAGCTGGGTCATTTCGCCCAAGTCTGGATATGCCCCTACCATTCTGGACGCCAGCGCCAGGCCAAGCGCCTTCACAATACACTGCCTCTGAAGCAGGATCAGCTGGCACTGCGAGACCGAAATATTCGCGACCAAGACCTGCTCCATCAAAAGAGCAGCTAAGTGTTTTGCAAGCCGAGAAGCGTGCCGCGATCGAAGAGAGATGTCAAACGATTGATCCTCCTATCCGACCGTCTGTGCTGCCATTCATGGAGGCTTTCAGAGCAGCTTTGCAAGTATCTATGCCCCTCAATGACTCGTCATGGGACCACCTGAAAGGACGCTTACTGGCGCAAAGAGCGGAGGCTGAGCAGAAAGAGCGTGAGTACATAGGACGACAGCAAGGCCTGCAATTCGGCAGTCCGGGACACCAGTTCGCCCCAGGAGAGTCTGGATTCCACAGCCAGCACGCGCAAGCTTGGGCCGAACTGGGTGTACCAGCTCGGCAGAAGCTTGAGACCTACGCAAAGGAATACATCGCCTCGGCCTGGGATGATGGCCTGGCCGTGAGTGCCGAAACGGCCACTAAATTTGCTGCGGACGTCATGATCCAGGTAAAAGACCGCTTCGACAAAAGCATCGTCGATGAAGATCGTGAACTTGCAGCCCGGGACATGGTCCTCCCACACAATTCCGACATTCATGAAATTCGGAAGCTTAAGCTCGAAGATATGAAGTGGCTCTACGAAGGGTCGATCCGGCCGCATATCGAGCGATTCGGTGCAAGCATCTTCTTCTGTCGGGCATGTGAGTCTAGCATGAAACACTTCGCTTTCGAGGGCTTGATCCAGCACTACTCCGCAAAGCATACAAACGATTTCACTCGTGGCAATGCAGCTCTCTACTGGAAGTCACCTTGGCCCGAAGTTCCACCATTTCACGATCCGACAGGACCTCAAGCCCCGACAAGTCATGGCACTCCAGTGGCATTGTCTCGTGCGCCAACACCCAACCGGGGTCTTCAGGAGCCTACAGCTCTCTCTCGACCTCCATCACGAGCAGTGAGTCCGACTTATGCCGCCAACCGCGCGCGACCGCGAAACTTGTATGAGGAGCACAAGGATGAGGTTGTTTTCTCGACGATCGCGGCTTACAACGACACTGCTGGTGTTCGAGCTATGCCAGACAGTGTTCGATTATACGTTATGATTCACCAAACAGCGAGAGCTTTCTTCCACGCTTTCGGGCATAAGCTAAGCTTGTCGCTCTTCGCTGATTGTGTCAGTCATCAAACTTCTCTCAGAGAAGTTAGAGACCTACATGGACTTCATTGTCACAGCTGCAAGTTTGGGATCCGCTCGGATCACGGTGTTACACCCGAGTACTGGCTATCGGAACTGCTGGATCATTTTCAGACTGTTCACATTGACCATCGATTCACGACGAGGGAGGAAATGGCTGGTGCAACTACAATGCGACCTGTCCCAATGATCGATTGGCTGTACGATATGGTCGACCTACCTCATCCTCAAATCATCAAGAATATTGCGCTTTCTCCCGCTTTTGACGATCGGCAATTCGGTATGCTGGCAAGTCTGTTTCCAGACCTAATTGGCAGAATCTCCACGAGTCCTCCACGAGCAGCATACCACGCAGGCGGAGAAAGTCTTAACGGTCGTGCATATGGTGAGCCAGCACGATGGTACCAGCATGATGGCCAGGTCTCCAGGACCTACGTGCCTCTGTCGTCGCATCGTTTGTCTATGGAAAGGGACGGCACGTTGCCCTCTGCTACACACATCGGTCGCTTTACGATCGCAGACCCATACATACGGTCTGTAGGATACCAGCCCGCTGTGACACAGGTACGCAGTCGTACTCCAGTGCCTGGAGATGACTTCGCGCCAGCTCAACCTCGCTCGGTAGATGACCACGACCGGCCTTTCGGTTCGCCGTATCGGCGAGATCTGGATGCTGGCGCTATACAGGACAGGCTGATACGAACCCCTCACCGCACTAGCAGACATTTGCGAGCTGAGAGTATCATGGATACCGCAAGCGAGGCGCAGAGCACCAAGACAGATGCTGAAAGATTTCTTGACTCCTTCGGCCCCCTCGAGGAGTACCCTCGCACGGCGCCAGCCTCCCACGATCGACGCCGTGGCGTAGTCGACAGCGACTCTGTACGCGCTCCCTCTAGTGGCAGGATGTCGCGCGCTATGAGCCAACAAGAGATCGGGTACTGAGATCTGAACCACACGCATCGCTTTCGAGTCAGCCGTCTGTGAGGTCATTACGGCACTCGTCGCCGATGCCAAAAGAGGAAGTTCTGCTAACTGAGGACGTCCAACCCGAACTGATAACACCTCAGCCGTCAAATTATCCACCAAATATCCAGCGCGTCAGGTCACGCCGGGACGACAGGTACGATAGAATCGCTTCCGAGGACTGGCAACATGCTGGCTCAGATCGACCAGCAACGAATGGCTTCGACGACAGGATGTCATACACTGCGTCCTACTACGACACCGAGTATTCACAGGGTCGAGGGTCGACATACACTTCGGGCACATTTGATTCCCGTTCAGAAGCACTGGACATGCGGGTCTTCCGTGAATCTGCAGCGGGTGACTATAGCGCTCCTGAAGCCTACGGCACTCCAGTGGAGCTGGACCAATATACCAACAGTGCATGTAGAGGCAGGCGAAGGTATATCGACCATAGCGAGGAAGACCAGCCGCGGATCACATACGTTGATGATCATCCCTATGGCAGATCGCCTGCAAGGAATTACGACAGATACGCAGACCATTAGATTGTGTTCACCGGAAAAGCAGAACTCCCATTGTTAAATGAGTTCCATTGGATGGTCTTTGGATTTTGATTGCCTGCTAAGTATTGAGCTGGAATATCACGGATAGGCAGAAGTAAATGACACAGATATGCATCCGATGAACACGCTTTCAGCCATCAGCATTTATATTCCAATGTCCCCTAAAGTAAAGGCAGCGACAGTCCCAGCCAGATCGACTATGGCTCGATACACTGGCTCGGATCTCTGCTATTAGTCGTGGTCGAGTGATGTCGTGCGTCCAGTCCCACCTGAAGCGCTGAAGCCGAAGCCGTCCTGATCATTCAGATTTTCTTAGTCTTCCGGTGTGCGATCTGCTCGAACCTCAGCTGCGTCAACCGGCGGCAGATGACGCCAAACGTGTTCCTTGGTGGCCAACAAAGGCTATCAATGTTCACAGTACTGTACTTCATCTGTGGCATATACAGTACATAGGCAGGTACTGCACGACTCTCACGGGCAAGCGACTCCCCTACATCACAAGCAACACCACTGCGCAGAGTCCCTCTGCTCGCAAAGTCGCGGAACAAAATCGCACGCCTCGATGCAGGCACGACCAGTAAAGTCACAGGTGCATGGTGGGAAGGAGGGGCAGAGATAAGGCACGAGGTGCCCAATCACACGGGTGGATGGCGCCTGCCGAAGCCTCGTGTTGCTTTTGGTGGCGCTTGCTTTCGCTACACGTGGAACGTGGATGCGCGATGGAAATGTTCCCCGTTACCACGGGTAGACGGTCTGCACTCACGCAAGTCGCGATGCTGATGCTCACAGATGACTTGACTGTACGTTGCCAGACCCGCGCCGGTCATCACTGCAAGTGGTACCCGCCGTCAGACCCCCTGGAGCGGGAAGTCGAGTTCTCGGCCAGCTAATGGCAAGCGCCCATGATTGGTGGTGGGCGAACACGAGCAGCCGTTCAACCCTATCGCTGCCCTCTGGGACTTCCCCGCCTTTGACATTCGTCAACTCATCATTCGCAACATCAGCATCGCCGTCGAGCATGCCCTCGTTTCTCAGCTATGCTCACAGATGAGCGAGAAGGAACGCTGAGTCAATGTAAGCCGCGACCAAGACGATCAGACGAACATGTTGACATTGAAATTCGCCGTCGGCAGCGAAGAAACCGACTCTTATCTCTGGCCCTTCTCATCAGGTAAGACCAAGCAAGATAAACGATTCCCTGCTCACTGGCGCCCTCACCCCATCCCATCAGCGTGTGCCTACCCAATCTAGCTTTAGGCCATTCGCCGGCCCCCTGCTCATTCTCGCTTGTTGGCTTCTTGAGGGTTCGCGATGTGTTGATCAGGAAGATGTTCTTTCGGACTTCTTCATTCTTCCTAAACATAAGAGCTGTTCCTGGCTGGTATCAGTGCGACATCGATTTCTTGTGTGTAGCGCAACCGGAGCGTGACTGATAGCGAGGTTTGTGCTCCTGCATAGGGTTATACGAGACTAAGGGGATAACTTTGCACGATTGTCGTACGACCTGCACAACGACACTCAGCTTCTAGAGTGCACAAATTGTAACTTATCGCGTTGAGTCTCTACGTCAATTCAGCGTGCAGCAAACAGCAACACACAGCAACCATGAGCGACGATGTGCGGAAGACGAGCGTGACCTCGGCTCACCACAGGAAGAGCGTTGGCGACAATCAAGTGACATCAGTCCTGACCAACAATGAGGTTCCTGTGTTCGACCGAGAGTTGACTGCCGACGAGGAAGTGCTCGCCGCGCTTGGTTACAAGTACTCCTCACTACTCCGCCCACGGCCATCGTCGTGCTAACAATCACAGGCCTGAGTTCAAACGCGAGTTTTCACTATGGACGACATTCTGTGTTTCCTTCGCAGTGCTGGGCCTGCTCCCGTCATTCGCGAGTACACTGTGGTATGGCATGGGCTACTCTGGCACGCCTGGCATGGTCTGGGGCTGGCTGATTGCCATGTTCTTCATCCAGTGCGTCGCCATGGGTATGGCCGAGTTGTGCTCGTCGATGCCCACGTCCGGAGGTCTCTACTACGCTGCCGCCGTCCTCGCTCCACCGGGGTGGGGCCCACTTGCTGCATGGATCACAGGCTGGTCAAACTGGTTCGTCCAAGTAACTGGCGCGCCTTCGGTGGACTACGCGCTGGCGTCGATGATTCTCGCCGCAGTCTCGATCACGAACCCGGACTATGTGCCTGAGAACTACCAGGTATGGCTGCTGACGACGCTGATCATGATCATTCATGCTTTCGTCTCATCAATGCCGACAAAGTTCATTGCCCAATTCAACTCGTATGGCTCGACATTCAACATCATCGCTCTGATCATTGTTATCATTATCATCCCAGCCAGCACTTCCAGGCCAGATCAGGGCCTGCCGCGCTTCACCAAAAGCTCGACTGTCTGGGGCAACTTCTACGAGGGTACGGACTGGCCCAATGGAATCGCGGTGCTCATGTCGTTCCTGTCTGTTATTTGGACCATGTCCGGATATGATGCGCCGTTCCATTTAGCAGAGGAATGCTCAAATGCCAACATTGCGGCACCCAGGGCGATTGTGCTCACAAGTGGCGTTGGTGGAATTATGGGATGGTTCCTGCAGTTGGTCGCTGCCTACACTGTTATTGTGAGTCTCTCTTATTCTCCGCGCTGAAGTCGACGATCCCCGTGGGCATTCTTTACTGACTAACTTGCTAAGGACATCGACGCGGTTCTCGAGGACCCAGTCGGCCAACCATGGGCCGCCTACCTTCAACAAGTCCTGCCTCACAACACCGCCCTCGCCATCCTCGGCATGACCATCGTGTGTGGCTTCTCGATGGGACAAGGTTGCATGGTCGCCGCCTCCCGAGTCACCTACGCGTACGCCCGCGACGATGTCTTCCCTGGTTCCAAGTGGCTGAAGATTGTCAACTCTCGGACCCGAACACCCGTCAACGCCGTCTGGTTCAACGCCTTCGTCGGCATCCTACTGACCCTACTCCTCTTCGGCGGCGTGGCGATCGACGCCATCTTCAGCATCGGCGCCATTGCTGCGTTCGTGGCGTTCACGATTCCGATCACCATCCGCACATTCTTCGTTGGGGACAGGTTCCGTCGGGGACCGTGGCATTTGGGCAAGTGGAGCTATCCCAATGGTGTACTGGCGACTTGCTTCACGGTGCTCATGATCCCAATCATGTGCTTTCCCAGTGTGACGGGTGCGGATTTGGATGCGGAGACGATGAACTGGACGGCGCTTGTGTGGGGTGGCCGATGCTGATTGTGATGGTCTGGTGGTTTGTCAGTGCGAGGAAATGGTAAGTCATACAGCGCTCATGTTCTGTCACGGGCTTCCTGTCGCATTGAGAGTGATTTGCGATGCTGACTTTGTTACAACAGGTTTACTGGACCGAAGGTCAACATTGAACATATGATGCTTGGCCGAGAGGGAAATCTTATCGATGGAACCGTGCAGCCGAAGGACGTAGTTGATGGCAGGAGCAGTGATGAGGATGCAAGCAGTGGTACTGATGGAGTCAAAGCTGCTGAGAAGGCAGGCAAGGTTGTCTGAATGGCTCGACTTTCAGGTTCTTCGCGATTTAGCTACCTTTAGGGTATGTCGATTGGCCGTTGATGTGCGGTGCTCGGTAACTTAGGGGAAAGATTTGGTATGTCTGAACTATCCCTCAACGAGATCGAATTCGCAAGTAGCAATCCCTTCACTTGGACGTAAATGTCTCATGAAAATCATGTGACGAAAGGGTCATCCGCATCGTCCTGCTGAGCCGAATGTTTGATGCCTGACTTCGACGGTCACTCCATGTCAAACGAGTGCTTGGTCACCTTCCGCTCCTCAACGACTCACCTCGCTTGCATGTCGAGGTCGCCGCTCACGTCCATTCGAGCTAAACCAACTGGCGTACTGGCTGCTGTCAATCCCACCTCTTTCACGACTCCGCTACACCACAGCCGCCATTGATCCAGCCCTTCCTGCATACATTCACTCTTCTTAACAGCCGACCATCATTATGCCGATCTCCCAGCAAACAGTCAACGCCCTCCTCATCACCAGTCTCACGATCTCCCTGGTCCTCCTCCTGCTACTCATTATCCACGTCATGCTGGAGATTCGCGCTGCAAGGGCTCGCCAGGCGAGAGCGTTTCAGCTGAGGGCTGTCGATGGAGCCTCGAGAGGGCGACGCATTGTGCGAAGGGGAGGGAGTGTTACTGGGCGAAATGGACGAAGGTGGTTGCCGAGGAGCTCAGGATGGACGAGGCAGGCAGGTGTGGAAGGCGGACGTGCGACTAGGGAGGCAGGAGGACATGGTGCGGAGGTTGGTCGCTGATGTGGTGAGAACGTCCACAGCTATCAGGGCAGAAGCTGGGCTGGTCTTGAATAATGTCAAACCGTCCAACAATGAAACGTTGTGAGCGTTTGCGCTTCTTGTTCCTACTTCAGAACCTTCCACGTGATTGTGAACGGCAAGGAGGGCTTAAAGACCTAAATGCATTGCATGTCACTTCTGCAACCATCCTTTACCTTCACCAAAACCAACCTCTCAGCACAGAGTACTCCCGGGCAGAATTCACTATATCGCCTTCGACAAGTAATCACTTGGTCTGACACGATCTTTGCCAGTTCTCAAGGTCAGTCAACCTACCGAATCGCAACCAGCTAAGTCCTGACCGCTTAAGCAGATCCCGTCAGCCACAATGGCCGAAGAATGGGGAACGAAAGAGATCGTCGGGGGAGCCATCCTCGGCGCTGCCACAGCCGTCCTCTTTGCAGTCCTCGTCAAAACCATCATCCGCAATATCGCAGCCAAGAGGCATGAGCACACAGAGGCCTGGCTAGGCGAACAGCTGCAACCGATGGCAAACCGAATCATACACCACGCAGTCCCGGCCATTCCTCTGACAGGCGACGTTATACCTCAGCCAGCACCGGTGGCCATTGAGGGAAATCCTGGTTGGTGGTTCTGGGTCAAGGCGTATTGGCGCGTTTTGAGAGGCAGCGAGCGGGCTTTTCAGGAGCAGTTGGCTGAGATTAGGAGGCATAATGCTGGTGCAGCTGGTGCAGAGGCCGCCTGAAGGCAATTATCGCTAGAATGATGGAAGAAAGGAAGTCGTCGCGCTTCGGCCGAAGTCAATGTAGGAAGGCGTCGTCAGGAGGACTCTGGATATGTCTAGTCAGACAGTGGAGTCATCACGTCACTCGACCCGTCCGTACCACCTCACCATCCAGATCCAACAAAGGAGACATCAGCCCATCAACCGGGCGGATCTCATCTGATCGATCAATCTCTCCATCATGGCTAGGCAACAAAGTCAAGTCGCGTTTCGGACCAGCCAGGCAAAGTCACAATTCCTCCCACAGTGCTGCTGTTCTTTGTTTGCTATATGCCGCTTCCGCCCGAGAGCGGTACCACCTTCGTCACTGATACCTGCACCGGTGACCATTCCATGGCGTTGCTCTGCGAGCTCGTCTTTGTCTTGATGTTGCAGTGACGGAGTCTGCTGCAGCTCGTGACTGTCCGCAACATGCCACAAGGGTAGGCTGTGAAGAGGGGCGTCGAGAGTAGTGGATTTATATCTATCGATGCATCCGTGAGCGTTGTCGTAGATCCAAGTCCATCTCTCTGAGCTATACATCGATACAGGCCGCAATGACGCCCAGAGCATTCGTATCACAAGCTGTTGGGGGCTACAGCGAAGCCAGGCATGTCCAGTGTTCTCTCAACTTCATCATGCTGCACTACTGACACTTGTGGTAGCTGGAATACCACCGATGGTGTTGACCCGGACTCAGGGAAAGTCCTCACCTGGGCAGCCCCGACGGCCATCGTGTGTATCTTCCTGTCCCTCGCTTTCGTCGCGTGCTGGGCGAAAGGGTGCTGGTGCCTTCGCCGAGCTCAACGTCGGGGCGATACCACACCTGTCGTAGCAGTGTCGGATGCTACCACAGCTCGAATAGGCAACACTGAGACCCTAGCCAAGCAGCGAGGTTTTCGTGGCTGGCTGAAAGCGTGGACTGGCTGGGAAAGTGGGCAAGGTCAACTTGCTGAGGGCAGCCAGCGCCCAGGAGGTGTCGTCGGTGCGAACAGAGATGTCGAACACGCTATCTGGACAACGACGGTCGATGAAGATGCGAAGACGCTTTGTGGAAGTGCTCGTCGGGAGCGCCTGGATCGATGACCATGGTCAAAGTACATCTCCTGCAGCCCTCTGGGGAGGGCTCTGCTGCTGTGAATGTCATCAAAGGAGGAGAAGCACCATAGGTGGCTCACAACCTTCCCATTCTGGCAGGTGACGCGCATTTGATTTTCCTTCAGTTCCCAGCAATACTAGCGTGTTTTGCTAGGCACAGCAACCATTTCACACGCTAGTGATGAATGTGGTGGCAACTGAGGACTTTCAGAACTCACGCCTGCAGCTATCAGCCGGAAACCACGTCCTACCCAGCCTTGAACTGCAATCCGTGTTCCAGCAACGCTCCTGTTCGATTTCGATAGTGACAGTCAGTTCTCAGGTATGTATCTTACCAGTATGGCGCCTTATACTCATAGCTGTAGCTAGAGCCCGCCGCAGAATGTTCGCCGTCACGAAACGCGACGAAATCGACAAGCACCCCTGGATCAGCGCGATCATTGTTCCCGGTGTGCTTCTAGTCGCGCTCCTGGTCCACAGCTACTATACCAAGCCCAGCAGGAAGAATCCCAGCCCGCCATACCTCTCAATCTGGTGGTTTCCATGGGCCTACCGTCGACATCGCGAAGGCAAGCCAATCACTCTCACCGAGGAGGAGAAAGCAGACTTCGTACAGAAGCGACAACGCTGGCACGAGAGATGGCTTACTGCTCCTGCTCCCCACACGCGTTCAAACGACAACAACGCTTCGTTTCTCGATGCTAGGATGGTTTCGTGGCCAAGCAGGGAAGCAGAAGCGCCAGCACGTCCGCCACGCCCGATTTTCGAAGTGTTTAGGCATAGGAGAGACGCAGTGATAGCGCCCATGAGACCGCTATTTGCTGCATTTCCGGCGTTTTCTGGCTGGTGTATTCGGGTTGATGAGCACGATGAAGAGATTCAGAACGCGTCGGAACTGGAACGACGACCGACTACGTTGAGCTGGGCGGACAGTGTGGAGCGGGAACAGCAGCAAGGACGTTGAGATATGCGACAGGAGACCAGGGAGACCGCTGTAGCGGTCCTCGAGATGGTACTGGAAGGAGAAACCGACCAGGGAGGACTCTGTGCATAGGCAGTGGTTGCCTTGCAAATTAAGCTTCGGGAGGGCTTCCCCACTACGCTGCCGCTCATCCTCTTATCCATGCAACCTTTCCTCCTCAAATTTCACGCATTGATTGCCATCGTTTCGAAGGCGACGTATGGAGCTGCTAACTAACCGTTCAATGAACAGTCAAAGGCCTCCTCAGGCGTATTCGATGTTCAGTCTACTCAAGTACATTGGGAGATGAGCTGATTGGGGTGCAGCAACGGTCTTTGCACGTCACCCCCTGTGAACCGGCCTTGACCCTCTCCTCATGAGATGATATCTGGGATGGCTTTCGTTCTAACTGTTCGTCACTGCTAATAAGAATACCTCCTTGCAGCTCTGCAAAGACGTCAGAACAGTGTATAACATCTAGCTGAGATTCAGGGCAGCTGTTCAGCCCCAACTCCACCTGGTCTGCGGATATCTAGCGAAACGGCGATCATATCAACGTTGGACTAGTCTCTGGGCACGGCGCGATCAACATTACAACCACATATAATGCTGTACTGTCGTCTATAGTAGAGTAGTGCTCTGCGTATCCCGTGCTGACTGACCATCGATTCCAGATGGGTTTCATTCTTTGGCTGCTGGCAGCCGCGTGCTTCCTTCAGCCGTTCACAATTGCCGCCGACACAGCAGCATGGAAGTCTAGAAACATCTACTTCGCGCTGACAGACCGCATCAGTCGCAATGCCTCCGACGAGGGAGGCAACGCCTGTGGTGACCTCGGGAACTACTGCGGCGGCACGTTCAAAGGCCTCGAGTCCAAGCTGGACTACATCAGCGGCATGGGCTTCGACGCCATCTGGATCACGCCCGTCGTCAAGAATAGGCCCCGAGGTTATCACGGCTACTGGGCCCAAGACCTCTACAGCATCAACGAGAACTACGGGACAGCTGACGATCTAAAGGACCTGGTCAACGCTGCTCACGACAAGAACATGTTCGTCATGGCCGACGTCGTAGCGAACCACATGGGCGCTGGCCCCATCTCCGAGAACAGCCTAGCTCTTCTGACACAACAGAGTGCCTACCACCCAGCATGCGACATCGAGCAGGACGACTACGACAACAATCAGACTGCCGTCGAGGAATGCCGCTTAGCCGGCCTCCCCGACCTCAACACCCAATCTCGCGAAGTCCGCCAACTCTTCCAAGACTGGATCAAATGGCTCGTCTCCGAGTATTCATTCGACGGCATCCGCATCGATACAGTCAAACACGTCGAGCAGGACTTCTGGCCTGGCTTTGTCGAAGCTTCCGGCGTTTATGCCATCGGAGAGGTGCTGAACGGCGCACCGCCCTATCTCGCCGAGTACGCAAAATTAATGCCAGGACTGTTGAACTACGCGATGTACTATGCCCTCCAGGATTTCTTCCTGCAGAAGAGTGGTGCATCGAGGATCGTGGAGATGCACGATTGGATCTCGAGTATCTTCCCGGACCCGGCAGCGTTAGGGACGTTCGTCGACAATCATGACCAAATGCGGTGGTTGGCGCAGCGAGACGACGTGGCGGTGTTGAAGAATGTGCTAGCATATGTCATACTAGCCAGAGGTATACCGATCGTGTACTACGGTACGGAACAGGGCTTCTCTGGAGCAAGTGATCCCTTCAATCGGGAAGATCTATGGAGGTCTGGCTTCAATACCGAAGCGGATTTGTATCAGACTATCGCCAGACTCTCGGAAGCTAGACTCGATGCAGGTGTCTAGCCGGCGACGACCACGTCCACCTGTACTCAACGAACGACGCTTACGCATGGAGTCGTGCAGATGGGAAGCTGATCGTGCTCACCACTAACAACGGCCAAGGCACGAGCGGGCAACACTGCTTCGACAGCAAAGTTCCAGATGGGCAATGGACTGACGTCCTCCCCGACAACACCGCGCACGCAGCCGATGGATCCGGGAATATTTGCCTACAAGTCACCAACGGCGAGCCGATCGTTCTCATCGCCGGAGCGGGAGCCACACCCACGCCTACAGCCACCATAACCGCTGCCCCAAACCCAACAGGCACAGCATGCCCCACACAAGTCACAGCAACGTTCACAATCCGCACCACAACGCCTACGGCGACACCATCAAGCTCGTCGGCAACACTGCCCAGCTTGGCAGCTGGGACCCAGCCAACGGCATTGCGCTCTCTGCAGACGCATACACAGCCGAGAACCCCGTCTGGACTGCCGCAATAACACTCCCAGCCGACGGTACTGTGAGCTATAAGTTCGTCAACGTGCAGCAGGATGGGACTGTGGTGTGGGAGAGTGATCCGAATCGCAGTCTGACTTTGCCAGCTTGTGGTGACGGGAATGTGAACGTGGATACGACGTGGCAGGCAACGGGCTTCATGGAGCGGCGGCGAGTTGGGGAGCTGTAGGAAAATGCATACGTTACTTCGTCCAGAGACAAGTGTAGATGTATACATGAATGTAGATGTCCAGACGGCCACGCTTCGTTGGCTTCCGTGGTCAGCGATGTCCGCTACAACCTGCAAAAATATACTCGTTCGCCAGGCTGACAGAGATACCAGTCATCCGGTCTCACCCAGAGACTGTGTCATCCGGCGACGGAAACGTCTTACGATTTGCAATTGCGTTAATATCCTTCTAATGCACCGCGTGACTGCGAAATATTGCCGAAGTTTGACACCAGATGTTTGACATGTAAAGTATACACAATTGCTTCGTTGCGCTACCGACGCTGCCCACACATACTACTACTGAATGCTGAATCCTTAGCACTTACACACCAAACACACTTCGCTCCGTCTTCCTACTGATCGCGATCGGCTGTGGCTGAAAGCGACTGTCGTGTGCTGGACGAACCAGGGGCAGCGACAATTTGACCGCGGCATGTTGTAGCCGTCACCGTCGCCTTATCCCTCCTGGACGCAAACGTCCTCTCCACGCCGGAGCTCCACCCGCCTAGTCCTCCCTCAAAATGCCAATACGCTTAATACGTCCGCTTGAACGGCGGGACAGCCTTGCACTCGGCCTCATCGAGAGTATGTCCCACAACACCCCTGTAACCCAGCTCGACCTTCCCGTGCGGCGTCTTCTGCCACGACAGGGTATGCTTCATCCAATTGTCGTCATCCCGGTCTGGGAAGTCCTCTCGGGCATGCGCGCCTCTCGACTCCTTGCGGTTGGCTGCTGATGCAGCAGTCTGTGTTGCACAAGTCAACAGATTTCGGAGCTCGAGCGTTTCGACGAGATCCGAGTTCCAGATCATGCTGCGGTCCTTGATACCGATTTGGTCGAACGTCTGGTCGACTTCGTTGATCTTTCGGACACCCTCTTGGAGGGATTCTTCGGTTCGGAAGACGGACACGTCTGTTTGCATGACCTTCTGCATGGCGGCGCGAACGTCGTTGGTCGACTTGGGGCCGTCGGATGTGCGGACTTTGTCGAGGACGTCGATCGAGTCGGCGCCGGCATCGGCTGAGATTTCTTGGTGAGGTAGGCCAGGGGAGGCATTGTCGCGGATGGTGTGTGCGACGGCACGACCAAAGACGATCAGATCGAGGAGTGAGTTGGCACCCAGGCGGTTGGCTCCGTGGACTGACACGCATGCGGCTTCGCCACAGGCGTATAGACCAGGGACGGTCTTTTCCTTGCCGTCCGCGTCAACGCTGAGAACCTCACCGGTGTATCGCGTAGGAATACCACCCATGTTGTAGTGCACGGTCGGCAGGACAGGGATGGGTTGCTTGGTAACGTCGACACCAGCAAAGATGGAGCTGTCTCGGAAATACCGGGTAGTCGCTCGTGGAGGATCTCAGGTGGCAGGTGTGATAGTTGCAGGTAGATGTGGTCCTTGTCACTGCTCATTGTTAGTGTCCGACAATCAAGATACGTTCCCTTGCACTTACGGCCCAACTCCTCGTCCCTCGCGAATCTCCATGGTCATTGATCGTGAGACAACGTCTCGAGAAGCCAGATCCTTGGCAGTTGGGGCATATCTTTCCATAAATCGTTCACCTTCGGAGTTCAGGAGGTAGCCACCCTCTCCTCGTGACCCTTCGGTGATGAGGCAGCCGGCGCCGTAGATACCGGTCGGGTGGAATTGGACGAATTCGAGATCCTGGTTGGGGAGACCTGCTCGTGCTACCATAGCCATGCCATCACCAGTACACGTGTGTGCCGAGGTACACGAGAAGTACGCACGGCCATATCCACCGGTGGCAAGAACAGTGTGGTGAGCTCGGAATCTGTGGAGAGTACCGTCTTCCTGGTTGTAGGCGACGATACCCTTGCATTGGCCGTCCTCCATGATGAGATCCATGGCGAAATATTCGATGAAGTAGTTAGCATTGTACCGCAGTGATTGTCCGTATAGCGTGTGAAGAAGAGCGTGGCCAGTCCTGTCGGCAGCAGCGCAACATCTGTAAGCTGTTGTGGGTTAGTAGAGGACCTTGAGTCTGCCGGAGGAGTGACTGACCCTGCCCTCCTTTGCCATATTCTCTGCTCTGACCACCAAAGGCTCTTTGGTAGATCTTGCCGTCTTCTGTTCTCGAGAACGGGCAGCCATAGCCTTCCAGCTCGATCACAGATTGGGGCGCTTCTCTTGTCATGTAATGAATAGCGTCTTGGTCGCCGAGCCAGTCGGAGCCCTTGACTGTGTCGTACATATGCCATCTCCAGTCGTCCTCGTGCATGTTGCCTAGTGCCGCATTGATGCCGCCTTGAGCGGCGACTGTGTGACTTCTCGTGGGGAACAGCTTCGAAACACATGCGGTCTTGAAACCAGCTTCAGCTAAACCGAATGTTGCGCGCAAGCCGGCACCGCCAGCACCAACCTGTGGATGCTTGTTAGCACATTGGACGCCCAACAGCTCCGGAAAGACAACATACGACCAGCGCATCATATTCATGGTCCACGACCTGGTACTTATCTGCGAAGATGCCGCCATCCGCGACCTTCGCTCTCAACGGCGTGGTCCCACGAATGAGGGACCTTCTCGCGGTCCGGGAGAAAGCTCGAGTCTGCTGGAGGGAGCGCCGTGCAGGAGCAAAGCTCCGTAGAAGTGGTCCGGAGCTCATCTTGCGTGCGCGTGTGGGAGAGAAGGGGGAGAGGAGAGTGTGTGGCTGTTCAGAGTTCAGCAGATGTCGACGTCAAATACTCCAGACGCAGGTAGTCCTATATCGTTGCAAGATGGCCGTAGGAGCCGCCGTAGAGCACTTTGAAGGTGGAATTACCGAGGTTCTTATTGGCCGGTCTGCTTCCGACGACGCTCACATGCAAAAACTTGCCCTCTTCCGATGCTTCTCGACTTGGTCCCTTTCATGGTGGCAAGGACGGACCGCGGGCCAAACACTGTAAACACCTCAAAGCATGTATGGTTCTGCGGACGCGCCTGACCTCTTATTTCAACGTACCTTCCTGACTGTAAGTACCTATCGACGGCGACTGCTCACATATGTGGCTCCTGCCCGAACGGACCTGCCACTCCTACAGACTACCAACAATGACAGCAAGTATGAATTTTGAGAAGGTGCGCCGGACCTCTCGACAATAAATTCGTGCTCAGAGGTGTCCAGAGTAGGGTGCTCACACCCGTTCCTGGGAACTTATTCTGGACACCTCTGAGCACGAATTTATTGTCGAGAGGTCCGGCGCACTGTTTGACAAAATCGTGTAGTAGGCAAGTAAGCCTCAATGTAGACGCTGTTAGACACTCTGGAATCTGCTGGCTAGGGTTATGTTGTTCTGGGATCGAACCGTAAGTGGAACTGATCGATATGTGAATTGTGTAGCTACCATCTGGTGTACGGCATCCTTCACTGATCTGGGTCCAGCGCTGTTCCCGAATCTTTTGGTCTGAGTGCTTGACAGTGCTGGAAGCTGGGGGAGGGATGGAGCAGAGTATCAGCGAGCGTCCGATGTGGAAGGCGGCAGTCAGAGTGATCCCAGGCAGACTGCACACATAATTGCCATTGATCGAGACACCCTCATAGTCATTCACTTCCTCCAAGACTGGTCATCTTCACCCGAACAGTGATGACCACGGATGACCGCATCAGGTCAAAGCCCATCGCCTCGAGAGCCACCCGCCTCACCGCCCTCAAACACCGACCACCAGGCACAACTACGACCAAAGGCCTCCTTACAAGCCTAGCATGGATTTCCCAAGGACGATCCTGCACTACCTCCGCGAAGACGTTCCCTTTCCCGCACCCAGCGGCAGAGAACACTCCTTCAGGACTAAGTTCGAAACAGCCTACCAGCTCGTCGGTTCAGAGAATTTAGTCGACCTCTCCGAGGCAAAGCGTATCTGTCGTCGACTCTTGAAAAGACGCGTAAGTCTACAGCCAATGCAACCACCACTCCCACTATATAATCAAACCGTGCTCGACAGCTGACCTGAGGTGCACGTGGCAGGGTCTTCCCCTCCTTTACCTTATTGGCTGCAACCAGCTTATCAGTTACTGGTCCCCCTTCCACGATACCACCGCCATCCGTCATGCGGAAAAGACACTCGAGCTCTGCCGGGATATGCATTCCCTGATCGAGAACATGGAGGATAAGCCAGAGCAGGAGAAGTTGCGGTATCGGACGTTGTTGGCTATGGCGGAGGAGAACCTGGAGTATGTGAGGGAAGGGCCCGCTGATATTGACGACATTATGGCCCCGAGTAGTGAGGAAGAGGAACAGCTGAGCCGGGTGATATGAACGACCTGCTAGGCGCGGGTAGTGGGGATGAGGATATTGAGCAATGGGCTCAGTGGAAGCGGCAATCTATGAATTGTCGAGGCGACGACCTCTTCACAAAGGGGAACGGGAGCGACCCCAATTGAGTCCGAAGACATGCTGCTCATTCACATCGATGCTAAATCCATCCTATGGATGTCTAGTGGGTTAACGAGCTAGTATACGCCATTGCTGCTCTGCTATCCTCTTGCCCGCAGACAAAATGTCCCGAAAATGCTCGACCTTGATATCAACAGGCATACCTGCACGCCGGTCATCACCTTGGCTAGCCTCCAACGTGGCCAGCGCAAGCGCAACCTGAGAATTCTGTCGAATCTTGCGGCCATTCCACACGCCATCATGGATCTCTGAACTTGGTAGGACATGATCCAGGCAGTTTTGGTCACGGACGACGTTCGATCCCGCATGCGTCTCGGAGGCGTCTGTGGCATAATTCCACGTCTGAACTCCTCGAATTGCAAGAGCCAGGTTATGACTCTAAGTACTGGGCGTCTTCTCCAAGGATCCTCTTCTATTCACGAGCCACGGATGCTGCTCATCGTGGGTCTTCTCGGCCAGGGAGGGCGCTGAGGCCCTGGATCTTTTATGCCGATCAAGTTAATATGACTGGGATGAGCCTCACACGAGCGTCGGTGCGAAAGTTTGAGATCTGGTGAGTTTTCTAGCCAGGGAGGCCGCTGCAGGAACAACGCCCAGTACTTTTAGTCACAACCTGGCATCAATGCTTAACTCGAGGCGCTCTTCCTACCACTCCAAACTCTCAGCATCTCTAAACAGAAAGGAAGAAGACGGCCCCCTATCAGCACTGTCACAAGGGCGCTGTGGACAGAGTCGCGTATGACGTCGAGACGGAGGATGGAGAGCAGCTCGTTGCCCTTTGAAGACCTCGGCACTGGCAGTCTGTTGGTCAGCGAACAGTCTGCTGCTTGGCACTGCTGATTCACCCAAGGCCAAGAAGCTGATACCAATGTCGGGTCTCCGAAAGACTTCGGTGTATCCGCATCACAACTCCCGGACAATTCTATGCTAGCATATGGTCGTGCTGCACAGCATGTCCTTGGGTTCACGAATAGGCTGACACTTTGCGACAGCCTCGTGCGCACTCCGAGCGATGATTCTCGCCTGGCCCGATGCAGGATGTGAAGTCCGAAGGCCATGCATGGCGTCTGCAAATACATAAATGAGGAACGAGGTACTCCGGCAACAAGGACCTTGACTCACGAGACAAGAACAGTCCTCACAGCTGCAAGATTGGATAAGCTCACCTGCTGTGTTACCGTCGTCCTCGATCACATTCCCCAACACACGACTATGGCCTCAGACGCCGAGATCAAGGCCCAGCTGAAGGCTTTCGTCTTCGGAGGGGATGAGTGGCCTCGAGCACCGATCTGGCACCAACCAGAAGAGGTCGGTCTCAAGTACGAGACCATCTTCTTCCCTGCCACAGATGGCATACCCATCGAGGGCTGGTTCATGCCTCGTCAAGACTCCAACCAACTCATCGTCTGCGTCACCCCACGTTGGTTCAACCGCGCTGGCTTCCCAGCGCATCTGGAGCCCTGGAATACCCTCCTCCCAGGCAACGACTACGACGTGGACTTTGTCAAGGACTACAAACTCCTCCACGACGCTGGCTACAACGTCGTCTGCTTCGACAATCGAAACTTTGGATACTCTGGCGCAGCCAACGGCGGCATCACCTCACCGGAGCTATGCGCCAGGGACGTCATCGGCGCTCTCAACTATGTCCGCCTACGTGAGGACACCAAGGCCATGACCATCGGTCTGTTCAGTCGCTGCAATGGCGCCGCCGCCACAATGTATGCCATGCAGGAGCACCCAGAGGTATTCGAGGGTATTCGTTGTATGGTGGCGCCTCAGCCGTTCTCTCACAACGTCTTCTTCGCGCAGACACTTAAGCGAATGGGGCTCCCAGACAAGTACATGGAAGACATGAGACAATACTTCCAAGTCAAGACAAGTATCGATCTCGACGACATGGGAGTCATGCCCTGGCCCAAATCAGTTCGTGTGCCAACGCTGATGTATCAAGTGTGGGACGATCCCGTTGCTACGAACGATGATGCGCAGGAGATCTTCGATGCTATTCCGATCGAGGAGAAGAAGCTGCATTGGATCACAGGGACGCAGGTTCGGTTTGAAGGGTATACTTTCTTCCAGAAGCAGCCAGAGATGGTTTTGGAGTGGTTCGCCAAGTACATGGCATGATGGGGTCCGTCTGCAGCACAGAATCAGGCGGGCGTAGTGCAGGGAAGGTGTGCTGCACAACAGACAGGCTATTTGTCGTTGCTGGATCAGTATGAGGGCGCTGTGGACAAAATTACGTACCAGTCCAGAAAGAAGACAGGAAGCGCCTTGTTGCGCTCTAAACACCTTTGCACTAGCCGTCAGCGAACAGCCTGCTCCTTGGCACTCACCCCTGATTCATGTTATGTTCTAGGTCACCAGAGTGTAGCCACCCCGGACTCCCTCCGGTCCTATTCCTTCTTCACCTCCACACTCGGCAACAACACCCTTGCAACAACCCAATCCACCACCCCCGCCGGCAACAGCCCATAAAGCAGCGCCCCCTGCAGCGCATGCCAAAAGTACGGAGTCACACTCCGATGCCCATGTCCCACCCTCGCCAGGATCGCCCTCGCCATCACCTCCGCCGTCGGCATCGTCAAACCGGGCTTAATCGAGGCCTCCTTTTGCAACTGCTGCGTGTACGTCGGGCCCACCACGACCTCGAGTACCTCTACGGCGGAACCTGCGGTAGCTTGCTCCGCGTGCAACGCGCGGTTCCAGGCGTGGAGGGCGGCTTTGCAGCCTGAGTAGGCTGCTATGAACGGCTGGCCTATTTGGCTGCCGGAACCGCAGGTGAGGATGAGTGTAGGCTGCTGCTTGTTGGCAGTCAGTTGGGGGAGGAGGGCGCATGTGAGCTGTAAAGGGAATTGCACGTTAAGAGAATACAGTGCTTGGATTTCCGTCGGCGTCATGCATTCAAAGTGCTTGAAGTTGCTCGACAAGGGTGCGGTACCACCGACGTTGTTGATGAGGACCGTGAGTGGAAGCTCTGCGACAGCCGCGGCGATGCGGTTGATGTCTGCGGTTGTGAACGCACTCGCGTCGACTGCGATGGTGCGGAACTCGCGCTTTGGATGGGCTCTGGCGAGTTCTGATTGTATGCGGGTCAGTTTAGCCTCGTTACGACCGTGGAGGAGGACGTTGAAGCCTGCCGTTGCTAGTTGGTCTGAGAGGGCGAGGCCGATACCGTCGCTTGCGCCCGTGATCAGAGCCCATGATGTCTTGCCGCTAGAGGAAGGCTGGAGGTATTTGGGCAGGTTTGAGGCGTAGAACCAGTGGATTATAGGTATGGGCATGGTTGGGGGTTCGCGGAAGGGGAGTCAATGTTAGAGCTTGTCGGAAAGTCTTGGTTGTGAAGTGAGCGCGAGCAATTTGGGCAGGATGGTCTTGCGATGATAGGAAGTGGTGAGCAGCATCATGATATACTTTACCTAGATGTTTTATATAGCATTGCTGTGCTGGAGAAAACGTCCTGCTGCTGGCACATGCGGTACGTAGAGAACAATACATGAGCATTCAGTCGGCTCGGCAGAATAGATCGGTGTGGAGTTGTCCCGGCGGCGCGACCGTCGAGCTGGCCCCCAAAATCGTACAGGGGGGGGTGATATAACTCGACAGCGCAAGTTCGCAACTTGAACGTTGAAAGGAGGACTCGACTGTTACAAGCAGCACCAGATAACAGAGAACGAGAAGGGACTTGTTGCGCTCTAGAATTGAATCCCTGCTCTAGCCTTCTGATCCGTTGCCGAAGTAGTATACACCCATGTCGCTCCGATGTTCTGGCATCCGTTAAAGCTTCCAACGCCTGGCTATGGTTGCGAACAGAATACTTCAGAGTCTAGTTGTATTGCGCATATGCGGCAACGCTAGAAAACTTGCTGTTGCCCTTGATGACCTTCTCGACAGCTGCCAACATATCCTACGAACGTGTTAGTATGATCACTCGGAATAAGCGCGTGACTAGACGTACCTTCTCAGTTGCGACCTTCCGCCTCGCACGAATGGCAAACATGCCGGCTTCTGTGGCTACGCTTCGCAGTTCTGCACCCGTAGCGTTGGGGCACAGACGCGAGATCAGCTCCCATCTGATGTCGCGGTCCACCGACATGCTCTTGGCGTGAATGCGCAGAATGTTGGCTCGGCCGTCGAGATCCGGCAGCGAGAACTCGATCTTTCGGTCGACTGCTCGATTATTAGCTTTAGCAAAGGAGGTAAGTAGGGTAGACTTACTTCGGCCGGGTCTCATCAACGCAGGATCCAGCGTTGACGGTCTGTTGGTGGCGAACATGACCTTGATGTTTCCTCTTGAGTCGAAGCCATCCAATTGTGTAATCAGCTCCAGCATAGTTCGCTGCACCTCATTGTCGCCACCCGCCCCATCATCGAACCGAGCACCTCCGACGGCATCAATTTCGTCGAAGAAAATGATACACGCCTTCTTTGTCCGAGCCATCTCGAACAGCTCTCTGACCATTCGTGCTCCCTCTCCAACATATTTCTGGACAAGTTCTGATCCAATAACGCGGATGAAGGTAGCATCTGTTCGGTTGGCGACAGCACGTGCGCAGAGTGTCTTGCCAGTACCTGGAGGACCGTAGAGCAGCGCACCTTTCGGCGGATCAATACCGAGATTGACGAATCGCTCAGGCGAGAGCAGAGGCATCTCGACAACTTCCCTCAGCTTCTCAATCTGCTCTTTGCAACCTCCAACATCACTATATGTCACATCGGGCTTCTCTTCAACCGTCATCATCGTCACGGAAGGATCGATCTTGGGTGGTAGCGGTAGCATGATGGAATACTTCTGGCGGTCCACTCCTACTCGCATGCCCTCCTCGATATCTGTTGGACTGACGCGCTCGCCGAGGTTGACGACGAATTTGGCGATCTGCTTGACGTTGATAACGTACTTTGCCTTGTCGCTGTCCTTCTCATCTTGGATGATCTTGGTACATCGCGCGACTTGGAGGGGCTGCTCTTCCTGCATCCGTTGCCTGTCGGCGGCGGTGTCCCATAGATGCGGTGGTGCCAGGCCGGTGTCTGATTCCTTCACGCCGATCTTCTCGTTGATGCTTGTTTGTTTGTCCTTTATCTGTTTCTCGATGTTCTTGAGGGCATTGGCATAAGGCGCTGCGCCGTAGGTTTTTAGGACTTGGATGTCTTCGTCTGTGAGAGGTGTGATCTTCTTCTCGGGTGTCTCATCGTCGGCATATTGTTTCTGGTACTTCTCCCAGTTCGCGCCCGTTGCGCTGGGCATGATGAAGGCTCGGGCTAGGACTGGGCGTACCTATGGGATGGAAGGGGGGTCAGTAGCGCTGTGTGAATCGAAAAACAGCTAGCAATAGCGATGGACTGGACGAAAATGTGAGAGATGGACAGAGAAATGCTTCAATGATCGATCGCTTTCCAATGCAAGGTACCATACACACTGGCGTAATCGCCTCGCGCCTCAAGCGGAGATTGCCGGATTTAGTTGGTTCCGCGATTTTGTGCTCCGCGGCACCCATCGAGAAATTATTCACAGGCACACACGTCGAACACGAAACAGCAGGCTCCCAACAACACTCTTCACAGGCCTCGCTCCCGACGCGGAAACTTTTGGCTGGCCTAGCAAAGACACCTGCTGCCGATAAGAACAACAGAAAGCATCACAATCATGGCGGCAGCACTGGGCATTCAGGGCAATGCGGGCAATGCAGCGTTCAAGGTAGGGCGCCAAACATGCCGCCGAGGGCACAGCTGACAATGCATAGGACAAGGAGAAGCCTATGGCTGTCCGGACCGCCAACATCATGGCCGCTCGAGCTGTCGCCGACGCCATTCGAACATCGTTAGGACCGCGGGGTATGGACAAAATGGTCGTCAATCCGAAAGGCGCCCCTCTGATTACCAACGATGGAAGCACAATGTTGAAGAGCATGAGCGTTATGCACCCAGCGGCAAAGATGCTTGTCGATCTGTCCGCTGCCCAAGACGTGGAGGCTGGAGACGGAACAACCTCAGTTGTGGTTATTGCAGGCAGTCTACTGGGTGCCGCGGATCGACTACTCGGCAAAGGCATCCACCCAACAGTCATCTCTGAAGCCTTCCAGAGAGCAGCCGCTGCCGCCGTCAAGGTCCTTACCAACATGTCACAACCAATCGCTCTCACAGACCGGACGACCATGCTGCAAATCGCCTCAACTTCCCTCGGCTCCAAAATCGTATCACAACATTCCGGTCTGCTCGGACCTATGGCTGTTGACGCCGTAATCAAGACTATCGAACCCAAGACGGCCGATAATGTCGACTTACGGAACATTCGAATGGTGAAAAAGGTGGGAGGCACAATAGATGATTCAGAGATGATCGACGGAGTCGTTCTGAATCAGACTGTCATCAAGAGCAGCGGAGGGCCAGTGCGCGTGGAAAAGGCCAGAATAGGTCTCATCCAGTTCCAGCTCAGCCCACCGAAACCCGACATGGAGAACCAGATCGTGGTCAACGACTATCGACAAATGGACAAGATCTTAAAAGAAGAGAGAACGTATCTCCTGAACATGGTCAAAAAGATCCAAAAGGCCAAGTGTAACGTCCTCTTTATTCAGAAGTCGATTCTCCGAGATGCTGTCAACGACTTGTCCCTACACTTCCTGTCGAGATTGAAGATTATGGCGATCAAGGACATCGAGCGGGATGAGATTGACTTCTTGTGCAAAAGCACTGGCTGCAAGCCAATCGCCAACATCGACTCGTTTACAGAAGACAAGCTCGGCAGTGCAGATCTGATCGAAGAAGTACAGTCGAACGGTGCCCGGTACGTCAAGGTCACTGGCATCAAGTCTGCACCTCAGCAACACCAGACAGTCTCAATCGTGGTCAGAGGCGCCAACAACCTCGTGCTGGATGAAGCAGAGCGGTCTCTTCACGATGCACTATGCGTGGTACGATGTCTGGTGAAGAAGAAGGCTCTCATCGCTGGAGGAGGTGCTCCGGAAATCGAAATCGCTAATCAACTCGCTAAGCAGGCGAGAGAGCTCACAGGCACGGAAGCCATTTGCTGGAAAGCTTTCGCAGATGCCATGGAGGTCATTCCGACAACGTTGGCCGAGAACGCTGGCCTCAACAGCATCAAGGTTGTGACCGAGCTGCGACACCGACATGATTTGGGCGACAAAAATGCAGGTGTGAGCATAAGGAATGGTGGTGTGAAGACGAATATTGCGGAGGAGAATGTGCTGCAACCGCTGCTAGTCAGCACGAGTGCTATCGAGTTGGCTGCTGAAACTGTGAAGTTGATTCTGCGGATAGACGATATCGCCTTGTCAAGATAAGCAGCAGGTTCTGGCTCATGGTCTAGGTAAAGAGCGGATGAGTTCAATGATACCCATGTAGAATGGAGAGAAAGGAAAGACACTATGGTGTGCATCGATCTGTCAGTTCGTCACGGTCGTCTGAGATAACCTTTGGACACGGATCGATGCATTTTCATGCTTTGTGCAGACCGACCATCTACGTTGTTGACTATGACAGAATCTACTATGAATTGCCCGAATGCGAGTGCGCTGCGTCGTCAGGCGTGACTGCTCGAGGTTCCCGAGGTCGTATGTGGTTACGCCGCAATCGCAATCGCAGTCGTAGGTCGTAGTTGCCTTGTTCGCCTTACGTTGTCGGCGACGCCTTCCCGGCGTGGTGTCCTTTCCCAATCTTATCTACTTCGTTCGCACTTGCCCGACGGACGTGCGCCCTGCAATGCGAGTTCTTTGAACCCATGCATCGTACTGCGTGCTCTTGCTCAGTCTGCATGAATTGATCTGCAGTCCGAATCTGTCACGAAGCGTTGGAGTTGCGGACATATTGTTGATAGAATCAAACCTGGACGAAATTCACCACCACGAGCTCTCTGACGCTCATTCAAGGCCTTGGGACCACACGTCCCATACCCTGAGTCCTTGATCGAATTCAGTCTTCAGTATCCAGTCTCGAGCTCCTGGACGCCTTTTGCCTCGATTTGGCAACGTCACCATCAGGAACGACATGGACAACCCACAAGCCTTCCTCGAACATGACCTAGCCAGCAGATGGCAAGCTCCAGGCTGCGCTGCTGCCATCGTGAAGGATGGACAACTACTTGCAAAGCATGCCTGGGGCTACGCCAACTTGGAGACGAGGGCACCATTGACAACGGAAACGATCTTCCCTATATGCTCTATCTCAAAACAGTAAGCAAAGTGGACGAGGTCGTATTTCAGTTGCCGCACCTTACTGACATTCGGTAGAATGGTATGTCTCGTTCTCTGGGACTTGCTCGATGGACCAAATGGCACGGACATTGAAGCTAAGATCTTCGACACCCTCCGTGAGATCCTGCCCGCCGAGACGATGTCCAATCATGACTTGACCATCTCGCGTCTCGTTGGTATGCAATCTGGGCTCCGGGACTACTGGGCTCTTTCTGTCCTATGGGGCGCTGCACCTCAGTCCCGATTCTCCCTGTATCAGGACGCACCTCAAGCAATGAAGCGGCTTGGAGGCTATCACTTCAGCCCAGGCTCGGAATTGTCATACTGCAATTCCAACTACGTGGCTATCAGCTTGGCGATCGAGAAGGTGACTGGCCGCACGCTTCGTGATCTACTGCAAGAGAAAGTGTTCATGCCCGCGGGCATGAAGACCGCCGCTCTTCGCCCCGACACGTCTCGCATTCCGGCACCCATGGTTGGCTACGAGGGAGGTGAAACTGCTGGGTATATTCGATACGCCAACCGTATCGAATGGGCCGGCGACGCTGGCGTAATGGCGAGCTTGGAAGATATGATCGCGTAAGTCATGCCGACCTCTGCCGCTCCCTTCTGCCCGGTTGAGGAGCTCGCATCAGGCCAGAGCTTGAAGCTCCTGGACCAACGTACCGCTTCTGACACGGCCATGTTGATGGTGTTGATCGTCTCCTCTCATGACTCGCCCTGCATCAGATTACTAAAGACATTCCAGATATGAGAAGTACGTGCATAGATCGGCTGCAGATGCAAACAGTATTTACTACAAAATGTCTCGAGAGCCGACTTATATCGATGGAAACGTTGCACATTATGGGTCTGGTTTGATGCGCGGTAAGCTTGCTGGCAAAGATGGCAATCCTGATATGGAATGGGTCGGCCACAGTGGTGGTCTTGCAGGATTCAGGCTTCGACGCACATTCTTCCCAAAGCACAACCTTTCGTAAGTTCGCTCCCACCAACGTGGCATGAGTTGTAGACGCTTTCGGGCAGATTGAATCATGCGCAACGACGCTGACCATGAGATCTAGAATCGTTACCCTTTTCAATAGCGAGATTGATACAATGGCAGTCACGGAATACGCAGCGAAGCGCCTCATCCTCGGTGCTTCCATTGAGCAGACGCTCCCACAGAGAAAGAAAGATCCAGACTGGGATGGCTGGATCAGTTGGACGGGCAACTATTTCGACCTAGACGCACGCCTTGCGGTCGTCGTCCGCCAGGATAAACCCCACCACATCCAGGTCAACTACGGCGGCCATGACGAGGGCCTCGACCTCACGGGCCGCGGAACAGCCACTTCCAAATACATGACAATCGACACGGCTCCAGACGGTCCCCTGGCAATTCACCGTCCCAAAGAGAATCGGGAGTTCGCAGCGCAGTTGATCCACACGCCAACAAACCCTTATCACATCAGAGCCGATTATGTGGGCGAGTACTACAGCGCAGACATTGACTCAACGATGCACATTACCGGAAGTGGCAGTGTGCTGTACGCTGCTTTCGACGGGTATCTTGGCAAAGGCCCTGTGCACACTATGCGATACCTTGGGGCGCATGTGTGGTTGATGTCGTGCTTCAGGAGTTTGGATGCGCCTAGTCCAGGTTTCTGGACTGTAGAATTTGCTGGAGATGGCGGCGAGGCGGTCACGGGCGCGACGGTGGGATGTAGCATTGCGAGGAAGGTCGAATACAAGAAGAAGGCGTAGTATGCCTGTGGAAAGGAATGGAGGTATGCTCGAGGTCTAGGGGGAGTCGACGAGTAGAGGTGATAGTGAGGTCAAGGACCTCGCGAGAGAGGCTTGAAGTAGTAAAGTGAATCGGCTAGGTGAGACGAATCACTTGATAGGCTTGCTATTAGTAAAGACAGGTTGTCGAGGCCGTGCTGATGCCTGTCAGAACTATTGACCCAGGCTGCAGAAGCCCATACCGGATGACGGAGTTCCCATGCATGTCTTGCAGGAGACCGGATGACTGAGTATTGGAACGAACGTCTGCGACCGTTCGACAGAGATCACAGCTGAGATTGGTTGACAGATATTCGCAAGCCCTTCTAACGGTCACACCCCTCATTTTATTCCCTCTTGTTCCAGTACGTGCGCCTCACCCGTGGCTCATCCCTCAGAAGACGCCATCGCACCGCCATTCGTAGGGGAACAGACATGGACCACCTCGAAAGCATCGTAACGCCTCAGATACCGCTCGGACTTCCGATAGCGGCGGAGCACATACTCACGGCGCCATGAGGCTGGCCATATCGAGCACGACGAGTACTCTATTGCTGGAGTCGCTCCAGCGCTCGCAGTCACTGTCTTGCGCATAGCGGATGGAGGGTTCCACGCGGGATCAAACACCAGTAGATGCCTTTTGCCGGAATGGTGTCTTATCACGCCGATAATGGTGAGGGAGTGGCGAGGTCGTTGGAGGTAGATCGGTGGACGGGAAGTGCGTTTGACGCGCACGCTTGCGGCGCCATCGTCATGAGGGCCTGTCTCCTCGGAAGCGGAGGAGGAGAAGTACTCCTCCACATAGTCCAGAAGCTGCTCGTGCGCGTCTGGACCGTAGAAGCCTTGAGCGCGATGTTCAATCCCGGAGCTGAGAAGGAGGGCTTCGACTTCGGGTGTGCCGATGTACTTTCGGGTGTTGAGGATGCCGCCTGTTTGGACTCTGCCGTGGGGATTGAAACCCTTCATCCATGCGGATTCGATCTGGCGTTGGATCGCTGGGATAGTGCTGCTGTCGATTGTGCCCTGGAAGGAGATCGATGGTAGGCACGAGACGAGCATCTGGACATTGCGGTAGCCACAGAAGACATTGCCCTCACCAGGGATTTTGGAGACCTGGATGGCGATGACGGTGCAGATATAGGCGCTTGCGATGGTCTCGTCGGCTTGCAGCAGCTTAGCAAGCTGATGGATCACGCCGTTGAGCTTGTTGGAGTCGTCTTCGTTGGTGAGCCTAGCGAGGAGGGCGCTGGGCATGCGCTCTTCGAAGGCATATGGCCCTAGCTCTTTCTTCTGTTCGTCAGACGGGTGAGTGGAAGTGTCGCTTAGTGTTTTCCTGGAAGGCATGAATGTACTTACACCTAGGCGCTTTGGCTCGACGGCGCCATCCTTGCATGCCTGGTCTCGGTTCTGGAGGATGACATTACGATCGTCGCCGCCTGGTGTCATTCACCTGAACACGACTTGCGAAGTACTGGATGGACCTCAGTCTCAAGCGTTTATTTGAGTCGTAACATAACGAGTAATGAAGCAGGTGACCTCTGAGGTTGTGAAGGATCTGTGGTGTTCAAGTTAAGCAGGCCGGATCGATTTGGCAAAGCGCGGTGCCGATTTAGGAAACTTGGCACCGATTCAAGTAATCTCTGGCTACTAAGTACTTGTGAAGTTCCTATTCATCTCTGGCATACTAGTATATCTCTCGCGAGAACTATGGGTAATTCTATCCTACGAACTCACGACCGACACAGCCAATCCGTGTGATCGAGGACGCACGCCCCTGCAGCAGGTTTCTCGAAATCCTGGTTTCATTCCGGAGCCTTGATATAACAGGATGGCGGCGGGTAGCCACGTCAGCTTCTGCAACCATGATAACGTACTTGCGTCAGTTTGCTCCTTACTAGATCTGCTGGTGGCTGGAACGACCTGTACTCCTGAATGATGAGGCTGTACATAAATAGACTGTGACGCGGCTGACCTGATCGTTTGACGGGCGTTTGGTCCTTCTGTTTATTACCTCTTCTCGCCCTGTTGAAGCACGCCTTCTCAGCATCATTACCGGCGAACCTGAACGAAGCATAGAATCACGAGCATCTTAAGCACAGCCATGTCCCAGTCAGAGCAAACCGCCGAAATGGCTGCTTACAAGCCGAGCCAGCAGATGACCGCGGACGCGCCAGCCGCCGGCGCTGATGTTGAATCACAGAAGGTACAACATCTTTTGCTCTGTGCGCGAACGAACATGTACTGACATCTATGATAGACCGGGGAAGAGCAGAAGCAGCCTCGCAAGCTCTGGGGTATGAGAGGCGGCGGCATCATTCGTAAGTTGCTGTCTTGCTCGAAAAGCACAGGGAACTGATCTAGCGTCTTTCAAGTCGATTTGTGCGCGTGCTTTATCTGTTGCGAGTGTATGGAAGGCTGCTGCCAGACAATTGATGACTGCTGCTGCTGTTGATTGGGCGGCTTGGTGCACGGCGGAGGTGCTTAGATACTATGGATCATAGGCGTCGGTTTGGTCCCAGATCTGCAAACGAGAGCCGCTTTAGCCATGAGTCGAAGTAGACAGAACCGAAGTCCCTTCAATCGAGACACCATACTCGCTGTATTGATCGCTGCTCAGGCTGCACTCTCCCATCGTGCCTGCTAGTCCTTCAGGAGAAGGTCGAGGCAAGCTCCGTGGACCACGATCTTTTGCATACGCCAAGGACAAAACCCAGAGCTAGAAGGCTTGACGCCTATAAGCAGTGCCTAAGCGCAACGATCCCGGCAGCTTGGCATCGCAAAAGTGACTTCATCGGCTGTACGACTGCGGACCTGGACTCATCACTCAGCAGCACCTGCATGCTGCCGCCGCCACGGGCATGGAGGGCGATTACTATAGCCGACCCGTCGTACAGCGTGCCCGGTCACACTCTGATGGAGTCGTCCCGCCTGCCTCCGGCGATGTTACTCCTCGTCCACCCCATCGCCATGCCGGACTACACGCGCTGCATCCTACGGGATCTGTCCCCCAAGACGATCCTACAACGACTAAACCCTCGTCCTCCCTAGAACGAGTAGAGAAAGCAGCGGCAGACAAGATTCACCGAATACACCTGCCAGGCACCGGCAGACATAATACACAGCGCAGCTCCCTGGACGGGGTTGAAAGCAGCGATACGAACACCAGCACCACTCGCCGTCGCAGCAAACTACACCGATACACCCAATCCCTCGCCGACCATCACCACCATACAAATTCTCATGCCCACCACAACGCCGCTGCTGCCGCCATGTACGCTCGCCACCGCAAAGACCTCAGCGCCGACCCCACAGGCCACGACTCCCTCCCCAATCTCGTCGCCGGCCTCAACGCCGAACGCAATCGCGCCGCCGCCGTACAACACCGCACCTCCCCAGCCGACACCAATTCCGCAACTAGCACCACAGCCGCCCCCTCCCTCGACCGCGCCATGTCCCACCGCTCTGCCTACCGCGGTCTCGCTGCAGTCGACCCTCTCGCGCACGACCTACACTCCGTCTCTTCTCGCCCCACAGACTACCTCCGGCGCCGCGCCACCTCCGACCCTCGCGCCCCATCTGGACCGACCTACTCCACCTTTAACACGACATCCAACCCGCAACTCCGCCGCCAAACCTCCCTCGAAGCCGCCCTCGACCGCGCCGACCGCCTCGCCCGCCAACGCCGCTTCACCATCACGCCCTCCACCATCCAGCACACCGACTCCCTTATCACCGCCGCAGAAGACGAGTTGCGCGAGTCTTTGCAGCAGATCCACCACACCGGCACCGAACTCACCCGTCGACTAGACTACGGGTTCTACAACCTCCTCGAAAAAGTCGGCGGGTTGGCGTCCGTCATCCAATCGTTTCAAAGTCTAGCCTCCCAATCCCGACAACTGATCAGCAATTTAGAGAGCGAGGCGCAGAAGACGGACAATCATATCCGGCAGCGCGCGAGGATGTTACAGGAGGGGTTTGAGGATAGGGAGAGGACGGTGGTGGCGTTGGAGGAGCGGCAGAGGAAAGTGCAGGCGAAGGCGAGGGCTCTGGGGGAGAGGTTGGAGAGGGCGCAGGCGCGGGTGGTGAGGTGGGAGAGGGAGCAGAGTGAACGGCAGGCTGTTTGGGGGAGGTTTGGGGGAGGGTTAGGTGGTGCGCCCTCTCAATGCTGGTGGGGTCAGTGTGTCTGGTGGTATTAGTGAAGGGGATCGTGTGGAGAGCCACGCCGTCGTTGGCGGGATTGGGAATCAGAGTGGATTAGTCAAGGATGGTGTTAATGCGATTCTCGATGAGGTTGCGCCAGGGTTGGCAGTTATACCTACACTTGGAAGGGCAAACGGTACAGGGAAACGAGAACAGCTAGAAGAGCTCAGAGACGCGGCAATGGAAAGGGTGCCTGCGGATGTCAAAAGCATCTTGCTTGAGATTGGGGACAGGAGCAAGCGGAAAGAAAAGCACGAGCATGGCAGTGGGGAGGACTCCAGAGGCACCGTTGGAGGGGATATACATGCTGAGAAGCAGCCGCCGCCCCTGAGAGTACTTGATGAGTTATGATTCGTTTCTGCTAGACTGAGATACCCCAATTTGCCGAATCGCATAATCGCATCGCGAAAGCATCCTGAATGCATTTTGCACACATTTTCAAAATCTCAACTCCAGCTCCCCAGTCTCGGCGAGATACGCAGGTACAACACGATGCCCTTCCAACGACTCTTACGCCTGGACCCCATTTCGCCTCAATTAGGCTCCCAATCAGGCAAGGTTTCCTCGGCATTCGAGAACGGTTGAGGTACACCACCTGGACTTTCGCCATTTGCTCTAGTGACCATGTTGAAGCCGCGGGCTGCATCACTTGGGAGGGCACCGTTGTAGGGGCTGCTGTCCTGAGGCATAGTGTAGGCGCTATGGGGAGTTGCGACGTTCTCGCCAGTTACCAAGTTGATGCCGCCAATTGTGGTCGTGGGGAGGCACCGACGTGAGGACTGCTGCGCTGAGGCATCGTGTAAGGGCTTCCGGGATTGCTGACATCGTTTCCTGCTTCTGCGTGGCTGACATTCCGCTCAGGCATTGTGTAAGGGATGTCGCCGGCATTGTCACCCTTATGATCGACCGGGTGGGAGGGAGTGTGGGGGCGACTTGACATCTCGACTTTGGTTTGCTGGGGTGTGGATGTAGCGGCGCGATTCGAATTGTTGTCTTGCTCTCCAGCATCGGAGCCGTAGAGATTTTGATCAGGCATGGGTTTGAATTGATTCACCAGTGGATTAACCCAGATGTGATCGTACTCGCCTAGCAGATCGTCGTTGTCCTCAGGAGCCAACGCAGCGTAGACCTGTTTGCGTGTAACGTTAAAAACATCGGCGTATTTTGTGCTGGTACGATCGAGCACACCCGGGTGATTGTCGCGAATCCGATCCAGAACCATTAGAGAAGCTTTCATGTTGCAGAATGTTGCATAGAGACAGCTTGTAACATTGTTGTAGAAAGCAGGCCGAAACTGAAAGTCTCGCATGCTTCCCGATATGGCACGAATCGCTGTCGGAACTCTCCCAAAGACCTCTCTAATCCTTCCACCTGCCAATGAGCCGCTTTGAATAAGTCAAGGCGAAACTTGCCCATGCTGGGAACACGTTCGTAGTTGCTAACAGCATCGATGAGCGTACGTAGACCTGTGTACAGTGCAAGCCAGTCGAAAGTGCGATCGACCAATCGAGTGCACTCCGCCGCATAACGGATGTTTGTGTACTGGTTGTGCTGCACTCGCCAGGTGTGCATTTTATTTACCAACAGAAGCTGGACCTGCACGTTCTTTTGGGCTTGTTCAACGCGCTGAGGCAAATCTCCGATATTCTCGGGACCAGGCCGCAGAGGCAGGTTCGGCATCGTGCCAGTATCGTACAGATTGCTGAATTCCATGCGCTCCAACTGCTGTTGCCGAATTGCCTCTTGTCGTGCCTGCAGGAAGGTTGGCATGGTGCGCTGGGGTGTATCTTGAGGCTGATTCATATCGAAGCTGGGGCTGGAATGGAGGTCGTCATCCAGACCATCCTGCGGCGACGACATCGCGTGCTCAGGGGAACTCTGAGGCTGACCTCTGGGTCGATAGTAATCTGGAGGTGACTCGAACAGGGCTTGTGACGGGGGGCTAGTGTACTCAGCAGGACTCGGAAGGCGGAAGTCGTCGGAGTGGTATGGAAATGAATTACCACTCAGCCGCGGATCGATATCAGGATTGAGTCGTGGGGAGAAGGTCTGTGAGAACTGAAGTCGCTGATTCCTGTCAAGACCGTGGGTTGTCGTTGCCTTCTTTATAGGCGTGCTTGGATTCAAGAAGAGTTCTGGAGAAAGAGCTGTGGACTCGGGTTGCGGAAGTTGCGCTGGTGACTTGGATGGTGCGACTTGTGAAGGCGCCTGCTCGACATCTTCACTTATCGTGGGCAGGTCGCCCTGAGAAGACGCCTGTATCTTCTTTCTTGTCTTGTACGGTCCCCGCTTCGCCTTCACTTGCTTAGGTGTCTTCACTCCTTCAGTAGGCCCATTCGCTTCGACGTCTTTTTTCTTCCTCGGAGGCATGGCGTCCAAAAATGCCTTGCCTTAAAGAGTCTAAACGTGTCGGGTAACGGAAAGTCCTCAGTTGCCAAGAAGTACTATGAGTTGTCAAGTTGTGGCCGCAAAAGTGTCATCAATTATCACAAGAAGTGGTTGCCCAGCCAGCACCCTCCGGAAACCTCCCAGCACCTGCCTTCCCTGCAACTTCTTTCTAGATTCTAGAGCGTATTGTCTGCTTCTGGACTGAGCAGAAAGGCATAGTCGCTTCATTGTTGGTTTGCAGCATCTGAGATGACCAGTCCTGACTCTTTCATCGATCCAGCGGGTCCCGATAGATGCCGTCACAGAGCTATCCGCGTCCTTGACTTGCAACCAAGCACCATGGCCATCTGATTCATTGACATTGATCGCAAACGTGGCACGCATCTCAACTGTTGAGCAATTTGTTCCTCTTCTCCCTCCGCTTCCTCCGCTCCACCCGCTTCTGATGCATCTTCTCTGCCATCTTCTCGTACCGTTCCTTCTCCTCCTTGGCTTTCCGTCGATCTTTGATGACTTGAATACGTCGATTCCGCTCCGCCTCCTTCTCGTCACGCATTTCTTGCTCGAGTGCTTTTGTTGCTGCCTTCTCCTGGTCTCTAGTCTTACGTTGTGCATATGCCGTCATTCCGGCAGTCGGCCGAAAGGGCTTCTTGGTTGTGTGCCATTGCTTGCCTTGGTCATTGTCAAACAGATGTTCACCGTACGTGCGGTTCGACTTACCATTCTTTCGTAGTCCAGCCTGTTTGGAGGCAGTATCTGACGGTGGTGCTGGCGCTGGCGCGGCCTCTGAGATTGTGTTCGACATTTTGGTCATAGAAAGCACAGCATACAAATCGTAGCGGTCGTTGAAGTCACTGAATCGGCGGAAAATTATGTGGGCCTCTCGAGATAAGATAAGATCCATGGATGTGCCCGCGCGATTTTCAAATCTTTTCGAAGCGGTCAGTGGAAGAGACTCGGACGGGCGCAGATTTTCTTTCGCACATGCAGTACAACGTCGCGTGCAGCTCGAGGTATTCTCGACGTACCTGATTTGAGGCCAAGGTCGATGCCCCTAAAATGCAGTCTTAATAGTCTTCACTTACAATCTAGCACTGCGTTGTGCTGCAACCCTCACACCTCCGACATGCTGCCTCGATAACCCATATCCCCGCCATATATCTAGATCAGTGGAATCTACTGTGAAAGACCTTGCCGCATGGCAGCCGTACAAAAGGATGGATCTCGGGCGCACAGCCTGTCCGAACTGGAGCCTATCCGACCTGCGAAAGAGGTTCAAGCCCAAGGCGTAGAGGCCTTCAAGGATGTCGTCTTTGGCTCGACCGCAGGTGTCCTTGGGAAGTTCGTAGAGTACCCTTTCGACACAGTCAAGGTACGACTACAGTCACAGCATGTTCTGGATGGCCACGCTCGGCTACATGGCCCCATCGATGCCTTTGTCACAGCCTTTCGTTCGCCAGAGGGACCACTGGTCAGTCTTTACCGCGGTATCACTGCACCGCTCTTGGGTGCCGCTGTTGAGACCTCCTGTCTGTTCTTCAGCTATCGAGTTGCGCAAGATGCTCTCGTTGCATGGAATCCCTCGCTCAGGAGACAAAAAGAGCAGTCAGCCTCCAAAGAGCTGCCATTCAGCTACCTTGTCGCATGTGGTGCGATATCTGGTGCCTTCACATCTCTCGCACTGACGCCCATCGAGCTCGTCAAGTGTAAGATGCAGGTGCCCGCCAGCAATACGACTCCAAGACGACCTCCCAGCATTCCTCGCATCATCATGTCAGTGTTCCGTACACATGGTTTATTGGGTTTCTGGCATGGACAATTGGGCACCTTGATCAGAGAAACGGGCGGTTCTGCGGCCTGGTTCGGATCCTACGAAGGCGTCAAGAAGCTGTACGTCAGATACGATCAGTCATTGAACAACGATATCGAAAAAGTCAAGCTCTGGCAGCAACTGACCGCAGGTGCCGTTGCAGGAATGCTGTACAACTTCACGTTCTACCCGGCTGACACCATCAAGAGCCGTATGCAGACTGAAGAAGTCGTGCTGTCCCGATCGCAGGGTACATTTTTAGGCACTGGAAGGGAGTTATGGAAGCAGTCCGGTCTCAGAGGGTTTTACAGGGGGTGCGGTATCACGGTCTTTCGGGCAGCCCCGAGCTCGGCCATCATTTTCAGTGTGATGGAGGCGTTGAGAAAGCGTTTCGGATGAGCGAACGACATGTTTTTTGGAGGACTCGCAGCATAGCTGTTGTCGCTGCGAGATCTACATCTTCGGGTTAATGACAGTCACTTGCGAAGGCATGCATCTATGGTAGCGGCATCTATGAAGGCGTTAGAGATTGAGCTTGAGCATCTAGAATCTAGTATCATTGAGGAGAGTTATTTGTGGTCACTACGCCAGGTCGATCATTCGGACATTCTGAAGGCTCTTCCTACAAATTTCCAACCCAAACCCTACCTACCGAAAAGACGGTCCGGCAGGTGGCGCGTTTACGGTCCAGCCCGGCGGCTTTCTGACGCGCTAAGAAAATCGTACCTAGCTAAGACTTCCTCTTCCTCACCTACCTCTACCCTTGGAACTACTACTGTGCCGTGACAATCAAATCTCAGTGACGATGACGGCAACATGCGACGTGGCGACTGCGCATCGAATGACTCGCTGGCGCCCTCCTTCTCAGTCGAACACTGTGAGCACAAGTATTGCAGCTCGTTCAATTTTTCTTCGCTTCCGTTAACCGAGACCCTTTTGGCGGTCGCCACGAGTCTGGAACGTTGCCTTATTTATTAGCTGCATAATGTATCTCCTGACAGGCTCACAGAGACTCGAGAGAACAGCAATTCGAAGCCTGAAATGCAGAAGCTTTCAGCTTGTGTCACAAAAAGGGATGTTAAGACTTGTGCAAACCCTAGATCGGCATGTCGTCCTGATATGAGAGCCTGTTATGGGGGTCGCTTCCATGAGGACTCCAGAAAGGCAACATGCCTGCCAAATTCCTGCATGATTTGGTAGACCAGAACACACTCAGTATGCCTGCAAGGCTTTGTGGCTAGCTGAGCGGCTTTGCGCCTCCGAGGCAGGTCTGCTCTGATGCCTTCCAGCGCGGGCTATGTCTACCACTGATTCCCAAGCCATGAAGTCTGTTCTAACTTCCTCTTCATGCTGAGGCTCCCAGGATACGAGCTTTTCAGTTGAGACTATGGCTGAAAAGATAGCTCCAATTACTGACATACAGCAGGTCGACTCACCAACAGCTATCGAGCCAGATCGCAATCAACGTCCGGACAAGGATGTCCGCAGCGCTGTCTGGGCTATCGTGACAGGCGTCGCTCTACCATGTCTTCCTATACTGGTCATCCTCGCAGTCCTACTCGCCTTCATATTCGAGCACCAGGTCAAGCCATGGGAGGGTTACGCCGAACTGGCCCTCAACACCACTGTTGCTGCTAAGCAGGACTGGCTGGCCATTATTCGCGACGTCAGACACAATGGTGGTTCCAATGCCTACCTGGTCAGGTACAATGCGACTACCTTGACGACCATCGCCAGCTGGACAAGCAGAATCATACCATATTTGACGAGCTCGATCATGGCATTAGTAGCATTCTTCGCTGCAAGATACATCGTCCAGCAATCGAAACGAGGCGAGGATGCCGTCCTACCAGATCCAGAGCAGCTCACGATATTGATTAGCTTACTTGGCGGCAACGGCATCAGTCCTTTGAAAGATACGTTGATCTACAGGTGGCTCAAGAAAGAACGGCTTATCTCGCCTGTTCCCGCTGTCGCCTGGATCCTTGCGTTTATAACATTTCTTGGTCTGCTGATACCCCTTGTGGACACATGGTTCGGTATTGCTACTCATGCCACCGCAATCACAATTTTGTCGAACACTACGAACAGCCAGAAATACGGCAGACAGCTTGATAGGACAGCCGATGATACTACCGGCGCGCTCGGACTCTGTGCAGATGGTCCCAATACCAATCTTTCTCTCTTCTGGAGCACCAATACTTTTTGGCCATGCAGCCTGAAATTGGCTGCCGCTGACTTGGCATCAGTTCACCTGACATTGGCAAGTTCGCTGAATGCAACAAAACTGCAATATGGTGTCCAGACCGACAATTCTGTCAGCAATTTCACGGTCAACTCGACAAACTGGTTCTTCTTCACTGATCCTAGAGCCAACTCCGCACTGGACTTCACGGCGTCTAGCCCTGGGATTTCCACGCAGTGCACACCTATGACGGCGAAATGTCTCTCTGATCGCCCTACCGATGGCGCATACGATGGCGGATTCGCGTGCTCGAAAGGCTTTCGTGGCAATATACAACGAAATTGGCCAACTGTGCTTGGTAATGAGACGGCTCCGCATGATCTGGGTGTCTCACCTCTCAACACCACAGGCATCGCATTCGCCGGTGATGCTGCGCTCAACGAGATCCCAGGACTTGTCAAAACTACAGTCCCGGGCGGCTCCGGAGGACCACAGTGGCCTGAAATCTTACCTCGCAATCCCATGCACTTCGGCACTTGGGCCATCAACTACCCTGCCTACGACAACACTCCTGACATTCTTTACAGCGATCCCGAGTTTGCCTTCACCGGCGCCGGGAACATGTGGTTCCTCAACTGCAGTTCTACCGTCGCCAACATCACGTACGCTTGGTCGAATGGCTCGCTACTTCACTTCGATCCAGTCATCGCCTCACCAGAGATGGCAGCCCTCTTCCTCGGTCAATACTCCGTGTACGGGCTCACACCAGACTTCAAGCCAAGCGTCGACCTTACGCTCGCTACCATCGCCAATCTCGCCGCTGTGTCCGTGTCCGACTCCTCTGGCATGATCGAACTCAGTACAGTCTGGGCAACACAGTTCTCCAAGAACACCCTCGCCCGCTCCGTCGGCGCCTTCGCTCCGCTGACGAACGTGATAGAGCAACACCGCGAAGCCGGTGTCATCGTTGCCCGCGTTCCCCTCGCACCACTCTATCTCCTCATCGCCGTCAAGCTCATCTACGTCATTGCCGTCATTGCCCTTGCCATCGGTGCCTACGCCTTCACCCATCCAGCGGAAACCGAACTCGTCAAAGCACAACTCTCTGCCAAAGGCTTAGCTGCAGCTCACTTCGACCAGCCTGGACTTGTCCAAGAGAACGCTGTCAAGGCTGTTCAAGAACGACTCGATATGGTCGGCCAGAAACGTGCTAATACCGACCCTTCGACCACGGGATGGTCTTCAAGCACCGAGCCTCAGCCAGGTCAGCTTAAGAGATCAGAGACATCGCCAGCTGAGATAGAAGGGGGAAAGCCGAAAGTGGGCTTGGTACCTGATATTGATGGAACGTGGAAGTTTGCGGTCATGGCCAATGGTGTGTGGCATAGTATTAGTCCGATTGTGAAGAGTTTTGTTGAGAATGAGGCTAAGAAGGGGGATATGGGTGTTGTGGGGGATGTGATCAATGCTTGGAAATAGAGAATTGCAGGAAATGTAAGTTCCCCAAGCCTTCACAACTACTGTGCCGTTGTCTATAATGCAACGCTGCAAAGACATGGAGGACGGTGCCTAGAATGCACAGCAGATCCGTCTTCCTGAACTTACCTCTCTTGCACCATGTTCCTATACGCCGGCTTCTTGCATCATTTCTTGAACGCAGCTCTTGCATCATCTTCATGGAAACACAGCTCTTGCATCATGTCCTAAACGCACCTATCTTGCATCATCTTTATCTTCCTCTCTTACATCAGCCAATCTCCCCTCTCATATCAGTCTGCTTGCTCTTGGATGTTACTCGCATTCTTCTCTGTATTCCATCATCTGCCTTTCTCACAAGAGTTATTCTCCACTTCCAGCTACCGAGCAAGATGTCCTACACCACAGCCAAACAGATCTGGAAGGCGCCGGTGTCTCTCCCGCAGAAATCGAGGTCCTGAACTGCGCCAGAGAGGTCGCAGAGCAGTCTCCTACCGTGTCAGACGCCATCAAAACGTGTCTCTGGATCATTCGTACCTTCAACACCATCCGCCACCCAATCCGCTCCGCTGCAGTAACCATCATCCTCGAAGCCATGCAGCCTCACCACAAAGACACGTGTTCGTGTCCAGACGAACACGTTCAGCTAGTGGTCGAGTGGCGCAAGGCATTGATCGACCCGGCGAACAACATGCATCGGCACCTTGCTATCGCGGAAACAGAACGAGTAAGTGTGCAGCAATTAGTCCATTTCCAAAGCATGATGGGTGTGCATATGCAGCTGACGCGTTTGGAACTTCCAGGCCAAGATCAGCCGAATAGAGCAGATTGTTGCCGCCATTCGAGCCATTCGAGGTGCTGGACGGCCTCTCTCGAAGTGTTCTGCTGCGGGTGAGATCGAGATCCTGAGAGCACCTGAGACTCACATCTGTGATGAGAGTTGCGACGGCTATGGCTGTGGCTACGACTCTAGTGCGCGCAGCAGACTATGGCAGGTGTGGCCGAGGCTCCCAGCTGATCCAGACGAGGCCAGTGAGCGGCAGGAACGGGAAGCAGAACCAGTCGAGGCGATCAAGGAAGATCTTGTGGCCATGTATTCCTCCCCATCTGCGTATGGTGGCCCTTACAAATTTGAAGAAACACTTTCGAACTGCTATCGAATGGCGCCTGAGGGCAATTCTAAGAAATGTGAAAGGCGAAACGACAGTCCGCTAGCATAGTTCGTAACAATGGCAAATCTCGAGGACCTAATTCCATCAACCAGAGTGAAAATGCCCTCTCCAGAAATTCTGGAGCCAGAGTGACGCCTGAACGAGGCAAATTTGCCTCATTCAAAAGTGAACACAACCACTCCCCGTACATATACCCTAACTCTTCATCCTATCACGCAGACAATACGCCGCAAATTCCTTCGAGCGCTAATGAACTGTTTGGACGGTGCTTTAGCCGAGAATTCAATTCAAGATTCCATCTGAGCAAGACGACTACTCTTCACGGCACGTACAGTATTGCAGCCATGGCCAAACCGAAGACAATGATCAAGCAGAGCAAGAAGAAAAGCAAGGAGCAAGTATGTCTTTCGTATGGGCGTTCGCTACACAACATTGACCCATTCAGGTTCTTGAAGACGCAGACGACTACCTCGCCGTAGGCGTCGACCACGAAGATGCAGCAGGCAAGTGGCGAGCCGGGGACGCATCAAAGTCGTTACGATTCTTCAATCGTGCCATCGAAGTCTACACTCAAGGTCTCGCTAGGTATCCTAAAAGTCTTGATCTCTCCTACAACAAGGCTCGAGTCGAGCTCGAGATTGCAACACATCCCGCAATGATCAGAGCACTAGATGTCCCAGTGCGTGCGGTGCTCGAGCAGGCTCTCGAATCACATCGCTATGCTCTGCAATTAGACCCGGAGAATCCTGAGACCTTGTTCAATACAGCCCAAGTCTTGACTACCGTCGCTGAAGAGCTCGCCAAGGATGAGGCGCGTACTGATGTGGCGCTGAAAATGCTTGAAGAGGCGCTCGAGCTTCTTGCCAGATGCTACAGTGTCCAAGAGTTTCGATTTGAGGAAAGCGAGCAGCAGCGGCAAGCAATGAACGAGACGCCGCAGGAACCAGAGTCGTCCTCCACACGAGAATCATCTCCCTCCGTGTCAGCATCTGCAGCAGAGGATCAGTGGTTCAGCGTCGTCGAGCCCATCACGGCTGACACCCTGATCGACACCGTTCTGGCGCAGCTTGCAACGCTCACAACACTCACATCAGTACTAGGAGATATAATACCACCTCCGTCATCGCCGACGTTGCCGTGGATCTCAGAATACTCAACACCTCTCGTGCAGAAAGTCGACGTGCTGACCAATACCCAAGACAGCACGACCACAGCCGACGACAGCCGTGCCGAAGAGATCACCCTCACGAAGACGAACCTTACAACCGAACTCCTCGATGCCTCCTTTCGTCACTCTCTCATCGACCTCGCGACCTACAAAACCCGCCTCTCCGAACTCTTCACCCCACCACCAATATCTCACCCGCTCCTGATAGCCCAAGCTGAAGCACTGCTGTCGGTTTCATCCGCCCTGTCCTTGACAGACCCTCCGGGATACCACGCCGACCAGTGGACCGCCCTGTCCACCGCAATAAGTACGCTCGGCACCGCTGGCAACATTCCACAATCGACGCCTGCACAACAAGCTCTCACGCACTCCCTACGTGGCGACGCGTCCCTGTTGCAACACGCCCTGTCATTCCCTCCAAACCCATACTCCACTGCGGTGAAACACGCAGCGCAGTTGCTGGCTAACGCCGAGACCTTCTACCGAAATGCTACACGCCTATACCTTTCCCCACCTCCGTCCACCGCGCAGAACTCCCAGGCGGGTCTCTCAATAGGCCTCACTTCCAGCGCACCCGACCCCGAAGCAGCTCTCCTCGCCCAACGCGCAGCCTTCCGCTGCACAGTCGCGCAGGTCCTGCAGGGCAAACCCGCGGACTTGGGAGCTGATCTGGGAGGCAAGATTGATCTCGGCGGACAGAGTCGCGCGTGGGTCGCAGAGCAGATGGAGGAAATGGCCGAGGAAGAACTAGTTTCGGAAGGCTTCGCGGAGAAGCTCTTGGGACGCGCTTGAGTACATGTTGGGTGGTGACTTTTAGGCACACATGCAAGCATGTGTTCACTGGAACACAAGCTGCCCCTTCGGGGCTTGAGTAGCCCTACCATTAACAGAAGCAGAGCAGCACTCCTTCCTCAAGTCAAAGCAGAGTACTCTTCACCCCCCTTTCCAGCTGCTTGAACGGGTGATCACAGGCAGCAGTCGAACTCTGGCTTCCTGCAACCAACAGTGAATACTCATCATCGAGTCAGTAGAGTGAATCGCTTCGGCTTGCCTCGGATCTGCACGTCTTGAACAAGTATAAATCCTCGTCTTGCCCATGATTCCCTCCTCTTTTCTTTTCTTTACAACAGAACATCCCCACCAGCGATGCCATACTTCGATAGCACGTGCTGCTATCTGGTGGGGCGAGCTTGTTGGACGACTCCGGGATGATCATTCCACTAGATGGAAGACATTGGCAGAAGTTGGCGACTGCCATTCCATCTACAATGCCTCCTGGCTGCGTAGATCAGAATCAGCATATCATATCGGAGGTATATCCCAAGAGCGGATGAGATGGGCGACACTTGCTTGAGTCCATTATTTAAATGATCAAGTAGGTGTCTGCAAGTCGACAACACTACTATTCAATGACAATACTCATTTATATGCTAACAAATCTCATGGTTCTATGACCCTAGTGACCTAATTCCCGTCTCTTCACAGCATTTACTAGATCCCCGGTTCACGATCCCGCCACAAGAACCAACCATAAACCAGCAAGACCGGCCAGGCTACCTGGTATATCTTCCGCCCGAATATCGTGAGGGCGCCTCCCTTTGGTGGGAGCATAAGTGCTCGGTTTTTCTTGCTGGGCATTCCCCAGTCGTCATCGTCGTCTTCGTCATTGTTTGGCGAAGCTGCTGTTTCAGTCGATTGGAAAGTGAATGGATTGCTGCTGTCACTGTACTCCCTCGGCGGACTATACGACGACGCCTTCGCAGGTGACGCCGATCGCGAAGAGGCTGGCAGGTTGCCGTAGCTGCTCCGTGCAGACAATCGCTCCGTCGCTGCACCATTTGCAGTAGCAGCTAGAAGCTGGTTGGCGGAGTTTGAGTTTGAGCGCTTGCGCGCAATAGCATCTTTGGAAGGGTTCGTAGTTGTGGTCGTACTAACAAGAGGCAACAACGGTTCAGACCGATCATACGGCGTCGTCTTCCTCAATTGCCTCCTCCGCCGCGTTGTGCGGACCGTATCAATCGCCAGGATCACCAGCGTCAAGCCGAGAAGCTGGGCGTAGCGAATGAAGACGTCCAGCTGAACAGGCAGAAGGCAGAGGTGGTTCTGGAGTGTGTCCTTCGGCGCCGGGAGGCGCGTAGGATTCGATCCGTCAACATCGGGATCAGCGAACGCCTCATTTACAGCTTTCTTCAAATCGACCGGATTCCACAAACTAACCAGTTGCACTCCCGGAATTCTCACGCCCATAGCCCAAGACATAGATTTCACAGTAATCTCCTTGATGGCGCCCGTATACTCCGAATGCGTGATCTCGCAGTAATCGTGGTCGTCGCCGGAGTAGATCTGCACGATCTCTTCTGAATTGAGGTGCTTGATGATGTCGGAAGAGATGAGCGGGGTTAGCACGTTTTGATACTGGTAACCGGCGGAGAGAGGGATGTGGGGGCGGCCTTCACGGTGGGGGCCGCAGGGGGTGTTGTCTGGGCGGAAGAGGGGGACGTGGGAGAGGATGATGGTTGGGAATTGTGAGGTGGGGATGTCGGGTGTTGGTGGTTGGTGGCGGGGATTGGAGGGGGCGTAGGGGTCTGCGAGATCGATGAGGTCTGGTGGGAATTTCATGTTGGGTTGGAGGAGATCGTACTCTCGCTGGACTGCATGGTGTCGGAGGGATTTGGCGGCGCTAGAAATTCTTCGACTGGTCGCCAGAGGTGGCTACTGGCGGTAGCTGAGGCGCTGGCATCCCCGCCGCCGTGTGCGCCTGTGTTGGGATCGACTTGGTCCATTGCGCTGAGGGAGACCGTGTCGAGGGATACGAATGAGTGATTTCCCAACACATCCACGCGGTTCAAGGGTCCGAAGAAAGCGTCGAATCTGCTCTTGACCGCGGGGTCGATCCCACTTGCAAAGCCCTGGTCATGATTGCCCGGCACTGAGGCGATAAGTCTGCGACCGTAGGGTGCGGCATGGCTTGAGATGGAGCCATGAAACCAGTTTTGCAGGAATAGGTTCGAGAAGCGCCTGTACTCTTTGCGCCAGAACTTGTCGCCGTAGCCTTTGTACCGGTCTTCCGGCGACTTGTAGTCTGCTGTTCCCCACTCTCTGCCGCCGTCGAAGAGGTCACCGAGGAAGAGTGTTGAGTCTGGACGGAGAGTCTGTTGAAGCGTGCGGTATGCGCGGCGGAGGTACAGGTCGGTGTAGAGTATGGTTAGCGTGCTCAAAGGCCATGGCCGGCCTGGGTAGGTGTGCGGATCGACGAGCTGGGGGTCTGCTATGAGGAGAACGTGATGTGGCTGTGCTTGGGTGGTCTATAGTCTCGCGGTCAGATCAGCTCGATGTTGTTGTCGAGGGGTGGAGGGCGGACCCATGTCTCCCAATTCTCCCACGAGCACTGCGACACGGTGCTGCTGTAGATGCCGCTCTCGCCCCACCATATTGCTATCCACCACACCAGTATGAGGCCCGTCGTCAGGCGCAGTATTCTCCGGCGGAGGAGTGACAGAACATCGATGCCTCGATCTGGTAGTTTGTGATGTTTCATCGCCTGATTATAAGAAGGTGTGCTGACGCGAGAAGGCGTCTACCATGGTGCAGGATATTCTTCCTGTCCTTAGCCAGATCACCAGGCACTTCGTCAGTACATCAACATGTGTCGTCCGAGCACACAAGCGCATGGAATTTCGAAAAGTCATCCCCTTCAAGAACCCCGGACTGTTTAAGCTTTATTCAGGACTTTTAGGCGACGCGTGCACCCGTGTGACGGGCGGCCAATCGGCGAATGTGCCTGGGGATCCCGAAGCGAAGAGCGCCGTTGAGTGTCATCCGGTCTCACCGATGGCATTAGGCTTGCTAAGCCATCTTTATTGCCCGTGTAACGTGCAGATGTTGTTCTGGATTCCGTCCGGACAGACACGACTTGGTACTTGATCGAGAGCTCTGGCGTGCTCATTCGCCCCCGGCAGCATTTAACGGAAGTTGAAACTCTTCTGAACGGATGTGTCCAGGGACGAGGATGGCCACCCGACGGCAAACAAACCTGAGTGTGAATGTGCTGTATGGAATCAATCTTGACCATCGGATACACTGAAGATGGGAGATCCTGTATCGGTCGCATCTGGGATCGCGGGTCTTGCCACACTTGCTATTCAGGTCGCTGGTGCTGTCTATGGCTATGTCAGCGCCGTCAAGGAACGCACCAAGAATGTCAGCGAGCTACGTGACGAACTTCTGCTTCTGGGAGGCGTGCTCACAGAGCTCAATGACTTCATCAATAGCGGACCAGCCAAGACACATGAGTTTGATGGAGACAGTGTCTTGCAGAATGCCCTACGAGCCTGTCGCCAGCGCATCGAGCGTATTGGCGACAAGCTCAGGACTCCAGATGGCAAGTTCAAGAGAGCAGTCGAGCGGCTGATATGGCCATTCAAGGAGGAAGAAGTTCTTTCATTGATGGACTCACTGAGGAGGTACCGGTCTACTTTTGCATTCGCGGCGGATATCCAGGGGTACAAGATACTCCTCAAAAACACGACAGACACGGAGAAGACTGTCATAGGTATTCAAAAGCTGGAGGAGCAAATGGCGGAGTTGACAGGCGTGGAAGCTAATGAGAAACGGCAAGCACAACTCAAAGCAGTCCTGGACCTCCTGCCATTGCTGAAGAGTACATCCAATGATATGCGGGAAGTTACGAACGCCGCGCGCCTGCAAGAGATGCGAGAGCAGGAGCGACGCAAGTCTGATATCCTAGACTGGCTGTGTCCCATCGAAGACCTCCGAAAGAACAAAGATTTACAGAACCATCGCACTCCAGGCACTGGTCAATGGTTGCTCGAGACACCAGAGTTTCAGTCGTGGCTTAGTAACGATGTGCAAGACTTGGTCTGTGTCGGCGGTCCGGGTGTGGGTAAGTCTGTCTTGTGCACCAAAATCTTGGACAATCTTGTCGAAAGATATGGTGGTAACGAGGACATCCGCGTCGCTCACTACTATTTTGACTACTCTGAGGTTGATCTGAGGAACGATGTTCACATGATCCGCAGCATTCTACGACAATGCTGTGTACCATGTGCGACCATTCCACCAGCCGTCTCGGAGTTTTACCAGAAGACAAGAGACGTCGAGAAGGATCGGACCTGGTTTCGAAAGCTGCAACGAGTGTTTCAACGCGTCATCTCAACCCATTCCAGCATTTTCCTGGTGATTGATGCTTTGGACGAAACGAACGCCGTGACGCAACGACCTGGATTCTTTCAGGCCATTCAAAGCATCCGTGAGGAGTACGCTGGCCTGAAGATTCTGGTCACGACCCGTCCACACTTGCTGGAAGTTGTCCCTCAGTACCTCCAAAACTCCGCGAGTGTTGCCGTAACCGCTACTGAAGAAGATCTACGACGTTTCCTCCTCCATAAGATCGAGAAGTACCCAGACTGGGAAGCTATATTTGACGACAAGCTGAAACATGAGGTGGTTGAGGAGCTATGTCAAACAGCCAACGGAATGTTTCTGTTGCCATCTCTACAAATCTCCAATATCCTGGAGTCCTCCTCGAGGGCCGACGTCAGACGCTCTCTGAAGTCTCTGTCGAGCGACTTGACCGGTGTCTTTACGTCAACAATCGAGCGCATACAGAGGCTGCCACCGCGCTGGTGTGATATTGCTTTCCAGACTTTGATGTGGCTCTCTCATGCCCGGAGGCCATTGACCATGACAGAATTGCGGCACGCTCTAGCTGTGCAAGACGAAGACGAGGACCTCGACGAAGACGCCCTGATATCACCGAGGAAGATCCTCGAATACTGCAACGGGCTCGTTGAACACGAGCACGACTCTGGCGTTGTACATCTGGTCCATTATACCCTTGAGGAGTATCTCGTTAGCCACGAACACAATCTGTTCAAAGATGCCGAGCTCGCTATCCTAAGGACGTGCTTGAAGTATTTGTCTCTTAGATCCTTGCAAGACGTGTCGCAAGGCAGTCGAGTTCACGCACAGACAGTAATGGCGAGGCGCCCATTTGGCAACTATGCCGCCAGCTACTGGGGCTTCCACGCCCGAGAGATCGAGCTTGGAAAGTACGCAGACCTCGTCTTACCTATTCTTTCGTCCAGTCAAGCACTCATGGCCGTAGTCAAGGTGCGTGACGCGAACACAGCTGACCAGCGGAAATATAACGACCGCGTGTGGCAATGGAGCCACGCTCCAAACGGAGGTGGAGGAATTAGCCTTGCAGTCAGCTTTGGGCTGACAGAGCTTGTGCGTTATCTCATCGGTCAACAGGAAGAGCCGAACCTGACCGCAAGAAACGTCCACGGGTCTTCAGCTCTGCATGAAGCAAGTTTCCATGGGCATGAGGAGACGGCGGAGTTGCTTATTGTGGAAGGTGCCAATATCTTCGACAAGAATCTAGCAAAGAGTACACCGATGTACCTGGCTGTCTCATATGGGAGAATAAGTATGGCCAAAGTACTGCTTAAGTATGGCCACCAGCAGCTCGATGTACAATGCGGAGGTGGCCAGACAGCATTGCACAAGGCAGTCGATTTGGACTCGGAGACGATGGTCCAATTCCTGCTTGATTCGAATGCTTTGATCGGAGCCAATGACGACCGCAACAACACGCCTTTACATGTCGCGGCGTTGAGGGGCTCTTTGGCGATTAGCAAGATGTTGATAAACGCGGGAGCATTCATCTCGGCGCAGAACAGGCTTGGGCTCACACCGTTGGACCTGGCAGCAACAGCTGGACATGCTGCGGTCGCCCAAGTACTCCTCGAACACGGAGCTGATGTGTCGCATAGAGCTCATGATCAATGGACGGCCTTGCACCGAGCAGCCCGCGGAGGACACGTGGATACAGTCGTCAGCTTGCTCGAATACAGAGCAGACCTTCTGACGACCGACATCAAGGGCAACATTGCGCTACATCACGCCGCCCGAGCTGGACATCTCGAGACGGTCGAGCAGCTCATCGGCTACGAGCCCTACTACACAGAACAGCAATTGCTCCAGGTCGACCATGCTGAAGCACGACCTCGGGAGGTCGCCTTCTTTTGCGCCCACTACGATGTCCACAAGTATCTCCGTTCGCTTGAATGGCAGCTGCTTGGGGCGCCGGGCGCGGAGAACAATGTCACCCTGGCCATCGAGCGCGGCGACAAGGATCTCCTGCACAGCCTCTTGCAGCAAGGGATGCTCAACGTCAATGCCACCGACGAAGACGGACAGCCACCACTGCATGTGGCGATCCAGGAAAAACAGGAGGAGATTGCTGAACTTCTGATGACAGCAGGCGCTTCAATCGAGCAGAAAGGCTACCATGGCTGGCGAGCATTACATATCGCGGCCAGCCTCGGTGACGCTGACCTGGTAGACTGGTGCCTGCAGCAGAACGCAGATGTCCACGCCAAAACCTCGACGGGACAGCAGGCAATACACAAAGCCGCTTCTTCCAGATCCCTTCCAGCCGTTCGCCGGCTCCTCGAGGCAGGCGCCAACGTCGAAGCCCGCAACGACCGCGGCATGACACCTCTCCTTGTCGCATCCCACCAGAACGACGTCAACACTGTTCGTGCTCTGGTAAGAGAGTACAAAGCCGATCCGTTCAGTCGAGATCGACATGGCTTTACGGCGATGCATTGGGCGGAGAAGAGTGCGCATTTCGAGATTGTCAAGTTCTTGAGGCAGGAGAAGAAGACTGCAGAGAAGGAGCAGGGGAAGCTGAAGCGGTTTGGGACGAGTAGTAGTGATGTCAGGCTTGCAAGTCGGGATAGCGTGGACACTCTCACGCAGGATCTGCATTTGGAAGAGCTGGAATTGGCATAGTCGAGTTGTGGAAATATAAGTGCAGAACAGAACGTATCCTATCAGGCTGTGCACAGCAGGACGGCCTTGGCGACAACGGGCCACTTCCAGTCACAAGGTCTGCTGTCCGTTGATTCATGCTTCGGAGTCGCTTGTACGAGACGATGCTACATGCACAACCAGCTATCAAAGTCAACACGCCAGGGACAAACCTGAGCAAGCAGTCATCCGGTCTGCCGAAAGGTCGGATCCTTGGGCCGAGTCAACCGGTCTGGCAGGAGCTTCGATGCAGCCGGATGACAAGTACGTAAGTCGCCACCCCTCTGTCTCAATACCACTAGCACCCACTCAAACACCACTCTCCACTCCCATCAGTCGACCGCAGACCCCCAAAGACTCATCCTGCCATACACACAATGTCATCCGCCTCCATCAACGAATCTCGCTCCGCCTCGGAAGCCAAAGTCTCGTCGTGGGGCTTCAACCACGTCTTCACCTGGACTGATCGACCCAACGCACACTACCCACCACACTCCCATTTAGGCCTCACCACGCACTTGATTCGTCGAGGCTCACTCACAATCACGTACCCAGACGACGAGAAGCCAACGAAGGAGACGTTTGGTGTTGGTGCACGGCTTGATGTCGCGGCGGGGAGGAGGCATGAGGTGTGGGTTGGGAAGGAGGGGTGTGAGTATGTTATTGGGGAGTGATATTGGGGGTTGCAGTTAGTCAGAGGCATTACGAGTTCGGGGAGGGGATTGACGGGCGTACATTGCGAGGGCAAGCGACTGCCGAGACGAAAATGTGAGGGTGGTCAAATATGCATTATCCTATTTCTACATCGTAAGTCCTGGCAACCAGTGTACACGACAAACAATATGTCGGAGAAGCACAAGACTTCTGCCAGTCCTCCTACTCTGCTTCGTCATCCCTCCTCGGCGGTGACTGATGCACCATTTCAAACATTTCTGTGACATAGTGGAAGTTCTACTTCTTCGCATCACCAGGCGGACAACATTGCTTTGAATCTGCACACGCGTCTGAGCAGTCCAGCAAACACGTCCGATTGCCCGCATCCGACCTCAGACTACCAGCCTTACTAGCGGTGGCAGTATTTGGACTGACCGCGCCCGAGCCTGCTTGTTGCTCCTCGACAAATGCGTTCAGTGCAGCATTATCTGCTGCTGTCGTGAACTCGGGCTGTATCGTGCTGCTGTGGATACCGTAGCCGTGTAGGCAGCGGCGGATCTCTCGAGCGAGATGCATGTAGCTATCGCTGCCGACTCCTTCGATCGGGCAGTCCACCTTGACATGCAGACTGGCGACCAATTTGGTGTCACTAAGCTGCCAAACATGCACATGGTGGGCTTCGAGGACTCTATCCAGGCTCTCGATGTCGGCTCGAATCTCGTCGATGCTCATGCCCATTGGGACTGCTTGCAGAAGGATGCGACTTGCAGCCTTGCAGAGCGGTATGGCGGAGGCGAGGATGATGACTGTGATGACCAGGGAAACAGCCGGGTCGAAATAGTATCGTCCGGGAAATTTGGTAAGCCAGATGATGAGAGCTGTGATTATGACGCCAATGTTGCCCAGTGCATCTCCCAAGACGTGAAGGAAGACGCCTCGCATGTTCAAGTCGCCGTGAGAGTGACCATGGCCGCCGTGACTGTGACCATCGTGTCCAGCGTCCTTGGGTTGGTTATGATTGTGCCCACCGTGATCATACGTCCTACTCGCGCGCTTCGTACTGCCATAATTGGCGTGGTCGTGGGAATGTTTCGATGTCGAGCCATTTCGACCAATATTGGGGGAGCCAGGTTCCTGCAGGAGTGCCGTTTCCTCATCTGCAGATTCTTCGTCACGTTCTTCTAGCCGTGAAGCTGCTATGATCTCGTTTCTGAAAGATGCCGGGTGGACAGATATGTGGTCTACGGAACCGAAACCACGACCAAATGATCCAGAAGCACGTCTCCGACGGTGGCCTTCGCTCCCACTGACTGATTTTCGATTTGGCGTCTGGGGTGTCTGTGATGATTGTGCAGACAGAGTTGTGGTGTCTTCATCTGATGCTGTGTAGCGTTGTGGTGACTGGGAAGCATTTGCGACGACGACTGAAGGTAGCACATCAGCGATACTGCCATTCTGATCCTTGATCCTGTCGGTTTGCTCATGGCTGTGGCTATGTCCTCGCTCGGCCTCGCTATGCTCTTCTTCGCCGCCGTGTCCGTGGCTGTGATCGTGGAACAGGAAAAGGCCCATTATGTTGGATGCCAAACCGAAGCATCCGACTATGAGGACGAGTTTGGGGTTGCTAACCACTTGTGGCTCGACGAATCGCTGGATGGCCTCCAGAAAGATAGACAAACACAATGCGACGAGGAAGACGCCATTCACCAAAGCGCCCAGCGTCTCCGCTCTCTGCCAACCGTATGTGTACATTTTCGAACTTCCAGTGTTGGCGACTCGGACGGCCCAGAGACCGACGCACAGGGAAAGAACGTCGTTCAGCATATGAAAGGCATCGGCCACCAGGGCCAGGGAGTGTACAGCATAGCCTGTGACATGTCAGTCTGAGCCATCGCGGACGAGAGGAATGACGACGTACCAACTGAAAGTTCGATCAAGAAGAATACGCCGTCGATGCCGAGCAATATGCCTATCCGCTGCTCCTTTGTGAGACCCATCTTGTCTGTGTTCTGTTCCGACCGCCAACCAGGCCGTAGTACGTTGTTTAAAGCCCTCAGCTTTGAGCTGAGGGGAAATTCGTAAAGCGGACTGTCTTTCGGACAGACGCGCCGCTTATGGCGTGCGTCCTATGTGTGGCTATAAACACGATCTTGATCGTGGAGTATTATGGTAGTGAACAGCTGTTGCGAACATGGATGCTGCGTAGGACTAGGAGGTGAAGATGTTGCTGAGAAATGAGGACCGTCCGAGGTTTGTTCGTGGCAATTGCTACTAACTTCGTCACTGCCCGCACCGGCGGTTTGCGCCATCGCAAACACGTGACCAAAAGTGGGGTTTGTTTGTGGGTTTTGGGCAATTGCCTTGGGAGATCAATGGTTGCCTTCTCAATTTAATTCTTCGAAGTGTCCAGACGTCCACCGTCAGACGTGTGGTACTATGCGCCCTTTCAATCGAGGACCTCTGATCTATCAGACGACGCCTTTAGGCTCGACAGCCTTGACAAATCAACCATCCTCAGCGTTCTGCGAGTACAACTGTGCTCTTCAAACTTGTCGTCCCATGGGTTTGTCATTGAGTGGCTCGTCCTCACCACACAACGACGTCTGAGTCGTCGTTCTTGACTTGTCAAGCATCCTGAGCCTCCTTTGACGAGATCTCTTCGAGCTTCTTTCCAAACCACTTCTCCCAAAAGACCTTCTTCATATTCTCATTGTCTTGTGGTACGACACGTCGAGTCTTGATTCCAGCCTTCTTGAGGATCTTCGAGGCCTCCGTCTCCGGCTCCTTTCCGTACTTCTCGATACACTGTTCCTTGAGCGAAGCAGCAGGAATAGGAATTGCCTCTTTGCCGTCGCCGGATTCCGCAAGATAGATCTTCTCAGACATGTCCACCCAAAACTTCGCGTCCGCCTCGGCGTCGACTTTGATCATGAGGTAGTAGACCCCTGCCAACTACCATAGGTTAATGTTTGAGTCTTTGACGGGTTCATTTTGCTCCTACTTGATCTGGCTGCAGCTTCTTCAACCATGTCTTCCACTTCTTCGCATCCATCCCGGCATTGAGGTCGGCCATGAAGTCATCGGGAAATGTCCTGAGATTGACTGGTCAGAATGGGATCCAGAGGTCATCAGCTAAAGGACAGACTTACACTAAGGCGTTGCCTTCGCTATCAAACTCTGTGTTGTCATATCTAACTTGCGACATCTCGGACCGGGTGTCGTTTGACATGGCGTCGTTAGTACGAGACGGCGACATCTTGGAGGGATGGGTAGGGGTGTGGTTTGAAGTGTCAAGTGAGAGTGGAGGGGGAGAAGGAGATATTTATTGCTCTTGATCATCGTTGTGACTCAGAGCGTGCGATTCATTCACGTCGCCCATCGATTGATCAGTGAAGACACTGAACCGAGCTCCATGAAAACGACCTCACTTCAGTCGCACTTCATCCACGCTTTGAAGGGCCGGCTGGCGCAGCGGCCTGACGGCTTGCGTAGCACGAACCGCGCAACGACTTTCAAACGATGGTGTACAAGGGTACTCGGGATGCCGTCTGACATACCAGGTGCCTCGTAGCTTGACCGGTCAAGTTTCTCGGTACTCTGTGGCTCACTCTCTTATACCATCAAGCAAGTCAGCCCTTCGATAGTTGCCTAATCCAGCCCAGCACAGCACTCCACGAATCCTGTCCAAGGACTTTCTTCAACTTGTAAGGTATGTATATGTGTAGCTCTCGAGACTTGCGTAACAATCGACACAAAGGTCAAGCTGGAGCAGGTTATTTCAGCAGCATAGTGTCAACGGCCATTACGTCAAGCCAAGTTGAGATCTGGGTTCGACCAGGATAACGAGTCAGCTTCGCGCGAAGATCCCAGTTCGAGTCTGGGTGCTGCTCTGGCATACCTTTTTGCTTTTTGCTTTTGCGAGAAGGACGGGCAGCAATCGTTCATCAATATTGACAGTCGATTCTGTGATAGCCAATAGCACTCGGTACAATAAATTTGACACGCCAGGGAAGACTCTGCACTGAAGACTTGTCCAAGTCGTGGACCCAAATGGTCTTCGTATTCTCGAATGGGTAACTGGCCGAGACTCTTCCAGCAAAGCACGTGCCTGCCATAGTCGTTGAGCCGCTGAATGCTTTCGTTGAGATCCGTGCTCATCATGTGTATCTGACCAGAAGTAATGCCATTTCCAACACCATGTCTCCGTTCCGTGATGCCAATTGACCCGATCTGACCACGTTCATGAGAACACTGGGATGTCGCTCGAGCTCCTGAAGCGCATCGCTTTGATACACTACCTCGTACACAGCGGACGTCGTGGTCCCTGATACGGTCCGAGCACCGTCGGCAAAAGCCCGCATACTATCGTGACAGCTTCTGCCGCTTAGGCAGTGAATCAGGCACCAACTCATCAGCCATCTCCTCGTCACTGTCGTCGCCAATATCAATCTCGTCACCACTTTCGCCCAGACTGCTAGCGCCAGACTCGTCTTCTCCATCCAGATCCATGCCACCATCCTCGTCCAGATCCTCATCAGGCACAAGCAGTTCGTCCTCGTCATTCTCAACCCCATTCGTGACAGTCTCCTCGTCGTCCAAATCAGCGTGACTTCTCTTCAGCCCCTTCATTTTCCGTGTCTGTAGTTGAGATAGATCCTGCTTGCCCAAGTGAACACGGCCGATCTTGTCTCCGACCAGGTCTGTCTCGATGTTCTTCTTCGTGCGCGCCTCGTTCGGTCGTCTACCGTGCTTCATGGCCTCTTTCATGACTGACTCATCAGCTTCGCGGAAACGACCAACTCTGAAGTCAAATATAGGCCCAACTGATTCGAGCTCGACTCGTGGCACTTTTGGTGACGTCGACTTCTTCGTGTTGACTTTGTACCATCGTAGATGAATCACCGGTTTGTCTGCTGGGTCATCCAATATTCTCGAGTTGTTGTTTGCTCCCTCGCCGGCGGCGATCATGAGAACGTGCTGTAGGCCTGCAACGTCGACACTCGGAATCTCCTCGCCCTGGAACAGGTCAAGCAATTGTGATCGAAGAGTCCTGAACACTGCAGCTCGCTCTGATGATGACTCGTCCTCCCATTGTGAGCCTGCGAAGAGGATCATTGGCTTCATCTCTACACCAATGTCTATCCGTCGCTGGACCTGGATCAACTCCGGTGGGGTTATGAGCAGCAATTCGACCATGTCCAGTACTCGATTGTCGAACGCTCTCAGTAACGTGACATTGTTAGGTCTTTTCTTGGTGTGTGTGCCGAAGACGACGATACCACACTCGTTTTTCCCAGCCAGAAACTCCAGAGATTCCGCATTCTCGAAGGGATGTATGTTGTCGTTCTTCTTGTTGAGTTTGGTCGAATATGGTTGTGTCAGTTTTGCGATCGTTGTGAGGCATGTGGCTAGTGATTGTGGGCATTTGGTGCCATGAAGGAGCAGGACTCGTTTTCGCGCTTCTATCTGTTGAGGCTCGCGTGCTTTCACGATCCTAGCCGTGCGAGCATTTCGAGGCTTCACTTCTCTGAGCAGAGACATTTTGTGGGATCTTAGGTCTTGTCAGCGCGATGACAAGCGATTTGAGGCGCAACGCTGCGTGTAGACGACGAATGTTGACCGCGACAGGTTGCTGAAGCCTGAGGGCACCTGATTGCGCAGCATTCTGGCCTCGAACTTTTTTCGAAGTCTGACGAATGCGGAGAAAAAGTTGGAGGCTCAGGGCGGAACCTACTTGTATTGATCACCATTGCTCTACCCGCCGGCATCACTTCATCACTGTCGAAACAGTTTTGCTTACGTCCATTTCGCGGGATACAAAAGTCACACTTGCATCGATGTTGGAGACGGCTTCCGGGTTCTGCGACTCTGACCCTATTTTTGAGCCATACGCACCTGCTCTGTGATACTCGTGAAGCTACTCTGGGTCTCAAAGCGACGACATTGGCGGTGCTTCGAGAGGATGAGATTGACAGCCCGATGTTGACCGGTCTGATTAGACGTCTGCGGCAGTGTACCGTAGGTACTGGGTCACCAACACACAGCGATGTCCCTCCCAGTCATGAATTGTTTATTGGGCCGCCATGCTAGCTGATGCCTCGAAGCGTGGCTCGAATGCGACTGAAGTGAGGTCGTTTTCATTGTGCTCGATCCAATCTTCACTGATCTATTGATGGGCGAAGTGAATGAAATCAGAACATCGAATTCCAGGGATGATCGACCGTTATAAATTGCTCCCCACTTTCCTTCTTCTCCCTGCTGACTCTTCAGACACCACACCCTTTCCCTCCCAGATGTCGCAGCCTAGTGCGGGCGAGGTCGAGCCCGGGGATGCACCATCCGAGTTCTCGCTGGCTGATATCGATGCTGGTGAGGTCGAAACTGACAGCGACGATGAAGCGTAAGTTTGTCCTGTCAACCCGTGATCTAGGATGATCACCTGACCTGTCAATCCCAGGTATATCATCGATCAAAGCGACCAAGTCATGGCAGAGAAGAAGGCCTTGCCCCCCAGGTTCGGAGACATGGATTAAGTGGACGAATGGCTTCTACGGAGGTACTATGACGATCCCAGGGTTGTGGCTTTCGCAGAGGGCATGTCAAACCAAAAGCTGACTCACCACATGCAATCGATGAAGGGAGGCAGAGGGCTTACATATACCGCTGGCATGGAACGTGCCCAAAGTCTGCATGTCGCTGTCAACGAGGAAGATCTGAAAGCAGGCCAGGTACGTAGAGCTTGACCCCTGAAAGATAACCCAATGACTGACCTGCTGCAGTGGGCAATGGTCCTCGCTCTGAAGACTTACTTCGAAAACGAGCCCAAAGGGGAAATGTGGCGGAAGGTGTCTGAGGCGCTGTACGAAGAGACCTTGCGCAATGCCACCGGCGAAAACAAGTTCGAAGGCGTTCTTCTCATTCCTGCTCAAACGCTTGAGAGGATGTATACAAAGCAGAAAGCGCGTGGCTGGTCAGCGTTGCTGATTGATCGCCAAATCATGACTATCGAGTATCCTGAAATCAGGGTTGGACCGGTCAGAGAGGAAAGCACGAAGGGCTACTTGGAGAAGTGGTTCGCAAAGGTTCCATGGGCACGCTTCTGGGAGGACGCTGAGGGACATCTGCATATCCAAGGCGAGGACAAGGACGGCTTCCTGTGGTGAAGTCGAGGTTGCAGTTGACTGGTCCCAAGGACGACAAGTTCGAAGTAGTGAACAGCTTGAGGCTTTGGACGTTATACGGATTGACAGGTCAATGGGACGCCAAGTGCGATGGCGATACTGTAGTCTTTCTCGAAGGACGATCAAGATCGATGACCAGTCAAGAGCGTTCACCGAAAGCTGTCGTCTGAATAGGCAGAGGTTGCCAGTTGACAGGTCCATAGGACGACAAGTTTGAGAAGAGTAGTCGCGTTCTTCGGAGAATTTAATTCGCAGGCTTCGCGTCCTAGCCTAGAAGATCGCCCAACTTTCCGTGCATTCCGGCTCCTTCAGGATTTGACTAATCTTAGGCTCGTTTGTTCGTAAGAGCTTACCATTATTGCGCCATGAGAGGCATATATGAACGGACTTCGCTCGCTCAGTCTGTTTGCATTTGTTTGTTCTTGCCTTCGTGGAGATGCAGACACTTTGAGGTGCTCAATACTACTCCCATCAGTTGGCGCGTCGTGGGCTTCTACACAGGTACTGACGGCGATCGTCAGCTTGTGGACCTGATCAGAGCGATCGGATCTTGCAAACCCACGGTGCAATGTGCCGGTCTCCATGTCAATCGCAGTGAGCCCGAACACATCTGGCATGCTCTGCGAACGCGACAACTCGTACGACAATGCAAATCCTAAATGGCCATGGACAGCAAATACTAGCCGACGATTACAATCTCCAGCTCAGTCGTGTCGTTGCGGCGAGCACTGGGCGCCTGCAGGACACAGTCTGGACGAGGTGTTACCAGAACATGTATAGCACGTTCCGAAATGACACGAAACGCGACTCGTATTGACTCCTCAGGATGCAGGTGAGATGCATCCTCGGGATAACAAATCCACCTCCGAAGCCCTTCCAACAAATCATCTGCTCGATGGCTCTCCCAAAACTTGCTCCGAAAGGCATCTGGTAAGGTGGGCTCCGAGTGTCTGTCGCCGTCACTGAGACTGTTCTTTCTGCATCAGACACTCGGTCTCTGTTCCCGATGTTCGAGGCCCATATGCTCAGGGCATGGCAATCACTGACAGAACCGACTTGTCTATTGGCGGCATGAAGCAGCAAGGAATTGTGTGGCAGTGCACACCCCCAAGCATGCCATGCACGATATGGCCTTGGATTCCCCACCCTCTAGCAATGATCGTCTTACTTGGCTACAGCAGCTCGTTTCCGGTTTCCCATTCCTATTCGACGATCTCCAACTCGGCAGAATTGATTAACGAACTAGCAACGATCATACCCGGCTGGCACGAGCGCATGCTCTTGACGAGCGCACGGCACATGGTTCGCTGCTGGGCATTTGCTCCACATCCACGCTATCATGGAGTCATGGGCCATTGCCAGGCACGCCAGGTCGCTTCCACAGACTGTTGACGTCTCATCGCAGACATCCAAGCGACGATCAAGCCTTTGAGCTCGCATGGCTACCCTTCTGTCGAATGTCCGTCGCGAAACAGGTGAGCTCGAGCTCTTCCTAGACAGGAAGCTCTGGTGTATTCCCCACATCTATCTCCTGCATTGGAATTTCGGCGCGATTTCCAGCATTGAGCCCAAGGTCTCTGACCTTCCTTTTCATCTGTCTGTCGATCGTTGCGCCCACCTGAACCTACCGTCGACGTCGCGGATCGCACAAGTCTTCTCCTCGCCATGGCGTCTGGTATACCATATACGCCAAAACCTGCGACCGACATCTTCACACCATATCAGACGGACATCGACCGACGGCAATGCAAACGCACAGTGCCGATGAAGGTACTTGCTCTGGGCTTGGGACGCACAGGTACAGCATCGTTACGAACAGCGCTGAAAGAACTGGGCTACACAGACACATATCACATGCTCTCTGCCTCAATGGAGAACCCGCCGGATAGCCTTTGCTGGCAGGATGCTTTCGCTGCAATATACGAGGGAAAGGGAAAATTCGGTCGCGAAGAATTCGACGCAATCCTCGGACATTGCCAGGCAGTCTGCGATTGGCCAGCAATCGCATTCTCAAAAGAATTGATTGAGGCGTACCCAGAAGCGAAGGTGATCATCACAACCAGAGATGTCGATACATGGCATGACTCGGTGCTGAAAACGGTCAACTGGCGCAACAATGATCCAGAATTAAAGCTCTTGGCCAATATGGACTGGGGAGCGGGGCTGTACCAGCCAATGCTGGCTAAGTTCTTTCACCACTTCTTCAAGGACGATTTCGAAGGTCAGGGAAAGCAGATATTCAATGACTACTACCAGAGCATACGTGAGATGGTTCCACCTGGTCAGCTTCTTGAGTACAGAGTCAGCTCGGGCTGGAGGCCGCTGTGCGAATACCTCGGACACCCTATACCAGACGTTCCGTTTCCACGGTCGAACGATGCAGATGGCTTTGTACAAAGATGTCGAGCACAGAATCGGAAACAAGCTTTGAACGTCATCTTCAGGTTGGTCGTGGTGAGTCACAACGAGTGCTATGATAAACGAATCAAATGCTAATGTTGTCGCAGGTCGGTGTTCCCATCATGACGGCTGCGCTCTCAGCCGGACTGGCATACAATCATTACTTGCCCAAGATCGTTCTGCCGCCCCTTTCGATATTCAATGCAGCAACTGCATGAGATTGCGGACCTTCTGTTCACAGCACGGAGTCGGGAGTCATGTCTAAGGCAGCAAATCTGCTTGTAGCGGCGTCCTTCTACAATGCAAAAGGCGTGGGGAATTGTGCTTTTTTCGCAGGCATCACCAAGTCGAGGTATCATCGAAATCGGACTTCTATAGCAATCTCAAAATGTCCGGTACTGTCCATGTCGTCCAAGGAAAATTCGTGGCTTCGAAGCGCATGCCGTGTTCGTGTGCTTTCCTTGATCCAGTGTTTGCTCGTCTGGCGTTGATTTTGGCGCGGCGTGGCGTTTTTAAAGCTCGCTTGCCTAACCGCACGGATGCCGGCATTTCAGAACCCAAAGGCAAGATCGTACCTGCTTTGCGACTGCATCATCAACTGCGCAGCATGTTGAGGTTCAGCAAGCAGCAGCGAGGGAAGACTGGTAAGATCATTCAATCACTTGTAAAACCTCGAGATAATATAATTGCGATCTCCCTATCATTACCAAGCTCCATGCCGATAGCCGGATGAACTTTTCGTGGATATGCAAAGCCGTGTGGCGCATGCTACTTATGCAGCTAGCAAGGATTTCGTCTCTGAATCGCAGATCCATTTCGTGGACCAGTCAACGCGACCAAAGACACTCCGAGGTGGGATTCAGGGAACAGAAGGACCTGAACGTCAGTGATATGGAGGCCATCTGAGCGGTCAGACGAGAACAAGATTTTTCAACTAATTGTTACTTTGCTGTGCCTCACGCCATGTGACTTCGTTGTCATGATAGCCTGCGACAGTATAGCTACTCGTCACAACAGCACTGCGACGTCTTCTCCAGAGACCGTCATAGCTTGACCGGCCATTCTCGATTTTGCACGAGTTGCATGCTCCAAGCTCAAAAAACTCGATCGTCGAAGCTCAGATGAGTCCGTCCTCGAAGCCCAGGTAAGTACACCATTGAGGCGCGGATGCCCATATACCAGGAGATCAGGTGCGCCCGTTCTCGAGCATCAGGTGAGTCCGTTTCCCATGTCATAATGAAGGATTGAGGCTGCTGAAGAGAGCGGTAGTTGAGAGGAGACCAAATCTGTTCTAGAGGAGTATTGCGAGTAGCTTGAATGCAGTCCATTCACTTCGCGCAATAACAGATCAGTGAAGACAAGATTTAGTCGCAAAGCTTCCCATGAGAACATATTCATTCGAGTCGCACTCTTCGACTTCGATCTCTATGGGGACTTCCTTCTTTCGCGATCTGCTCTTCGTTTGACACTTCTAACACCTATCCTATCACCCATCCAAGATGTCGCAGTCTCGTCATGACGAGGACGAGCGAGGGGAAGACACATCGTCCGAGACGTCGCAATCTGACTTTGAGGTTGACGAGTCAGAAAGTGATGGCTCAGACGACAGATGGTATGTTTGTCTGTTCAGTTTATGGCTCGGAATCCTGGCCTGACCAGTCAACCCTAGGCCAATGCCTGCCAGCATTGAAGACATGGACGAAGTAGACGAACAGCTCCTTCGACACTTTCTTGAAAGTCAACCCTGGCACACTCCTATCAGGCAACACATCAAAGACATGATCGAAGCGGACAAATGGCTCCTTCGATACTACCATGAAGATCCAAAGATCAAAGCCATGGCGGATGACATGTCAAAGGAAGATATCACCGCCTTGATCCAAAGCATGGAGGGTGGCGAGTCGCTCGACTACACAACAGGCATGGCTCGTGCGCATAGCTTGCACATCACTTTCAAACAGCGGGCGCTGAAGGCAAGCCAGGTAGTAGCAGAATCGTTCGATCAATTGACGTGTCATAGACTAATCTGATGTAGTGGAAACTGGTCCGCCAACTCAGAATTGATATCAAGCGTCAGCATGCACTAATGCTATCAATTGGCATTTACCAGGAGGACGAAGACAAGTGGTCAATGTTGTCTACGAGGCTGCACGAAGAGACCTTGCGGAGGAATGGCGAGGGTGAAGAGGTCCTTCAAATTCCTGGCGAGTCGCTTCGGAAGATGTGGGCAAAGCAGGAGAAGTTGGACTGGCCAGAGGTAGTGGGAGAAGACATATTGAAGGAGCTTGATGAACTCAAAGCCCGACGTCGACAGGTCAACCCGCAGTAGAGCATGAAGAGCTGTCTCAATGATCACGGGCAGGCGTCTTCTCAGCCGACGCTCACGAGGGTTGAGTAGACAGCTATGCTCAAGCCAAGCGGACTGGTCAAAGATTAGAAGGGCTCGAGATGCTATATCGAAACGTTGTTCTTGAACAACGACGAGGAGCCATCCTGATGGATTCTCAAGCTGGTTGACGATTCAAACGCGTCGACGTTAATGGCAATGTTGGTTGAAGCCGAAATCCGGGTTGAGAGGTCCAGTAGACCAGAAGTGCGCCCAAGATGCTATTTTCCTTCATCAAACTCCGGAGCATTTTCATGTAGTTGAACAAGCGAGTTTGCAATGAACGTCAAGGACTCAAGGATTAGATCAGTGCCTCCGCCCGTGGCTGCAATGGCAGATCTTGGGAGTTCCTTGGTCGCTTGGCTGCGTCTTCTTATAGGTCACAAATGTGGAAGGTGGTGACGACGACGATATTGGCAGACATGGAGTGCTCCTGATTGTCTTATTCGTCTCTCATTCCACTACATTTCTGCTCTGACCCGAGACCTCAAGTGCGCACCGGACCTCCCATACCTAAAAGCGCTTCTTCAAGATGCTCGGGAGTCGCATCGTATGAGGAGTTGTGTGAATTGATAGTATGGGCCTGCGTGATCACGGCATCGTGTATCGACGATCTTTCGTAGCTGCGTGTGTGCACAAGATAGCGGTTCCGCGCTAATCATGGTCCTGGTAGCCCACGAAGCGTGCTTGGAGACTGCAATGCGAGCGTGGGTCACAGCCGGCGGCAAGGAACACGAGCATGGCGGCTCTTGGATCTTTGAGTCATGACAGCTCGCTACGCTACCTTGTACCTGATTGCACTGTAGTGCCTTCAAACCTTATCCCCCACCGAGGATCCTGGTAGCTGGGTGGTGTGCACGTGTTTTCGTGCGTGTAAAGAAAGTGTATCAACAAAGGTATCACGATCGCTGTACTGTATCCTCGTTACCGGCACATAAGGCCGATGTCCCTACCTTTCCAATTCTTCGGAGCATTTCGACAATGCCAGATCAACCCTCAGTATCTCATTGTTGTCGGCGCAGTATACACCCTGTAGCAGTCAGCTATCGTGCGCGACAATTTCTCGGGACTTGACGGCGCCACAGAATGCCCACTCACGGCACTCCGATGTTTCGAGCGTAACGCCAATTGGAATACCAGAACCAGTCATAAATGCAAAGGCGGCGCCAAAGCGACTCACCTAAGTATATCCCGATCACATCGCGGTGGGGATGATACAGTATTGCTGGGTCGACACCAGACTCTTGGACTATAACGCGCAAGACCAGCAGTTGTCACTACAATTACTATAACGCCTTCACCGGAGCGCTTTCTGGGCCTTCTAAGCTCTCCCAAACTCAGAATCTATACCCAGCAGCAGCTGGGATCCCCGTGAACACAACCATCGCCACGCCGCAAACGACCCTCGGGTGCATCTCAGCCGACCCGCACAAGCCAGGATGGCGCCAACTCGCCCACCGCCACCACCCTCCTGGTCCAGCATCCCAAACAAAGCCCAACTCCTCCTGATAATGTCCGTCCGCATAGCCGACTTCTTCCAACAAGCCGCGCTTCAAGCTTACATGTACTACCAGCTCAAATCCTTCGACCCCTCGGCCCCGGACAGCGAGATCTCGTTTCAGGCCGGTGTCCTCCTCGGCGTCTTTACCGCCGCGCAGATTTTTACTGGTATCGCATGGGGACGTATCGCGGACTCCAGCACGATGTGGTGTGGTGGGAGGAAACGCGTTATGATGTTGGGGTTGTTGGGCCAGGGGGTCGCGTGTTGTGGTGTGGCGTTCTCGCGGAGTTTCAGAGCGGCTGTAATCTGGAGGGGGCTTGGAGGAAGTATTAATGCGACAGTAGCGGGGCCAGGACAAGTCTGTCTGAGGCAACGCCAAAGAGGTATCATTCGAGGACATTCTTGATTTTGCCGTTAGCCTGGAATCTCGCGAATATCTCTGGGCCGGTTGTTGGTGGGTCGCTGGCTGATCTCGGGGCACGGTATCCGGGATGGTTTGGGGAGGTGAAGTGGATGAGGGAGTTCCCATATGCGGTGCCGAATTTGTTTTGTGCGTTGGTGTGCTGGGCAGATGCGCTGTTTTTGTTTCTGTGGTTAAGGGAAACTCTGGCTGGAAGAAAAGACAGAAGTGACCTGGGCCTGGAGATCGGTGAGAGGATCAGCAGTGGGATGCGAATGGTGTTCTTCACACGGACGGGATATCGCCAAGTCGGACAGGATGATATGGACGCAGAATTGCCGCATAGCACATCCGGATTCGACGACAACGAAGAGTCTGCGAGCAGATCACTGGCAGCTCTGTCCGCGAAAGAGGAGACAGATGTTCGAGACACCGGACTTCTTGGCCAAGAGCACGAGATACCGCCCCGAGCTTCGTTCTACGATACACTCACCCGCAATGTCTTCTGTGTCCTTCTCACCATTGCTTTCCTCGATTTTCAAATGGGCGGCTTCACGAGCTTATGGACTGTTACACTCTCCTCTTCGCGACGCACGCCGGCCGATGACAAATCGATCAGTCTCCCGTTTCACTTCGCTGGCGGCCTTGCGATGTCACCAGCAACGATCGGAGTCGCTATGTCCTCGCTCGGCTTTGCAGGAATCCTCTTTCAACTCACCGTATACCCACGAGCTATCGCCAGGTTTGGGCTGGTGCGGTCACTAAGATGGGCGCTCTTCGTCTACCCTCTGGCGTATGCGATCGCGCCTTACCTTTCCCTATTGGTCAACCACAGGATCTTGCTGTGGCTAGGGATTGTTCTAGTCGCATCATTACAGGTCGGCGCTCGGACATTTGCAGCACCTGGAGTGGTACTGTTGACGAACAATGCCAGCCCGAGTCCGCAAGTGCTTGGAACAGTACATGGTATGGGAGCTGCGACGAGCAGTATGTTCCGGACGGTGGGACCTATTGTGGTCGGCCATTGGTACTCACAAGGACTGGAGGAGGGAGTCGTGGGCAAAGCGTGGTGGCTGTTGAGTCTTGTTGCGTTAGTGGGCGTTGTGCCAAGTTATTGGGCGAGAGACGGCAAGTGACAGATGCAAATAGCTCTTCGGATAGTGTGTCGAAAGTAGACAGTGAAGCTTGTAGCTCATGGCGACTTTTGCCTCACGCGAGGGGTAGTAATCGAAAGCTTCCAGCTTCCTGGACAGGCTGTCTCGGTTCAGAGATTATACCTCCAAGGCAGACTTGCAGACATATTGGCCACGGTCCCGAACACAAGCCTGTTGAATCTTCTGCCCGGAATCCTTCAGCATGGTCGAGTCGTCGTCGAATCGAGTCGTGTCCGCACCTACTGACGAAAATATGTCGTCGAAGAGACGCGTACCTAATTATGAGACAATGACGCCCACGATTGCACGGCCAGCAAAAAGCAAACTTTGAGAATGATGCAACAGTGTGTTCGATAATGAAGAAGAAGGCTGTCGGAAGCGAAAGCTCAGGCACGGCTGCAACCCCCCCAATGAATTCAGCGGATTCAGCCTTGCAGGCTTCGAGTTGGATTTGGGAGGGCAGATACGTGGCTTCCTTGTGGTGGCGTCCTGCTGCGCCTCGCCGCCGATCTGGCTAGCGGCTGCCTCCCCTCATTCACGACTTCCAGGCAGTCATCATCGATTTCTGGTTCTACCTCTATTCTACCTGCACAATCATTTATCCATCGATCGCGTAGCTATTCGATACTAGACGACTGTAAAGTTCTTCAGAAGCCGAAGGCGACGACTTGCAGCCGACTGCAGGAACGACTAGGACGAGCCCGCCGAGCCCGCCATTGTGACACCTGATCGTGCTACGCTTCCGAAGCAAGATGCCGGCCGTACTGGAACCCAGACAGTATGGCACAGGCTAGTAAGTCCTCCTCTCCGCGTCTTTGCTATTCTCGCTTCAGGGCGCCGCAGACAGCCGCCAGTATAGAGCTAGTGCCCTGCAACCCTGGCGGTATTGCAAATGTTGCCCATCACGCTTCTTGGCAGCAACCTGCCCAGATCAATATCTCATCGTTCACTCGAGAAACAAGCTAACAAAATGGTCAGCTGCTATGACTCCTTCGGCAACGTCGGTAGCTGTAATTCAGCATGGTACGATTGGGGACGTTGGGTTGCGTTGGCGGTAGTCATTTTGGGCTTCATCATCCTCTTCTTCCTCTGCAGCTGCATCTCCGCTCGTCGTCGCCGTCGTCGCGGTCTTCAGCCAATGTACGGAACCGGATGGGCGGGAAGAACCCCGTTCGGTCATGGACAGGCTCAGTACAACCCTCAGTATGGTCGCCAGCAGTACCCACAGCAGGAAAACAATTACGTGCCTGGACAAGGCCAGACTGGAGGATACTACGGTCAGAGTTATGCGCCTCCAGCGTATGCCCCTGAGAACAGGGGTTATTTCGGGCAGGACAACACTGGAAGTACGAACACCACTCAGGGCGTGTACGAGATGCAGCCTCCGGCGCAGACTTATCAATCACCGGAGGTGCAGGGAGGGAAGAAGTGAGGAAAGTTCCCGATCGACGGACGGATTGATCATTTGCTGCGCTCGTCAATGAATGTGTATAATTTTGAGCCTTGGGCGTTTGTCTTGGGACGTGTGGGCTTCGTTGTGGCCGCTTTTAATATGCGCTGGAGGACTCCGGCTAGTACCATCATTTCGAGCTTTATTATGTCGGCAAGACGGAACACGGAAGCTTACGATGACGACTTTGAGAAGAGAGTAACACTGAATAAGTCACAGCACTCCTCCCGGTTCCTATGTGAATCTTTCAGCACACGCACATTGATCTTACAGTGATCTGTATACCTTGGCTTCGAGTCGATGAGCAGAATCCGCGGATTCATCGCTAAGCAATTTTGAGCCGCAACTTTCGAGGCATTAGTCGGTCCGCATGTTTGCCTTGCGAAAGTTCCCAGCTTCCTGCCCTTTTCCGAGATTGACATGACTGACGAAAGTTCCCTAAAACAGCATGATCGCGTGACGGCGAACGGCAAGCGCTTTTCCGTGGTCAACCGATGTGATCCGTACTGGCTCAGTCGGTTCTCCTACAACGATGCCGCTAGGAGTACTGATCAAGGCGTCTCTCAACACTAGGAGGAATGACGGCAAGTAAGAAAGCATTTGTTGCTCAACACCTGCCCCCGGGCTTGTCTTCTATCTCTTCTACTTTCCCTCACTCCCGTTCAGCGTCCTCGAAACAGTCCTCAACACCAAGTGCGTGAAAGCAACAGCAATGCGAAAAAACACTCGCGGCTCTCCGCCCCTCCTGCTGCTCCTCTTGCTTTCCTTCGCACATTCAGTCACAGCACAGCTGCAGCACTACCAGGGTTATCCAGCCTGCGTCAAAAACATCAATCCCAGCTCTATTAGCGCCTCAGACCCAACCCACTGCGCCGACGTCTCCATCTCGGACACGAATGCATGGTACACCTGTGTCTGCAACAACAACACTTTCATGCAGGTATCGACCGCAGTGGTCCTGCGAACATGCGGATGCGGCGACTTCTCATCATTTGCCACGGCCGTAGCGAATAATTGTGGGATGGTTGATCCGCGAGCGCCATTGGCCACGGTACAGGCGGTTGTTCAGTTGGGCGACCCGGATGGCATGTGTGCTGCTGGTGAGGCGACGGGGCTGCAGAAGACGAGCAATCAGTACGGACTGATTTTTGGGATCATTGGTGCTGTGGGTGTAGCGAGCTCGATCTTAGGCTGTACGTTCTGGCAGTGCTGTAGGAGGACTCGGAGACAGAAAGCGGCGGTTCGCTATAGTCATGAATGGTATACTTAAGAGCCCGACGGGGCCAAGGAGTCAGCAGTGACACAGAGCATCAATGGGCGGGCAGATACTGCTTGGATGGTCGGGTGGTAAGCATGGCATCGGTTGTCAGTGAGATTGGGCTGTGCTATATACTGCTCGTCGGATTTGCTTTATAGCTTGCGATGGCGTTGAGGGAATCTGAACAGTATCATGATGCACCGGAACGTAGTAAGGTTAACACATATCACATTCGGACTCTCCTACTCGTAGGAGTCCTTGCTATTTCATTCCCCCGGCCACGACTGCTATTGCTGCTGTTTTCCATGTGCAAATCCCACGGCAGCAGCGATAACGTTAGCGACGACTGCGCGACACCATCTGCAGCTCAAAGAGCCGAGGTTCCAAGAATGCGGGTCTGGATTTTCCCCCGGTTTTCACATGGGCGCTTTTCTCGGGGAAACAACACTGCTCACATGAGGGCCAGCGGGAACGTGCTGTGCTTCCTGTTTCCGCATGAGCTTTACAACTTCCTCAATTCGTAAACTACTTTCTAAAGCAACTCGAACTTTGAATTGATCTGTGTCTGATCCTTTTGGGTCCACGGCTGATCGAGGACTGCGCCCGGAAGTCCTCCGCACTCAGCTTTGTCCCCGGACGTCATCTTTCAGCGCATGGCTGGTGCTTGAACAGAGCGGGCCCGAGACGTAGACTCCTACGGCAATCCCAAGACAAGTCGACGTTGACTTCCTCATCCTCGAAGCGCATTGCTGCTCGGAGCAGTTGAGCCTCCACTCTAAGATCATCCTCCATACTTCGATAGCCACGCCTCATCATCACCACCACCTCCACATACACGCCCTTCACAATGGACGCCCTCGCCCAACAAGTAAACAACATCCTCATGGAGCCCGCCTACCGGCCGCTCCTCGCGATCCTCAAATCTGCCCGCAATGGTGCCGTGTACGGCGCCAAAGTGCGCTTCCCACATGCACTGGTCATGGTGTTCCTGTTTCGGTCGGGCACGTTCCGCGAGAAGATACGCTTAGTGTACAAAGCTACCCGGCAGCACGCGAAGAACCTGGCCACATTTGCGGTGATATACAAGACTTGTATGCTGTTGTTGAGGATTATTGGGCCGGAAGGGAGCATCAGGAGTAACGATGCGATGGGTGGGAAGGAGGGACCGTACGATACGTTTCTAAGGTACGTATACCCATGAACCTGGGATGGGGGAGACATCCGTTTCCCGCTTCAGGTTCTTCTCGATACATCTTCTGTCTGACAAAAATAGTGGTGCTATTGGAGGGTACATTGTTTTTGGCCGCGGACGTTCCGGCGCATCAAGCGTGAACCAACAGATTGTGATATACGTCTTCGCACGAGTGGTGTTGGCTCTCGCGAGGTTAAGTCTAGAGAGTCCGAAGTTCACCAGCACAACACCTACACCAACTTTCTGGACGCAGAGGTTAGATGAGAGCACGAAGAACCGGATACGAGAACACGCCTGGCCAGTGTTCGCAAGTTTCTCCTGGGCTATGGTCATGTATATCTTCAGATTCCAGCCTGAGAGCATTCAGCCATCATTGCGCAGTTCGATGCGATACATGTAAGTGAACTCCTGTGGGACTTGAATACGGGTCAAGCTAATAGAGGTGGCAGATACGTGAATTGTGATCAGTGGGATTCGTGGAAGACGTTTTTGTGGCACAACACTTGAAAACCATGATTTCGACGGGAGGACGTGTGTAGGACTGCATAGATTATGATTGCAGGGTGATCTGCTTCTATGGGAAAGCATTTCGAGGCGTCAGGGGGATTACGAGACTTGCATTCGACAGCATCGGACGACATGAGTGCGGTCGAAGACTACAGTGCGACGCGGGGATTTGACTGGAATACGACTCTGATGCCTGGTCTCGGCTTTGTCAGCGATGAGGCGAGCGCGGATGCAACTGCTTTTGTTTTTGAGTACAGACCGCACCAACCTGCCCATGCGGAGGAGCTCGTAGTAGAAGCAGTCCAATTCATCCAACAACAGCGCTGGGTCCGAACCTTGCATCGATCTTTGATCAATCCACGAACTGTCCAGGTATCGTCTGCTGAGCAATTATGCGGTATCTGCCGTCTTCTCCTCCACCTCCTTCCTGCTCTTCAGTATCTCGTCCACGACGCCCAATTCCAACGCCTCCTCCGCACTCAAGAAGTAATCCCGCTCCATGAACTTCTCAATCTCCTCTACACTGAACTTCCTCCCCTCTCCGCCTTCCCTTGCCTGTCCCTTGTCCCCCCTCGGCGTCAAATGCTTTTCGTAAATCTGATTCAACTTGCCCCTGACCCGCAGAATCTCCTTCGCATGAATCGCGATGTCCGCCGCTGTCCCAAAATAGCCACCACTGGGCTGATGCAGCATGACACTGGAGTGCGGCAGACAGAATCTCCGACCAGGACTTCCGCCTGCTAGTAACAATGAGCCCATGGAGGCCGCCTGGCCAAGACAAATCGTCGTGATTGATGGCGTTATGTATTGCAGTGTATCATAGATGGCAAGACCTGAAGTCACAGACCCACCAGGGCTATTGATGTACAGGTTTATGGGTTTCTGGGGGTTGTCGGCCTCGAGGAAGAGGAGGGAGGCAGTGACTGTGGCGGCCATGCGCTCGTCGACTTCGCCGTAGATGGCGACGATGCGCTCTTTAAGTAGACGGGAGAAGAGGTCGGTGGTGTGGTGTTGACCGCCTATGCTTTCTGTTACGAAAGGTACTGGAAGCCACGATCTGATCGGGGTGTGAGCGGGCTCCGGGCTGCGATTGCTCGAAGTGAAATAGTTTCGGCGGGCGAGCGATGGATTGAGTCGCGCCAGGGTTGGGACTGCCGTTGTTGGTCGCAAGATCATGGCGAGAAGCTCCGGTGGGAGCGTAAGTAGGCTTTTCATGGTAGCTGCTGTTGGCTAGCTCACGTCGATTGCAGAGAACAGGTTGTTGGCAAAATGCTAGGCTGCGATGGTTGAGGTCGCGCCGGCGGACAACTTGCAGTATCCGTAATTGCTTGGCGGTGAAATGAGGATAATTAAACCAGCTCGAATGCTCGTAACTTGGTAAGTATGGCACCGCGAATGGTCAATCGTCCAGCTTTATCATGACTTCATTTTCTTCGTCACTACATGAAAATGTTCCAGCTATAAGATACCAGAAATGCTTCTTGCTTCCAGCATCTGACGATACAAACCGGCCACCATCCATCGACTATGGACAATGCCGAGCATTTCCTTGATGCTCTCAAATGCCTCTAGATCGGCATGAGTTTTTGCACTTCGATATCGGCGCGCAAAGAATATCCCCGACCGATAAAGCGCGTCAAAGCAGAATGGTGTATACTCCACTTCGCCGCAACGTGATGATGTGCATGCTGTCCGCGCAATCTTTAACATTACAGCCGCTATTTCCGATTCAACTGGCGAGCTGTTCAAGGCGTGGTCATGAGACTGCCTCTGTGGGCAGCTCGCTGCGCGTTCGGGATCATGCAGGAGCAGTCGTGCACTGTAACAAGCAGTAATAGGACTACAGACAGTCATGCCGCGCATGCGGGCTTCTTGTAAGGCCACACTTGTTAGGGCGGCGGCGGTGTCGTCTAGGGTTTTGGCCTCTTGTTCGTGAAACTCTTCAGGGCTTGATCTATCGTTGATGTTCTGCAGTATCCGCTCAAGGAGAATCACTGCCTGCGCAGTTAGACAGAAGCGGCCCATTGCTGCCGAGAGTGGCTCTGATAAGCGATGTGGGGAGACTTCAGTCTGTTCCGCCATGTCCCACAATGCGTCGTCTGCAGGCAGTGTCGCATCTTGGCCGGGACAAGTCGCCGCTGGTCTCCTGTCTGTGAGACTCAGACTCAAGTATTTATCCAGCAGCAATACCGTCCACCAGCTCCTTCGCTGTTCCTCGAGTTCGATATTGCTTCGTGGACAACCTGCGCCCTTTTCGATGGATCGTCCGAGACCCAGTGCATTTCCATAGCGAATACCTGTCCCAACAGTCATGTACGCGGCTGGATATATTCCATGGCCCATCTCATACGCGGCAATCAGGAGCATTGCCTGGAAAATTCGAAGCTCGAGCAGACCAGAGTCTACAGCTGCGGCCACATTTGCCTTGAGAGTGGTATAGAAGGTAGACCGTGGAGTTGGACCAGATGGCGCTGTTGTTAGCAGTTTCATTGCGGCCAGGAGAATGATATTCCATGGCCATGCCGAGCCCAGTGGGTTCAGTATCCTTTCCATGAAGGCTTTTCGGAATAGAAATGGCATCCATGGGTGCGTTACAGCGAAATAATGAGAGACAAATGAGTGATCACTACGATAGTCGCCCAGATAGCTCACTAGCGCCGGGTCCAAACCGAATTGCACCTCAGGTAGCTGACCGACTGAGCGACTGAGTAGTGCGTAGTCAAGGTAGTATGTCGCCGTGATACTTGTCTTGTAATCTGTCGTCGACAGCGGAGACGGATCGTCGCGTGAAGGTGACTCTGAGTTATTTCCAGAGTTGGTCAGCGCCATGAACGAACATCTTCGGCCGCGACGCAAGCAAAGCGCACATGTTGGCCGCTGTTTGTCGCATTTTTTCCTGAGATGCCGACACTGATCGCACGAGAGGTGAGAGCGCGGGTACGGTTGGGCAACGTCGTTGCTCATTGCGCGCATAGGTCTGGCTAGACGAGTGAAATCAGGAGGGGACCGTGCACCAACTTGAAGACGTCGTCGGGGAAAGCGTCCGCCCCGCTTGCTTGTCGGACAGAGCGACCAAGCCCGTCTATCTGCGACTTCCTCCGCTCCGCCCGCTACCCCGATCGTTGAATACATGTTCTTTGACACGTCCACGTTCTGCTTCATTGGCAATCATTACTATTCATGATGTTGTGGGCAGACTCCATTGGAAATGTGCTGCAGATATGCCATACTGTGCTTTACGACATCGTGGGTAGCTCTAGCATATAAAGGCGGTTCGCTTCCTTCCCTAATGGCTACTCACCCATAGTACATACAAAGCAGCCTGCTGTAATCGACCTAGCCATTGACATCGCACTCTCTTCAGATGGCCACCTCAATCTTGATCACTGGCTCCAACCGGGGCATCGGAAAAGAACTTCTGAGAAAGTACCTGGACTTGCCCAACAAAATTGTCATCTCAGGTGTCCGCGACATCCAGCACGAAACCACGAACAGCATTCGCGCATTACCCGTTGCATCTGGTTCGCGTCACATCATTGTAAAGATCGACAGTGATTCGCTCACCGATGCTGAGGCCGCGGCCGAGGAGCTCAGGTCGCAGTATGGCGTCACCAAGCTCGACACCATCATAGCCAACGCAGGAATCGGCAAGTTTGCCAGAATCGACCAAACTCCCATCAGCGCGTACGTTGATCAGATGAAGACCAATGCTCTTGGCCCGGTCGTCCTGTATTTGGCCATGAGGTCTTTGCTTCTGGAGTCCGCGAAGCCTCGGTTCGTCGTCATCTCGACCGTGCTCGGTAGCATCGGTCTGCAAGCTGAGCGTCCCATTCCCGATGCAGGCTATGGCATGTCCAAGGCTGCCGTGAATTTCTTCGTTAGCAAGCTACACCATGAAGAGTCTGCTGTCACGGCTTTCCCCATACACCCTGGTTGGGTCCAGACCCCTCTCGGTAACGATATTGCAAAAGTCATCGGCATGAAGGAGGCAGCGATTACCGAAGAGCAAAGCGCAGCTGGTGTATTTGAGCAGATTGAGAAGTCCACAAGGGAAGCGGATTCCGGAAAATTCATCGACTTGAATGGCGCGCCGATTCCTTGGTAAAGGGTTCCACCCGAATTGTTATGTATATCCAGATAGACGTTCAGGTACTTGCAGTCCTCTTCAAGCAAATCAGCCTGTCATATCCCACAGTGTCGACCGGCCAGTCTTCACGCGTGTCGCAAATGGCCGAATACCGTGATTGTTTCTTTGTAGTTTCACAGGGGCTTCTTGTGGTGAAAAGTACGTACCAGCACATCATGGGAATGGCTTCTTGAAACATGCGCTCTAGGAGAGCTCGATCATTTACCTAGCTTATCAATCCTCAGCCACGACTTCCTGCAACACGCTGCAGCAGCAATCGCAATGCGTCGACCCTCTCAGCAGCGCTATCTATGGCACTGCTGCCTTCACCGTCCTCGGCAGGCGGCCTCTGGCTATTCCGCGTGATCAGACCCTTTAGGCTGCGCCGGACGTTCAGTGTGAGGATGAGGTCGTCGTCCGAGTCAACGGCCGTAGTGACCGCGCCTTCCGTGGCTGGCAAAAAGCTTTGCATCTCGATGCCTCCCTCACTCCCACGCGGTTCCGTGGGCTCCTCGACTGGGGCGGCTGTTGCGCCTTCCTGAGATCGTCGCATGCCTGCCTCCTCAGCGTCCAAGTCCTGTGTCGTAGTCGTGCCTCGCTTGCGGTCCTGTTCCGCGGTCTGCTCGTGCCCAACAGCCAGCATCAGCAATTGTAGCCCAAATATCAACAGATCTTGCCCAATAAGCCGCCATTTCGAGCACGGCCTCTCTCCAATCAGGTCCAAGATAGCTCCTCCATGCATGTACCCATGCGACGCCTTATTAGCCGCCTCTGGTGCAGCATGAAGGATATGCGTTATAATGCAGATCGCATTTACTATGATCACCGGTACGATCTGTGTTGTCGTCTCATGACCCCCAGGAAGCTTGTGGCGTTGTACATAGGCGAATTGGACGAACGCGCGTACGAGGAGAAGTGTGAGGTTATCAAGGTATTGGCTTATGGCTAGTTCGACAAAGATGATCAGGTCGAAGGCCTGGAGGAGCGATTCGATATGCTGCTTGCCGGACCTAATCCGCAGGCCATCAGACATGTCATCGTAGGAGGAAGTCTGAGCAAAGCGGTATCATTGCGCTCGGGTTGCTGTATGGGTGATCTGGGGGTTTGTAGCTCTAAGCTCAACGTGTATCTAGTAGCACAGAGCGTAGATGCTCAGAGCCCTGTTCAAATGCCGCGGACCCGGTCGTCTCGTCTCTCGGGTATCCGGACGCCGCGTGCCAAGCCTATGGAGCCTTCCCCGGCATTTCTTATTTCGAGAACTGGATTCCCACTGCGTTCAGGTCCATCCGTAGCTCCCACACGCGCACCCCTTTGCAACCAGGCTGCTCAATCATCGCGGTCTCTCTTCACCTTCACAGGACCTAACGGCACGATGCCAGCCCTCGGATCAGCCGTATACTCGATTGAGACCTGACCGACTTTTGTAGCTCTGTTCGCAATCGCCTTTACCACCAAAACACCCTTGTCGTCGCCAGGAGCGAATTCGATCTTGACCGGGAGATCGATCACCTTGGGGGCCCGTCCGCCATTCTGCTCCTTCAGCTCCTTGCGCCTCGTCTGGGCCGCTGAAATGAGATTAAGCTTCATCTCGCCAATCTTCCTGCATGAGGCGTCCAATGTTGTTGGTATAGTGTCTGAAGAAGACGCGTAAAGGTCCTGGGAGACTGCTCCGGCCTTCGCGATCTCGCTCTCCTTGAGCTCAACCGTGGCTTCAACATATCTTCTGGTTGAACGGTAGATCTTCTCGCCTCTGGTGAATGCGAAATTGGGCTTGTCTTTCACAACCTTCCTGCCGCTCGCCAGGAACACGAAGTCTTCATTGTTGCTGGCTTGGCCATCCTTGAAGCTTCTGTAGCCAACTATTCCCAGCGAGTCCCGACTCTTTCGGCACACAACGATATTCTGCGAACGGGCATGCACAGCACCTCCGCGTGCTATCGCAGCGATCGGATTCTCTGGAGTCACGACCCTCATGGAGCCCTTAAGCTCTGTCTTGACGAACTCCTTCACGCGCCACTGGACATAGGGGCTGCTGGATAATCCGCCGCATAGGACTAGGGACTGGAAATCATCCAACTGTTAGCTCTGAGATGTGGCATGGGATATGTACGAACCTGGATCTTTGGCATCCTTGCAGCTTCCACAGCTGCTATTTGACCCCAGATCAGCTCGAATGTGCTCCTGAGGACTGGCTCGAAGAAACCCTCCAGTTCGTGGCTGCGGGACATGTCAGCATGTTCAGAGCATTCCCCAGGTCCCTTACCTTGAGATCTTGATGGCGGAGTCGTGTGAATCCCAGCTTGAACACATGTTCTCATCGTCCGTGTCGATGTCTTCCATGCGGATTGGGCCCACAAGGTATTCTTGTTCTCCATCAACATGTACTCCTTCGAATCGACACTTAATCTCCTCAAACTCCTTCATGAATTTGCTTCCAATGCTGCGGGAAGCTAGAGGGACTTTGATGAAGTGCTTCCCAAACTTCCGCTCACACCATTTGAAGAATTCGCGATCGATGGTTGTGCCGCCACATTTGGCTCCTATATGCCGGTCAGTGGTGATCCATGTTCACAAAGCTGCGTACGCACCCGCGCCTACGGAGGCTTCTTCCAGTCTGAGCGGCTCTAGGTTCGAGATGCGATACGTTATTGCATCAAGAGTGCCGCCACTGTGCTCTTGTCAGTTGATAGACGAGGAGATCTGGACTTGCTTACCCCATATCGACGTTGAGCACACACTCTTTCTCTTGGAAAGGTGACTGGACCTTCTGGAATTTGTTCATGTAAGTGTGCAAAACATCAAGAATAGCACACTGGGGCTCGTCGCAGCAGATGAGCTCATCGCCGTCGCGAGTTCCGAAGCCCGCAGCCTTTGCAGCAGAGAGTGTGGCTTGCCGTCCTGCTCGACCGTAGGCTGCAGGTACAGTCACACAGAAAACCAAAGGCGTGATATCAAGGCCGTCGTCCAGGACCCCTCTCAGGTGCGTGAAGATGTGCTTGTGGATCTGACTCAGATAGTCTGTTACCAGCTGAGCCGCCGTCTTGCCAGCGGGTAGGCCCATGATATGGCTTCCAATTACCTGTTCCATGAGCGGATCCTCATAGTCGGCAGGATTTGTTTCGTCGTCCAGGAGGAGTTTGAACCACACGTACGAGCATGACTCGGAGGGGACATTGGATCCGAAGACAATCTCCTCCTTCTGCTTTTCGTTGTCTTCGGCGTATGCGATGATGGATGGTGTCTTCGGCATCAGTGCACCTTCCCTGCCCTTTCCCCACTTGGTGATTGTGACGGGTGGCAAGTCGTCGGCGCTCGTCACATACGCTGCGCCGGTGTATGTTGTGCCTTGGCCTTGTAAGTAGTATGAGGATCAGCCGCGTGGGCACTTACCGAAATCGATGCCCACAGATATCGTCCTCTTACCTTTCTCCTTTTCCTGCAGACGGACCTGACGATATCTTTCTTTGAGCGCCGCGAGCTTCTCCTGCCGCTTGGCTATGGCTTCAGGGGTCTGGTCCACATCTTTGACTAGTCAGATCAGGCTATGTCAATGTCATCTCACTCACCTGAAGATCTCTTCCTCGCCACCTTGGTCGTCTTCTTGCGCTTCGCAGACGAGCTTGCGGCCTGTGTCTCTGATTGATTCTCTTGATGCAGTCAGCTTCCACACTGTGAACTCTCATGGGGACTTGCCATCAGAGTCCGAAGACTCTACGAACGTGAGGATGTTCCGCATCTCTGAGGGGTGCATTGACGGCGCTGTCTAACTCTAAGAGCAAGTGGTAGGCGGATCTGGACGAGTAGGATTGGAAAACGATGAATGAAGATCTAAGAAAATAGTTGGGAGAGGAATAGCGGATTGGAAGGCTCATATAGATCAGAGCAGTGGATCCTCACTCAGTGAATCGAGGCTAGACTTCACTGGCGAGGTTCGCAGCCATTCACTGTTCGTTACAGAGGTGGCCTTCTCGCTGCTTCAAATACCACTTTGTCAGTCTTCTCACGTCTACGCTTCTCGCCAGAAGCCAACACAAACGCCCATCCGTCATGTCTCCGTCCAGGAAGCCATCAACGAGCGCTCCAGCCAGCTCCAAGTCAGCCAAGGCAAGCTCTGGATCTATCGCCCGCGGCCGTAGGAGCCAAAAGAGCCAGAAGGTAACTTATGGCTTGCTCTCGAACGGCGACACTGCTAACACGAAGTCCAGACCTCAAATGGTGAGGCAGATGATCCTCTCTACATTGATGAAGGAGCAGAGAGCGATTCGAGCGTTCGGAGCGATCTTTCCATTTCGTTGCGAAGCAAGAATCAATCCAGAACAAGCTCACAGACTCTCAGAGACGCCAAGACGCAACAAGCAAGCCATACGTACTCGGATCCGGCGTCGAAGGACGACAGCCCACCAAATACCAGACTCCGTGCCAAGATCACATTCAGCAAGTCGTCGTCGATCAACATGCCAGAATCAAGCACTCGTTCCGCTCGCAGCAAGCAAACCGGAATTTACGGCATCGCTGGAACGGGGCGGATGGTCACTATGGACGACTCAGACAGGGCTCAGCCAAATGGAACAGACTCAGAAGCTTGGGCTATGGTCGAAGAGCTAAAAGAAAAGAACAGGAAGTTGAAGGAGCAGTTGAAAACAGCCTGGAAAGTCCGAAGTGAGGTGGAAAGAAAGAAGGTGCACTGGAAAGACAAATATTACGACAAGTGCATTGAGCAAGGTGCTGAGAAGACCAAGAAAAAGGATCTTCCCGCCCAGCTCAAACAGGCACTCGAGCAGAACGAGACACTCACGGCGAAGTTCGACCAACAGGATGCAATCATACGAAAATGGCAGGACAAATCGGTCGGCAAAGCAAGAGGAGACTTCCCTTACGACACCGACGATGTTGTTGCCAGCAACATCGAAGCACTCTTCAGGAGCGTGAAGGGCTGGGCGAGCAAGTATGCTGTTAGTGAGTGGCATGCCGCGGACCAGAATGGTCTCCAAGCCGTTCTCGAGACCTTGGAGGACGAGTCCAAGCCTGCAATCGCTTCACCAAAAGCTATTACGGCTATACTGACAGGAAGAATCTCGCCAAAGATTGTGACAATGGCCATCATGAATCGCAACTTGGTCAGCGCGACACTGTCCAGTCATGTCAGCATTCTCACGGATGATGAGCTGCTGTCGGACACGAACGGTTCAGCCGACCTTCTCAAACACATATTTCATGTGCTCAGCCTTGGTAAGTTCAGCAACCCTCATGCTGCAATGTACTAATGAAAGACCAGCTTCACCTGCCGCCACTTCAATGTTCAGATGTACAGTCATGACTGCAGTCAAGCCGGATGAGGTAGGCATAGACAACATCGTCAGATCTAAAGAATTGTCCAAGCGTTTTGAGAAGCAAGCTCGTCGGCTTGCCGAAGAAACGATGAACGCCGTCGCTAGCCTGCTTGTCGTGAAAGACCAGCATGCTCCGAAAGCTGAGGCTGATCTTGCAAGCATTGCGGGCAAGTTCATTTCCACTGCAATAGCATTGCACGCGCAGCCGCCGCACACATTCGCCGGGTTCCAGGAGCACCTGAGGGCAGCACACTTCGACATTCCACACGAGCTTATGGACCCGCATCCTTTGCTCAACTTGAGCGCGGCCAAAGGCCAAGCCGGAGATACTCCCGCGGACGCTGGAGTGCTCGGACAATGTCCTGATCTCATCATACAACCTCTCGTGAGCAGAACAGGTGACAATCTGGGTCAGAGCTCGGATGAAGAGCGAACAATTACCAAGGCTCTCGTCTGGATGTGTCGCCCTGGTGGACTGGAGGAGGTTACGATGTCACCTAAACACCCGAAGACCAGCGCGCCTCCAAGGCCAGTCAGGCAGCAAGTCCCAGACTACGCGTTTGTCGGCACAACCAGCGAGCAAACCAAGGCCACTGGCTGCGGCTTAGGTGGACGGCAACTTCTTGAAAATGTCAGCGGGCGTGACCACGATTCCGGAGGCGAAGGGCAGCAGACCAATGTGAGTGTCGTGGTTTCGCGCCAAGCAGAGAAGCGATCTCGAGAGGACGATGTTTCTTCCTCGGCTAAGAAGGCACGCATCGATCATTCACCTGAATCGAGCTCCCGCAGAAGTGCAAGCTCAGAGTCGCCCTTGAGCGAAGTCTCCGCGTTGACAGCCGAAACAGCCACTTCGACAGCCCAGCAGCTCTCGTATCCCGCAGAGAGGAGCCCGGAGATATGACAAGTCAACAGGGTGAAGCTTTCTGAAGCTGGGCTCGATAGTTCATCAAAACCACGGTTGACGGAACGAATGGAGGACCTGCCCAGAACGACTTCCGCTCATGGCGTTGGATGTGCTACCACTCGACCAAACCCAGCATGCCGACTTCGTCGAAAGCAGATAGCACTCTCCCAGCCTTAGATAGCCAAAATTGAATATGCACATTGCTCAATGCTCTGCTGATTCTCCCGGGCCTCAGCGTATTGATCACGATGCCCGCTCAATCAATGGACTTCGCTGCAACACATATACTCACGGCAATCTATCTATCTATATTGAAGGGCAGAGATTCTCTGCCATCAATCGACATGAAACGCGCGGAGCGAATGCACCATTTTCAACAGCATAGTGCAGCCGGCTCAGCACAGCCTATCACAGTCAGTCGGGGTATTCTTGACCTCGACCTGTCATCTCAGGTGATGGGATCGTGGCTCCAGGAGTAATCAGACAGGTCTTCGATGAGGAAGAGCCCCGTTCGAGTCTGGGTGCTTGATCTTTTTGCGATTTTATGGACGCAGCTAGTGTCGACTGTGCGGTCTCCAGGCGGGGCTCAGCAGCACAACACAGGTCTGCCTTACTTGTGCAAGAAGTCTACACAATGTATACCTTTTTCAGGCACCGCAAGGCAAACGCCAAGCCATGCCTCGGCGCCTCCGCCTTGTTCTTCCCCGATCCCGCCCCAACTCGAGGCAAAGTCGCCTGAATATTTTTCCTAACGAGGAGGACTCTAGACATATTCCAGCTACTTCTTCAGAGCGGATGACTAGCAACACTGAGTTGACAGCCAGGCTTCCAGGAGTACGCTGTGACACTGAAAGCACGATACCTATTGCCCTCGAAGTCCTTGCAGCAACATAACACCAGTCCTTTGATCAAATCCGCCACCGGATATCCATGCCAAGTACACGCCACTCCCACCACCATCCTCCGCCCCGCTCATGCTAGCACCCAAATACACCCGCATAGTAGCGGGCGCCGGCCCCGCCGGCGTAGCAGCCGTCGGCGCACTCCTCCACTTTCGCCCCAACGACAAAATCGCCTGGGTCGACCCTCAGTTTTCAGGCGGGCGCCTCTCGAAGTACTACCGCGATGTCTCGAGCAACACCAAGGTGAAACTGTTCCTCACGTACGCTGAAGCGTTGAAGCCATTCAAAGAGGTCATTGAGTCTACGCCAAAACCAAATGCGATCACAGCGTTGCGGGATCTGGAGCAGGAGAAGGGCTGCAAGCTGAGTTTTGCCGCTGATGCCGTGGAGATGCTGGGCAAAGGATTGAGGCGGCATCAAAACGTGGATACGATCTTGGGTCAGGTCAACTCCGCAGAGTGGAAGGACAACGCTTGGACACTCAAGCCCTCTTCGGACAACTCTACCAACTCTCCGTCCTCCCTAACGGCCAAGAGCATCGTACTATGCACCGGCTCCTCACCCCTCGAAGTCCCCCTCCCCACCAAAAAGCCCACCCTCATCAACCTCGACCCCGCCTTGGACCGCAAACAGCTTCGAGATCATTTGCCAACGGGCAAACCGACGACTATCGGTATCGTGGGCACGTCACATAGTGCAGTGGTCATCATCATGAACCTCGTTGATCTTTTGAGATCAACCCACCCACACATCAAGATCAAGTGGTTCGTCCGCTCCGACCTCCTCTACGCTGAAGAGCAACCTGATGGGCGTATTGTGCGGGATAACACGGGGTTGAAGCAGGCCGCGGCCGATTTTGCAAGGGAACACCTTGAGCCGGGGAAATTGGAGGCCAGTCCGATCTTAGGCAAGGTGCTGACACGAGTACACTGCCCAGATGTGACAGATCCAAAAATGGCGCCTGAGCTTGACAAATGCGACTATATCATCCAAGCGATCGGGTATAAACGAGATCCCCTACCACACCTCACAGTAAACGGGAAGAAAATGCAGAACGTAGGGTGGGACCCCGAAACCGGACGCCTATTGAACCAGAACGACCAGGATAGCAAAATACCACAGGCCTACGGCGCAGGCATAGCGTTTCCACGACGGGTAACGGATCCGTTGGGTACGGAGGAGAGTGCGGTGGGAATGTGGAAGTTTATGAAGCACTTGAAGGAGGGGCTTGTGCCGGCTTTGTTGGATGAGAAGACTGCTTGAATAAACAGCTCGGCGACTAAATCCATCTCTCTGGGACCAGTGGGAATGGCTTCGCCATGTTGCAGAGCTGCGACTGACGAGCACCTCCTGAGTGGGCAGTAGCGCTGTTGAGGCGCCTCGAGAGAGGGCAGCGTCGTGTTGCGCGATGGACGTAACTCACAAGGAAGGGCATGACGAGGTTGCCCGTAGTTGGGAGAGGGGGTTGTAGGGCAGACGGAAGGGAGAGGCTCAACGATAAAGAGGCCGAAAAGTTCGTCCAGCAGGCTCACTGGGCACGAATGCAAGGCAAGTCCGACCTCGAGGATCAATTTTACTGCAGCTACTCTAGCACAAATGCTGGGGATCCACGACTGCCTTGCATCGGAGAAGTATACATATTATCAATAATCATTCATCGTGACCAGGGAGTCCACCTCGACCTGGCACTCGTCTGGCTGGGGGGTATCATAGCTCATCTCTCCGTCGATCTGCCTCCATATCGACCTCCATCATCCGCTTCTTCGGATTTCTTGGCATCTCTTCCTGCCGTTGCCGTTCCTCTTCCGGGGTATCATTGACATTCGTCTCCCCATCTGCAGCTGCTTCCGCCATTCTGCCCACTTCCTCTACATGCGGCGGCGCATCAGCATGCTTGGCCGCATCCTCGCCTCGCTTCCCACCAAATATCGACCCAATATCCACCGTAACCTGCTGCCCGGGTATCGACGTCGGCACACTTGCGTGACTTAACGTGCCATTCGTCAACGCACCACCTCCACCCGCAACTGCACCCATGCCAACGGCCATCAAACTCCACAACAACTTAATGGGCAGCCACACCAACCACCAAAGCGGCCCATAAAGCAACCTCCTAAACACCAACCACGCAATCGTAACAACCATCAGATAGAAACTTGTCTGCAAATACCACGTATCACTCTTATTACTCCTCACCAAACTCCCGACCAACGCCCTTGAATTCTTCAACATATCCCCCGTGCCCCCATAGGTCTCCGCTAAGCCCTTGAGCATCTCCTGCGTCTCATCGAGCGCCTGCTGCGTAGCCTGACTCTGCCCTATATTCGCCGTCATCGCATTATGCGTCCGTCGGAGCGCTCGCGTGACATCTTCCGCGGCGTTGCGCTCGATATCTTCCTTGGTCAATCGTTCCTGGCCCGGTCGTCTACTGTGCGGTGTTGGTGTGCTACCACTCTCGTCCGCGGCATTGTTTCGCTTGAACAGCGCTTCCCGCTCTTTCAATTTCGCGTTGTCGGCGCTGCGCTTCGCCTGTAGTTGCGCACGCCGGAATTTTGCACGCGCAGAGCGGAGATCTTCCTGTAGGCGGGCGATTTGGTCAGCGTTGCGCTCGTTCTCGACTTGGGCGGCGCTGGCGGCGGTGCGGCGAGTGGCTGGAGGTGCATCGTCGTCGAGTTCTTGGCGGAGGAGCTCGAGGGTGTCTTCGTGTTCTTTGAGGCTGGCGTGGATATCGTTTGCTAGGTCGAGGCGGTCGCTGTCTGTTGATGCTGGGGGGAGGGATTGGAGGTGTTGGATTTGGGAGAGGGTTGTTTTGAGGCTGTCGTGGAGGAGTTGGAGTTTGCGGGCGAGCGTGTGCGACATCGTGGGTGAGTGTGAGAGGAGGCGTGGGAGACAAAGAGGGAAGTGGTTAAAGGTGAGGTGGTCTTGAAGCCCGGAGCCTCGTGTCTCTCCGACGAGGCTGAATATTTCTTTGTCCCGGTCAACGACGAGTTGTTGATCGTCCAGCTGACCTGGTGCTGCTCATACGAAAGATAGAGCGAAGTCGCCTACGAATTGCTGTGACCTACTGCTGATCGTCTCAAGCTGTTGGCGAACTCGTCGTATACTTGAGTCGAGACGCAGAATCCCCGCCGCTCGGGTTCACTCCCTCCTTCGCGCTCCAGCACACCCAGTTACGGCGCACAGCTCGCGCCCACTGACCGTGCAGCACTCGGCTGCGGCGCGAAATCTCGTCCACGTCCACCCGCCTGCGGCGACTTCTGCTCCGATCTATCACGACACTAACCCATCAGCCCGCCATGAAGACAACCTACCTCACCTCCCTCACCACCTCATTCGACCCCTTCACCGGTGCCGCCAAAGTCCCCCGCCTCCTCCTCACATTCCTCTCCGCCGACGCCTTCAAAGCAATAAACGTAAAAATCACCCAGCTGCCACGAAATTCCCCGCAGCCAGCCACATTGGAACTGGGATTCAAGGATGGAAAATCACTGAAGTATTCATGGTTGGACAAGTCAAAAATGCCGAAGTTGGAAAAGGGTCAGAAGAGGGAGAAGCCGATCACGCTGGGGGATATTGTTGGCGAAGTGAATCGGCATGCGAGGTTGACTCAGCGGAAGGAGGAGCTGGCTGGTTGAGCGCGGATTCGAGTTTCCTGTTCTTACTACCTGGACGAGATATTCCTCTTCGACCGGCGACTGGGTCTGAGACGTCACGACGGGTGTGCACAGCTTACGCGACGGCGTTGAGCAAGTCAGGATGGTGGACAAGTCAAAGATGCCGAAGTTGGAGAGGGGCCAGAGATAGGGCACCCGGTTGGTCTGGGGGAGGTGGGGGAGGCTGAGGGCCATGGTGATTGGTGGCGGGGAGGAGTAGGAGCTGGCTGGTTGCAGGGGGCTTTTTGTGAGAAGCACCTCTCTGATGATCTGACAATCAAAGGGCGAAGGAGGGACGAGCAGGAGTTAAGCCCTCGCACAACGCCTCTGTGTGCGTCCGAATGGGTGGCGACTGTGGTCCTCGACGCTCTGCTGGGCGTAGCATTCCCTGGCCATTGGTGCAAAGGAACGTGCCAGGTGGGTCGTGGACGGGAGGCAATCGGCGCCGCATGATCACATCATATGCTCCCAATGAACTGCATATGTCTAGAAGACGTCGATGACGGAAGGGTCAGAGCGAAGGCATTCAACAGCGGCGATTCGCCGCAAGCAAGAGGCTGCAATGCTTTGACATGGTGATGCACAGCGGCTGTAGTAGTAGACACTGCAGACGCTTCGCTCGAGGCGATGCCCAGGCACGGTGAGAAGCAGGTCGGTCGACCCGGGACAGGCCAAGCGAATGACGACGAACAAAGATGGCAACGAAGTCAGAAAGGTCAACTTGCCAACTTCAAGTTGAACGATGGAGAGAGCTGGCAGCGAACTCAGAAAGATGAACTTGCTAGGATCTCAACATCGCAGCTACCTGCTGGACAACACAGACCAAATATGCAACTGCGTCTACGATTCAGCAGAACCTTCCTGATATATATATGCCCAACCCTCCCTCCTCAAACCCAGACCTGAGCCAACTCCGCCCACGTCCCCTAATCCATCCTAGCCAGGCCTGACCCTAACCCCAACCCCGAGCACACTGATCATAGCAGCTAGCATCGTTCGAGGGGTGATAGACGAAAGAGAGAAGTTTTGCAGGTCTTGTTTGTTTGTTTTGCTACTTGATGAGTAGATTTTGTGCTACCGAATCCGCTTCAATCTTCTCGTCGCCTCCGCCGCAACGACAGCACACACGGCCCCTATGAACAAACACACGCTGATCGCGTTCGGACTGTCCGTTTTGTTGGTGCCATTCACCCAGCTGTTCCGCTGACTGCTGCTCGAACTGTCGCCAGCATCTGTTGCCGTTGCAGATGAGGGCTCCAGGATCGAAAATACGATCCAGCTGACGAACGTGCCCACGAATTGCGGTAGAGTCGTATAGACGTTGAGCACACCTAGGTAGACACCACTCAACTCCCCCGTTGCCGCACCCTCCTCCTCGTGGTTGTGGTCATGGTCGTCGGGATGTGCGTGAACCAGCCTCAACACCCCACCTCCATCCGAAGCGACCCTGCGATGGTCTGCTTCCAACTCACCCAGCTCCGCCGCATTCATGCTCCCCCTCCCCACAGCCGTGTAGCTCGGTATAAGAGCATGCTCCCCACCACTGCCCATCTTATTGATCTCCCGCCCAATCTCCGCAAACGGCGCCCAGCAACTGACCGCCCACGGCACGCCGCTCAGCGCCACGATAAGCGTGGCTGAATGCAAGGAGCGCACGAACGGCGCCCACACCATGATGAAAGCAAACACCAGATTCGAAATCATCCACGTCGTAACAAGGTCCGGCTGCATAGAGGACAGCTTCATCAGGATCTCCCTGACCGGTCCGCTCAGCGACGGAGGCGGGCGTTTCGTAAATTTCTTCTCGTTGGTGGCTTCCGCATCCGGAGAAGCAACGAGGTAAGGCAGGACGACAGAGCTAGCGAACGTGATGATGCTGAAGATCACCAGCGCGACACTGCCAAGGCGGCCGATGTTGCCCAGTGCGTCGTGCTCATCGTCCGGGGTGTTCGTGGTGCTGCTTGCTGTCTGCGGGTGGTCGTAGCGATAATACGTCTCCCCGACCCACGTGCTGCTGTAGAACAGGAACGGAAACCAGCCGATCCAGCCCCAGAACTGCGCCCAGCAGATGCCGCGGATTCGGGGCGGGAGGTGGATTGTGCGGCGCCAGAGGGTTGGGAGGACGCTCCATGCGCTGTTGCTTGACTCGCCCTTCTCGCCACCAGCCGGCCGGAGAAGCACTCGTTCTCCAACAGCCCAGCTTGTGATGCCTACGCATCCCCATAGGCCGACCAGGGCGACGACGATCATGCACTGAAATTGGTCCTTTACTCCCAACGCTGCCCAGAGGCCTGGGAACCAGGTGATCAGATCCAGACTCCCGATGAAGTATCCAACTACTGAACCCGCAGCGCCCATCCTCGCCGCCCACGCACTCCCCTGCTGCTGTTGCCCAACGCTCAGTGAGTCAATGACAAGACTCCTACTGGCAGACATGACCGCATTGATCGCAAAGTCGATCGCGTAGATACTGCCCACGGCGACCACGAGGGTCGTATTGGCGGTCCAGCCCATCAACGCGCCTAGCTCCTTCGTCCATCCAAGCAGCACGAGTGAGAAGCCCACGATCACGCTGCCGATGACCATGAAAGGACGCCGTCGGCCGTATTTGGATGTGCTCTTGTCTGCCAGCGCGCCAACAAGAGGCTGCATGATCAATCCCGAAAGCGGGCCGGCGACCCAGACGAGCGAAGTGCGGGATTTGGAGAGGCCGAGGGCGAGGAGGTAGGGGGTGCAGTAGGTCATTTCGACGCCCCAGGTGAATTGGATGCCGATGATGGCTAGATTCAGCAGGAGCAGGCGGGTTGTGAGAGTGCTGCCACGGACGGTGGGTGTGCCGGTAAAGGACGCGCCGGTCATGGCGGAAGTCGGAAGTGCGGCATGCATGGTGTGTGTGTGGTACTCGGAGGGTGATGGAAGTACGCTGCGCCGCAGCGAGTAGGAGCAGACGCTGGAGAGCGGTGTTGTACCAGCAGGCCGCAGGAGGAGGCCGCAGAGGACGATCTATATCGCAAGGAGACCGCCGCCTCCCAGGGCGCTATTGTGGCACAGCTGTGCTCTTTCTAGTCGTCGTATATCAAGCCATATCTGCATCAACTAAATTGTTGTCGAGAAACTTGGTGGGAGATGCCGTGTCTATGCAAGGGCGAGACATCAATGGATAAGGTGAGCGAGCGACAGATTGGGAACGAGCGACAGGGAGGTAACGAGCGATTACGGTCCGGGTAAGGGCGTTCGTGCTGGATAAATATGGTAGCGGGCGAGAAAGAGTAAGGGTGAGACTTGTATACTGTCTTCGAACTTATGTAGGAGGTAGAGTTCAGCATTCGGCCCATCCCACACGAACCCTGGCCGTGCTCGTAAACCTTTCCTACGACACGAATATATTTACGACAATTGTAGCATGGTAGTGACAGCTTCTGACACGCGACACAAGACCTCTATAGCTGTAGATATCTGTCATCCCATCGTATTCATGTATATACCCAGACATCGGTAGAGTTACAGAAGCTTCGATACGCCCAAAACCTAATGCTAGACCAGAACGCTCATGCCATCTTCCTGTCAGAACACTGTGCAGATGTGTCAGGTCCCGGTGCTTTCTTCACCGCGTAGTCGACAGCGTCGATACCTGACTCGGCCCCGTCCTCGACAAAGGCGACACAACGGACGCTGCACCACTATGCCCACTAGACACCGTGCCATGATCGCTCCTAGCCATCGTGACCAAAGGCGCATCGTTTCTCCCCGGCACAACCGCTGGACTCTCCATCTCATGAAGCCCGCCTCGGTACGCGTGATCCCCTGGCGCCTCCACTGGCGCAACATTCGGCACCCGAGGTGGTTTCTGCCAGTATGCCACATTCTTACTCCCCACGATCCCAGCTGAGTACCCTGGTGGTGCTTCGAGGGGATTTCTGTAGTCGCCTTGCAGCTCGCCCATTTGTGGACCTGGGCCTCCTTGGGGTAGTCCATTTGCGGTTGTAGTCGTCGTTCCAGCGTTCCTCCGCCGTCGTAGAACGAAGAAGATGCCGAGTGCGACGGCAGCGATGACCAGTACTGCTATCCCAGCGCCTATCCCAGCTTTTGCTCCAGTCGATAGTCCATCCTCTGCCGCTGCAGCGGAACTCGAAGGCGACGCACTTGCTGTCGATGAAGAGCCCGTTGCCGTCGCTGCTGGCGAGATATACGAAGCCGGACTATCACTGTTCGCAATCTGAAAATCCTGGCAATCCACCGAGAATTGGTTGACAGTTGTGTTCTTCATGCAGGCACCAAACGAAGCCAGCCCGATATTCGTACTCGAACAATAGGCCACATCAGAGCCGTAGATCGTCACAGCGCAAGTTCTCTGGAGGGTGACGACCCGAAATGACTTGAATGCCGACTCGCCGAATTGCGTACAGAGACCATTGGATGGACCGCTTGAGTTACCGAGGGTGCCTGCGTCGAGGCAATTGTCGTCGGTGTAGAACTGTATGCTTGACATGGTGATGCTGCTGCTGATGATTGCGTATGTAGAGGTCTAGGTGTCGGTTCGGGCGGTCTCCAGCACAGTTCGAGAAGCACCCAGCAATTCAGGAAGTCGAGGAACTCGACAGATTGTAGTCGCTGCAATCGCAGTCGGACTCAAGAGTGCAGAGAGGATGCACAACGGTGGCGAGGGAAACGTTGTCGCCCCCTCCGACTTACATAACAATGGAGTGGCTATCAAGGGTGGACTCACTTACCGTGGGTAATCGATTTCTTTTGTGAAACTCCGCACTGCGGTCTCAGACGAGGGCGCGAGGTCGGTTATCGAGTCATTGGAAATTGTCTGGACAAAGCGAATTGCTTGTCTTCGAACAATTGCCTCATTGGCTATGCCGTAAGCACTGTCCTGCATCAGTCAATTCGCGTCGGAACAGCTGCAGTCTGGGTGTCGCAGAAATGCATGATAAAGAGACGAAAAGCGCGAGAAACCTGAACGGAGCAGTAGCAGCTTTTCGTGTTCTTGGGGGCGGAACAGCATAGCGGGCTGAAGTGCCGCCCCTGAGGCTCTGACAAGCCACTGCCGCAGCTTGGTGACTGGTGTCGCTAAACGGTACTCTTTTCCGCTTTGGATCTATCTGTAATATTGGCGGATTTCCCTTTTCGAACAATGCAGTCCTGTGTTCTTATTTGATGTAATCAGTCGACACAGCTCCAGTCTTTGGTTCTGTCCAGTTGTCAGCCTTCAATGTCGGGTCGTTCGGTCTTCTAGACAGCCGCGCCTGCTTGCGTTAAGCATGTCCACGGGATCGGCACGGAGCGAACTTACCAGAGATGAAGAACCACTTGTCTACGCTGGGGTCGATGGGAGCAGGACTCTCGTTAGTGCCCTTAGGAATCTTGCTGAGCTCAGAAGGATCGACACGGTCCGGGGAACTGTTGTTGGTGACGTTGGCCAGGCTGATGCCACCAGGTTGGGTCTTGCCGGTAATGAGTCGCTCCCATGCATCTGAGCATTCGTGGATGATCTCCTCGGCGTACCTGCAGCCGTCAGTCCCGCATCAAGCCACCCAGATTCCGTCTAGATCTCAAATCTGACATGTCCGACGATGCGTGCCATGATCAAGGTACTTACTTCTTGTTCTTGCATTCACCGCTGAAGGCGAACTGGTTCTCGGGCTTGCCATCTGGGATCTTGTAGATGCGGAACCACTCGTTGGTAGCACGGAGAAGACCGGGAAGGTGTCGCTCGACGTCTTCGATATCATTCAGCTTGGGTGCAAGAGGGTCATTGACATCGATGACAATGATCTTCCAGTCAGTCTCCTCCTCATCAAGGAGAGCCATGACACCGAGGACCTTGACCTGCTTGACTTGGCCCGTGTAGCCGACGATCTCACCAATCTCGCAGACATCGAGCGGGTCGTTGTCACCTTTGGCCTTGGTCTCGGGGTGGACGACGTTGGGGTCTTCCCATGTCTAGATAAATGTAAGTAGACCATTCTCACATCGTGGGATAAAGCATACTCGTGGGAAGGCGCCGTAGTTCCAGAGGTAGCCCTTGTGAGGGAAGCAGTTCCTGACAAATCGGAGCTTGCCTTTCTTGATATCTTGCTTGATGGGATTGAGGTATTCTTCCTTTGAGATCTTCATGTGCTGTCAGTCTTGAACTTGTGTGAGGGTGTACAGGCTGCGCACTTCGAGCTTGGCATTTGACCAGCGGGGAATCTCGACGATCATGTTGAGGATGGTCTGCGCATCGTTGGCGTAGAGAGGAATGTCGTGGAATGGGGAGACTGGCGTGCCATTCTGTTCGAGATAGCAGCGGTAGTCGAGAGTGTGCTTGGGCGCAATCTGACGAGCAGAGAACTCTGCTTTGCCGTACGACATGTTGGCGGAGGATGTGTCTCGACTACCAGTAGACAGGTGCCGATGAATTGCAGCAGTACGTTGGGAAGCTATGTTGACGGCGGATGCGTGGTGTAGGGGAGAATTAAGAGACTTGGGAGTGGGAGAAATATTTTTGAACCCCGCCAGACTGAGCTTTCCAATCGAGAAAAAGCGGTGGGTTGAAGATGCAGGTGAAGGCGCGATGCAGCGGAAGTGTCTGCACGATGATGGCAAGCTCGATGTCGTTGTTCTTGAGACAAGCAACGGCATGTGTTGTGAGAGGAAGAGCTTTCAGTCTATGCCTTTGCGATCCCGACTCTGACCTAATCCAGCACTGTACACTGTTTGGCTTCGTAGTGATGAGACTCTCATTGGCGAGTCATCTCATCTTTCCATCATTGCATCCGCGGCATCGGCATAGCGAGGAAACTCCAAGGGTCTCTCCCCAACCGCTTATCGATTAGGTGGGTGGCTTCGGCCAAGAAATGAGCGTCCGCTCCAGCCTTGACATGTTACACGCCATCGATTTCCTTCCGCGACCTGCTTCTCCCACAATTGCTGGCTCGATCTGCAACTCAAATCCAGCCCTTGGAGCACGCCCTGACTTGGAACTATGACACTCTACCGACAAGTGCCGAAACGTCTCGACTTATGTCCGAATAGCCTGCGTGGCTCCTGAAGCCCAGTGTGTACCTCAGCCTGAAGACGAAAGACGTCTAAAATCTACGTTGGGCTCACATGGACGTGTATAATTATTGCGACTCTGGTAACTTCACAAGGAGATCTAGTGCTATCATCATTGCCAATTCCAACTTATCTCCAGGTTCAAGTCGAGCCACGTTCTGACGAACGGGACTCTGCTGCACAACGCTCAGCACGATGTAGAACGAGATAAGCCTCGCTGCTCGCATCCGAGAGTGCTCAGTGCTATCTTTACCTCTCGCCCGTGCACATTGCACGCAATACTACTATAGTAAGATCTCTTGGGCAGGACACCACCATAGGTAGGGGCGAAGTGCTGTCAACTTGAAGGGCATTGCTGCGGATTAACCCGTCCCCACGATCCGGGGCTGGGTTGCCTTACGAGAAGACTGACTTCTGTGGTGATAGTGCCATGCAGACGCCGCCTTGCTACTCGCTGTGACACCACTCCCGCTCAAAAGTGCTCGAAAAAGGACTCACATGGCCTGACCAGCTGGCAAGCAATGTCATGGCCGCGAGGCACGACGTTGACGACGGCTCTACGGCCAAAAATGGCATGTTGCACACCTTCAGTTCTATATATGGGTGCCCGAGCATCTATATGGCCGCCGCGTTGTGCTTGTGGCTCTGTTGTTCAGAGCATATAAGATATCGACCATGGACACTCATGCCATCACATTTTCAGCAACCACACTCACTCGAAATCCCAAAGAATCATTTCTTCTTCTTCAAATCTCTTCGAGAAACAATTGACCACCAGCAACTCTCCTTCTGAACAGGCCAATATGCGCTCTTGGGCTTTTCTCTCTGTATTCTCCTCGGTCACCCTCATCTCCACTCTAGCGGCCCCCAGCCTTCAGACCGGCTCCTCAAAGCCCGTCAAGCCAACACCGTCGCTCAAGCCTCTCCCACCGCTCAGACCAATACCGTCGCTCAAGCCTCGCCCACCGCTCAAGCTTCCGCCATCGCTCAAGTCGCACTCCTCGACCATGACATCAACGATCCCAACGGTGGCCGTACTCAAATCCTCTTCTTCACCGACGGCCAACTCATGAACATCCCCGACCTCAATCGCGACTTCGGCGGCATCCGATCTGTGGAGGTCATCCCTGAGGGAGCCGAGCAGTTCAACAGGCAGAACGCCAGATGCGTCTTCGGCAGCTCCCAGTTCGGTGGCGTATCGGATGGCTTGGATCCGAACGGACCAGGACTTTGCGTGAGCTCAAATGATGCTGCGGACGAAGGCGAGTTGAGCGAGAATGGGCTCAATGGCTGATTGACGTTGTGCAGTGCTTTGTTGGGAGGTGTCCTGGTGATGCCTAGACTGGAGTCTTGAGGGCCCGATGCAGAGCTACCTACCTTGCTCAGCAGGCGGCAGAGTAGCGGTGTGCGCTCTTGCACATGACCAGCCTGAAAACCCACGACCTCAATGAAGCAGCTGCAAGATACCGATAGATATAGACGGCGCACGGGTTTGCGCTGCACCACGTTCTCTGCTATATAGCTCAAATCAGCCGCACAGCAACACGAAGCTCTTCGATGACTGACCAGTCGCCGTGCTACGGAACGTGCTGCTATCTGCCGGGAAGGCAATTTTGACTGCACGTTGCCTTCCTCCTATGAAGTTCTTATCGATTACTTGAGGTCTGGCGCCGTTCGGATTAAGGCTTGGCGCGGGCGAGACCTCAGGAACTTTTGGGAGGAGTGAGTCTTCACATGCACATACGATACATGACTTCGATTTCACTTCGATGCGCGTGAGTCATGCATTCCGACTGCAGGTTGTGATCCGACAGCACTTTCTGCCGACACTCTCCATCCGCCATAGTCACTCACTCCGCTCCGTCATGACGACCACCGCCGCAGAGAGCCCGCCTACGATGGCGGCGGAACACGTAGCGGAGACCACAACCACGACCGATGCCAGTGCACCACACGTCCCAATCCCACGGCGCGGAGTCGATTACAGAGACAAGATCGTCCTCGCACCAATGGTCCGCTCCGGAGAACTCCCCTCCCGCCTCCTCGCCCTCAAATACGGCGCAGATCTAGTCTGGGGCCCCGAAACCGTCGATAGATCAATGATCGGAACAACCAAGAAAACCAACCCCAGAACCGGCTGCATAGAGTGGTCACGGACCTCACACGACAAAGAGACCGTCCTCTACCGCATCGACCCCGCCCGCGAATCCTCCCGCCTGATCTATCAAATCGGCACCAACTCGCCCACCCGCGCCGTCGAAGCAGCCAAACTCTTCGCCGAACACGGTCAGCGGCTTCGTCGTCAACGCAGGCTGCCCCAAATCCTTCTCAACCGACGGCGGCATGGGCGCAGCCCTCCTGCGAACTCCCGACCTCCTCGCCAGCATCTTGACCGCCCTCGTCGAAGAGGTCGGCAAGCCCTACGAGATCGGCATCTCCGTCAAAATCCGCCTCCTCGAAACCCCCGAACTGACCTCCTCCCTCGTCAACAAACTCTGCAAAACCGGCATCACAGGCCTCACAATCCACTGCCGCACAACCCCCATGCGGCCCCGCGAGCGCGCAATCCGCGAGCAGCTCCGCATGATCGGCGACATCTGCCGCAGCCACGGCGTAGCCTGCCTCATGAACGGCGACGTCGCTCCTACGAACAAGGGCTCGCCCTCGCCAAAGAATACGGCGTCGACGGCGCCATGATCGCTACCGCAGCAGAAGCCAACTCCTCCGTCTTTCGGAAACAGGCCGACGGCGGCAAAGCGCCCTGGCAAGAAGTCTCTAAGGAGTACGTCAAGCTGGCGCTCAGCGTCGAGAATAAATTCGGGAATACAAAATTCCTACTGTCACAACTCATGCCCGGCAAGAACCCGGCGTACTCGAAATGTCAGTCGTCGAAGACATACTCTGAAATTCTGGAGCATCTGGTTATGACAGACGAGGAAGTCGTCCAGCAAGCCAAAGCAGTCGACGAGATCCTCGGCCTCAACGAGGTCCGAACAACAAAACACGACATCAAGAAGCAGAACAAGCAACGCAACAAGGAGCTGCAGGCGGCAGCCACGGTGCGGAAGCAGCAACAGTCGCAGCAGCAGCAGCAGCAGCATAACAAACACAAGCAAAATGGTAGGAAACGTGAACGGACGATAAGTCCGGATAGCATGAGGAAGCGGAAAGCCGAGATCGCGGCAGAAAATGCTGGGTTCGATGGGGAAGGGAGAGGTGCGATGGCCGTGGCGGCTTGAGTGGTTATATGAGGCAGATTCGCCGGAGTACCTAGATGCAACTGGACATTCGATCTGTGTACAGCAGGACAGCTGCCATGAGATACCCATGACAATTTCATTTTCCTAATCTGCGTATATCTATACTCCAGCACCATTCGGTCCGTGTGAGTGCCTGTCGTTTGTTCCCTACCAGCTGGCAGACCATGGCGGGCCGCTTTCTGCCCAAGTTTTCTGCAGTTGTTCGCCGTAGGCTCATGCTGCGACTGTGGACTGATTCGACGCTGCGTTATGCTACACCCGAAGGGCGGACGCCGTATTTCGACACGTTCCTTTTCATAACCTCCTTGAATGGTGCCCCAAATTTGGAAACGTCATCACCCTGATACCAATTCCAAGTCAGTGCTGAGAGGTCGAGATGGATGATGTGAGTCGGACTGATGCAAGAGGAGAATAGCTGCCTAGAATCGAACGCCGCCTGACCCCATTTTGCATCAGCGTTTGCCATGAAGATGATGGTCGGACAATCAGACGCCTCGAGCGCAGCTAGGGTCTGGAAAGCTGGCAAGTGGCCGAAGTCGGCAAGCTGTTGGGTATGAGCGACTTGTGCACCTTCGCGACGTGTTTTGAACGTTTCGACTGTCTGAATGCAGTCAATAAGATCGATAAGGGCGTCAACGCGGTGAATAGTCTGAAATTCTGCCCGTCCGTTATTCGGACAGAATATTACGATTGAGTCTCTGTCTGGAGGTGCGAGTGGGTAGCCGAGTTTGCGTATCATTCTTTCGAATTGTGCTTCTTGGTGTGCTTGTGATGTCTTTTGGAAGTCTTGTACGAACGTGGTTCCCAGCTTATACGTATCTGCTTTCGGCCGAATGGTTGATAAAGTGTAGTCAAGCCGGCTGCTTTGATATGCGACAGGCGTCGTGGCAGCGAAGAGATCCTCAATCCGAACATCAAATGTGCAGCTGGTGGCAAGCCTGAGATCCTCCAACTTCGGAAATGCAGCAAGGCACCAGCTCAGGGTTACTGCTGCGCGCCTGTATCGTGGTATCGTGCCTCGTCTTAGTGTATTTGGGACCTGGAGATCGATGTGAATGTTTCGAATGAGGCACGATTGAGGAATCCTCCTGTACCGTAGAGACCCAGTATCGTAGAAGCGCCCACCCTGAATTGGACCGTTTTGTGAAGTGTAGGTGAGATCTCGGTCAGGGCTATGCGACAGGTGGACATCAAAGATCCTAGAGCGTTCGGACACCACTCAAATTCGTTCAGGCCAGCGCCCGGACGATACTCGATCGACAACGCCTTCTCCTCGCCATGAGCAAGTTCTTCGTAGATCATGGAGCGAACGTCAGAGTTCAATTTGCTGAAGAAGGAAGAGCAGGGCTGTGCGCCTGCCTCCTCGCGATTTGCTTGCTCTTTCAACAGATATGGCGGGATTGTGCACCACGCCACATTCTTGCAGGCCTTCTCAGCGGCACGGTGAGGTTCGGGGCCGGATATCGTGGCCATACTGGTTCGGTTGTCGACTATCGTGGAGGGGAAGGATGATAAGCAAAAAGAAAAGTGAGAAGGATGTTGAGTGATGGAGGTGAATTTGTTCGAGGAGAAAGGTTGAGGTTATAGGCGGCGAACGTTAGCGCGGGTGCGTGAGTACCTTCTGACTTCACTATCAAAGAGTCGCAGTGACTGCAGATTGGCAAGTTTTGTATGTCCTCGTGCGTTGAGGTAGTGTGGCAATCCTCATGAGGGTGTGAGTGTAGTGTAACATAGCCATCATCTCAGTCTGAGTTTAAGATGAGGTTGCTGCCAGCAACAACTGGGTCGTTCGATTTCCGTCGACCCGCATACATATACTGGCGTATCTCGTGTGAGCAGCACCCTTTGACGCAGAGTTGTCGTCCTCATCGCCGGCACATTTGAACAGGAACTTCCGGGGACTGCACACGACCGAATTCCAGGCATAGGCGGTCGTCAACCCTGTCCAGTGCCCCAAGCTCCCACGTCAACTCTCAACTCTGTCAAGATCTCAACCTGAATGGCTTCGACTGCTTCTTCTGGCCGACTCGCGGCCACTGTTTGGTCTTCAAGGACCTCGCCATGTGCCAGACGCTCCAGTACCAGCCATAGACCGCCTTGTTCAGCGCTCTGCATATCGCGATGCAGTCGGAGATTGTCAATACGCAGCCCGGCACTAATGGCATGATACTCTTCATCGTGATGAGAACTGTCTGCGATCGTTTGCTTGTAGGGGCCTTGACCTTGCTCTAAACTCAGCTTGAAAAGCGAAGAGCTGGCGGAACTACTGGCCCCGGACGCCATTCGATGTGCCTTGCCAAGACCGGCAACAAAGATTGCTTGAGTCGTTCGCTGGAAAGTCAGAGGCAGTAACATGCGATCGGTGCCGGTCGCAGTGAAGACCGCTGGTGGAACCTGTATGCGATGACGGCCAGCATCTTCGGCGGGGAGCTGCCGGAATGTAGGTGCAGAAGACGTGCCGCTCACGCCGGAATAGCAGAAATCAAGGGTAAATGGAGACAGCTGTTGCTTATCGAAGGTAGACACAATGATAGTGTAGCTGCCGCTTTGTAGTATTTTCTCAACAACTGTGCTGCCTCGACGATAGTCACCAGAGTGTGCCACAACGTCACGGGACCGAATGCGAGTGACTCTTTGACCATCCGAACCCAGGACAGCCACTTTCACATGTATCTGTGTGTTGTCGCAATTGCTCAACGTTGAGTCTGCGACGCGGAGAACGAGAGCGACTTGCTGGGTATCTGGTACTGACAGGCCAAATTGTGGGTTCGTCAAATAGTGTGGACTATCCGAAGATCCGCCTGCATTGAACCATGTCCACTGAGAGCTCAGAGACACTTTGTGAGGATATAGCGGCGGCGCTTGCTCAAGCGTTGCTTTGCAATGACTGAACAGAGATAGCGTAAAATTGTGCTTGCCTTGAGGCAGCTCAGCTTGTAGCACAACGACCGTGTATGGCTTGTTTGCAGCAGCTTCGAATCGGACGAGAGTGTTTGGCGAATCAACGAATGGACCTTTGTTAACCGCACCTTCTCGAGACAACACTCGACGGCGGTCTTTATCGAAGACGAAGATGCTGATGTAGCCATTTCGCCCGCTGTTAGCGTGCGTATAGTCACCCGTGCGGAAGTGTCTGTTGAGAAGCAGCCAGACTTCGGAGGATTTGGACGAGACTACAACGAATTGATGGTGATCATCAAGAATTGTTGCTGCAGGCCGCTGTCGGTCAAGCATCCAAGTAAAGTGCATATCACTTCGGTGATCAAACAAACCAGGATTCCAGTTCACGTATAGGTTCTCGAAGTACTGGAAGACACTGTTGAAAGGCATCCAGAAAGTGCCGGGTATCATGTCGCTGGACTCTTCGATTGGCGGGTCGCTTCGGGGTTCATCGTGAGATGGATTGGGTCTTCGCCGTGCAGCTCCTTTCCACACATCTCCATCAGCCAGGGGTTCTTGATGAGCATTTCTTTGATGGCACCACGCTCTTTGAGCTCCAATACTGCGTAGTCATGCTCGGCAGCCAGGCCTAGATGCTTCTGCTCACGCTTTGAGAGCTTGCCTGTACCCAGCGTGATCATGGCGTGGCCATCTCTTGTTGCCATAAAGAGCTCTTTCCACAGACCTTCTGGATCCACATCGTCATCATGGAGAAAGATCTGTTCGGGTATCCAGCCTGTGATGACAGCCAGATCAGTTCCACTATTACTGCCTGGAAAGTCATAACCTCCGCGGACTTTCAAGTATGCCTTCTCGACTAGCGCTGGCCACAGTAAGCCTGGTCTTCTTCGATCGATGACGTGGAGCACTCGTTCCGTCTTTGAGGTTGGCAGAAGGTCATCGATCTCAACTCGGCGCCAGCATCCGTTGAAGTAGAATCTGAGGATGTATCTACCGTTGGCAGATAATGCGAAGGTCTGATTATCGTGGTCCCAAGGATACATGAAAGTGCTGGAGATCTAGACCGTTAGACAATGCAGTGTACTGGCCGATGACTTACCTTCTTGTGACCTCGACCGGCTCTAGAGCTTCCGGCGCAGAGACTGGCTACAACGGAGCAATCTGATGTCAGGTCCTGCACAAGGTCGATCTTGTCAAGGCCTTTTGTGGACATAGTGACCTCGTGGTCGTCGCCGGTGCACGGAAAGCGGACGGCTGAGAGTGCTTCCGAGGGACGTTTCCAGCCATCGAAGCACTCCAGCTGGGCGACAGACAGCGGTAAAGTTGGCGCGTCTGTGAAGGGCTCCTGACCAGGCCCAAGCTCGAAGTCCTTGTTGGTAGGGTCCTGGTCCCATGGCTTGAAGACGAAGTTATTCAGCTTGGACCCTTCCAGCAGAATGATTTTCTCACGTGTGGTCGGCGCTCGCTTCGAGATCGGAGGTCCAAGAAGTGGTTCTTCCACAGCGGTATTAGATTCTCCGTTGGTACTGGATTTCAGCGTCTCGGCTTTACTGATCATCTCCCTACATTTCGCATCTAGACGTTTGCGATCTGAGGGAGAGTCAGTCAGGCTCAACGCTTGCATGTATAACTCGGCCGCGCCGATAGTCGAGTTTAAGTCAGATCCATTCTCGAGGGCCCTGGCTCTAGATTCCAAATCGCCAGATGTGTATTTGTTGTCGGCCATGGTGGTATAGCTCACGGCGCAGTGTCCAAAACCTCAAAAGTCAAGAATCATCAACGACTCCATGTATTTGACATTGCATGGGCAGGCCGACAACCATTGTTCGACCAAGAAGAACGTTCGAAGGTATGTCCAAGCAACCAACGGCCAAATAATATCTCATAGCCAATATCGAGATGACACCTGCAACTGTAATGACAATCTCAACTGCCCGGGAGGCTGTCAAGTGGCAATGTGTATACTCGCGTCCATCATTTCATAGGGTTGGATTGTTCGAACTGATCAAACATCTCGAGCCCGACTCAACAGCGGCAGGAGCATCATCGCACTTGGCGTCGGTGCTCCAAACTTCGTCAATAGCAGTAGTAGCAGTCGCGATACTCGTCACGGACCTTGCAAAGTCCACGTTTCATTTCATCGCGAACTTGCTTCTGCAGGATCATCAGTCATCCCTGCGGGCCATCAACGGTGAGTCTGAAGTCTGAAGTCGTCAGACTCATCAATGTCGACTGTGAATTAACAGCCCCCAGCCCATTGGCGGGATGCGTGCCGTGGGATGGCGTGGGTGTGCCTCGGCTCAAAGAGCATCGGAAGAAACTGGAGCCAAAACCCCAGCATCACCACCCGCAGATGACGACCAGCGCAGCGGTAAACCGGGGACCTAGAGAAACGCTTGACCAAGTCTGCTTGCTCCTCATTTCACGTCCATGATGTTTGTGACTTGCTAGCAGTACTTCAACAACATTTAGCTTCGGAAGCACAAATCGTAGCAGCCAGCAGAAGCTGCGTGCAACACCTGACGTGTCGTCTCGAAGCAGTCTCCGACCGTCCTCAGCTACGGGAGAAAGAATTACCACATTCACATGTCTGAAGGAGCAAAGCCTCTCCCGCCATGGGGGAGTGCCATCGCAGGTGCCTCTGGTGCTGTGCTAGCTAACGCACTGGTATATCCGCTGGACATGTAAGCCGAGCTGATCATTCAATCAGCGGAAGCTAATCTAGATTACAGCGTCAAGACCCGACTACAGGTTCAAGTCAAGCGCAAGGGAACAGAAGTGAGGGTGATCGACCAACCAGCAGATGGCGATCATCACTATGAAGGCACACTGCACGCTATCCAAACAATCATAGAACACGAGGGCGTTGCCGGTCTCTACTCCGGTCTCGCAGGCTCGCTTGCTGGTGTCGCCAGTACCAACTTCGCATACTTCTACTGGTACTCGATCGTACGGACACTATACCTGAGGTCGGGCGCAAAGCACTCTACAGCTTCAGAGCTCTCACTAGGCGCCGTTGCCGGTGCGCTAGCTCAGCTGTTTACGATTCCCATCGCTGTTGTCACAGCCCGACAACAGACGCAAAGAAAACATGAGAGAAAGGGCATCATCGAGACCGGCAGGGAGGTCGTCAACAGCGAGGATGGCTGGACCGGTCTGTGGAGAGGCCTCAAGGCCAGCTTGATCTTGGTCGTCAATCCCTCCATCACGTATGGCGCTTATCAGCGTTTGCGGGAAAGATTCTACCCAGGCCGAACAACTCTCCGGCCCCACGAGGCATTCTGTGAGTGGTCTTACACACTTTGAACCATCCTTGGCTAACGCTCTCGCAGTACTCGGTGCCCTCTCCAAAATGCTCGCCACCATCGTCACTCAACCCCTCATAGTAGCCAAAGTCGGCCTCCAGTCCCGCCCACCACCCGAGCGCCAAGGCAAGCCCTTCAAGAGCTTTGGCGAAGTCATGGCCTACATCATCGAACACGAAGGGCCACTGGCTCTTTTCAAGGGCATCGGTCCACAGATCACCAAGGGCTTCTTGGTACAAGGCATCCTCATGATGACGAAAGAGAAGATGGAGATGGTTTTCATCATGCTCTTTGCCTATGTCCGCATCGTGCGGGAGAAGAAATTGCGACAGCTGGCAGAGAAGGTCAAGGAAAAGGCAAGGGAAACAAATGTAGACAAGGTTGTGCCACAGGTGGTAGAGAAGGTTAAAGAGAAGGCCAAGGACGTGACGAACATCGTGTAAGTCAGGGAGGACTTCAGAGACAAGAGACGGGTGATGTGTATTGCGTTTTGGAAACCAGGATTGGACGAACGATTTCGTTCTGCACAAATGGCGCAGAATCTGGCAGGATCTTGTTTTTGAAGTTCACGAAAAAGATCAGAACTTTTGTGATTTCTGGTTCGTGAAGCACTTCTTGGCTTAGAGTGTATGGTGTACAGTCTATATGTCTTATGCTACACATGGTCGATTTCAACAATTCTTTTCGCGACTTTCTTTTCGTCAGGGCGTTTCAGTCCTCCTTCCGCAGGAACCTTGAGTCTTTCTCAATCGACCGGCGACGTGACGGGACACGGCGGTTGCCGTACGTCGTTCGTCCCTTCCGCCTCGAAAGCCTCCTTGGAGAAGGTACTCTTCCTCCAAAGTCCAACAAATCCTCCGCCGCGTGTCACCTCAAAGACTTTGGGCCTGCATACGAATTTCACGTCCTTCGCAGCCGCCTCGACCTCAGCTAAGGCCTCATCGCCGGGAATTGTCTCCACGTCGCTCTGACCGTCGCTTTCTGAGCTCGACTCGCTTGAGGCCCGCTTTGCCGCCGCTCTCTTCAGTGCCTCGAGCTCAGCTAACCTCTTGCGAGGTACCACAACTCGCACATCCCATACCCTGCCGGTACTTATGCCCTCGCCCAACTCTACGACCTGCTCGTGCGCCAGAGGCACACTTTGCTCTTTGATCAACTTCTGACATTCCGCGATCTGAGTAATTGAAGGACAGAAGACTGCCAGAAGAGCATCCTCCTTCATTGCTTGTGCTGCTACAGGCAGCATCTCTTCGACTTCCGGCATATCGAGGAGGACATATGAGAGGAACTCGGTGCCTCGTTCTTGCAGCTTCGTACGAAGCCACTGACCCACGCTGCCGACATGGAAATCGATGTGCGGCCAGTAGAGGCCCCGACGAAAGCCGCGAATAAGCTTCTCGGCGTCTCTTGAGTTCTTGGGCACGGTTTCGACGGTGTGTACTATGGCCTGGCGGTCGCTCAGCCAGGAGGACCATTCCTGGTCATTGACTGGCTCAGCTAGGGCGCCATCCGGATCCGCGTCTGCGCTTTTGCCGCGCATCGCAGGGAGCGCAGACAGCGGTGGAGGATGATTAGCCGCTGCGATTGCACGAGCGAGGTGGAGGGTCAGGCTCCCATGACCTGTGCCGGCTTCTAGTATCTCCAAACGCTCGTTCTCATGCTTGTGACCGGGCGTGGGTGGGTGAATGTCCAACAGCGAGACAATATGCGATGCATAAGTGGCATAGACCGGCGTAACGTTTCTTCTCGTCAGACTGATGTACTCGTCCAGAGTCGGACGCTCCACCTGAACATACCTGCCACCCTTACCGTCCCTGGTGCGCAGGGTCCGGGCGCGCTGGCCGATTACATTGTCGTGCTGTAACAAGGCATTGTTCCCGTCTCCTGGGACCGGGCTTGTCCGGCCATTCACTAGAGGACTGCTCAGTCGTTTGCCGTTGATCAAGACCTGCTCGCCGATTGCGTACCGTGTGAGATCGCGGAGAGGTGTGCTGCCAAAGGACTTTGTCACCGTTTCTGAGCTGAGCTGATTGAGGATGGCTCGAGCGGCGGGTTTGACAAACATGGACATCAATGTGAAATGAATGGACGCTCAGTGCGAGCAACTCGATATGTCGGGAGTGTTGTAGTACGCAGTCGAAGTAGAGAACGAGAACAGGAACGAGAACAGAAGAAATGTCCCAATGCGGCACCTCATTTCCCCAGATTTCACACTTTCGAGTCCTCCATCGCAAGCGCAGACAACCTTCTTATTACAATCTCTCCGTGACAGTGTTGCAGCAGAATCGACAAGACAGCACAGTCAAAGCATTTGAACAGCCAGCCCTCCTCACTGGTGATGTACACCCCGTAATCAGTATGCGCCGCCCGTAAGCGCTCGAGCCACGCTTTGACGGTCTCCACCTCGATTTCCTGAGGAACACGACCTTTGCCGGTCTCTTCCAATGCAGCATGACGAGACGTATAGTATGTCATATCGTCCTCGCCGTCGCTACCGTCGCGCGCTATGTACGCTAACACCGCATCAGGTCCGCGCTGGCCTCCAGCTAGCCATCTTCTCCGTCGTCGTCTTCATTCTCGTCGTCTTCCTCGACAACCGCTACAGAGTCCTCCCCCAAGCCATCCATAACCACCTGCCCGCCCACCACCCGGGCTTCGTGGTCACCGACGTCACAGTCATCACCTGCTCCTCGATCAATCCTTTCTCGAGCTGCACCAAGGATGGCCCCAATTGGCACCGCATCAACGAAGACCTCTACCTAGGCAGCGGCTACGTCTCCAAAGCCTACCTACACGTCCGCCGAAAAAAGGAAGACACGCTCGAATCCCACGAAGAAATAGTCCTAGACGTCAAAGTCGGCCGCACCACCCCCCAAGACACCACCGACAACCCCCTCTCCAAAGATGAGCGCTGGGAGTCCCGCCCCGCGGGCATCTGGGTCAAACTCTCCTCCAAACGGCACATGGGCGACGCCGCGAAACTAATCACCGGCGTCGACGTCCTCTTCGGCCCAGATGCGGCGACCCGCGTTCCAACTGGGACGTCTCCCCCATCGCTCTCCTCCTCGACCCCACCGATGCCCCCCAACCACACCTCACAATCCGCAAGGGCCCCGCCCTCGCGACCCTCGCCAAACCCACCCCACGCATCCGCAAAGACGGCAAGTTCAAAATCATGCAAGCCGCCGACCTGCACCTCGCGACCGGCCTCGGCAAATGCCGCGACGCCGAACCCCCGCTCAGCACCCCCTGCGAAGCCGACACCCGCACCCTCCAATTCATCGAATCGCTCCTCCTCTCCGAACAACCCGACCTGATCATCCTCTCCGGCGACCAAGTCAACGGGGACACCTCCCTCGACGCCCAAACCGCAATCTTCAAATACGCCTCCCTCTTCGCCTCCCACAAAATCCCCTACGCCGGCATCTTCGGCAACCACGACGACGAAGGCTCCCTCTCCCGCGCCGAGTCCATGGCCATAATGGACGGCCTCCCCTACTCCCTCTCCACCTCTGGCCCCTCAGACATCGACGGCGTGGGCAACTACGTCCTCGAGATCCTCGGCCGGGGCTCCACCACCCATTCCGCTTTGACCCTCTACCTCCTCGACACACATTCCTACTCGCCCGACGAGCGCCACCACAGGGGCTACGACTGGCTGAAACCCTCGCAGATCGAGTGGTTCCGCTCCACGTCCCAATCCCTGAAGCGAAAACACAAGGAATACACACACATCCACATGAACCTCGCGTTCATCCACATCCCCCTCCCGGAATACCGCAACCCACACTCCTTCAATATCGTGGGCAACTGGACGGAACCGCCCACTGCGCCGGGCGTGAACAGCGGGTTCATGGATGCGCTGATTGAGGAGAACGTCCTGTTTGTGTCTTGTGGGCATGACCATGTGAATGACTATTGCGTTCCAGGCGCGGACAAGGAAACGAAAGAGCCGAAGTTGTGGATGTGCTATGGTGGTGGGAGCGGGTTTGGGGGGTATGGAGGGTATGGAGGGTATATACGGAGGGTGAGGTTCTTTGAATTCGATATGAATGCCGCGAGGGTGACGACGTGGAAGCGGTTGGAGGCTGGGGATACGGAGAAGAGGTGGGATTTGCAGACTATTGTTGATGGGGGCAAGGGTGTTTTCTGAAAGATGGAAACTCCCAGACCTTGGACACAGGGGGATTGAAGTGAATGGATTAGCTGGAGGTTTGTGTCAAGCTCGTCCGGTTGTGGAGAAGGGCCAGCAAGTGTGTACATGTTGGAACAGGAACAGAAGGGTATGGGCGTAGTGGAGGCAGGACGAAGATCAGCATTGCGCGGCGTTTTCTTCGAGGATACACTTCGGGTTGGAGCATATGCTATATGCTGCATGGGGGTATACATACCATCTTAGCCATCATTTGTTGGTGGCAGAGGGCGGCCACTGTGGTCGCGCGCCTCGACTCATTTCTGTTCTGATGACAGTCACCACCACTTCTCAGACAACACCCTGCGCTTCTCCATTCCCTTCGCTTTGCTCAACACCTCCACGAACTCGTCCGTCATTGCCGGCAGTCCACAGACATATACTACCGTGTTTGCTCGGTCGTCCTCTGGACCCAGCGCCTCTAGGAGATCCTCATGTGAAATCCTTCGATTCCTGTACTGTACATTTTTCTCTTTTCCTTCGCCGTCCCTGCCGCCGGGGCTCGTCTCGAAGAAAGTGTAGCGGTAGTCTACCTCATCGTTGGACTTCCACTTCGATGCAAGATCAAGCAGATCGTCGTAGAAGAGCACGTCTTCCTTCTTGTCATCAGGGGACCTGTTCCTGCGGCTGCTGTACAGCACCGTAGTTCGCCTGGGCAAGCCGCCTAATCTAGCTGTTGCTGCTGGTCCGACCGAGTCCATAGCACGGAGCATGCTGATGATCGGATTGATGCCTACTCCGCCCGCCACGAAGACGGCGCGGTCGATGGATCGACATTCCTCTTGGCTGAGTGTGGAGGGTGGATAGATGAAGTTGCCGCCAACACGAAAAGACACAGGCTTGTCCAGGATGCTGGCTGTAGGTTGCCATAGATAGGCAGCGGGTGGGTTGTTGGGTGACTTTTGGATTGCGAGCTCAATGTACGGGTCTGTGGGTTGCCGTGTCGTGAAGGGTGCTGAGGTGATTGTGAAGCCGCCCACGGTGGAGATGTTTGGGATGTAGAGGTCGACGTATTGGCCTGGGAGTGGGGAGCGGGCGGGCTGGACACGAGTCAGTACCTTGCCATGTTGTATGTGCATCTGGAGCATAGCACGTGTATAGCGAAATGTCAAGTGGCTGTGTTTTGCGTGTACGTACTCGTGTACCGACCAGACCAAGACGTATCAGTCTGATGGTAGTATTCACCTGATCAACTTTGCTCACTGTAGCGTTCCATACCCCTGCAGCTCGCTGTTCATGTGCTGTCCGCAGTATATGTGGTATCGAATCTTCTCGCACGGCTGCCATGCTTCGTGAAAGTCTGCTGCGAAGCAGTGATCCTGACGAGTTGCTGATGGGTGAAGTGAGACTGCGGGGTCGAAGATGGGCCAACATGTTCAGGGCGGTACCGTTCTCATGTCGGACGTATACTAATGCTATCGATCAATCATATTTGGAAGTGTCTGATCAGAGACGAGGGAGAAGATGCGGTGGATGGAGGAAGTGAGGTGAGGTGAGATCATCATGGGCTCGATCGACGCCAAGCGCTTGTGTCGAGGGTGTATCAACATTGATGTGACGAACGGTGCCTGCAAGCTCTCTTCAGGATTGAGATGGTCAGTGAGGGCTAGTAGAAATTTACAGCAGCACTACTAGTTGCGCTTCGCAGAGAGAGGAAACTTCGTTCGGCTTGAAATCTAGCTAAGCAGGCGCGACTCTCAGCGCATCGCGCCTACGGTTTGCCCATGAAGATGCCACGACGTCCTGCCCGGGTGAGTGAGCAGGTAGGTATGGTGTGGACGTTTTCACTGTCCAAATCTCATATTTATATCACAGGTACATGGACGATCCTTCGCTCTTGCCTCCTGTAAGCCGCCCTTGCAACATCACGGTCAACCTTTCTCGCGAGCAGTAGCTCGCCGACAAGATTGAGTACTTCTGCTCTGTATGCGGGCCTTCTCCATGTACCTGAATATTGATATCGCGACCATGGTTAGCCTTGCAGCAGTGACCTGGTAAGTTGCATGATCTCGACGGGGGCACAAGGTAATTTTTGGTCTTTGTCGTAAGGCCGCAAGTGACTCTGCTTGTACCGTATTTTCGTGGCATGAGAAAAGCGCAACGGCTTGTTAAGCCACTTCAGGTGAAACCGAATGTGCCTGCGACCACCATCTTGTCTTGATCCTATCGTTCCTTGCCCTTAAGATGGTCTTCGTCCGTCGTGGGGCCATTGTCAAGAAAGATCGCAATGCCGTTCGAGTGGACAGCATGGACAGAAATATCGGTGTAGCTGCAGCAGTCAGTTTCTTGCAGTCCTTCAATTGGGACTTTTGCAGGCGGTGGCATAAGAGCTAGTCACTGAGCCTGGAGTGTGAAACAAAGTCATAATGGTCAGTGATTGCTGCGTAAGTCCCCCATATCGGAGGCTCTGGTGCTATGAGTCCCTCCAGATTGTTGTGACATATTACATCAGAGCGACAGAGAATATGGAATGATGAGCATAGGTGTAGGGCATGCGTTGCGGTATATCTTCTTGATATCGGCTTGACCATGAAGTGTGACCAAGATCTTGAAGTGGCGAGAGCGAGACATGAAGATTTACATCCATCACTTGTCGACACCAACAGACTGAATGGCTGCTATGACTGATCTGACTTGGTATTTGTTATATTTTGAAGAGACCTTCGACCTCATTCGAAGATATAGCTTCTTGTCATAGAGGCAGGCCGAAGTACGCAGCAGGTGCGACGCTGAAGGTGATAAAGCGATGCCAAGTCATTATTGGCTTCAAGAAGCTGGAAACATAGCATTAGGGTAGTCCGATGCATATAGATGATATTTGCAACATAAGTTGAGTGTCGTTGCGGTGTATTGAAGATGGTAAAGGTCCTGAGCTGAAGACTTGACGTTGGCTTTGAGGTGGAATTGGGCTTTGCCGAGACCCTGAATGCCCGCCTCTCCCTTCCACTTCGCGCACCAGCATCAGCCTCGATTCGACTGATATAGAGACCCAGATGGACAGACAGGAAGATCCTACACTTCAGCAACGTATCGAGCTCGGCCACATCGTCGCCCTCTGGCTCGTACGCCCCATTGAGAAGGACCATTCTATATGGCATAGCAAGAGCAGGATATTGGAGCATTACCGGAGGCTGGCAGGACCTCAGAACAGGTACATCGATATCTGCATTGTGGCACATCAGAACTGATCAAAGTCTAGCCGGCACTGTGCGTTGATCAAGCATTCACTCGAGTCGATCAGCAATCGATCTTTTATACGATTTTTCGAGTCTTTCGTTTTCCATTATATCAGATCGGAATATCCCATATTGAGCATATTTCATAATGGCGGAAGTCATGAGTACATCAACAATGCCAGCAAATATCTCATCCAATGATGAAGACGTTGTCATGGTGGACGGAAATGCACCTGAGTATGTGGAAACTTTGCCATGGTTGTGGCTTATAATCCTTAGTACTGGCCCTGGCAGACCTTGCTGACATATAGATCTAGCATCCATGAAGCGACGCCGGCCGATTTCCCAGATCAGATCATCAAAATGGAAGACGATGATATGGACATCGTGTCGGAAGGTCATGGTAACTTCCTGAGAAGCTTGCAGACCAATAGTGAAGCTCGAGACTCTCCCAACAGCTCATTGACGTCGACCTCGATGCATTCGATTCCCTCTGACCACAAGCCTGCCCCAACATTCAACCCTGTGATCAAACAGGAAGTCACCAGCAGCGACAATCAGCGGTATCTTTACACCAAAGCCCCTGTCACTTGTCGGGCCAGGTCATCGATACCTCCACGACTTCCAGCGGGCGAGTATGCCAATCAATGCATCACTGCTGCTGAGAACTCGAGACTTGATCCTTTCAAGCTCCATGAGGATGAGCACAAACTGCTTCAGGATAAGCTTTGTCAGCTGCATGTTACGGTGTATCTGAACATTCGCAATGGCATCCTTCGATTATGGGCGAGGAATCCCAGTGTCAGCGTTAGCCTTGAGGAAGCCATTGGCTGCATCAAGGACGAGCGCTGGACCCGACTGGCCTGCTTTGCATATGAATGGCTCGTACGGCGTGGCTACATCAACTTCGGCTGTGTCGCTGCTCCCATGGCGACCAAACAGTCACGGGCCAGGCGGAAGGATGGACCTGCAAAGGAGACGATTGTCGTCATTGGTGGCGGTGTGGCTGGTCTGAGTACTGCTCGACAGCTTACGAACCTGTTCCATCATTTCCCAGATCAGACGACACCCAAGGTCATCGTGCTAGAAGGCCGCAGCCGCATTGGTGGCCGGATATACTCACATCCGCTGACCAGCATGCGGTCTTCTATCCTGACTCCTGAACAGCGAGCTACAGCAGAGATGGGCGCCCATATCATTGTCGGATTCGAGAAAGGTAATCCGCTCGACGCCATCATTCGTGGCCAGCTTGCGCTGAACTACCATTTACTGCGAGACCTATCAACGCTGTACGACGTAGATGGGTCACCAGTCAACGGAGCCAGTGACGCCATGATCGAACGCCTCTACAACGATGTCCTCGACCGAACGGGCGAATATCGCGTTAATCACACGATCAAGAAGACTGCGGAAGGTGACAAAGAAATGATCGAAGCTTGGCGAGATCCTCCACCGAACGAAGAGTCCGTCACAATAAAACAGTACGAAGAAGCTACCGCAGATGGGACAATAGATTTGTTACTACCCACGAAAAAGTCTCGACGAAGGGGTGCCGGGCACAAGGCTGCTAAAGGAGAACAGTCAAAAGAAGAGGTCGACACAGATATGGCAACAAAGAAGCAGTTACCTGCTGCTCAAGCCGCCAAAGAATTTGGATTCATGCTTAGGAAGACCACGCAGCTTGAGGAGACGCTCCAGCTGGACAATCTGGCTTCGAAACCAAATGCTTCGCTGGGAAGTGTCATGAATGCTGGTATCGAACAGTATCAGCAGTTCCTGGATCTCAAACCCTACGCCCTGCGACTCATCAATTGGCATTTTGCCAATCTCGAGTACGCGAATGCGTGTAATGTTGACAAGCTCAGCCTTCGCGCATGGGATCAGGATATCGGCAACGAATTCGAAGGAGAGCATGCACAAGTCGTTGGTGGATACCAGCAATTTCCTCGAGCTTTGTGGCGATATCCTGAAGCGTTGGATGTCCGGACCAACAAGCCTGTCCAAGCCATTCACTACGGCGCAGCTGGACTCGGTGGTAAGCCGACAGTGGTGTGCGAGGATGGAGAGGCTATTGAGGCCGATCGAGTCGTCTTCTCAGCGCCCCTGGGAGTGCTGAAGGAGCAAGCAATCAAGTTTGATCCTCCACTGCCCCAATGGAAGGCCGACGCCATCAAACGAATGGGTTTCGGACTCCTCAACAAACTCATCATGGTCTTCGAGAAACCATTCTGGGACACTGAGCGCGACATGTTCGGCTTACTACGTGCGCCTCGGGATAGCGCCGGGCAGGAGCAGGCAAACTACAAGCAGTGTCGAGGCCAATTCTACCTCTTCTGGAACTGTATCGACACAAGCGGCCTGCCCGTCCTCATCGCACTCATGGCCGGCGAAGCAGCGCATGAAGCTGAAAGGACACCCGACGCATTCCTAGTCGAAGATTGCCTCCACCAGCTGCGAAACGTCTTCGGCCACCAAAACGTGCCCTCACCCGTCGAGTCAATCGTCACTCGCTGGGGCTCAGACCGATTCGCGCGAGGCACATATTCATACGTCGCCGCCGAAGCAAAGGCCAACGATTACGACACCTTGGCCGCCCCCATCTCCAACACACTCTTCTTCGCCGGCGAAGCAACCATCGCCACACACCCAGCAACGGTCCACGGTGCCTACCTCTCCGGCCTCCGCGCAGCACACGAAGTCTACGAATCCCTCGTCGGCCCAATCGCCATCCCTTCAGTGCTCGTACCTCCTCCCTCCACCAAGTCCTCCATCTTCGCGCCCGCCGTCAAGGCTCAAACCACCACCAGCACCACCATCGACCTCACCGAAATCGATGGCCACCTCGCCCAACAACCAAAACGCAAAGGCGACGAGGTTCTCCCCGCCGGCACTTTCACCCGCCCCATGAAAGAAAACAACAACAAAGCCCTGCAAGAAGCTTGGGACGCAGCCATGTGGGTGCGCATCTACAACGACCTGGGCCCTCCACCCGTCAAACCCCCTAAACTCAACATCAACGCCTTCCTGTTGTTCTCGGGCGAGCACTGGGACGCCGTCAAGCAGCGCCTCGCCGACGCCAAAGCCGCTGCAGCTGCGACAGCAGCAGCAGCCGGCAAAGGCCACTGGAACAAAGGTCGAGGCAAGCAGACCGAGCGCGACCAAGTGCGCGTCGAGCTGGGCAAGATGTGGGCGAGTCTCGATGAGGAAGGGAAGAAGCCGTACACGGACACTGTGGCGCGGAATAGGGAGGAGAACGATAGGCTATTCAAGGAGTGGAGTGTGAAAGCCGCGGCGTGGGATAAGCGGACGTGGGAGGTCAAGGATGTGTGGGTCAAGGAGGGGAATAGTTTTGAGGAGTTTGTTGAGCGGAGAAGGGTTGAGGAGATGGAGCTGGACAAGGCGAGAGAAGGACTCTGAGGAGGACTTCAACAAGGTGGTATCTCTAGCAAGTGAGCGAGGGGTGAATAGCGAAATGAAATCGATGTTTTGTTAAGGAAAAGTGAGATGATTTCGAATTCACGATGCATATTCGATAACGGGGATGGAGTACGAGATTCAAGAACGAGATTCAGGGACGAAATTCAATCTCACAAGTGACATCGTACAGTTCAATGCTCTCATTCAACTACCCGACTTCAATACAACTCATTCCAACTCCGATACACAAAAATTCACAACCACAACTTCACTCTCCGCCAAACTCAAACCTCCTCGGCGCTTCCGCTCCCACTCCCACTAACACCCCCCAAATCACCACTCCCGCCACTACCACGACCACGCCCGCGCCGCGCACGCCCGCGTCGTAGCGGTATCCCAGCAGCCGCAATGGCCAACGGACTCATCGTCGGCGGAAGACTCCCAGTAACAGAACCAAGCTCTGGGTACCCATCTGAGCCATGATGAACACCAGTAATAGGATCAACGCCGGGACCAGCAAAGAACCCCGCTGCAATCTCTAGAGTCGTGCTGAAGCCCTCTAGGAGGCGCTCTAGCTCGGTGGCGAGCTCCTCGTTGGTTGCGCCGCTGCTTAGGGCGGCGAGGTTGGGTGGGTGGATGTTGGGGAACTCGATTGTTGGACGCGTTGGGGCAGAAGCAGGAGCGGGACCGCTGGGGAGGACGCTGGAGGTGGACTGCCCAGAAGAGTTGCTGCTGCTGATTGACGCGTTATTTGTCATGGCGTGAGCATTGGCGTTCGCGTTCAGGCGGGCTCCGGGAGGAATCATGGCTGCAGCTGGGCCGGGGAAGTTCTCATCGCCGATGCGTACTGTGCGGCTGGAATGGTTGGCGGAAGCAGGATCAGAGGACTGGACAGCGGAAGGCCAGGAATCTGGGAGAATGGTGCGGCCGCGCGTGACGTAGTAGCCGCCTATGCCGCCGTGTGGAGCAGTGTCTGCTTCTAGAGTGGCGGGACCGGGCATTTCGGAGTCGGAAGAGTTATCGAGGCCGAACGGGTCGACGTCTGCTGAGCTGGTGGAGGAGGTGATGGACATGGCGTCCGACATTGCGGTTGCGGGCCGCTGGTATGGGGGTGTGTCATCGTTCTCGATTGTGGTGAAATCGTTGGACGTGACTGGCATAGTCATCATTCGTGTGAGAGCAGCAGGTCGAGAGGGCGTCACGCGTTGAGCGGGTTGTTGGGTGATTGTGGTTTCTGGAGTTGGGTCTGGTTTCTGATCGTTCAGTTCCAGCATGGCACTATCGAATGACCAGTCCAGGGTTGCGCGAGCGCGAGTTTGTGATTGAGAGCGAGACGGCCGTGGTGATGGTTCGTTCTCTTCTTTCTGTTCGGGTCCTGGCTCAGATGCGTCCATTGGAGAAGGAGGAGCGTCAGTCGAAGCGCTGACATTGGTAGGTGTGGTTTCCGACGCGTCGTACGAGTCTTGAATACTCTGCCGCGTATGCTCGTCAGCAGGACCTGACATCCCTGCCATTGCACTCGCGAAAGACCATTCCATTGTGGCGCGCGCTGGGTTCCTTGATATGATTTCTGCAGCTTCTTGCAAACCTGGTTGCTTTGGTTTCTCTATCGATTCTGACCAACCTTGCTGGCCTGTTGCGAAGTCTTGTGCTGCCACTCCCAGAGGTTCTCTAGCTATGTCGTCTGCAGACGAGACCGGCGCGCGGTCAAGGTCTGATTTGTTGAGTCACGAGGACCTTTGGAGTCTGCTCTCTTCTGTCGTAATGTAGCTGCGTCGGCAAGTCGGATGGTTTGTTCTTGCTTCGGTGTATCTGCGTATGTGGTTTGGATATTGTCGTCGGTTCTTGGAGCAGGAGGAGCAAAGTCAGCCTCGTCGAAATCACCAAGATCGAGTACGTTGGACGCGATTGAGCTTGGTCTGTCTTCTGCCATAGCCCGGAAGGGCAAGTCTGATGTTCTTCGCTGTCCTAGTGGAGGAGGTTCAAGTACTGGCTTGAAATCAGTTTTGGTCTTGAACTCATATGCTGGTGCACCCTGGTCGAACAGATTCGAAAGATCTGCTGCACCTCTGTTGACGCGTGCTTCAAAGTTCGCTTTTTGCGCAGCAGTCAATTGTCGAGGAGGCGACAGCTCAGTGACTTTTGGTGGACCACGAGGTGTATCTTCTTCCTCGAACTCTGCTGTCAAGTCTGAAAGATCTGGTATCTCGAGGATGGTAGAAACGCGTCTCTCAAAATCTTGTGTCGTACTGAAGTTCCATTCGTCGCTGTCGCCAATCTTAGCGTCTGGATCCTCCGTTGCCGCGGCAGGAGCACCACCAGGCATGAACAGAGAAACGCGTTGCCCTCCACTGAACAACCACCCGTAATAATTTTGCACCAAGTCTGCAAGATCTGTCGTAGGATGCGACTCTTCTGTATTCGTCAAGAAGTCGTGCTCCAAGACATCTTTCATGGAAGGTCGAGATGCTGCGTCAGGACTGAGAGTGAATTTGACCAGATTTCGAAGGCCTTCACTGAAGTTCTCGTTGTCCGGCAGACTGATCGCCTGTTTGAGTCTCCGCATACGCGTTTTCAATTGCTGGCGTTCGCGCAGATCACTGTTTGGTGGCCTTCCGAGAGCGCATTCGTACAATGTGCATCCATATTCCCACACATCCACTTCATCAGAGTATTCGGGTCGTTCTGTCCACAATTCTGGAGGCATCCAATGGAGAGTACCGATGAACGTGCGCCTCTTGTCGGTTCGAGTGTCGAGGACGTTGGCTACGCCGAAGTCGCACAACTGAAGGTTCCCGTCTTCGTGGATCAAGACATTAGCAGCCTTGATATCGCGGTGAATGATGCCGGCCTCATGCAGTCCTTTGAGCGCTTTCCCGAGTTCTCGAGCGACGATGAGGATGTACTTCTCGGCGAGTCGGTCATTCGTGGCCCTCATCAGGGTTTTGACACTTCCTCCCGGACAGTGTTCGCAGATCAACCATAGTTGACTGTGTATTGGTAGAGCTTCGATCATGGGATTCAAGTTGATAGCACCACTATCCTGTGCTTGTCTCAGTATCCGAATCTCTCTGTTGAAGTCTCTGATTTGTTCATCTTTCTGTTCGCCATATGCAGCGAAATCAGCATCGTCCACGTCCAAGACCTTGATCGCAACGACTTTGTTGCTTGCCTTCTGCCGGCTGTTGGCGATAGTCAGTACGAAGAAGCGTGGAGGCTATATATACATACCCTTTGTACACTCTACCGAAGCTGCCCTTGCCAATGAGTTCGTCGAAAGTGTAGCCGGGAGGCTCTTCATTACTTCGCTTGCATTTCTCGATCACTGCTCGCTCTTGCTGCTTTGCAAGTCGCATCGCCTCTCTTCGGTGGGCCGTCAACGCTGCGGCTGACTGGGGACGGAGGGAGCTCATGATGGGCACGAACTAACGACTCTCGGGAGGAATTCTAATTAGGGAAAACAATTCTGTAAGTCCGTCTTCTGGGTCTCGGTCTGCGACACAATTGCGGGCAATCTTACGTTGCTTGATATTCCAGGCTTTCTCAAGCTGGGCAGCTTCCTCGGGATCCTCGGGAATGGGTAGGTCGGTTTCAGATTTAGCGGCGAGCAACTTCCGGTAGAGGCTCTCTCTAAGTCGGAGTGGTGGGATGTCTTTAGCTTCGGCTACAATGTCGACACTTCGTGGTTGATTGTTATGGCGAGGAACCGATGGAATCGTCGTTGGAGCAAAAGTATTCACGATATCTTGGTAGGAGGGACCGATGAAGTCTCGGCGAGTGGCAGGAGCAAAGTTAGTGTCTTCGTAGTAGTCTGGTACAGGGACAGGAGGTGAAGTCGTTCTTGTCACTCCAGCTTCCTCGTATGCTTGCTCGAAAGACCAATTGGGAAGGTTCGGGTGCTGCTGCTTCTCGACAAAGTTGCTGTCTTCGAAGTACTTGGGTGCCTTAGCCCGGTCTTGGCGCTTCCGAGCCCGATTCTCGTGATATCGTTGGACTGCAGGATCTACCTGCTTCGATGGCGTCGCCTCGGCTTCTTCGTCGTCGGCGGCAGCGGGAAAAGCCTCCCTGCTCTTCCGCTCGATCTCCTCCCGCCGCTTGATGATTCGAAGCGCAGCGGGAGTAAGATGGCGTCGTGTTTGGCGCTCTTCTTCTGGGGACTTAAAGTACCCCTTTTCGGTTGAGAACCGGTTGGAGGCACCGGCAGCCGGGACGCCGCGAAAGAAGTCGCGCAAAGGCGACTTCTCTGGCACTGGTGGTGCCCCAGAAACAGGAGCCGCGCCAGGGAGAGCAGGAAGGGCGAGAGGAGGAGGAGGGCCGGCGGTGGCGGGCCGGGAGGGAGCACGCTGCTGCCACCAGTTGTCTGGCTTGAGTGTGACCTTTTTAGGTCCTTTGTTCACCTTAGCAGGTGAGTTCTCACTCATTTTGATTGACAACTGGAGAGCAAAGGAGAAAGAAGATTGTGAAGCTGGCGGGACATACCTGATCATACAAAACGCGCTCTCACGCGTTTGCAAGGCCTTGGCGTGAAGTGTTGATACCAGAAGGCAACGTTGCTGTGCAACGCTCTCTGTGAGTCAAGGGGCAGCAAGCAGAAGCACAAGGCTGCGAAACGCCCTCTTCTATTCCCTGAAGCGCGCCGACTCGTCCAGATGGCCTTACAAATCCAAAAAGCTGTGCTGCGATGCTCGATTCGCGCGTACCAGGAGGCAATGTCAGAACCACCCAGGATACAGGAACTGAAATGGCGAGTCTCCTCCAATGCTCTGGCCTCCAAGAATCTTAAGACTAAAGATGGCCCTGGAAAAGAAGGAAGAAACGCCCTGCAATGCACTCGAATTCCTGCTTCCTAAGGTGGCGAGTACTGCCTACGCAAGCCCGCGTCGCTATCCAATGGCTCCGTCAGCGTGCTACAGTCCAGCAGCATCTCCGTCGTCGCTCAACAGAACCAGCTTCCGAGATGATTTGGGTGTGACGGGAATACCAAGTGGCTCAGGCAATGCTTCTGAGACTATCGCAAGAATCGCTTCAGTGATCAATAAAGTATCGTGTCGACCCTAGAAACGCCGTTTGTAGATGCCAGGGAGGTCGCGGTCGACTCTTCCTCGGATCTGCCTGAGCCAGCAACACTTCTGGCGGTCAAGTCATACTGCCTACGAGGAAAGGAGGTCGGGCACATCCATCTTGGCGTGCAACACGGATTTCGTCTCCGGGGGCCATTTGTGGCACATCGCATTGGTTGACTTTGGGAAACGATCCACATTTACACATGGACGCAGCAGGACCAATCTGATATGCAGGCATTATTCATGAGTCTATATGCAAGATGCTAATTAAGAATAGAACTGCGCCGGACAGCAGAGCCGCTAGACAGGTTGCGTCAAACCACCGATTGCTGGCCATGCCGGCTGGTGCCAGCCTTCCAGCAGAACTGGACGTCGTGGCGGCGGGTTCGGAAGGCGAGGTGACCGTCGGAGAAGGTGCGGTGCTTGCTGCTCGTGTCGAGGTCGCAGACTGTACTATTGCCGTGGACTTCGGGCGATCATCAGAATCACCATCCCGGATCAGGTGCAAGTTGTACCCCGGCTTAACCTGAGACACCGTCTGCTCGCCGGCATGCATCACCTCAAATCCAAACTCGAGCTGCCCTAGCCAAAGTGCTCCAGACAGTAGACCCTTCTGCCAGATGTATCGGAGCAGGGGCGAATAGTCTGCATCAGTACTGGTCATGTTGCTTTCCGACAACCACGAGAAGACATGCTGGCCTTGTGCATTCCAGCCGTGGTATAGACTGAAGTCCATGCCATCGACTTCGACTGTATCGACTGCTGGCGTTGACTCAAAGTATCCCAACGGAACGCTGCAGGACGGATCAGCCAGTCACTCAAATCGACTTCTGAGTCAGAGGGACTCACATGGTGGGTGTGCGCCAAAACCAGATCATGATTTCAATCGGAGGCCCTACTTGTGTGCTGTTCCAAGCATCGTCGCTGAGGAACACATCGATTGCTGCATTCTGGCGCACATATGTTTCATCGTATGCCTGCGCTTGCTCTTCTGGACTGCTGTTCTCTGTGCCTTGAACATAGATGCTCCAATCTGCCTTGAAATCGAGCGCGCTGATGTTCCAGAACAGGACAGGAAGTCTCGAAGGGTGTACTTTCATCCTGGGAAAGGACTTCACCAGTTCTGGATTGCCAGTGAACTGGTAGGTAACGGACCAGGATGCTCCTTCGTCAAAGACCGAAAGGCATTGGGAACCATTGTCCAAGGCACCCTCGCCCCATACATTGTTATTGACTAGGATTCCAAATGAGTTCGGTGCGATTGGACTCGGGGGACAATGCGCTCACACTCGTAGGGGGTGCTTGCGCTCGTGGAATTGAAGGAATCGTTGGCCTGGCACAATGTTACGTTGTTACCGCCATCCTGGGCGAGGACTGGCGGCCAGATCGGTGCCAGCAATGCCAGACACCATCCACCAAATGCTGCTTTCATGAGATGCACATACAGATCATGGAGTGAAGGAGGAACGATCGCAAGCGAAGCATCACTGAACACAAACCGTGCGCAAATTTGATTTCTGGGCCTGAAGCTTGGATGGCTGCGAGGTCTGCGCGTTCTGAGACATCCCCGCCCCAACCCAGAAATCGTGGCAATGCATTCTGCGAGCGAGGGTATTGACCTGGATAACGCGTGTCAAATGGTCTTTGAACGGTCAAGTCCTTGCGGTAGCATCAATGAGGCAGATGCAGGAAGGATGGAAGCATGCTTGCTATCTGGCCTGCGTCAGAAATTGAGAGATAACACTGTCTCATGCTGGCCTTGGCGTCCCAGCATTCTGGTCTGAACTCTCTTCGATGTGGTATTTTTAGGTGTCGATCCGCCGATGTCACCAACGAACATAGCCCTGTGATGGCATGAATTAGAAATGTCAAGTTCTCGCTGTATACCGGTGATTAGACGGCTATGTCCAAGTCAGCGACGACCGTCTTGCGTCCGACTGACAGCCACGGCACGGTGGACGGGTGGTGGAACATCCATATCATCTGTAGGCTCGTGCCAGCGAGAGCGGCTTAGACGGAGGTCATGGCAAAGGTCGTTCCTTCCTGACGGATTGGCACATCAGTGCAGTTGCGACCGCTTGATCAGCACAATTTCACCCGCAATTTCTTCACGTAATTCCACATGTAATCCCACAGCCAACAGCACATCTCTCGAAATCCCAAACAACCCGATTTCTTCTGACCAAACGGGCAACGTGACAGAAATCTCGACAAGAAAGAAGGCCTGCGACCAGCTTTAGGCACGGTCCGCCGTGATTGATATGCCCCCAATGGACGCCTTTTTACCCCAGGATCGTCGCGGCATTGGTGGGAAGCCACCACCGCGAACACGATCTACCTGCAACTACACCTGTTCATTCGTGTCAAAAGTTCCTTCTGACATCTTCTCCTCCAAGACAGCATGGCTGTCTCATGACTTTAGCTGCCTGCCACTGCCGAATGGCAGTACAAAGGACCGATGACTGCCCAATGGATCAAGGCGCAAGTACGGTAAGCAGCTGCAGGCTGATTGATCCGCACCGCAACGATTTCGAAACGGTGCCTCATGATATTCTCGGCAGGCAACAGGATGTCTGACTAACAAATGGACAATGGATGTCCAGAAAAGCAGACTCTCGACCTCGAGCCTCTGCTTTGTGAGAGGTTGGATCTATTCTTGCATCGCTTTGTTGCATTGATCTAAAGCTACTCATACCAAGTAACGCTGAAAGTTTACAGGCTGAGGCTGAGCGACTGCGAGGGATTTCTTGGGTATCTCACAAAATCATTGATATGCTATAGACCACATCTTCGGGACTTATTCTATCAATCACTCTAGAATCCAACTTACATTCGACATCTCGCAATCCCAATCACAGACATTCACAGCAAGATCATGGCTTCAAGACGAGCAGTGAGCTCATTACAGCCGCTTTGTGCACGCGCAACATCACAGAACACGACAACGACTGTGGCACGCAGTGGTCCCATCTGTCTACAGAGGTCGCTTCACAATGCAGTCCCCAATAGCAATAGAACCTCGTCCAGGTCCCGCGCTCTCACAACATACGCCCCATCACAGCCTCCAGTCTCGGCCCTGAATTTCTGGCAATCTACCACATTCAACACACCCCTTCTCAGGATACCAATACCCGACATGGTGCCAGCTCCACTATCATTCCCCATAACGAACCTCGTGTCAGACCTTCCAAGGCTGCGGACCACCGTCCGCTTCCAGTACTTCCCGGAATGCGAGTATCTTGTCCGCCGTTGTGTACCGAACGCTGCACGTGCTGTTGCATATGACTGGCGGCAGTCCACCTTAAGGCCTTCGTGGTCGTCAGAAGGCAACGCTGCTGGAGCGCATTTGCTACAAAGCATCCTGGGCGCCGAAGAAGCGATGGAATGGATTGGTCGGCGATGGGGCGTTGTGAGGGTGTTACGGATCCTGGACGCGCAAGGCGGTAGCCATGTGAGGCTGTCGATCGAAAGCAACGGATCGGACTGGATTGAGCAGCAGTCGGAGAGTGGATTTGCAGGTTCAAGTCGAGTGCTGCTTGATGTGCGCGTTCTGACGCTCTTCGATGCGTCGGCTCAAGCCGGCGATCTGGATCTTTCCTTTGTGTGCGCCTGATGGGAGGAATGGATGGTCATCGAATTAGTGGGAGCTTGTCCCATCGTCTCGCTGGGTATGTCCATTGCTGTTGAGCATGCATATGAGAATGCATTTAGCGTCGGAGTTTGGTTGTGATAGCATAGCGTGCCAGCTCGAAACAGGAAATCGTCCCAATCAAATGTTCCACCTTGTCCTCAGTCCTGCTCTTTCACATAAGCCCCAGTATCAGCCCAACTGTGACCAAGGCCACGAGCCAAACACCCGTACTCATCTGCCGCATGGCCGCTCCCTGCTGCTGACTCGTCGAATCGTACGCTTGCGCCGGCGTCCCCGTCTGCTTCACATCATCCCCATCAATCCAACATCCAACAGCACAACTCCCTCCCCTTCCACCATCAGCACTCACATTATAAGCAACCTCAATCCACTCCACCCCAACCACAAACTCCCCACCCACAGTCATGTTCCCGCTCCACTCCCCGCCATCACTCCAGACATTCAACACCACCCCACTGGCCACACTCGGCACGTTCTTCGTCAAGTTCGCAATCGACAACCCATCAGCATACCACCTGCTCTGTCCCTTGAACCAATCAATCCGCAAATCCACCCACTGCGTCCACTTGAGCTTATCCGGCAACGTGACCTCCTCCGTCGCCCCATCGACCTCATTCCCCTTTGAATCCACATCCGGCTGGTTCGTAACATGCACCGTCTCCGTATCATCCCTGCTACAGATCTCCAGATCCGACTCCTGCGTATCGCTCTGGTACGTAAACAGCCCAAACACCCCACCCTCATCGACACGCTCTGCGACCCTGGCCCGTCATTCTGCGGAATCACCTTTATCCGCGCCCGCAAACTCACATAAAGCATCTCCTTCTCGATCGAGTCCACCTCCGCTACACTCTGAAAACTCGGCGTCCGTGTCGTGCGCAGCGCGAGGTATGTGTCATTCCCGCTCGAGCCCGACACCCACACGTTCTGGGCGCTGGCTACCTGCGGCACGACGCCGCCGTCATTCCACGAGAAGGGGCCTGTGCTGTTGGAGATGGTCCAGAATGAAGTGAAGGCGCTGTCTTTTGTGAAGTAAGGGGAGGTTGGCGCTTCGGTGCCGGCGGTGGCCATCGTGGGGACGGTGGTGGGTGTGGCGGAGGCATTGTGCTTGATGGGGGAGGGGAGGAGGGAGGAGAGGTTGCGGAAGTCGATGAAGTGGTGGTGTGTGAAGAAGCCGGGGGAGGGGCCAGAGACGAGGTAGCAGTCGCAGTTTGGCGGGGAGGATGTGGAGTTTGAGGTCGAGTTTGAGGTTGCGGCGGCAGCGGTATGTGTGGAGGTGAGGATCAGGCTGACGGCGAGGATAGCGATTGTTGAGGTTAGGGAGCGTAGTTGGCTGGTCGTTGACGGGCGCTTCATGGCAGCAGCCGAGAGACGGATGCGCCGGTTGAGGCCTCCGGGGCGCTGGAATTCAACTGCAGCACCTCACAAGAGATGTTGATGTAGCCCACCACCAGAAGAGATGACGGGTAGCTTCGGTCACGGGTGAATGATTGTGCTCAACAGCAGCGGAAGGAGAAAGAGAGCATTTTGCAACAGACAGCCGTTTGTACGCAGCTTAATCAGATCGAATCAGATCAGCCAGGAAACCTACCTGGCCGCTTGCGCAGTCTGTCAACGCGTATCATATCCTCCTTTAACGGCTGCATGTTCGAGTGCCAGAAGTGATCAATGACGCGTAAGCCACTGGGGAGTCGCTCAAATCATCGACGCCCTCGGCCCGCCAAGGGCTAAATTTGTGCTCTCCTCGAAAAACATAAATGTTGGTCGCTGAGACGTTCCAAAGCACGCCAGGCTTGAATGTGGTAGTAGGTTAGGCTTTGGGCCGGGAGGTTTGGAAGCTCGGACTACACGGTTCGTTTTCATTGATAAGATATTGCTTGATGTTGATGAAGTGGTCGTAGGTTGGGGACTTGGGGCGATCACCCCGGAAATCGAGCATTGGCAAATGCTTAGGCATGCTTAAATGGACTGGCCTGCAACGGGCTGCCTTTCTGCGATCGCAGGTTGAGGTGCCAGCTGCACATGCCAGTGTGCCGTGACATCGACGTTAGACGTCCACCGGAACTTCAGGCACCGTAGAACTATCTAATCTATCTCAACTTAGTCTTTCCCCTTTCTGCAGACGTCGCCTTTCCGCGGTCGCCTTGAGAACATCAATAATATGCTGGCCACGTAGGCTAGGACGTGTTCTGCACTCTAGAAGACCGGACTCCAAGTATTGTCCACGCCCAAATTACAGCTCGAGTTTGGAGGCGTCTGCTCCTCGCGACGGACCAGACAAGCACAGCTTCGTTCAAACACTGGTGAGAAATTTATTAAGAGCTTGTAATTCATTATAGCGCTAGACTTCAGCTAAACGCTGGAGACCAAACCCCTCCCAAGCGAGTGCAATAACGAAATGCTCGATTCCTTGTGAACCATGCACGTCTATCGATCGCCGTGTATGTGCTGCACCGAGGGTGGTGTACATGAACAAATCCTAACACCTCACTACATCAGCGAAAGCGGGCAAGATACTTTGCTCCAAGTAGTATCACGGCCAGCATAGGCCTCCCTCCCAATCAGCCTCGACTCGTCGACGCTTGCGGATTTGTAGAGCGGTTCGAAGTCTGCAAGGCTCGTCGGTCAATTATGTCTTGCCTTATAAGGTGATTGAGATATTCCGTGTCGCACTCCTTGCAACAAGGATTCCAAAGCTTTGCGCATTGAGTTCGGTTTTGTCGTCGAGCAGGAGAGTCAGGATCCCAAAGTTCTGGGCCTCGAGATGGATCCTATCGTCGAGTAGGGGAGTCAGAGCTGGACTGATAATCCTCCTTCTCATTCAACTCCTTTTCTCGCGGCACTAGATGTTCGGCAGTCGTGGTGCGCTGGAAGAAGTGAGTAGCATGGTTGGGCAAGTCTTCATCTCTGTTCAGCGTCAGTTTCAAGCCCCAGAAGGTCTCAGGAAGGTCCTTACTCAAAGTCTTCACGATCAAGTCGGCCGTCCTTTTCGTCATACTTCTCCTGCATGTTGACCTCCCACTCTTTCCGCATCTCCTCGATCCGCTGCTTGTAATCGAGATCAGGGTCGTAGGGCTTCGACACGCCACGGAAGCGCTCCCAGCTGAGGATCGTTAGCGTACGTTCACGGATCGGATGTTAGAAATACTCACAGTGAGAGGTGCTTGGGGTGAATGGCGATGCCGTGGTAGTCCTGCTCTCTTCCTGCACGAATGAACGCCCACCGACGTTCTTGCTCCTTGAGATCCAGTCCCGTCGTATCTGGCATGAATACTACGGTGAGCAAGACACCCGCTAGGCCGAACCAAGGCACAACGTAAAACTTGGTTTGGGTATCGATGTAGTTGTACAAGACAGCGGCCGTCAGGGCGCCTAGTTTGCCGACGGCAGCAGAAAATCCATGTGCTGTGGCTCTGACAGCAGTGGGATACACTTCTGCAGCAGCGATGAAGGTGACGGAGTTGGGACCGAATTGGTTGAAGAAGGACGACAGGAAGTACATGGCCTGGAAAGAGTGGATGTGTTCTGGCCTCGTGTAGTACTGTATATCTGGTTAGCCTTGTGCCAGAAACATGGTAGAGTCTGGGTACCAACCTCGAAATTAAAAGCAGGTACAACGAAAAGAATGAAGTCCATCAGGAATCCGACAGTCTGCATGTGCTTGCGACCGTACAATTTGTTGTCAATGAGAAATGATGCGAGATAGTAGCCACAAAGAGCAACGCCCACGTTGATCAGATTGTACAGCCAACCGGGCATGACTGAGCTATTATTTGGGGTGATGACTTTGATGAACTCGCCCTGGAACAACTTGTTGCCGTAGAAGAAGACGTCATTCATATACCAGGTACCAGCCGTGGCAAGCAAGCGGCCGCCAAAGTGGTTGATGATGATCTTCAACGATTGGGCGTCGTAGCCGGTCACAGATGACTTCTTCTTGGCAGCTTGTAGCTGCTTAGAGGCCGACTTCATCTTGTAGACACGGTAGTACACAAGCCACAGCGTTCCCACTGCTGGGATAGCAAAGGACACACGGTATGTCCACTGCACCGCGAGTTTGGAGTATGGAGCATTCCCGCTGCCGTGGTGGAATATAAGCAGCAGGAGGATCAGCAGAACTTGGTTGAAGAACTGACCCCATCCCTGCATCAAGAAAGCGCTGGTGACTTTGCGACCGCGATGCAGACGATCGTCCCGGGTCGAGACCTTTCCTGACCCGACGGCATTCTCCATACCAGCCGTAGCTGTCATGGGGTATTCGCCGCCGACGCCGATGCCATAGAAGAATAGAGACCAGACGTAACAGATGACCCATCCGTTCTCAGTGACTCCCCAAGCAGCCGTCAACATGAGTAGACCGATGAACATAATTGTGGCGTCTTGGATGAGACCCCAACGGCGGCCGATCCAGTCTCCGATGACACCGACCAGGATTTGACCGACAATAATACCACAAATCTCGAGATACTCGACCGCTGCGAGCCACGTAGCACTGCAGGTCAATTCTTTGTTCCAGCAGTTCGGGAAGCCTTTCTGAAAGAGTGGTTTCAGATTGCCGATGGAGAAAAGGACATAGCCTTCGAGCCCAAGACCGGCACCAGGCAGGACCATATTTCTGAAATAGAAGCCCAACGGCGAGAGCGGGTCTGCTTTGAACATGGACCAGAAAGAACCAAACTCGCGTTTAGTTTCGATTGCGTCGACCTTGCGGACAAACTTGAATCGACGCCAAATGCTCATGTCAGCCCAATACGTTCCATCTGCATCGTAGCTGTCGTCCGGCTTGAGAAGGGAGTCGAAGATCTCCTTCTCATTCTGATACATGCCAAAGTCCGGCGAGACCATGCTCGGGTGATTGCCATCGACATCTGGGCCATGCGGAGCAGCTGGTCCGTAGGTGATCGGATCTTGGTGGTTGGCCATGGCGAATCTGACCGTATTGAGTCGTAAAACGCCAAGAATAGATCTCAACGTCCGACAAGGGGGTCGTTAAGCCAAGTGGTGGCTTATAGCTTGGCTGGTCGAAGCAAAGACCAAGCCTTCCTGCTGGGGATGTACCGAGTCTCGGATCTTATAGTCGCTTATTTGGCCCTAAATTGGCGGAAGAGGCGGCAGATCAATAATGAGAGCGCGTCAGCGAGCGTCAGAGCACCGATCCAGCAAGCAATGTGCTGTTGGAAGCGTGCTCTGAGCAATGGATGTGATTCGAAGATCTGAGGGGCGGGAGTGGCTGACTGTCCCGGCAAGACGAATATTATTCAAGATCACCCAGGTACGGGTGCAGCTTGCTGACGTGTAGTATACCTAGGATATACCATATACGTCGAAGGGTTATTGCATGGGATTATACAGAGCTCGGAACCCACCGAGGGAGAAAAATACCTGAAGAAGTTTTCCTCCTTAGCTACTTCCCACCTGATTGTCGACCAACCCGGGTAGCAGCGACGGAGGAAAAATTGAACATTTTGCGTGCAACACCGCTGGAAGGAGCAACCACAGTGGGCTGCTTCCCCATACAACGACATCATAGCTGCAAACAAGCATCGCAGATTTAGACGTAATGTACCGGTATGAAGCTTGACAACTTGCATGGAAAGAGGTGAGGTTGAAGTTCAGCTGAAGACCAATCGATCGAGCACGTGCACGCAGGGGTCTGAAGATTTTCTCGCCAAGAAGAGCGGGCATATCGAGTTTACTGCGACAAAATTCTACATCCCGTACTCCTGTGGTATCCAAGATCGACCGCGTCTCAAGAGGCCTTTGCCTCCACCACGCGGACAGAGCGGTAAGCATGTGGGCAGAGTCAACTTGGACCTCCACTCGCTGCATACTCATCATGGTCGGTCATTGGTATGGCAATGAGACTGGCGATGGCACCGGCAGCCCTCACAAATGTCAGATAGTGAATGCAATCAATGCTGCCAAAAATTTTACACGCATCCTGTATGCATATCTATAAAACGCCCGGTCGGTACTTAGTCCCATGCATGATCCTAGCGCCTCGTGGTTTTCACGGCCCACGACTAAGACAGCCGGTACCCACACGTGGCAAGTCCTTTTGCCATCAGCTGCTGCCGCTGCTGTCAGCCTTGTCAGTAAGCTATCGGTCTGTCGAGTCGCCTCTCCGAGGTACACATGATTCACACCTCGATTGTGAACTCGGCAGCGCACAGTTCCTGTCGCTTCTCAAGTCCAACCATTACCCCGCTGCTTTGCAAGCACTCGATGAGAACGACGTTGCGATGATCGGATGCCGCTATCTGTCGATGTGCAAAAGGCGACTCACCACCCTTCGCTACGCTGTAGACAGCAAAAGAGACCCCTGACAATTCTGACAAGGCTGCTTAGCGCTGCATAGCTTGTGTGGCTCCTCTCCAGAAGTCATGGACTCTGTCGATAGACGATGCCGGGGCGCTCGGGCAGTACGGTCTTCGACTGCTGAGTATCGCATATTTCCATATGTCCAAAGTCTTTCGGCGCGCCCTCGGATTGTCGTAGATACCAGCCATTAGGTCCAGATGCATCATCACTCACATGTCTCCGTCATCTTCTTGATGAAGCTCTGCAGGGTGGGATTCCATAGAGCTGCCGCCACTCTCTCCTTATCGGCAAGCTGTTTATTGACTTCATCTGCTGTGGAGTGCGTGCCCTCTTTGATTCTGACATCGACGCGAAAGCGAGGTGGCAGCGACTCCTCAAGCCTCACTCTCAGGCCCAGCCCAATGACCGTTGCCAAACTGCAGTGCTGAATAGTAGGAGTGACCAGAACAGTCACTGTCTGCAGCCTTGACGATGGCCGATCTGGCATCGTTGGCTTGATTGAGATGTCCGGTAGTGAAACAACAGCCAGAGCGCCCAGTGTAATGGGATGCTCTGGGTCTGACATAGTGGCAATCAAGTCATATATTTCTTGCTCATCAATTGGTTCTTCATCCTGATCGCTTTCGCTTCCTTCGACAGACGACAGGCTCGATGTGCGATGCAATGACTCGCTGTCACTCACAGGACCATAAGGAAACAGTTCTGATGCGAGACTGACTTCCTTGTGTACCGAGATTCGCCGCTTTCGAGTGGGCAGATCGCTCGGATTCAGGATCAACGGATTGGCGTTTTTGCCGTCTTCCATGACTGTGGGTATACTGGCACGAGGCTAGTGAGAAAGAAGACGACTGCTCGATCGAAAAGGGATGTGGTGCGACCGAGTTCGAGACTGTTGCAAATGTGTTTCAGGTTGTCCAAGTCAACTGCAGAAAGGTAAGGCGTAGCCGCTCGAGAGCCGTTCTCATTGCCGCCAAGTGCCAAGAAAGTCTAAGCAGTCCACCGTACTAGCACTCGATTGAGGACAGTTCGAAATATGATCGATAAGCAGTGCTCGAACAGGTATCGAACGATGCTGTCAGACAGAAGTACTTGAGACACTTCCGCGAGCCGTGTCCCAACTGCTGAAACGGCGCAAAGCCGGCCCCGGGACTGTGGTTCTCCACGCTGGACGTGCCAACAGCCTACGCCTGGCACGCAACGGATGTCCTGTCAGATTCTAAGCTCATTCGCAAAATCGAAGCCATCGTGACGGTGGTGAACTTGAGATCGGTCGCAACTCTTGCGAGTACACTGCTGGCCCTACGTCGTAGGACTTCCTGGTTGAAAAATCATCACCTTGAGCACGGCAAACGCTATCCGTAACTTTTGTGGCTTACCCCCGGCTTCTGGTTTCTGGGCGGGACCTGTTCTCTGCCTCAGCATTGGTCAGTTGCACATGCGTCTCGAGGGGCTCGTGGTTTGGCATTGAGGGGCATTGTCTCCATGATCTGCCAGTCTTCCAGACTCCTTCCGCCTGCAGAAGCAACACATTGGTCGCCCATGAATATCAAGGTAAAGAAGGCCGCTGATTGCTTTTCTTTCTTAGCCAACAGCTGGACCATTCACCACAAAGCATTGCCCGACGCTGTGGCAGACGCTCGCTAGAAGATTTCCCCCTGATTCTGCTCCAGACCAGCATGGCGCCATAACGGCATCGGCATGCATAGCCTCATCGTCGGATTTGCAAGTCAAAGCCCGCCCGGCTACGCATGTGTCAACTCTCGAGAAGTCGCTTCGTATCTCACCGTATTTCCATGGTCCCAGCCGCACGAACTGAGTTTGTCTGGCTCAATGCTCACGCCAGCGAACAATGACTCGGCATGGCCCTTTGGCCAGACCTCAAACACTTAACGTGATCATGATTTGGCCCCTTGGTCTCGAGATATCTCGCACTGCCCTCGCTCAGGAGGTGACAATTTGGCATGACTTACGTATGTTGGCATGTCCAAAGAGGACTTATACTGTCTGCACATTGATCCGCAAATCATATGGATGCGATTGCAGAAGCCGTTAAGCAGCTAAGTTTAAGGATGTCTCCTCAGACGTGCCCCTGGTCCTATTTTAGTAGATGATTAGAAGATTTAGTACTGCAGCCCAGCTTTATTGGTGTGCTACACAGTCTATGGCCTCCAGGCCTGGCCCCACGAACATTGTCTCCGGTAGTGCTTTCCTCGTCGGTAGTGCTCGTCTGACAGCAACCTCGCCGAATGTGCTGCTCGCCTACGTCCTTCGTTTCTGACATCGTTGATCGCATTGTGCAAACCACCAGCTGTTATCATTCAGTATAGTACTCGTCGCCAACTCTACCCCTCCTAGCTGTCAAGACGTCTTGGATCTGTACGACAGTCAGCGCACACGATATACCCTCTCAGCCGCGGAAATCATTGGGCAGCCGTCACGCCGCTGTGTCATCCATTCGGCTTCTCGTGGCGACTCGACACCCTTTGGGATTTTCAGCTTACAACGAACAGTACCCTTGTCAGCACGACTCTCACCTGTTCACGACTGCTCATTGTCGCGCTTGCTCGCACCTGGATGAAGATCTGATCGGCCCCTAACTGTGCATCACCAGACTTTTGGCCCGCACAAGGCAACATTCCTCCATCCCACAATAATCCGAACCCCGCAAGGCGACCTATCGACCTCATCTTTATCGACGGTTGCTTACGCGCCTGGTTCTCACCACGTTACCACTATTGTTAATGTCTGGATATCGATGAGATGCAACCATGCAGAGTTTTATTGTCAACAATGGACCCCAGGCTGGACCTAAGAACTATGTCTTCGTTGACGAGCACAACCGGCATAAACGGCTCAAGGTAATGAGGCTTGTGAAGGCTGCCGAAGACGTAAAATTCGATGCGACTCAGCGACTACCAACACCTGGCCATGCGCCGCATGTGTTAGACTGAAGTTGCACTGTGTACCGCCAACAGGGGGTCCCGAGGGTGATTTTGGTCCTACTGCTCCCGCTGCCGGCCAGCCGGGGATTGACTACCAGGCTTATAACCAGTCGCCGGTCGATGGTCATCAAGGTATACCGCATGGCGCTCCCGGATTCCCAGTATCTTACAATGGACAATCCTTCGAGTCGTACGACTACGACGCAGAATACTCCAAGGGCGGCTACTACCCCCACGGAGAGGCGTACTCAACGATGTATAGCGGGCAAGATCTGAGTGACCCGTCCCTATCTTCATACGCTGGGACGCAGGCCTTTCAGCCTGTTCGTGCCGATTCTGATAATCAGATCCCTGCGCAGACTCCAATCTCACAGTACACAGCCGAGGATCTGAGCCAGCACTTAGGCGATCTCAAGATCAACGAGAATGGCATTGCGCCTTACGTCAGGAAAGAAAAGGCGGTCGAGGACGATGCAGAGGGCCCAGTCCAGGAAGCAGAATTTAAATTGACCAACTTCAGTACCGATGCAGGATCGCAGATTAGGATACCGCCGGCCCTCATGCCAGATGACGAGGACGCGATGGGATATTTTGACATATTTTTCAGCAACGTACATCCTTATGTTCCAGTGCTTTGCAAAAGCCAATTCATGCACCAATGGCAGCATAAGAGGGATTCGATCTCGCCACTATTGCTCGAGGCGATTTTCGCATGTGCTGGGCGCATGTCAGACGATCCTGCCCAGGGAGCACAGTGGCTGGCGCTTGCCAACAGTGAGTGGCTCTTTCCTTCTTCCAACTGTTGCTGATTCATCTTTAGAGCACGAGCCCATGTTTCTGGATGCACCTCGTCTGAGCACCGTCCAAGCGCTGCTCATTCTACTAAAAGCTCGAGAAAGTGCACCTAAGCGTGGTTACTATTATCGCTCCTGGGCTTTGACGAAACAGGCTGTCTCAATGGCGAAAGATATGGAGTTGCATGAACACCACGAAATACACGAGTCCGGAGAAGCTTGCGGTTCTGAGCCAGTCGAATGTCTTGCCAAAACTCGAGTATGGCAGACGTGCCTCATCATCGAAATGATGGTCGGCGCGCCTCAAGGTATGTGGCGCCTAAATAGAATACTGACCACTTTACTAACCAGTGGACAGGAAGAACGGACATGTCGGTCGATCCAAATTCCGTTGATGTCTCACCGAATCCGCCAGCCTCCGATATGAACGACTTTGAGGCAATGATCTCTCGCCAATTTGCGTACTTCCTTCGAAATGCTCGAAATATCCGCCTGATCACCGAAGTAGCCCGGAAGCTCAAGCGAAAGGAGGACTGGGGTCTTGACAAGGAATTGATATCCTACAATGTGGCATTCCACAAGTGGCCGAGCGAGCTTCCCAGGGATCTGCAAGTTGTAATGCCACCTGACGGCTCGAGTCCGAAGCTTGCGTCCCACTTCGTCGGGAATATGCACACGCATTATCACCTCGGCATCGTCATGCTACGTCGTGCCCAACTTACGGCATCAGAGAAATTCGCCGATGACGATGCGTGGAAGCAGCATATGGCTACGTGCTATAATTCGGCGAAGGCACTGTGCCGAATACAAGAAGCAATCTTGAGCAAGTATGATCTCGTGGGATTGTTGGTCATGCAAAGGGGCATCAACTTCACGATATATGCCATCCTAACTTGTGTCATGATCCACTTGGTAAGTCAGTACCATGTTCCGATGAGTCAAGCTAACGATACGCAAGATCGCCATCACTTCACCTGACCCAGACTTCAATGCCGACGCCAAAGAGTACTTTGTGCGACATATGCGCATTCTGGAGCAATGTGTCTCCGCCTGGCCGATGCCAGAAACCGAGGCCCAGATCAACGGCCTAAGATCAGCGTTCTCTGCCGACACAAGTCGCCCGTTCGAGCTGAAACCATCCTTCCCTCTAGGCTCACCACCTGGTGATAACTTCCCAACACCTCCAGCACTCCATTCAATTTCTCAAGCAGAGAATTATCAACCACAGCAGCCCACTCAACAACCTCCGCAAGTGATCATACCACCCAGCCATGGCTATATGAGTCAGCAAATGTCTGGTCATCATCAAGGATCCTATCTCGCTACACCACCTGTCTCAGCTACTTCCGACGTAAAATCCCAATCGCCAATGAACCAACATGCCTACGATATAAACACTCACGTGCCTATCATGCCATCCGGCAACTTCTACGGACACAGTCTCAGCCCACACGAAGCGCCTCAATGGAACCCGACACCCATCATCGACCAATTCAACCAAGCGTTCGCGATCCCAGCTTCAGCCCTCGCACCGCCAGCGTTCACGAGCTCTCCACCAGTACAAATGACGAGCGGACATCCTAATTACAACATCCAGAACACGCCTTCGCCTCCGTACCCAGCCGCAACGACTTTCCCGCCCTCACAACAGCACCAGGCCTACTATGCGGACATGCAGCAACGGCAACAGCAACAACAGCACCAGCACCGCCAGCAGCCACAGCAGCAGCATATGCAACAGTACATCGACAGCGGGCATTCCGGAGGAGCTATGTCGCATTCGATGCAACAAGCCGCACTAGCGGCAGCAGGATACGGCCAGGCACCGCCAGATAGCGTGTATGTGACACCGAAGCAATGGCAGCAGAGCGTGGCGAGCGTGTATGAGGGTGGGTTGAAAAGGAGGTGGGATTCTATGCAGCAGGGTGGGAGCGAGCAGCAAGCTATGAAAAGGCGGTGATCTTGATACCCAAAAGAAAAGCCCGGAATGAATGGAAGCTGGCTCTTCCGAAGTGGAGTGACGCGACTTACATTGCCTCTCCACCGTACACTTGCAAAAGGCGCACGATGATGATCATTGAGAGACGACGCAGAAGGCAGGGCAACACACGATAATAAGAACCTCGGAAGAGAGCGAGAATAGGATCAAAGAGTGGGTTGGTTGAGGAAATTTGGTACGGCAATATGTAGCGATAAAAAAGACAACGCTGCACAACTTCATTCAGACGACATCCCCCTGGTAAACCACATCGCATACTTATCTGATACATGTGGGGAGCCACGTAGATAGCTCCGAAGCGCGTGATTCGCGTTGCACAGACAGCACAAGGACGGCGACAGGGTGCAGCAGCAGTGTGTTGCCGCAGTGGGCATATCGCAGCAACACGGAACACAGTCGCTGTCCATCTTTCTCTCATTGTGCTTCAAATTCTGCCTCAGCAAATGCGTTGAGTCCATGTTTTCTCTTCTGCCCTCCTTGAACCGGTTGACAAGCGCATCAGCCCAGGACCGGATGACACAACCACGTCACATTGACTCGTTCCTTCCCTAGTCTTGAGTAGAATACGACAGCAGGATCACACAGCAACCACCAGCGCCAGGTGCCCCTCCTAGCACCTTCCTCGACTTCCTCCGTCGTCATCCGGCCCACACAAGGTCTTTGCGCAGACCGGATGACAAGAAACATTCTCGTCGAGATCTGTACCCCAACTTGCAGCTCGCCGCACGGGATACATGTCTTGGGCTTCGAAGTGCGTGGATCGTGTCAACCGGCTTCAATGCAAGAAAGCTGAGCCAGAAGATGGTGGAAGTGTGTGGATAGGGGCTGCGACGTCGCTGGCGAACTTGGGTTTATGGATGAGGCACAGATCGAAGATGCAAACATGAGGAACTTGCAAGGAGGTGGTTGTACTACTTCCTCATTGCTACATCGGCCTGCTTTTGCCGTCAAATGCTAACTAGTCTGGTCTGCTGATCCCATCCCCTCCTATCCTCCACCCCTTAATGGTACAATCCCTCCTTCCATGGCTCATCACGAATCCAATCGATCAACAAGCACAACAACCAAAGTCACCCGCTCAAAATCAAACTGCATCTGCGCCGGGGCATACTCCTTCCTCTCCCCTTCCCTCAAACTGGCAATCGCATCCACCACGATCGTGTTCTCCCCGGGCTGCAACCGGAAATCATAACACCCCGACGCATGCGGGCTTTCCGCGACTGTATTCCAATTCGACGAAACACAAACTTTCCAGCTGGAGCGGGATTTGAGCTCCGGGGAGAGTTGCGGGGTGAGGCGGAAGTAGTAGTGAGTGGGCGGGAGGTAGATGAACGAGGAGATCTGGGTTCGGAGGGGGTCGGCGGGGAGGGTAAGGGACCATTTGGGGTCGGCGGGGAGATGAGGGTGGGTTGTGTAGGTTACTGAGGTTAGGAGGGCGGTATCGAGGCCTTGAGCGCAGATGTCAGTGTGTATACCGGCGACATGAGTGGGAAGCATCAGCTTACCTTTGCCTTGGTCTCTGAACTTTCGCTCCATCGGGTTGTCGGAGATGGTGAACACACTTCTCGAGGGGTGGATGCCATTGATTTGTGGTTGGCCATTAGTCATGCCATTCGTTGCTGGAGTTGCTGACTTCGGTGGCGGTATCGAGCCGCGCAGACTGCTGTTAACCAGACCGGGCGTCGCAGGGCCCGCGCCATTGACAACAATGGTGTCGCCATTTGGCTCTACCGATGACAGACTCCTTGTCATGCTCGGCGCCGTTGATGGTGCGGGTGCAGGTGTACCTCGGGCTCTTCCGAGTGCCTGAGCTGTCTCGTCTCTCTGCCTTCGAAGGGATTCGCTGTCAACCGATCCACCAGCGATAGACGTGGAGTTCGATGCACCGAGCTTTAGCTTCAAGCCAGTCTTCTTGGGTTGGCTCAGCGAAAGTCGCTGCGGCGCCTTTGGCGAATCTGCGCCGGCGGCCTGTACTTGTTCCTCAAACCACTGTTCAAGGTCTTCGGTGATGGCATATATGTCGGAATCAGGCTCGTTGTACTCCTTTGCATTCTTCCAGATCAGTCTAACTTCACGCGCCAACGCATTCCAGTCTGCGACTTTACCCTGGTTGACCATTGCTGTCACATCCGAGATGGAGGTTGGTCGGTCTATGATCCTGTAATAGTCTGGATAGTCACGCTTAGGAGGCCGCTTTTCGAAGTTGATGGCACCTTCTTGGACAGAAAGATCTTCGAGCAAAGCTATCATTGCGTCCTGAGTATCCTCTCCGGCGTCAGGAACATCAGGTTCCGCTGACGGTGCCATACTTGACCGCGATGCTTTCATCTTGAGCTTGAGCTTGCCAGTGCCATTGGTAGAAACAGACGATTCTCTCATACGGTCTAACAGATGTGTAGGAATTGGCGTCGGAACAGCTCGGTAGTCCGGCAGCTGATAGTCAGGATTGTGCTTGGGAAAGAAGTTGGACAAGCTTTTCGGATTCGTTCTGCATCAGCGAAGACGCCGGACTTGCTGTCATTGTAGTCCTTTGCATTCTGGACGAGTCGCTTGAGATCTCCCTCCAATTGTGTCAGAGTCTTGTACTTGCGAGCTTCTAGTCGTTCTTCAATGCCGTTGAGCGATAGCGGCATTGCAATCTGCTCGTAGTAGTCTGGGTAGTCATCCTTGTCTGGCAGATCCAGAAAAGCATGGGCGATCTCGCGTCCATTCTTGTCTGTCGACCTCTTCAGCTGGCCGACGAGCTTAAGGCCCAGCTCGCTGGTGGTCTCAGTGGTTTCTTCATCAGGATAGTTCGTGTCCTAGAGGGTTGGAGATTAGCATGTTGCACGCAATCAGGATATAGCATTGTCAGGCGATCGGCAGTGGCAGACGCGCAGTCGCGACAGTGCAGCGATGGTGCACGTGATGGAGGTCGATGGACGACGTGGCGGATGCAGGTGAAGTACAGCAGGTGCAGCGAGGGGATATTTCAGGCTGCGAAGGGTGTAGAATTATTTGGGTCGGGGAAACTGACCTCGTTGCCTCTTTTCCGTTTCCCTGTCACTGGCGTGCTGCTCGACATTTGGGCGAACAGTGCAGAGGGTTCGCCGACCCCATAAACTTGTGCAGATGCACCCACCACTCTTCCTTCTCGGTCGCGAGTACTACTTTGGCCCTTTGTATTTGGTATCGTGTTTGTCAGGCGCAATGATCACGCAAATACACGGAACTGGCTATCCGAATCTCGAGGGACTGCTGTGATGGCTTGGACTTTGCGACGCGATTTGGACTGAAGAGGACCTTCTCTATACGCGGTCTGGGAGACTCTCCCAACCTACGGTTCTGCTGGCAGTTCTGCGGTGACCCAAAGAGGCAGGTCCGCCGAGTGCCCACTTTGAGACGGCTTGTCAACACGGCCTTTGAAACATGCAATTCACTTCGTGCCGAGTCACTGTCTCCCTGCCCATTGAACCGCTCACTTTTCGAGATCACAACTACTGCCGTCACATTAGACGCGGTGAAGAGCCCCAGACATTCTGTGACCGCACCATTGCTGCGCTCTTACCGAGCATATCCCCCCAACTCGATCACGAGACCTCCCGTTACCCGCATCGATCGCCTTCGCCGCAGCCTTCCGTCGAACGCGACTTTTGCTCAGTAATATAAGACTATTGTCTCCACGACTGTCATCATTACGGAGACAACGACCACAACCGACACCATGACAGATATTGACTCATCAAGCGCAACAAGAAGCCAAGGCCACTCCAGGACAGTGAGCGAGTGCGGCTCGAAGAGTTCGTCGACTCGATCGGCTACTCCGCAAGGTGAGCAGAGGTCCTAGCGCAAGTATCGCCGCTGGTCTGACCGACAGTAGATACAACGACACCGAGAATGAGTACCGACATGTCCAACTTCCAAAGGCTATGCTGAAAGCAATTCCTCGCGACTACTTTGACCCCTCCAAAGGCACCCTGAAATTGCTCTGGGAAGAGGAATGGAGAGCTCTGGGCATCACACAGAGTTTGGGCTGGGAACATTACGAAGTCCATGAGCCGGAGCCACATATCCTGCTCTTCAAGTAATTCTTTCACGCTACGACGAATTCAAACACTGACACCATTCCCAGACGTCCGCTCGGCTATCAGCCACCGCAGCAATAGGATCCGCTCACCCGCACGACGAAATCTTTTTGAAGAAAGCATTAGCTCCGGCGTTCACGAGGCCACCAATGGACGACATTATTGAGAATGAAATGGATCATCCGAAGGAATGAATCAACGAGCACAGCGCGTCTTTTGGCTTTATCAATATTCAGAGACTCTTGAGTCTTGGGAGTGGCGCGAATACTCTTCTTACGCAGTCATAGCCGCGCAGAAGGCATTCTTCCTCCCCCCACGGTTTCCTCAAGTCATGTGGCATTCTTCGACAGCCAGTCCTCCCAGTCCTTCCCGGAGAAACTCGAACTGATACTCCGCTCCTCCACGCCATTGAACAAGACAGTCGGTGTGACATGCACGCCCGTCAGTCTGTTCGCCTTGACCATGAGCTTCACATCATCCGTCACGCCATTCCCAATATTCAACCCACCATCTTTCCCCGGCTTATCACTGACAAGCAGCAAATCAAGAATCTTCTTCTCCTCTATTCCCTCAACACTCCCCGCCAGCTTCGCCAACCTTTTATACGTCTCATTTCTCGACTCATTCACAACATTCACATCAAAGTACTCCTTCTGCTTGTCAAACAACTTCTCCGAGAAATACCAGAACTGACTCGGCGCGACCTTTAGCACCGCAGCCGCTGCCTCGTGCACTAGTGTTGACGAAGGGTGCCATGGCTGGATCTGTTGCCGGAAGATGACTCGCACGCCGGGCTTCGTGTATTTCTTCTCGATCAGTGGTCGGACTTCGGTGAAGAATGTCTTGAAGATCTTTGCGCTGAAGGGGCAGACGTAGTCGAGGTAAAGTTCTAGGGTGTGTTTGGATTCTGAGCGGGAGGAGGAGGCGAGGAGCTGGCCGGCGAATTTCGGTGGGAGTGCCATTGTCGTAGGTCGATTTCGTATGCCAGTGAGATCTTGACCAGACAAGATGGCGCGGGCATGTAGTATATCATCAATGTCGACCAGATTGCGCAATTCGACGAAAGTTATTCAGCATGCTGCATCATTTACAACCCGACCACAAGCTACGTCAGCACGCGTTGAATTCCAGTGCAGATCACGGGCGCGGGGTCAAAGGAGCCGCCCCTGGAGCGACCTCAGTCTCACCCATAACGACTATCATACACCTCGAGAGGACCTACTGCAGGTACAACCAATCGTAGATGGCAGCCAATTGTACAAGTCATCGATCTGTGCTGCCAGAACTGCTTGTTCGACTGGACCAATTGCATTAATATCGAGCAATGCACCTCGTTGGCTGCCTCAACTTGCATCCACGATCTACCTCATGCTTAAGGACCTATATGTCCACGGCCACTATCTGCCACACGGATCATCACCATACATTGCTCTCACTCTTTGAAGACCGACAGCTACTACAGGCTTCATTCTCGACACTCACTGCACCATTGTCCCTGTCATTGATCAGCTCAGCGTGAATAACCCTGACTGAACCTCGTGTCTCTGGTTTACTGCGTCCAGAAGTCCTCGATGGGTCGATACTTGGCTGATTGTAGCTCAAGCCCGAGAACTACGGTGGTTGCTGTACACTGACTCGCTTTACTCGCCTACAGGCCGATTCTCGGTGAACAGATTGGTATACAGGTACTGTATTCGGGAGAGATGATGCCACCCGACTCGGACATTACCGATCGGATCAATCTCCATTGATCGCCCACCACAAGCATATCTTGAGCATTTGATATCGGAATCCTGGTTCCTTCGTGCCATGCTTCCATGACGGTTGGGATCTCGAGGTCAGAGTATTAACATAAAGCCACTTACAGACAGGCCCACCACTGGACCGACCCGACCACAGCTCTAACCTCAACACCACCAACCATAGACAAGAGCCACGATGTCTGAAACCAATGACAGCACCACAACTCGCCAATGGCAGACCAGCTACGACGGCATCGACAACCTCAAGTCACCACATTCACCGTTGCAACCCCGTCACCAACCCAAATCCTTGTCAAAATCCTCGCCGTCGCACTGAACTACAAAGATGGCGAGATCATCCAAGCCCCCATGAAGCATCACAAAACCGCTACCTTCCCCTCTAACCTCGTCATCGGCTCTGACGCCGTCGGACAGGTCATTTCTGTCGGCTCTTCTGTGACACAATTCAAGCCCAACGACCGTGTGTTGTCATTATGTTTCCCTTTGCACCAGACCGGACCCGCGAAAGCAGCGTATCTGGCCGACAGTCCCGGGATGACGGACCAGGGCGTGCTGACGGAGTATAAGCTGTTTGAGGACTGGGCGGTGGTCGGAGTCCCAGACTACTTGACCGACGAGGAAGCCGCGACGTTCCCGATTGCGGGCACTACGGCGTGGATGTCGTTGAACTACTTCAACCCGATTGGCGTGCCCAACATAGGTCTCCAGGGAAAGACATTGCTCGTGCAAGGCACTGGTGGCGTCAGCATCATGGGGTTGCAATTGGGCAAGGCGAGCGGTATGAAAGGTCAGTCCAGTCCTCACCAACTTCCTCCAAGAACAGCTTTCATAGCATAGCCCAACTCCTGCACTGTCGCTAGTTGCAAGCACCTCCACCCAACCCACAGCCTGCACTAACACACAATCCCATGAACAGTGATAGTAACGTCCTCCTCCGACTCAAAACTCGAGCGCGCCACCGCCCTCGGCGCAGACTACACCATCAACTACCGCACCCACCCAGACTGGGACCAGAAAGTCCTCGAGCTCACGGATGGAAAGGGTGCCGACCTGATCTTCGAAAATGGCGGCGCCTACACCACGTCTCAATCAATGGATTGTATCGCCTTCGGCGGCACAATCGCAAGTATTGGGTACCTCTCCGGCAAGACCGATCCACCAGATGCGAACAGGACGAATATCAATGTGCGGGCATTGGCGAGGAATTTTGTGTTGGTGGGGATTCTGAATGGGCCGAAGGATCGGTTGCAGGAATTGCTTAGGTTTGTGGAACAGCATCAGGTGCGGCCGGTGGTAGATAAGGTGTTTTCGTTTGAGGAAGGGCAGGAGGCGGTGAGGTATCTGTGGGAGGGCGGGAGTAGTTTTGGGAAAGTCGTTGTTCGGGTCGCTTCGGCGTCTTCATGATGGAGGAGAGGGGTGGATGAGGACGCGGGAATGCATGGTCTGGGGGATGGACAGGCATCGTCGGCAAAATCTAGACATCTGAGTGCAGGATCCATTTCCAGGTACACGGCCTGTGTCGACTGCCATATTCTCTTGATGCATGCCTGTCTGTCCTTACCTGACTTGACTGTTTCCTGCCCAAAGTTCTCTCGTAGTCATGACGACCGTGCTAGAGAATTTGTTCGCGTGATACAGCGCACATAACATGGAGTGTTCAATGCAGCACCCATCGCTACAGATATATATTCCCTACTTCAAAGTCGAAGTCTGCGCGTCGACGAGGGTCTTGGCCGCTTTACTCGCGCCAGAGAATCGATCATGATATTCTAGTTGCTACTCAGGGCCATAAACGTGTGGGGACGTGAAGTACCTAGGTACTTTGTACTTCCAGCAATGTACAGTGAACAGCAGTGACTCTGTCAACCGGCGTCAGCAGAGTTGGTCAACCGGTCTCCTCGATGGCTTGAAAGGCGAGTCAACCGGTCTGCTGAATGGCACTCAAGGTGTGTCATCCGGTCTGATCTGCTTCGAATTTTGGTTCTGCTGTGGCTCAAATGTAGTGCTACACAGTACACACGTTCATTCCCGCGATAGTCCACCGTTTTCACTGGACATACACATACATAACCCCCCGCTCGCACCAGATACTTCTATCTGACAATTGCAGCTGTCAGTACCATCATTGCTGCTGCTGCTGCTGCTGCGCCCCCTCCCTCGCCGCCGCAGCCTGCCGCTGCACCGTCTCCACCAGCGCCTGCACCCTCCCCAACACCAGCTTCGAATCGCTCGGACCATACGTCTCGTTGTTCCGCAACTGCCGCGCAATCCCCGCATACAGCGGCCGCTGGCCCGTCGGAAGTTGCGGGTAAAGGCCTCTGACGCTCGTATCGATCACAGTCCATGGCGTCTCCCCCGAGTCCTCCTCCTTGCGCGTCCGCTGCTGTTCCGCGACACTCACGAACCCGGAGGATGTCCAGGGGTCGAGTTTGGAGAGGCCTGGGCGGGGGTTGGAGAGTGAGGCTTGGAAGCTCTTTTCTTTGGCGCGCTTCTCGGCTAGGTAGATCTCTGCCCATCGGAGGACTTTGTCCTTGTGTTCGCCGCCATCGTCTTCGAGCTTGATCAGCCCGCCGTCTACGAGTCGCTCCGCGATCTGTCGCGGCGTCCAGTAGCCGTGCGGGAGGTCGCGCGCTAGGAAATTTAATTTCTGGATCACACCCTCGGTCAGACCTGCAGGGCTGAGCGGTGTGTCAGGCCAGTCCTTGCGGAGCTCCTCGACGCTTTGCTCAGCGGGAACGTAAGGGATGGGCTCGGTGGGGAGGCCGTTGTTCAGGTCGGCGTTGTAGCGGTCGGCTTCGTATTGCTCGAAGGCTAGTTGGGAGGATTCTCGTTCTGCGGCTCGGGAAGCGCTGGCGGCATTGCGCTGTTCAGAGCGGATCGCGTCGGCAATGGCGTCTTCTTCGGGATTGTCTGAGGATGAGGTGCTGGGGCCGCCGCCAGAGCCTGATGCGCCGGCAAAGCGGTTGCCAGCTCCGAAGCCGCCGCGGCCTGCACCGTCGCCACTGAGGGCGCAGTGTGGCTCCTCCTCCGCGAGAAACTTGGCCGCCTCGAGAAGTAGGACTTCGAGGTGTTCCGCTTCGCTGGAGGACTCGTCCAGTCGTTTGAGGAAAGCGGGTTCCTGACGGCGAGTCTCGTGGAGTTGAGCTTGTGGATCCATCGTTGTTGCCAAATGCCACTCTTCGCACGGTAGGGTTCTCTGTCCTGTCCGTCCTCCGCACAAGTACCTTTGGTGGTTGTTTGTTCCCAGTCGGCGAGGTTGAAGTAGCGGCGGGCTTCTTGGGTGGTGAGCTCGAATCGGCTCCGTCTATTGGCTTAGAGAGGTCAAAAATTCCTGTAGATGGCCATTAGTCGTTAGAGCAGTGCAAAAGGTGCATAGGATCTCACCAGCACGACTGCATGCTGAGGCCGAGAGTGCCCGTGCAGGACCGCTGATGCGGCCGCCTCGAGGGGCTGTCGATCTCCGCAGGGCCTGGCGCGTGCAGCGCACGCATAGCTGGTCCATGCCGTTGTCGATATGGGCGAAGCGTCAGTCGCAAGTGCTGCATCGATTCGAGAAAGTTGAGCTTGAAATCGTGCATGTCTAGGGCGACCTTTTGGGACCAGTCGCGTCGTTAGGTCGATCGACGCGGTTTGCCTTCAGAAGGCAACCTGTATACACGCCTTCCCTTACATACATTCAGTCTACTTGACGTTCGTCCCACGGAACAAAAAAGCCTCGCACTCACACTTGTCTATCAACGTTGGTTAGAGTCCGCCCCGAAGTACCCGGACTCGCGGCCTGATCATAGCCATACCCACACCACTTTGTCCGCATTCGTACACGCCTGACGCCGCTCACCAAAGCTTGATTCGCCGTGCGGCGCACAGCACACTCCGCTCGAACTCCAGTAGACGTCTGCGGCGCAGCCGCTCACTGAAGCTCACGATGCTCCGCCGCAAACCAACAGCCCTAACAATAACGCACGAAGACATCACCCAATTCGAAGAGTCCCTCACCCGACGCCTCGCCTACGCCCACTACCTCAGAACGGGCGAGGATCCAAATGGCTTCTTTCGTCAGGCGCAGCCAGGCGATGCGGACTTCGAAGCACAGCAGGAACGCCTTGCCCAACGACAGCAGGAGCAATCGAACGGGGGGAAGGTTGATCCGGATGATGAGTTGAAGCCGTTGCCGGGGTATAAGGCGCGGATTGTGAGGGGGAGGGAGGAGAGGATCATTGGAAGTGCTGCGGTTGGTGCGACGAGAGGGCCTGCGGGTGGGGTGGACGGTGGAGGGGTGAGTGGGCGGTGACCTTGGACGGCAGGGGAGTGAGGGGGTTGGCATTTGACGATATCATGAGGACTGATGGGTTCTGAGTTGGCTTGCGACACTCTGCGAACCTGCGTTGGCTACTTCGGCGACGATATATGGGAGTTGTACGAATTTGGGAAAAAGGACAAGCTCTAAGATCAGCTCTGAGCAGGATGCTGACTATCATTATGAGGTGTTTGATATCTTGTCAACTTGTGATCAGGATCTGCTGAGGGAGGTTCATTCGGAGCAGATGGAGTTTGATGATGAATAATGCATAGCATAAGTCTTGTCCCTGCCACCAGCCAGGAGGACGCCATCGCTATGCACAATACTCAAGACAGTCTAATATTCTGCCAGACTCACGGGCCGTCCTTCTTGTCATCCTCCACTCTCGCTGCTTTGAGCCACCATCATCTGCACTACTCTGACCATTCTGCTGACTTTGATTTTGGCCGCCCTCCTCTGTGATGGTCTCCATCCGGTCTGCAGCAATCTGAGCCTCCCGTTCTCGTTCCCTAGCAAGTCGGTTCTGCTCTTCCTCCATACTCATCCTCAGCGCCATGGCGAGTTCTGGATCAGCTGAAGGATCGACACCAAACTCGAAACCACCACCGCCGCCACTGCCGCCACCGGTCTCTAGACCGTCCATTCCGTTACCGGCTTGACCATCATCTCCGCCCATGCTGACGATTGGCGTTGAGATGAGACTGTCGCTCAACAGACCTGGTCCTGGTGGTATTACTGCCAGATAATTGCCCTCCCCGGAAGAACCTCCGACAGCCTCAACGAACTTCTCGAGAATTGTCTTCGTGTCTGACTCTGTCGCATCACCAAACGCCACAAAATCCACACTGACGTTGTTCTTCTTGCACTTTTTGGCCAGCTTGACCAGCTCTTTCTCCGTGTCATTCTTGTCGCCAAATTTCTGATCCAGCTCACTGCACATCAGCACCACGATCCGTTGCCGCTGTGACTTGTTGGCTCTGTGTTTCAGGGCGAGCATGGCTACGCTGATGGCGGTTCCGAGATGTGCTTGACCCTTGATCTTCGTCTCGTGTAGGCCGGCGAGTACGGCGCCAAAGTTTGTCGTCGGTGTATTGAGGACTGTAGGGCCGTGCCAGCCATGGACATCAGCCTACTGCAGATTCAGGGTTGGCATTGGTTTTGGCGTTGAAGATGAGTGAGACTGCTTCGGTCTGTGCTTGGAATCGTGTGGGTCTACAGAAGGATTAGTACACTGTTGCTGAAGTAGGGAAGACGTTGCTAACAGGTAGTCGCCATTTCTGCTCGCCTCGCTGTTGTCAACAACGATCATCGTAGCTTCGAGGACCATGGCGGCGGTGGTTGCGCCTCTCGGGGCGAGTGTGTTTCTGTAGTTTGGAGTTGGCTGTTTTCAAGAGGCGTGTAGTGACCGAAGGAAGGCAAGGAAATGGCAGCGGATGTGGAAGGTGGGATGTATGAAGTTGTGATGAGGAGGTTGGACGATCGCAGGCAAACGATGCGGACGAGGCAGCGGCGGATTGGAGAAGCTTGGCTGCTGTCAACCGGCGATGATCGACTACACATCACGCCAACGGTGTCTCTCCTTCGCTGAGCGAACAATCCTCAGCCTACCTAGGTAGACAGCGGGTACCCGATGCGCAATGTTGTCTGGTCACTACACACATACGATGATACCTTGAGCACATCTTCCGAGCCCTGTTGGGCGCAATCTGCACCTCCAACATGTTCGCGCTCCTCCCCACTTCCTCTTTGTCTCCGGCAGCCGCTAACCACCTAACCACAGGCCCGTCTTCGCCCTCCTCATAATCTCCAAAGCCGGCTCCCTAATCTACCACCGCACCTTCCCCACGACGTCTTCTGCCGCCATTACCTCCCCGACTTCGGAAACTCCCCCTCCCACGACTGGCACCCTAGGCCTCCCGGGCACCTCCACCCTCACAACCAACGACTATTTGGTCCTGGCCGGCACCTTCCACGGCGTGCACGCCATCACTCGCTCGCTCACCCCCAGACTCCCCCTTCACTCAACCGCGAACCCCACCCGCGCCTCCGACTGGACTCACCCAGACCCAAATGTCGCCGCTTCGGGTATTGAGACCATGGAGAGCAGTTTCTTCCGCCTGACGGTGTTTCAGACGCTCACGGGGACCAAGTTCTTACTGTTCACGGATCCGAGCATGCCGAATACGGATGTGATCATGAAGGGCGTGTATGAGCGGTATGCGGACTTCGTGTGCAAGAATCCCTTCTGGCAGATGGAGATGCCAATTAGGATCGAGATTTGGGAGAGGAAGGTTGGGGAGTGGCTGACTAGGCGGTGAGGGATACTACGCTACGGGGTCTGGCTTGCACGAAGACAACATCATGCCATCGGCTACGCGCCATAAAGGACGGGTTTTCAAAGCTCCGTAACACTTTTCGCTACCTGCTCTACAGGTAAGGCGACGCACGCGCAGAACCAAATAAGATCTTCCAGAGAGCAGCAGTGCCTGCTGTACTACAGCGGACACCTCAAGGTCGGCTTCTCCGGTCGCCCACTGCATTCAAACGCCATGCGTGTTTCAGGAAAAATGGCATAGCTCTTCGTGCGATGTGAATGTGCTGACACGACCGGCGTCGAACGTGGATGCAAATGTAAGGAATCACATCCTTTCAGTCCATAACCCGAGATCTGGCTACCTAGATCATCACCAGTCGGCCCAAGACAGAGGACGTGGCACCATCTCGGGATCAACAACAACGAGATGGCAGCATCAATCCCCATCAGCCATAAATTTCACCCACCATGATCTGTTCACGTGCTCCGCCTACACAGAGTATAGTGATAGAGAATCCTCGATCAGGCTTCACTCGGTGAAAGAATGATGTGGAAACAGCATGACTCAAGTCCTTTGAAAGACGCCAGCTTCAGGTGTCTGTGTATTTTGCCCGTCGATCAGCAACGTCGAAATTTTATCTACCACTCACCACTGTCCAAAAGTTGCACAAACGTACACACTGGAGTGCTAGCCAAAGACTTCCACCTCAACCACATACCAGGCCCTCATCTTATCAACAAATTTCAAATCATCCACAATGCCTCAACATGTCACATACGCTGAAGTGACCAAAGTACCACGATACGTCACATACACTAACATGCTCAAGTCCAGCTTCAAAAGACTGAGGTTGGCTTCGAGAAATATCCTAGCCTCGGTGAAAGCTGTCATCTGCAAGAACTCGCTCCAAGTAGGTGAACAACATGCGTCGTGCTTGGAAGGCGCTATGGGAGAATGAGCTGACCCAAGCGCAGGACCAACCATTAGGCCCACTGGCGAAGCTCCCGGTCGAAATAATGTTCAGATTCTTCGCCATCTACTTCCCCCGAAGATCAACGTCCAAATCTACAATTGCGATTGCATCGGATGGCTTTGGTGGGCTGTGGATGGCTATGACCGGCACGAGCGAGAATTCGTCACAAACTTGCTACTCATATGCAAAGATTTGAGTGCTTGTCTCGGACCGATGATGTTCTCACGTATCGAGGTCACCGTCTTGCGTAGATTATGGGGCCACGACACCATCGATGAGGCTCGCACGCGGCGCCGGCGAACCTACGACAGGGCAGTCAGCAGTCTGCACCGAAGCTTGGTCGAGAAGTACGACCGTCGGGTGTGGGTCGATGGCCCCGATCGGGATCGCGAGCTTGGCTTGTTCCGTGCCCGTGGTGGGAGAACTGCAGCGAGGAAGGACGATGTCATTGGAGGAGGGCAAGGAAGTGATGATAGTGGTAAGATCAGCGACGAGCCCGGACTTGAGCCTGGCCTGGCCTGGCCGCAGCCCTTGTCCATAGTCATACCTACGTTCAATCAAATTTGGACGCCGTCGTATCTGCCGGTAATCCCCAGCGCTCAAACAATACACAAATACCAACTAGCTCATGCTCCACATTCAACACACGGAACGTCGACTGTGTAGCCAGCAGCGGCAACACGTCCATCAACAGCCAGCCAACCAGCAAGCAGCGACGACACGTCGAGGAACCACCAACCAGGCAGCCGCAGTGATACATCAAGGAACGGGCGATCAGACCTGCCGGTGTAACAACCGAAGCAGCAACTAGACGCATTCATATGACTAAGTAAGTCATAAAGTCTGGTAGTCCGGGAGGTGTACACCATATCATCCATAGATCGCTGTAGTCAACAGTCCTCCTCGCTCAGGAAAGCAGTAATGTCATTATTGTCACCGCGCTCGCTGCTTGTGTTGAAAACGAAACGACTGCTTCGGCTTCGTGCTCGTTGCGACGGAGGGTGCATGCTGGGGAGGCTTCTCTGAGTCTTATGGGCCGAGCAGAAGTTGTGCCGTTGAGGCCTATGACGATGCGCCTGGAGATGGTGGTAGAAGGACGACACTCAACGGGTGACTCGACGCTGAAGTTTGGAACGGTGAAGTCGACGTCTCGCTTTGCTTCGGAGCGCTTTTACGTGGAAATGGTATAAGTTCTTGCATTGCCATCAGCAATCTCTTCTTCTTTTGCCCTTGACATCGCGAGTTGCTTGGCTTGCTTGTCGATGCGCGTGGTTTCGCTGTTGGGTTGCGCGTCACTGCTGCGCGTATGCTTGCCTCGTGTGCAGCGTATGCTAAGGATTCGCAGGCCAATGTCGAAGCGCTTGTGCGGCCGGACACTGCCAACATTTATGCTCCTGCCGCGCCTCCTCAGACGAGGAGGACGGGGAGCAAGGCGAAGAGGCTGAGCAAGAGCGATCCCGTAGACACCACAGGCTTGGTCATCACGTCGAGCTGGAGATCGCGAGCGGATGTAGCTTTGTATACTCTCTCGGCAGCGACAAACGTCTGGCGCCGATGGGCCACTAACGGCGAAGTAGCGATACTAGCGAGAATAGCAGCGAAGTAGTGGCAACGATGAGCACTTGACAGCGCCGGGCAAGCACTTGACAACGATACAGACCACAAGTGACAAAGTGACACGACAGCGAGATATACGATCACAGCAGTGGAAACGGGAACGACAACATTATGAGACAGACAGCGTGATTTTTTCTGCCTGAATTTTTGATGGACTTCCACCTCAGATTTGCCATCCAACCTCTCGATGCAATACCACCAGCATCCAACGATGACATCCACCACAGACTTGTCATCCACCTCTTGTATCCAGCGATGACTTCCACCTCTGACTTGCCATCCATGGAACCCCTTGTGATGCAATACCACCAGCATCCAACGATGGCTTCCACCGCAGACTCGCCATCCACCTCCTTGCTTGCTTCCGAGGCGATTCCACCAGCCTCCCAACGATGACTTCCACCACAGACTTGCCATCCACCTCCCAATGCAATACCACACGTTCACCTTCCCTTGATTGTCCTCCCTGAGTTTCCTTGATTGCTCAAATGGCTTGTATGCCTTGACGGCTTTGCTCTGTGGCTTGCTGTAGCCGCTGAGGCAGGACGTTGTAGTCAAGAACCTCGTTGGCGTCGCTTGGTCTGTTGCCTTGCTCATTTTGGCTTGCTGTAGCCTTTAGGAGGGAGAAGAAATTGTAGCCTAGCACCTCCGTCGGCGTCGCTTGATTTGTTGTCTTGCTGTAGTCGTTGAGGGAGAAGAAATGCAGCCTAGCACCTCGTTGACGTCGCTTGGTCTGTTGCCTTGCTGTAGCCTTTAGAGGGAGAAGGAAGTAGCTTAGCACCTCGTCAGCGTCGCTTGCTCGGTGGCTTGCTCGTATTGGCGGCGTCGGTCGAAAAAATACCTCGATCCGTACGCGGGTTGTGCCCAGACACACTGCTATGTAGATAGCAAAGATGAGTGCTATCACAGTGCCGGTCGCTTGCTCAAAGGGCTTGGTGTCTTCGTCGAAGGGTGTCGACAGAAGTCCTTGCTCTTGCCGGTGAGGGCGGACGATGTGTCCAGAATCCTCGGTGGCGTGGCTTGCACAGTGGCTTGCTGTAGCCGTAGAGGCAGTACGCTGTGGTAAAGAACCTCGTCGGCGTCGCTTGCTCGGTGGCTTGCTGTGTCCGCAGAGGCAGTACGCTGTGGTAAAGAACCTCGTTGGCGTCGCTTGATCTGTTGTCTTGCTCTTGTTGGCTTGCTGTAGTCGTTGAGGGAGAAGAAATGCAGCCTAGCACCTCGTTGACGTCGCTTGGTCTGTTGCCTTGCTGTAGCCTTTAGAGGGAGAAGGAAGCAGCCTAGCACCTCGTCGGCGTCGCTTGCTCGGTGGCTGGAATGACCGCTAAAGATCGGTTTATCCTTAACTGCACTGGATGATGGTCAGCGAGGTGATCGACGACGAGGTGAGAGCAGCGAGGTCGTGAAATGGAGTCAACGGGGATAGATGGGCAGGGAGATGACGATGCTGTCGACGAAGCAGGGTGAATGTGTCTCGTTGTCGAGATATTGGGCATGGGAGGTGTTGCGGAACAGATAGAAGTCCGACTTAGGGAATCCGACATCTAAATTCGACCAAAGCCATTTTTGGATGCTGAGTTTCCCAATTCGGTTTCTATCTGTTCCGCGAAGGGCGACGACGTCAATTACTCACCGATGGCTAGTTCTGAGATGGTGAAAATGTCGGAACTGGGTCTGGTGTCCGTGCTCTGAGTGCTCGTCGAGTCAAGCGACTACAGAGGTACCGGCGAAGGAGGCAGCTACTGAGAGGCCTATGACTGGCAGAAAGCTCTGTACACTGCAAAGTGATGATGCAGAAGCAAGTAGCTGACAAAGGTTAGAAGCGATGTCTTGGCATTCAATGGATTTGCTTACCTGTTGACCCAGATTGCGGATTGGGGCATGAAATGTATTCAGGGCAGGTAGGAGTGATATGAAGGAAGAAAAGAATTTTTCAGGACTCTGAAGTTCGGGCTCTTAGATATATGCCAGAGAATGGCGGAAAGTCTCAAGGTAGGGGGATTCTGTCCACAGTACTGAGTGTCTACCTTTGAAGCATTTGATATGAGAGGGTTGCATTTCTGGAAGCCAAGATTACAAACGGCGTTCTAACTGGTTCGGAAGATGGCTGCTCCGTGCGAACTCCAAGAGTCGGAAACCTAAAGGCAACGTTCGTGACCTCTCACACGCTCGACCCCTGGCGGTTGAGGTGGCTGGGGGGCTCTATTACTCATAAGGTCCAGATGTCGCCGACTCTGCAGCCATAAGCTCGCCGACGGCTGCAGAGTCGGCGACCAACGGCCGCTTACAACATCGCGGTCATGTGCAGTGCCGCTATCACAGGCAGGATTGAAAGCCATGAGCAGAACGGGAAGGGACGAAGGGCAATGATGAACCGGGAAAAGAGAATGAATGCTTGATTCGTATAATGCGATGTAGATCTATACTTCAAGGTACATACGATAAGGAGCGATCACTGAACAAGTGAGAGTGCTCGAGGTAAACTTGAGCTATGACGGCTTCTGGGCTCCTTCACAAGCGTCCTTGGGCGATCACTCAGTAGGCAGATCAAGCTTGACCTCTTTCTTTTGCTGATACAGGTGAGTCGCCTTCGATTTCGAGACCTTAAAATCCTCCCACTTGAACTCTGGAACCACGGGCTTCTGTTTGGACTCAGTCTCCTCTTCGCGGAATCCTGACTTGCCCATTGCCAGTAAGAAAGTGTCCAGAGTCTCGGAGAGCTTTCCGTAGTTGGTTGAGCACTCAGCTGCCTCAGCAGAGACCTCATCTATCTTAGAGGCGATCTCGTTCTGCCAAACTCGTCTGCGTCGGCGCGGACGGAGGATCAGGCTGTAAGGTCTGCAGCGTCGCCCTTGATTCGGTTGTGTCGTTCATGTCATTTGTCGACCCGGCGTGACTTGTTCCAGCAATCGCGAGTGCTTAAGCAGGACAGCTGCAAGATCAAAGATGAGGTCAACGACGTCAACCTTGCCAGCATCAACGAAACATGCCATGTGACTCAACTTCGACAGGAGAGTAGCTTGGAGCTTGGCCTGCGAGATTGACTCCGCGAGGTCATCACAGAGACTGACATTGGGGAAGGTCTGCTTGGTAAGAATCTCGTAGAAATGCTTGAGCTGGGCCTCGATCTTGTCCAGCACCGTCAGAGTCTGAGTGAGGGTTGCCCTATAGGTCTGACAAGAAGCATGAACGCATGTTGGTTCCGGTGGACCTACTGGCGGTATGTGTTCATTCAGATTCCAATGTGGTCTTTCCGGTGGTGGCGCGTTAGCCAGGGGCGATAACAGCTGTCATGGCCGTCACTTGATTCCTCTTCAGATTCGCATTCAGATTCGCAGAAGGGGAAGAACATCGGCGGCCGAGTTTCTTCTTCTTGCTTTTCTTGCCGGTGATACTGAGGCTGAGCTCGACGCTTTTGTGCTGCGTAGTCTCGAGCGGCTTGCGTACTGACCATGACCTCATACGCGTGATGGAGCTGTTTGAACTTGGCAGTGGCCCATGCCAGGCTATTTGGGTTCTTGTCCGGGTGAAAGATCTTGCAGAGCTTTCTGTATGCTGTTTTGACCTGTCTTTCGGTCGCATCTTCCTCGACACCCAAAACCTCATGAGGTGGTGTTGATTTAGTAAATGTTGCCATGGCGGTGCGTCGGGTGCGGATGCTGAGCGAGCTTTGGCCAGTGTGATCCGATTTGTGGTTTATGTAAGCCGCAGGCCGCATTGATAACAAAGCACAGCCAGTGACAATGCCGTTGTCCTTGTCGACAGCATCGAAAGTCTTCCTTGTCTTCGATGAAGGCCTCCAAACAATGAGTCAACGAGTAGCATAAAGCGGCGCTTTGTTCACGCTTCGCCACAAAGAGGCTTGTGGTCAGGACATGGGTTGAAGCCTGATAGCCGGAAAGAGTCGAGCATGTGTTGCCCGGCCGGCACCGCCGTATACTTGAAAGTGGTCTTCGCATCTGACGCGAACTTCATATCTGACATCACGATGCGCCACCGTACGCCGTCTGGCTCTGAGGCACAATTCACTTCGTCTTGTAGAGCACTATACTTCTGCGCCAGACGGTACGCAACCCGTGAGTCCCAGGCGCTTTTGCGACGGTGGCATGACCCTAGTAAACGTTCTACAACCATGCGGGCTGCGAAAACCCAGTGTTCTCATCATTCCCTCATGTGCCTGCAACGCCATGATAGCGCTGAGCGACTGCGATCATGTCGAGTGGTGACTGCTGGACATCTAGGCTACATGAGCTCGCGGGAGTCAATCTTGCGAGGCTGGCGAAAAGGTGGGCCAGCGAAGGTAGGTTCGACGTAGTGAGCATCCGACCGTGGCAGCGCACCTCTGATGCCCACTGATGGAAAGCGTGTTCCGGCTCGACCTCGTAGGGGCAAGCTCGGGCTCTGGTGCAAGGCTAGGTTGTCAAAAGTCGCAGCTCCTGCATGACCATAGGTACACAGACGCTCTCCATTCCACGTAAAGTCGTCATGATGGCGCGGCCTCAGTCAAGGCAGACCTGACCCAAAAGCAAAAGCTCTTTCGAGTGCGGCATGGCAGCTCGAAGCAACGTCGTTGCGCCTCGTTGCCTATTTTAGAACCACGTTGAAAGGTCTTCTGAAAGCTCTAACTTACTTATACCAGCATGCCAATCGATGAAACGATCACTAGGCTACAGCCGATGGCCGCTGGAGCCTCATGTTGCAGCAAGGTCGTGAGGGCCAGCCATTCTGAGCTCCAAATTGAGTCTATGAACCCGTGGCTCTGTCAGCCAGCTCGCTCGGGCGGGGACGGCCAGCGAAGTTTGACTTTACAGGTCACGTCGTTACCCAAAATAGATGGTACTAAGTCGCTGAACAGCTCATGCATCCTGTGGAGAGTGTGTAAATCGTGGTTGCCTGGAAGTCAATAAGGTAGCCACGTCCGAAGATTCGACATTCGATATTCCAGAGTTCCGAAAACCGTCACAGCGAGCAAGTTCATCACCTCCCGATTCACTTCAACACATGGGCATTGACGACATTTCCTCAGAACTCCGGGTCACGTCATCGCAAATAGATGCAGTGCGTAAGGCAAGTGACGCGGTCGTGTCGTTGCTGAGTCAGTACAAATCCGAGGTCCGAGACGCGGCGCAGCGTTTCCCAAGACCAAGACGCCGTGTCAACCGGCTAAGGCTCAAGCTTGCAAGCTTCCATTGTGTTCTCGCTTCCTTCATGATCTAAGTACCTTCACACCTTTCACCTTCTCCGCTTGGGTAAAAAGGGCTGTTCCGACAGATAGCAATGCTTGTTTTAACTTCAGTGGCTCTGGCACACTGGCGCTGTAAGTGAGAGACACCAGCGAGTTGAGTCCTAAGCAGACGTGCGAGCGCCTCCTGGGCAAGGAACACCCCACCATGCCGAAATTCACCGGCACAAGGACAGTCGGTACGATGGCGGGTCATCTACGAGATGCTTCGACCCAAGCAGGCAATAAGAAGCCACTGTCGCCCGAGACAGATTCTATGAGACAACCCGACATGAAGCCATCACAAGAGGTCGAGATCAACCCGCTGCGTGCCATTTGCAATCTTCCGGACGCTGACGACAGCAGCGACGCGCTTGATGCTGCCAGTGCTCACGAAGAACTCCGGAGTGACATGAGGCGGAAGTCTAAGCTTTGATGACACATAGCGCGAGTCTCGGACTCTCGTGTCTCATTCGGACGAAAGACACCCGGCTTGCTGGCTCCCAGGTCGCCGTTCCACTACATATAGCAGCAGTGTGCAACTTCTTTTTCACCGTGGTGTTGTCTCACCCAAGTTCAGAGTCTACAGCTGCGATTCTCGACAGGGTTGCTCTGCACACTCCTTCTGTAGCAGCACTATCATGCCCTGTGGCCACACAAGGCTCAAGCGGATTACTTGGTCTATCACCTCTCCTCATCTGCAACATGGGCCCTGACTCGCATTTTTGCACATCTCCCCCGACAACTTCACATCGAAAGCCTACACTCGCGCACTTCCGAAACGACACCGTGGACCTCGGTATCTCAGACGATATGGGTAGCAGTGACGGTCGCCGTGAAAGCTTCCTCATATTACTGACCGCTAGTTTGTCCCGAGACTAAACGGCTGGACCGTGATCTGACTTCCTATGCACTGTCGAGCTTGGCAACCACGTCGCTCAATCACATCCCAGAGCATTTCATAAAGCCGAGGCATCAGCACCACTTCGAAGAGCAGGACTGAGTATAAGTGCTGTGATTTTGGCCTCGTGATGCGTCCGCCAAGTCCGCCAGGCACAATCGTGCGGAGAGCGTTGGCACTAGCTACCATATTGCGGGGAATCCCTGCTGCACACATATGCGAAAGCTGCAAGCGACGACAATCTTCGGGCCTGCTTGTGTCTACGAAGCACTCGTCCGGCACAGAGTATGCAGCCAGAGTGGTAGCGCCGGATTATGGAACCGATCCGGAAGGCATCGAACCGCTGACCACACAAAAGTCTTGGCTTCGTTCGAGCAAAATATCATCTCGAAGAAGAGTCAGTCCTGGAACCAATCACACCTCTTACGACGAAGTGAGCTCCGAGGTTGAAGGCAACCAGAACAAGGATCGACAGGCAACATATGCGCCAAGCAAGTCTTTTCGAGAACTGAGATTGGCGAAACGCCTAGTGTGTTTCATGGGTCTTGTCGAGATCCTTGCTACACCAACTACATCTTGACTACTGGCAACTTTTCAGAGTCCTACCAGGCACCTTTTCCGCATCGATCAAGCCAATGGTAGCTGTACAGAGCGATATATGCCGCGGCTTCCAGCTTCAAGAGTGACAAACACTGTACAAGGCTCGCACATGAACCCTGGTACCTTGCAATGATGTTAGGCCTGTGGAGTGTCGTAGCAAGCATTACAGTCCACCAAGACGGTCACTCAGCGACACTAGAGCCTGCAGATTCAACATACCTCGGTAGACAGTTCTGCTCAGTGGTGATGCAGCGACTATAAGTACGAGAACAAGGAACCAGCATGAGAGATTGGCCACCAGCTTTCCAGACTCATCCAGCGCCGACATCCGCTCGTCAAGCTTCCACAGCATCATCTGAAGACCGGCATCCAACATCATGAAGGCAACCACCTGGCTCGTCGCCCTTGTGGCTACTGCAATTGCTGTTCCCGTGGCCCAGCCGATCACCGAGCCAGCTCTGGATGCCGACGCCATTCAGGACATCGAACGCCGCCAGTCGGTTGGCACGACTTCCAACGAGTTCAAGAATGGTGGCTGCCGAGATATCATCTGGTTCTTCGCCCGCGGCAGCACTGAAGTCGGCAACATGGTATGTCATCCACAGGCACAGAGCTTATGACAGGACTTCATTGCTCCTCTCTCTGCACTGCCCAAGCTGACTGTTCTCCAGGGCGCCGTCGTCGGCCCGCCCACCGGCCAGCGCCTCAAGCAGATCTTCGGCTCCGCCCGCGTCGCCGTTCAAGGCATCGACTACCCAGCCCTTCTCTCCACCAATTTCCTTCCCGGTGGCGCTGACCTCGGCGGAATCGCCGAGATGCGTAGTCTCCTAACCCAAGCAGCGAGCCAATGCCCCGGCTCCTCTATCCTCGCAGGTGGCTACTCTCAGGGCGCCGCACTGGTCCACCGTGCTATCGAGAATCTGCCACAGAGCGTCAAAGACGCGATTGATGGCGTGGTGACGTTTGGGGATACGCAGAACCTGCAGGATCTTGGACGCATTCCGAATTTTCCGAGGGAGAAGCTCAAGGTCTTTTGCAATGTGGGTGATTTGGTTTGCGTGGGCACGCTTACGATCACGGCGGCGCATTTGACCTATGGGAGTGATGCGAATGCTGCGGCGGACTTTTTGGCGACACGGGCCAGAGCTGGCGGTGCTTGAGTCAAGGGATTTCGTTGCGATGGGAGACGACCGAGGGTCGCTCTCCAAAATATTGAAGCCGCGACGAACGTTACGCTTGTCGAAGGGAAACTCTATCTTGGACGAAGGGTCAAAAGCTGCCAGATGAAATCTGAATTGGTTCGTTTAGTTCTACATACTGAGTACGCCTCCATGCGACATCAGCAGGGTAGCTTCGCAGCATATAGTCTGCTATGATATCGTCCATGCCGCTACAAGCTCCTGACAGCGCCATGCGCCATGCTGTGTAAGCCACGCCAGAACTCCCTCGATTACAAGATGACCTACGCCAAGGCGGTCGTCGTCAAAGCGCTACAGCAACATGCCACCAACACCGTGTGCCTGTGGCGGTCTGCCTTGTGTACTTCTCATGCCATCGAGGAATCTGCCGAGACATATGTGAACGCCCATAAGCTCTATGCTGGATATGTTATTGCAAAAGCTCGGTCGGTCGCACTCGAGCGTGATCAGATCAGTCGCAGATCGATCACTGACCGCCGAACGGATCTTCATAATTCTTCAAATACCTGTACCCACTTCCAATAGTAGCAGCGTGTCCACCACCCAAGCCAGCAAGCTGAGTAGCCGGCGGAGTTGCGCCGAACAGCTTCTCGTTACGTATCTGGACATACTTCTTCTTGACTGTCGCATTGCCGTAGTGGTAGGCGCCTTGTTCGGCCATGGTCTCAGCGACCTTCTTCCAGCTGATCTTGTTGAGGCTGGCTGGGTCGGAAAGGATAGGCAAGCCATCGTCAGAGTAGCGGAATCCGGATGCGGGGACAGCGGCGGTGTCCTGGGTGTGGTCTTGGACAGTGTTGAACAGGAGATCGATCTAGATCAGTTGCGTCAGTCGAGCAAATTGAGCGGACAGCGTTCGCAAGGGACAGGACAGGGATCTCACATCTTCGGCTTTCCACTCAGGCTTCCGGACGCGCTCTTCCTTCGCTTTGGTGAGAGTGCGATAGCGTCCACGCAGAGTCGATTCGGCTTCTCTGAACCCGAAGTTCGCCTTGATCTCGCGATATGAATAGCCAGCGTTGCGAAGGTCGAGGAGTTCTTGGTCTCGTGAGGTGTCGCGACGAGCACTGTCTTCGTTGGCAGAGATGCTGACCTGGGAAGTGACTGGGAGCGGGATCTGATCTGGTTGTCCGAGAGGACGGAATATGTTCGCAGTACTCAGTGGATCAGGTATGATATCGTAGTCGGTCATCTGCGGCCTGAAAGTTTGCATGAAGTCGGTCATCGGCGGGTCAACGTTCGGGTCATAGCCGAAGAAGACATTGTTTGCGCCATTGTGGTGTGGAAGGCTTGGGTCGTTGTCGTAGAACTTGAAGTCATCGTCACTGCTTGGAAACCCTTGATCAACTGCACGAGACGAGCTACTCTCGACTGGTATCGACGGCTGCCCGTCGGGTATCGGCGGGTAGCCACTCATGGTGTCGGTTGTGGTGGCATCGAACACTGGTTGTTCTGTCATCGAGTCATTGTAGGTCGGAGGTAGCGTGCAGTCAATTCCTGAATAGCGCGGAGTGGTCGATTGATGTGCTATTGACTGGTTGTCCTGGTGATCGAACTTGCCATTGAAGATATTGTCAAACGGGCTCGAGCCAAAGTGCTCACTTGACAAACGACTGTTTTGGATCGGTTGCTGCAGTAAAAATTGCGACTTCAGATCTGGCGGACGGTCAGGTTGCCCGATAGGCCTCGCCACGCGCTCAGGGAGGACGGCGAAGAAAGGATTCGATGCCGCATCCGCGGCGTCAATCGCTGCCGAGCTATCATGGGCGCGAGACCACATCTGGTGGTCTAAGTTGTTCAGCATAGGCTGAGCTACCTGTTGTAGCTCCGGGACCTGCTTCTCGGCAGGTGAAAGACCCCAGGTTGAACTATGAAAGGGTATCAAATCTTGCCTGGATTGTACATCGCTGCCAGTCAGGGAGTACGCAGGCTTCTGCGGTGTTGAGGACGCTGGTTGCGAAACCGGATTTGTCCCTCTTGCCACATTCGAGAATCCTTGTGACAGTGGCGTCGCGGGCAAGACTCTGGAGTCGATCCCCAGCAGTGGTTCGGTGACCGAGCGCCGCATCGATGGCTGCGGCAGGTCATACACATCCTCGCCGAATGGCGCAGCAGTAGCGTCGATATGAGCATAGAACGCATCCGACAAGGGATGATAGTGCTCATCGAAGCTTTCCATTTTGGGTTGGCATGATGATCGTTTGCTAGGCGATGCCGCAGCTCTTGATATACCGTCGAACCGAGGGCCATGGTTCGAGTCACTGAAGTGACGCTGCTGAAAGGCTGGGCCGGTACAAAGAGAGCATTGGCAGCCGTGAAGGGCCGCACGAAGGCATCGTTTGTCGTAGGGCCTAGGTCTCGTCCATTGACTCCGAGGGATGTGTTGAGGCGAAGCAGACAGCACTGCATCCATGTCGCAGTCTTCCTTCACCAGCAATTGCCTTGTTGCGTGCAACTGCGAAGCAATCATACAAAGGCAACACTTGACTCTTCCTGACTCCGGACGATGACTCTTGCAGTTCGACTGTCGCTGTTGCGTGTTCGAGAGACACAGATATGAACATTTCCCGTGTCGACGTTGGACAGGACGAACCATGATGTACACGATGAACGCCGCGCTGTTGGTAGGGCTCTGTTCGTACGGCAACCAATGCTGAAGGACACTCGCGTTTACACCAACCTCGACCTCTCGACGCCTGATGGCTCTGGGGTTTGGACGACAGGATCATACTGCACCAAACGGGGAAGCAAAGCTCGCTGCCTGCTGTCGTTGGTGTTGAACGTGGTCCAGTACGCCTCGCAACCGTGCACGCGGAATACAGACCGCGTGAGAAGATCTGGAATTGTGCGACGTATGCGGATAGGATGTTTTCGATAATCGTTCCATGGGAAGGGTGGTCGAAGCACAAGCACACATAGGCTGAGAGATATGGAGCCATGTTGACAAAAAGATACGCGAAGCGGAGAGCGCATTTAGAGATCTCGAGGCAGCTGTGAACAAAGAAAAGACGGCAGGGATCTCAAATGTCCCCGTCAATGCATTGATAGCTCCGTCGAAGCATAGTTGTGAACTTCGAAAGCGTCCACCACATGGTGTCTCATGGGTCATTGTGTGTTCTAAGTCCATGGCAGGAGTCCGAGATTAGTCGCCCAATGGTTGTCTGTGTTAGAACTGAAACAAGACAACCACACGAGCTTCCATACCTGCCGTGTGCTGCGCCGGAGATTCCTTCGATAGTGCCATCCATAGACCAGCTCTTTGGAGATGATTCGGACTACTGAAGAGGTGGAATTGGCGGGGCAGCCCGTTGAGCCGCAAATCGATGACTTTCTCGTCGGCATGGCATGGAGCAAACTTGATCGCTTCCGTCGCACAACGCTGCTGCAATCGCGCTGCGTTTTGAATCAATCAAGCCTCAGTACTGGATATTGGCCGAGAATAGTCGCCGAGTGTACGATAGATGTCGCTTTGAGTACTTACCTGGCGGTCTGGTGATGTCCAATGTGAGCATCTTGCCCAGGAGCGCTGAGGTACTTGTCCGAGGTGGGTCCGGGGATGATACCACCGCACGGTTACGTGCATGCGAGCCGCTGTCAAACTACCATGTGTCGATGTGATGTCTCGATGAAAGACACTCCTGCCATGACAAATGCTAACAAGCTTTCCACGCACCCAGAGCATGTAGTTGATTTAGAAAGGCCGACGTGGGTCAACTTTGTGAAGGAGCAATTTTCGGCGATAGCCTTGTATCTTAATTTCATCGAATCACCAAAACGTCAAGCAGTAGTGCTCAAAATCTCCATGAGCGAAAGGTCATGCGTGAATTAACATTTCGTGCTTGATCAGGTTTATGCGTCGACGTTTTGGTGAGCCCACGCCATGGCGCCTGGCTTGCTTGCGATGGTTGATCGAGCATCGGCTTCCAGGACCAGGACGGCCAGGACAAGTGCTATGTTTGGTGATCATTGAACAGCTAGACGGCTTGTTCGAGGGATGCAATCAGTCGACGGCCCTGTCGGCAGTGACGAGTGCCAGTGTAGTAGTGAAAGGAGCCAAGGGTAGTTTGAAGTGCACAGGTGCGCCAGGCGGCCTGCCGTAGTCGGATCCACGAAGCCCTCGCCCCTGTGGTTCGTCGCGATCACAGGCCCACGATGAGCTGGAGTCTCAGTCCTTCAGGTCTCAGGCACAAAAGCATTGGGGGACCACAGCCGCCTATCTGGCTTGTTTTGAGAGCTGTGCTCTTAAACGTCGCGAGCGTCGAACATAGCACGGGTCCAAGATGCACTACGCGGCGGGCATTCGTGCCCGTCAGGTAGTGAGTGCCACCTTCCGCAGCAACCTCATTGTCGCGATTATCATCGTCATTCTGCCTAAAGTTCACAAGAGCCACCTTACATCCGCCGCATTTGTCCCAGCGTAGGTCATCCACACGTCTAATCATACATTCATCGTCTGATACTGGTAATATCAAGCTCATCTATCCAAATCCCGGACAACCAGCTTCAGAACGAGCGCAGTCTGTTGGGCTCAGCCTGTTCGTTGGCCTGCAGGTGTTCTACCGTGAAGGTGACATCTCGTCGAATTTCGTGCTTGTTGATGTGGCGACTCGAGCTTGTGGATGAATTGTCTCCTTGGAGAGAATCCGACCTGGTCAGATCGCGATCGTGGAGCTCATGCTCCGCAACCATCATATCCCGCTTGCTGATGGGCACTGTGTCCATGTCGAAGTCGAACTCTTTCCTTTGCGTCCGGTTGCCCGATCCCATTGATTGCCAGGTGGGATGGCTGGGCTGTCCTTTCGATTTGGTCGTTGTCCTGCGATTGCTGTAGCCAAAGACATGGATCTTGGGGAACAGCTCGCGCAAAAGTGCCCAGATCGGAGGTAGATTGGTGACATACACAGCCACCGAGGCTTCGCGGAAGTACCAGTTCATGTACACATACGAGACCAACGACGGCACCGTGCAATAGATCAGGCGACAAATTGCGGCGACGATGACGAACGCTCCCATGCCAAAGATTATACCGAGCACCATCTTTTGCTGGATCGAAAGTCGGGTCTTCATGACTGGTGGTATGCCGATACCCAGGATAAGGAGATCAGTGGAGATGTTAAATACTGCGTTCACATATTGGTAGTACTCATAGGTTGAGCATTGCGCTAACGAAGTCATTAGTCCCGTTACCGAAGTTGTGCACAGACCACCTACCATTCGCAGCGGGTACTGCCCAATATTGCGAGACCGGACGACAGATGAGGAAGAGAGCAAGCTCGTCGCCAATGAAAGCAAGGCCAACCCAGACCGCTACGCCCTTCAGCAATCGACGCTGGACGACGTTGGTGCCTGACGTGATGCGAGCGTACAATGCTAGCATAGCAGCCTTCATGCTCCAGATGGTGATCAGCATTGCATGCTCAGACGCGAAGACCCATTTTGAGCCTATCACTCGTTCTCGAGTCGATTCTGGAGTCAATGCCGCGATATCCTCGTCGGTGAGGAGGTTCGAACCACCACCGCTCAGCATTTGATTGAAGGCCACACACAGCATAGTGTACGCAACGCCTCCAACGGCTACGAAGTAGTCATCGTATTGCAGGCCAGTGATGCCGAGGCGCCTAATTCTAGCAGCGCTGTGATTGATTGTCAGCGTATGGTGCATTGATCTTCGCAGACCAGCCTACTTACAGTCTGAGCAAAAGCAGGAACATGCCCACTCCATAGAGAGCCCATGACTCTGGGACGAATCCTGGATTGACCGACGAGTTATCAGACATGGTGTTCAATCGAGCCGATGAGCAACGACAAGCAAGTGCAGCGCAGGCAGCGAGGACATGTACTGGAGCGGGATCATGCCTCTACACCATCGTAGATGAAGGGCACCATGAAGTGATATTTGCGTTCGAGCCGTCAGTGGGACCTCGCCTCCATTCGATAGCAACCCATACCTGTCTATGGTAGGGATACCGCGGAGTACCTCGAACACCTAGCGCAGATCGCTACGAAATTTGTACCCTTTGCGTCTCGACCCGGAAGCAAGCGTGCGCAAGTGGACATCGAGAGACCGGATGGCAGACTCCTGGAAACCAAGCGTCTGGGACTCGGCTCAATCAAAGCACGAGCGTCTGCCACCATAGTGGGTCAGGAACGTATTTTGGAGCACAGAAGGTTCGGAGTCGAGAACACGATGTTGTATCTCTGCTCCTACTTAGTGCTTACCATTCGAGGGAGGCAGGAACAGCTCAGCATCCGCACGATGTACCTGCGCTGACTGCATACCAAAATTTTCTTGCTCTCTCCAAACTGATCAAACCGCTCTGGAGCTCTGCAGTCAGGCACGCAGGCCACGTTTCCCGGGGCGCACATGTGGCGTGAGTCTTCGTCCAGATAACGACCTCCGAGTGATATGCTGTATCTGTCTGTTCTCCGAGATGGAGCTCTCCTGAGTAGCACCAAGAATCATCCACTGCGCCGGTCAAACTCTATAACAGTTTTCATGTAAAATGCAGGAACGTTCGCGGAATTGAAGTTTACTAGCGGGTGACTCCGGTAGCCTTTGGAGAACAAGATGACTGAACGTGGGTCCGACTATCGCACAATCGGCAACAGTACTGTCTCATCGTAGTTCATGGCTAAGGAATACCAAGCCGGCATTTCTTCTTGCCACTGCAGTCAGGAAAAAGGATCCATATATACGATTGACCAGCAGAACTCGCTTAGCAGAATTAGGACACAGGTCCTTTGCGAGCTGGATGGTCGAGACCAAATTCGCAATACGTAAGGCTCTTGCGATGTAGATTCCAGGCACAGATATCTCACGTGGCAGAAGATGCGGTACTTCGAACAACTTTCTATAGCATACTGATGATCACCCCGTGATCGCCATCTTCTGCAGATTGACCTCAGTGGCTCGTGGCTCAAAGAGGGAGGCGCCGGAACGGCACTTTTCTACCCTCGAGTCAGATTGTGGCAGAAAACCTTCCGTATCCATACTGATAGCCCCTGGAGACGCATTTTGTGTGGTCAAGAAATGAACCGAACCCTGACGGCCCTTGCCCAATCGGTAAGAACACGAGCTCCCAAGCGAAGGGCCGCGGCCATTGTCGACCCCGTAAGCAACGTGGTATTCCCTGCCACGACTCAACGAGCGAATAGATCGACTTCGCTGGAGATTTCCGCCATGCATCGCTTATCATTAAGTGAAGAAGGTTCTGAAGCTCTTCTACTGTGGTCGATCTCTGGTGCGTGTGTCTGAACATCTTTCTTTACATCAGAAGCTCATCGCTGTCACTACCGTTGAGTCAAGTTCAGCAGCGCGCACAATGGCAACTAAACCAGATGAGCCGCTGCAGCAGTCAGCCTCGCATGAAGTGAGCTCACAAGAATCTCCCAAGCATGAACAGGTGGCTGCAGGAGAGGGTGGACTCGTCAACGCTTCGGGACATGTCCAGGAGCTCAATCGCAACTTCAGTCTTATCTCACTTGCCGGCGTTGGCCTGTCTGTGGGTAACGTCTGGCCAGCAATAGGGGGTTCAATTCTGGTTGCAATCTTCAATGGTGGTCCTCCAGGTTCGTAATAATGCGCTTCATGAAACAACAATCATGCATATAGACATCTGACCATCGAATGCAGGAGTACTGTACGAGTTCATCGTGGTATCAATATTCTACTGGTTCGTCGCCGCATCGATCGCCGAGCTCGCCTCTGCCATCCCATCCTCAGCTGGTGTCTACCAATGGGCCTCAGTAACACCCGGCAAACGATGGGGACGGCCCGTTGGCTTCTTCGCGGGCTACTGGAACTGGCTAGCATGGACGTTCGGTGCCGCGTCCATCACCTCCATCCTCGCCAATACCATCGTGCAGATGTACGCGGCGAACCACCCTGACTATGTGGGTGAGAGATGGCACGTCTTCGTTACCTACGTCATCATCACCTGGCTGGCGGCCCCGACCGTGTGCCTCTTCAACAGCGCCATGCCGCACCTCAACAAGGCTGGCATCTTCTTCATCCTCGCTGGGTTTCTGATCACGATCATCGTCCTGGCGGTCCTGCCCGGGAAGACCGGTGGAGGCTACGCTTCCAACTCCTTCGTCTGGAGTGACTGGACTGCGGATATCGGCTATCCCAATGGCTTCGTCTTCCTCGCAGGCATGCTCAACGGAGCATTCGCCGTCGGTACACCCGACTGTACCTCCCATCTGGCCGAAGAGATCCCATACCCGCAGCGCAACATCCCAATCGCCATTGCACTGCAGATGGCCATTGGCTTCGTCACAGGTTTCTGCTACCTGATCGCGGTACTGTATGGCATCTCGGACTATGACGCCCTCTTCGAGTCCGCTTACCCAATTGCCACCATCTATATGCAGGCGACCGGCACGGCTGCGGGCACAACAGGCCTATTGGCGCTGATCATGATCTGCATCACTATCTGCGTCATCGGTCTGTACGTCACCTGCGGCCGCACACTCTGGACTCTGGCGCGTGACGGCGCGACGCCCTTCCCAAGATTCGTGGCCAAGATCCACCCGAGGCTGGGAATGCCCGCCAATGCAACAATTATCACTGCTGTGCTTGTCACGATACTGGGTGCGATCTACGTCGGTAGCGCAACCGCCTTCAACGCCTTCGTTGGCAGCTACATCCTCATGTCCTCTTCATCATACATCGCCGCTATCCTACCCAACTTGATCAACAAGCGCCAGGGCGTCAAGTATGGTCCGTTTAAGATGGCTGGAGCCCTGGGCTGGGTGGTCAACCTTATCGCTTGCGGATACATGATTGTTTGGTTCGTGATCTACAGCTTCCCATTCTACCTGCCGACAGACGCCGAGACGATGAACTATGCTTGTCTCTTATGGGGTGGCTTTACTATCATCGTAGCGTTGTGGTGGTTTGTGAAGGCGAGGAAGGGCTATGAGGGGCCGCCGATGGTGGAGGGTGGTGTGGTGGCTGAGGTTGAGACGAGTCGTGTGAAGGTCGTCTAGAGACGGCAGGCTGCCGCAGCGTCAACATACAGTTGCTGTGCTTGGCGCGTGGGACGCGCTATATGCGCGGTAATGTTCTGGACTTTACTACTAATATATCTTGATAGCGTTCAGCGTCATCGAAAAGCGATTGCATAGAGAATCAACACTCATTGAACCTCTTTTCGAATGTCGAGCCCACGTCGTAAGGCAGATAAGACCTCCCAACTCTCGTTGGCAGTTGCAGAAAAACTCTGGAGGCCGTTGCACCCACCCATCTCCCCTCCACTTCCTCGTCATCCGGTTTGGCCAAGCATCTGTACGCCACCGGGTGACAGGCGCTCGCCGCGACTTCCAAGACCGGGTGACAACAGCCCTTCGCAGTAGCGACTCTCCATTTCGCCTGCCCAAAAAGGCATCGGCAGCAGGAGCTCACAGTGACTGCTCCTTCCCATCAGTGTTCCTTGGCGACGCCACCTGCGGCAGGTGCTTCGCCCGGCACCTTCCACGAATGCACGCCCTGTCAACCGGCTCAACCAAAAGTCTCGTGAGACCGGATGACAGAATTCCTTTGAGACTGCTTTCCTTTCATTGATTCGACGTGGACAACACAAGAGAAAGCCCACAGAGTTTGGAGTACCTGACATCAGCATTCAGTCGCTGCTGTTGAACTGTATTTTCATCTTTGGCCAAGCGTGCTGCCAGTCTAGTCGATCGATTCGGGCAAACCATAGATGACCGACTACCTCGTTCCACGATCCGTGATGCACCAGCATACAAGTCATTCAATGTTGCCGTCAAGACGTCGCGACCGGATGCTTCAGACTCTCCGAGAAAGCATTGACCGCAACGCTGATGCTCATAACTTCCCACTGCGTTCATCGTCAGATGTACTAGTCGGAGGGAACCCAATCTTCGAAAGCATCTCCTCTAGCTCCTCCGTACCATTCATGTTCTTCAGTGTCTCCCACTCCTCGGCGTGCTTGACCATCATTGTCCCGCCCAGCACTGTCCCATTGAGCGCTACTTGATGTTTCCCAGCCTCGAGACCAGGTATGTCCGTAGTCTCCGACCTCCGCGGGCATATTGCCATGTGCTTCAGCGTCAATGCCAAGTTGTAGGAGAAGCTGACATGTTTCGATTCTGGAGGGTTAGTTATGTCTATGGAGCTGAGGTCGATTGGCTCGTCCGATGATGCTATCGATGGAGTCTGTGACAGAACTCTCGCCGCGCGAAGAAGGAACAGATACCGTTCGTACAGCTTGGAAGGGCTAGCCAAGCCGTCGCTCAGTGGCGTATTGAGCATCAGGAATGGTAGTCTCGGATCGTATTTGAGCGCCTGAGGAAGCCGCGAAGCAAGCGGGTGTGGCACTCGAAGATCCTTCATCAGTGGCTGCCACGGCAGCGCGTCCTCGGGAGTGAGACCATGCTTCATGTTCCCAACTGGTAGGAATTGGATGTGCCGGTGAGGTTGGCTTGCGCCGCTATCTGGTCCGGAATTGAAGAAAGCAAAGAGGTCGTTGTCCTCGGTTGGGTCCGAGGAATGATCGTCCCGCCATGCTCTGAGGCACGCGTACGCGGTAGCAAGGTCTTCGGGGTCAAGGAGATCTGTTTGTGGGAGATTCACTTTCGTGGCGAGGATGAAGTGATTCGGTATCACTGGGTACTTGTTGAGGACTAGGTTGTACTTGTGATTCGCTGCTGGTATTCTAGCTACAAGGAGCTCGACTGACGGGTCCTCAAAGGGGTCGAACTTGGTCTTCTTAGCGGGTGTCGCTCCTTTGTCATCAGTGGGCTTCTTCCCCAGAGCCGGACAGTACCGGAGCTGGAATTGTAAGTAGATCGGATTCTCGGGTGCCTGGCCGCGGATTATGGTCAGGCCGTGCTTCGTCCTGAGAAGGGTGACCTCGGTCTCGGAGAAGATAAGGTCGCCCGAAGTCTGAGCTGCTGCGAACTTTCGCTTCACCGCAGATCGTATCGAGGTCAGTCCGAGGCGCATCGTCTGTGCTTCGGTATCGCTCATGTCCTGTGCGCTATGCTGATCGCGCAAGGTTGATGTCACGTGTCGTCAAATTGAGGTGTGTCCATGTCCGAGCGACAAGGACAAACAGGAACGCGCGGATATGTCTCTTGGCGCGTGAATATATTTGCAGTCGCACGCGCCGACAGCCCGCAAAACCGACAATGCAGCGTTATTTGATCTGCCGCGGATGCCTGAGGATATTGCTGGTCTCACTGCTCAGTCAGACTCGCCAACAGCGGTCGCATCGAGCTGTGAGTGCTCATAGGGTCGCTGACGCCGGATGACGACACTGGTTCGAGACCGGATGACTGGCCCTCATTGAGACCGGACGACTAGACATGCACTTTACAAGACCGGATGACAAAAGTCATCTTTCTTGGAACCGGTTGACAGCGCTCGCGACTTCTACGTGTCTACGTCTAAGCAATCGCTCCGTCCAAGCATGAGCCCTATGTGCACGCGATCAGAAGCTTGCTGAGCTCTTGGCTTCCTGCCCAAGCAGCCATCCCATGCCGCGAACACTGTCTCTCCAGAACTTCTTGCTCTCGTCCAGAAGCGGCCAGTTGGTCCAGAACATATGTCCATACCCGCCATACACGATGAGCTCGACCTCGGCTTTCCAGTCTTCTTCGAGTGCTTTGGCATAGATGATGGCGTGATCGCGTAGAGGATCCACTCCGGCTGCCTGGATAAATGCCTTCGCTAAAGGCGCAAGATGCTCACCATTGTTTTCTTTCGTTGGCGGATATAACTTGGAGGAGAAAGGACTTAGCTAGAGATCCATCGTTAGCCTTCGGGAGCATTAGCTGGTGAGCCATGGCTAGAGAAGTCTTACCAGTGGTGAGTCCAAGTCCTTGATCTGGCTTGCTGCTAGCATGCCTTTGAAACCCGCCTCGTTCTCACCAGGATCGATTATCGGGTCGTCTCTCGTGCTACCACTGTGGTACAAGGACTTGTACTTCGACGGAACCTTTTCCTGGGGAAATACAAACGGTACACCGAGCCAGACACCTGTCACAGGACTCCGAAGACCCTGCTGACGAGCGTGATGAGCGAGAATGAGCGAAAGGTTGCCTCCTGCGCTTGAGCCACCAAGGATGAGGCCCAGCGCTGGGTCGGCCAGCGGATGGAAGTATTCTGGTGCCCCGCAGACTGCCTCGATGACGCGATAGCACGACAGATGCGCATTAGGGAAGGCATTCTCGGGGGCCAACATGTACTCGACATTGAGGACGATACAGTCGAAGGAGGAGACGAAGAGACGGGCATTGTGTTGCTCGTCGCTTATGTCTCCGAGTATGAAGCCGCCCTCGTGCATGAGAACAATCACTGGAAAGCATCCCGTAGCTGCATTGCTGACCTGTCCGGTGGGCGAATAGACTCGCACCTGTATCTTAGTGTCTTCATAGTCTATGTAGACATCCTTTTCGTGAACTACATCTGGGATCGGACCTGGGATAGGGTACTTCCCTCGCTGTGTATCCAGATAGGCGATTCGCTCGGTGCGCGACAACGGGACGTCGTGTTGTATCTCCTTTAGAGCCACTGGACCTGGGTTGCGCTTGAGCGAATCCTGGAGGGCTTGTGATCTTGTGCCGAGTGACCTGAGCTCTTCCAAGGTGTAGTCGTAAGTCATTGTGACAACTCGCTGCCAGGGTGCTCGCTGTTGGCTCCGGGTTCGCAGGTCTAGACCTCAATTGTGATCTGTTCGGCGGAAACACCTTTTTGTAGCACAGATCACGAAGGTTTTATTATAGGACCATCATGCTACGCAATTGATGTCGTGCCTGATCTTACCTCTACGTGGGAATGGTGTTGCGAAGGAACCCCGCTGGTAGGAAGATCATGGCGGGGTTACCCATCGGTCGAAATAATGTCAGCAGCGATCGCTATTAGCATCGCGGATGGCAGTCGCCGCCGTGAATGGATATTATGCGCATACCCAAGATACGAAGACATAAAGTCGAAATGCAAGAGACAGGAAGGACATACATGAGATGGCTTGAGAGAAGGACTCGGGAGGCTTCTTTCACGACCCCGGTCCAGCCCCGTGCTTTAGCAGGGACTCAATCGTCTGAAACATTGTCTGAGCAAATCTTTCGCCTGCGTTGAGACTGTTGCGAGTCATTCCAGGTCTGGTCACGATTGCTCTTGTCACCTGAGGCGGCAGCCGCGGTCTTCTTGCCAGCTAAGCTTTGGAAGCAAGACCCGAGCGTTTCATCCAGCTTGCGGCACGAAGGATATCTACAGCGCAAGGATTTCTACAGCGCCATCCCGGGCTATGATTACTCGACACGTCCTTCCTAGCGTGTTGACACTCAAGTGAGGCTCATCTCAACCCACCGACTTGATCAGCGAAAGAACAGGAAACCTTTAGCGCCCTCCCGGGCCTGAGAATCCAGAACGAGTAGCATGTTGGCTTGATCACGAAGAACGCCCAGTACTTGATTCCCGGCCTGCATGAACTTATGCCGCAAGTCCGTCGCCCGTTTAAGCCTGATCACTAGCAATGGTCTCTGTGGGCTCTGGCCATCTAAAGCTCGCACCGAAATGTTGTGGTCCGAGCAGATTGTGGCCTTTTTCACCATACATGTTTTCTCGTGCCGTGCCACCAGGTACCGGGTATTCCTTGCGGTAGATGCCTCGTCTCTGAAGTTCAGGAACAAGCAGTTCGACAAGATCCTCCATACTTGAAGGACTCGAGATGTCTGGTCACATCACTTTAGTGCATTGTCCTGTAAACATGTTTGAGGACTTGACAACTTACAGTTGACGTTGAAGCCGTCGATGTCAGCCTCCCTTGATTTTGTCAGTGTGACATAAGGCAGGGGCAACCGGGTCCGATACACACCTCCACCACTTCTCGAAGAAGTCTGCAATTTGTTCTGGTGTGCCAACAGGCCTCGGGTTGGAGCCGCCGAATGCATATAATTCGCCGGCAATGCGTGGTGTGAACTTGCCTTGTTCAGAGATGAGCTTGATGTTATTGACCACGCCTTGAATAGAATTTGCGTAGTGAGCTCCCTCGAACTTGAATTCCTCGTCCAGGGGCACTCCACTTAGGTCGACCGTGCTGAAGTTCCCGAATCTTGCAAGGCCGCCCTGAACGCTGACCTGTGCGCGGAAAGATTCGAGCTTTGCTTGTGCTTCTTCCTCCGTTCGACCAATAATGGGCATGATACCGAGGAACAGCTTGATAGAATATGGATCGCGACCATCCTCGGCGGCCTTTGAGCGGATCGACGAGGAAAACTTCTTCGCAGCCTCTAGAGTCGGTGCGGTAAAGAATATGCCCTCAGCATGTTTCGAGGCAAACGCTATACCGGCCTTTGACGCGCCTGCCTGGAACAGAAGAGGAGTCCTCTGTGGAGATGGATGAGTCTGGTGTGTTCCGTTCATCCTGTGATACTTGCCCTCGTAACTGATGTTGTGTATCTTGCTTGGGTCAAAGGCCATTTCCGGTTCGTTCTGCCAACGAATGGCCCCATCTTCCCATGACTTCTCCCACAACCTTAAAGCTCAAATCAGTGCCAGGCAGGGCCTCATATCCAGTGTGTACTTACGAATACACAATGTCCATATACTCGTCTGCTGCAGCATAACGTTCATCGTGGGGCACGACCTCATCCTTCCCGAATGCCTGAGCCGCCGAAGTACTGTGACTGGTCACAATATTCCACCCGATGCGACCGTTCGTCATGTGGTCCAGGGTGGAGTACGTCCGTGCCAGCGCGTAGGGTGCTTCAACAGATTTCATCAACAAAGGCCGCCCTGACACTTCAGAATCTCTGTCTTACCAATGTAGGATGTGCTTGCAGTGATGCCGAAGGACAACGACTCCGTCTCAGCGGCCATGACTGGCACGATGACCAGAGGATCCATGGCGCCGATGTTTGCACCGCCCTTGTAAGCGGCGTCGGCAGAGCATCATAGACGTCAAGGGTAGCGTACCCATCCGCCACGAAGATGGAGGTAAACTTGCCTTTCTCTGCCAGTCGTGCAAGCCATCGCCAGTAGTCCAGCCGGTCTTTGGTCCTTGAAGTGTCACCTGGAGTCCTTTTTGTTTCGTCAGTCAAAGCACTTCATGATCCTCGTTGGAAGCTGATAGATGGCTACTCACTTCCATTGCCCGATCGCTGTATTGGTGCCAAGAGATGCATTCTCGAAGAGGTTCAATTGCATTTGCTTCGCAGGTCTCGCCATGTTGATCACGGATACGATACCTAATGCTCTGAGGTTGCTTACAGCTACAAATGTACCTACCACATGGCACACGAGCAATTTCTTGTCGAACAACAGCACCATGGCTCGCAGGATACGATTAGCAAGGCCTTGTTCCTGCCAAAGCTCGGCCAATCTCAAGTGATGCGGGATGCCTTCCCGCCGCACGGCTGCCAGTGCCGAACATTGAACCAAGCACAGAAGAGCAGCGGCATGTTGTCAACGGCAGGACAGGGACATGCATTTGTGTCGAACAACGTGAATCGTATAGGATACGTTGGCGTCAAGAAATGGACTGGAGGGAAATCACAAGCATGCTCTGAGTCTGCGTTATGTAGGGGAGAGAAAATCACGAAAATTGAGCCAGCTTCGAAAATTGGTGGACAGCCTTGGAGGAAGACGCGAAGCCGCTCTCAGTCCATCCACATGTCCGGGCTCCTCTCCGTTAGGCGTTAGGCGCCTGAGTATACCAAGAGATCTGCAAATCTGTAAACGCGACAACTTTCAGAGTCTGCGCAACTTTCATCATTCCAGTGTCTATTCACAATCGCTTTGATGCCACAACGAGCTGCAGTCATGTGCTGTATCGCTCAGCACTCTCAATGTCTAATGTGTGACTGTAAGTCTGGCGGCACCTGGAACCGCTTTTCCCATCGAGATTCTTAGTAAGACACCACCAGAAGCCCTCTATAGCACGGTGCGACCCTCGCATCCTCTGCAAGGAGTCTGTATCTTTCTTGACTGCTATGCAACTATCTGCAAGCCACAAGAGCGCAGTACAACAAAATCGCGCCACCACAGGAAAATAGGATCTGGTATTCCTGGTGATGGCTGTGCTCTCGAGTCCGCAGCAAATTGAGTTCACCGCTTCAACTGTCCGTTTCCGGCCAGGCTGTCTAAATTTACTAGCTTCTGGGGTCAAACGACGACATGCCGCAAAGTCTCACTCACTTTGTTGCACACCACGCATCTCAAGCATGATGCTCATGAGCGACGTATGCGTGGAAAGCTGGCCCGGAGTGGCACAGTTCTTGCCGAAAGTGACATGACGAGGACGGCCGGAATGCTACGCGGTCCTGAAGATGACCATATACTCAGCACACTTCACAGTCCCATGGTCTCTCACTTTGGCTTCCACTTCACCTGCGTGCTCTCTGATCTCTCGTCCCTTGACACTCACTGACGCTCCTTCACTGTGACTTCCACGGCTGGCATCGGCACCGGCACCTGCAGCTGTTGGTGAATGGTTGATACAGACTCCTTGCCTATATACATCTCTCTTCTCTATCGAACACAATTCTCGCGTCTGTCTCTACGGTAAGCACTTGCGCAATCCTTCGAGGCTACACGACCTAGATGATATTCTCACTCGATTACACTGCCACTCCCGGCTTGCTTCCATGCCAGGCTCTCGCCAACAAGAAGGAACCTGGCGAGAAGACCGCCACTGCTCCCGCAAACGACAAGTCTCCAGCAGGCACAGCGGCCATATCTGACAGCATGGGTTCGCTCGGCCCCACTCCACCATCACGGTCCATTGAGGCCTACATTGGCTATGATCGCAATCTACCCGTCCAGAAGGTTGCCGGAACAATATCTCGCTACCGCAACGGTTTCGACCATGTCCTGACCACCGTGCATGATGTTCGTGGTCAGGAGCACAACTACACACTTGACATCCAGGGCTTCCAATTCGTCTCACCCGAAGAGTTCAGCCACGATGCACACGACTACACGGATCAAGAACATATCAAGTCGATTGTGTATACACAGACACAAGACCTGCTCAAGAACATCACCGGCGCTCGAGAGTCCACTGCTATTCTCACCTTGTGCGCCACAAGCTGCTCTCAACGATCCAGGCTATGTGTGACGACAAGAGCATACCAGACACGCAACTGACCAAGATCTCCGTGCCTTCTCCAACCGTGCATATCGACCACTCTGCCAAGGGCAGTAGAGAAGTACTCGTGGACAACTTGGGAGAAGCGCAGGCATTTGCCATCATGTCTAGCAACAAGCGATGGGGTATCATCAACCTCTGAAGACCACTCAAGACTGTGCGACGTGATCCGTTGTGTGTCTGTGATGCGCGCTCGGTCAATGAGAAGGATCTGGTCAATCAGGTATGACCTCCTCGTTCTATGGGAAGGAATTTCAATAGCTGACACTTCCATCAGAGGGTTTACTTGCCAAAGGATGCAGACTCATCGTTCAAAGACGTCAGCCGCGGCGCATCCTTCGAGTCCGTGGGTGTGAAGCCCAACCCTGAACATGAATGGTACTACTGCTCAGAGATGCGTCCTGACGAGGCCCTGCTAATCAAGATCCACGATTCTGCTGCTGGCCAAGCTCGGGATGGTGTCTCAGGCATCGTCGCGAGTGGCGTGCCGCACACGTCTCTTCAGATTCCTGGCACAGAAGACGTGGAGGCTAGAGAAAGCATCGAGCTGCGATGTCTGGTATTCTGGGACTGAGCATCCAGGTCCGGGCGGGCTCTGAAGAACAGAATGGTCTTGCAGATCGAGCTAGCAAATTTGGGAGAGCCTCGCTTTGAGTGCTAAGTGGCTGGGACGATTCGTCTTCAGTTGTCTCGCCAGGGAAGGTCCTTGGGAGTTCGTGGCGTTTTCGTTAGAGCTGGGGAAAATGCTCTCATGACCAAATAGCTCATTGATATCTCTGTGCTCATGACAACGGTGTGGATGCTGGAACCTCAGATACTGGGAGGTAGTGCAGTCTTACTACAGTGTGTGAAGCATCTACTTCAACAGTGTATAGATCTTGAGTGAGACAAGAGTGAAGTGAGGCCACTTTGTTCATGCTCAAGAAGGCAGTCATCACGCCAAGACTTCGGCAAGCCTGCCATTCTGGTGAGGCTGTTTGGCTATGCCCAATTTCATCCGTCTGTCATTCAACTCTGCCCAGGTGTGTAACGTTTCCTGTGTTTGTCTTCATCTTACTCCCACCATATCGGCGCAACTGCTGCGCGCAAGCGAAGTACCCCAGAACTTGTAGAGATGGCGCCCCACGCCGCTCCATCGCGCGAACAGCCAACCGCCAGCACAGACCTCCAAGCCGGCAAAGACTTGAAGTTGGGCGACTTCGAACATGTAGACGCAGCCCTCAGCCTCTCCGAAGCGCGCATTGTCTTGAACCGCGTCACCGAGGTTCGAAATGGGATGAATATACCTCTGAACGAGAACGACACCATGACGAAGACGCGCGACTATCTCGAGATCTTCTCTGTTTTCAAGCGGAAAACCGACGCAGAAGAATCCGATCGTGTGTTGGCTTCGTTCGAGGCGAACCTGCATTTCTTCGAGAAGGCGCAGATGAAGAATCTGGCACCGACATGCGCAGATGAGGCCAAGGCGCTGATCCCGAGTCTGGAGAAGCAGGTCGAGGATGGCGTGGTGGATGAAGGCACACTCGATAACATCTGTAATGAGTTGCAGAAGGTCAAGATGAGGGCCGAGCTTGAGGAGTGATCAGGTTCTCATGTTGTCGTCGGAGGCGATTGACGAAACATGTCACTGTATGTGTTCTGGCTCGAACCCAGAAGATCTACTCAGAGGCCGCCCGAAATTGCACTGCTTCGGCAACTCGGTCACGTCCAGGCATCGGGAGATGGAAGACTCCTCTACACAGTCTCGGACTGATTTCCAACGAAGGTAAAGATGCCAGAAAGGAAGCTCGAACGCTACAGACACCATGTCACATTGAGTTTGTGCGAAGAGATCGTCCTTTACTCCTAGGGAACTAGGCAACAGGAAAGCTTCCCAGCTCAGAGCTTTGCGATAACGATGGACACCATGGGTTACGATACATTGATGAGCACAGCGGCTGGTGTACCCTGCTTCTGGCCTTCCTCCGGAGGCTTGCTGCACCGTCACAACTCGCTCCGGATCTCAAGCATGTGTCAATAACTGGGTACTGGATATCTTCGATGATGCACTCAGCCGGGTTTCGACGCAAATCCTGGCGTCTGTCTGTGAGGGGCAAGAGGCACATGTTCAGACCGTGGAAGCCGGTCCTCGAGCCACAAGAGAATGAAGCGCATGCTGGCGAATATGCCAGCTGATGTTTCACTCGCTCGTCGGCCAAAAACGCTGGTCCAATGTCGAGCCGGAAGGCGAATCGAGGCTGAGGCTGCCTCTACACACACAAGACCTCGCACTTGGCTCACTCTCCAAAGTCAGGTCAATTGAGGCTGTCGGCAGAACTTGATTGCGCACGTTCGTAGAACACACTAATACGATGCCTTGCGAAAACACAGGTCATTTCCGCCTTCCACCGTATGTTGCACAAACTCGTTTGTAGCTAACGTCTTGCGTAGTACTTGCCCTTCATTAGCAGCACTTTCTGGGTGATCGCCTCATCTCCTGCTGGAGCACTTCCGCTTCGCTCATGCCTCGTTTGCGTGTGTTCGTGTCGTTGTTCAGCAAAAGGTACTACCGGAACCCCTTTCCCACCCATCACTCGACGGTGACCCAGAACGCCTTCCCAAACGACTGTTTGCCCTGCGCCTTCCGTGTTGCCAATGGGCGCGGCCCTTTCCATCAAAAGAGTTCCAAGGTACTCAAGCCAAGGACTTGCTTTCCATTGTGGCCTTCCGCAGGCCAAGGTACTCACGTCCATTATATCAATACGCAGCCTATTTATTCTCACTACCACCGCCACTATTCAGCATCCTCTACAAACGTCCCATAATCATCAAGCCTCATCAACTTTAATCTACACAATCCACAAGTACCCATCACCAACCATCGAAACCCTTTCCGAGACACCAGGTCAAGATGTCCTCGCAAATGCCTCAACCCGAGCCCTCGACACCAGAACATAGCAGTTCGAAATCTCACACCGCGTGCAATAGCGGCATTTCTCCCTCCCGCATCGACACATTTACCGACACCGCCAACGGCATCTCCCTGTTTACAGGCAAGCCTGCTTGCGAGCGAGGTGACTTCGCTGGATGTTCGCCCTCGCCGTCGGCTTCGTCGTCGCCTAGCTCGCCTGCGGGCGAGCGGTTGACTCATGACAACTTGCCCAGCCCCGCTAGCGGAGACGACGTTCACAGAAAAGACGAGACATACGGGGCGCAAGATGATCAGGAAAAAGTAGAAGGTCGCCTGCCAGAGAGAATCACGAAAGAGGACATTAAGGTCCGGGAAACTCCAGCAATGATCTTCGACTTCGTTGGACTCGAGCGAGTGGGAAACGAACATCTTGAAGCAACCAAAAGCGGCCCGTGGAGTGTGAATGGACCTGAGCCTGAGAGAACTCGCGGCGAGAAAGTGCGCGGGACTGAGGCGGAGGCGGACGGGTAGTCGGGATATGTGATGAGAGAGTCTGCGAGTCTTTGCTTTGGATCTTCATCTGCGTGTCTCTGCTTTGAATCTTTGTCTGCGAGTCTCTGCTCTGGATCTTCATCTGCGTTCTGTTGGTCTTCGGTGGTGTTTTGACACACATGGTCCGGTCCCTCTGGCGTCATGACTGCCGTACGACAAACATAGGCTGACCAGAGTGATGTTCATACAGTTGATCTCTGATCATCGGCCTGCCGGTCGCGGTAGGCCCTCGGATGGCCCTCTAGTAGCACACTATATTCTTGCAGATCTAGAATCTCTCGGCATTGACGAATAGTCCGGAGAGCAAAGCACTGCGAATCGTATGGTCTGCAAAAGCATGCCTGGTCAGTTGAATGATTTTTTTCCGCCGCTCTACATCATTCGAAGTGTAGCAGTAGCACTTCTCAAAAGTGTCCGATAGATTGCAGCGTCAACGACGACAAAACATTTACCTCCACCACTTTGAAACGTATAAAGCCCCCAACAGCAGCCCAACGGCGGCCGCTATCTGTAGTACTCGCCGCATCATCCACCAAATTTCCCACCACACCAGATCATCAATCCTTTTCATGAACACGCGTAAGTCATTGCCTTTAGGAAACGCCACGCTCTCGGGCGGCACCTCGACGCCCAAAAACTCGCACAGCGGTCCCCATCCGTCTCCTATCCTGTACTCTAGCAGCTTGCTATTATTCTGGTGTTTGGGCTGCCGACTAACAATCTCTCGTATACTCGCGTAGTGTGTGTGGTAAACACTGTGGGCTTCGTTGCGTGTAAAGTGGACAGAGTTATGCGTGAGGTGCTGCCAGGCGTATAAGAAGGTAGGTTTTGTGAAACGGTTATGCATGTGTAGAAAGTGCTGCGGGAGAGCGACGATACGAGTGAAGGGGTGGTGGACCTTGAGGTGGATTGTGGCGTAAACTGATCTGTGAGGCAGCAGTTGCGGGTCAGCTAAGTCGTCAGAGGTAGGAGTGGCGCGATTTTGCTGCTTCTGCTTCGTAGTCATCCTATGCTGCAGGTAGGCAAATCGAGGAGGCCGCTTGGTACTTACGTATACCAACTCTCGAACTCCCTATGCGTCAGAATGACTTTCGCCTCCGGATACGCCTCGATCAATTCCTCGGCAAGCAAGATAGCTGGTAGATCCGACACGCCTTGACAGTGGCCTAGCAATCTGTCGAACCCAGCCCGGCCGTAGGGTTTGCCCTTGCCCTCGAACTTCGCTTGCAAGGCCGCGAGCCAGTACTTGTTGTCGAGCGGGTTCTCCAGCGCAGCCTGGAAGCCGTGATACAGTTCGGTGGCGCCAAGGAGACGTAGTGCTTTTGCGGTTGCTGATGTGCCTCGTGGTTAGGACTGACGGACTTGGGAAGAAATTGATACTGGGACTGTAAAGCAGGACGGGTAGCAGGGGTTTTGTTCGTCGCTCACATTCACTCGCAGTTCGAGGCAAGCCAAGGACAAGCACTTTCATGGGTACCGTTCTTGATCCATGTTTCATGCGGTCTATATCTGTGACTACACAGGTATAGTCGCCAAAGGTGTGAGGCGCCGCCATTTGCGTTATAGAATAGGCATGGTACTGGGTTTGAGGTCACCTCTGTGGTGCGCAGCAAGTTGAAGCGCTCATATATGACTATGCCCGGGCGCTTTTGAGCTGCGCCTGCCACCTGTTGCTGCTCGCCCTCGCTGCAAAAGTGGTGGTATATGTGCTTGTGGGTATGGAATACCTAGGTAACATCCTCAGCCTGTGTCCAAGCTTTGCTGTAAAGTGGACCAGTACTCAAGTATTTTGCGCGCGATTGTCTATCGCACAACAGTCGCTTCTCAGCATCTTTTCAGCTTCCTGTAAGTGTTTGGTAGGTGTCTCATAGGTCCCCCATAAGGTCCCAGGTTAATTTCTCAGCTCATACCGATATCACTACAGACAGACCAGCAAGGTTCTTTTATAGCTGCAGAAGCGCTTGCGGGCCTGCGACCACCTTTGAAGCGGATGGGAGCCGTGATTTTCCTGAACCATCTTGTATGGATCGATAATATCTGGTTCTGTGACGATGATCCTTGTCGAAAGGCTAGGCTGTCGAACACATCCCAAGACAAGCTCGGCCAAGTACGAGCGGAAATCTTCTTCGGCAAGGGCCCAAGCGTGAATGACAGTATATAGGGACTTGATTGCACTTGCTGCTGTGGGTGGTACTTACACAAGGTTGCCGTGGCTGTTGTTGAGTTGTCTAGTTCACGACGCGAGAGCTCGATGTATTTCTTCTAAGTTTCAACTCTGGTCATGAGAGTATGTTGTATTGGCTGATGGGCAGCTATGCAATCATCACGCGACTTGCTATGCAGCGCTTCTGAGGATGTTCAGTGTAGCCACGCACAAGAAGACCCCGGGAGTCTCCGGTTTTATGTGGCCTTGCTAGAGTTCGCAGACTGAGAGCTCCCATTGGAGGGATCTTAGTAGCAGGTGAGGAAAACGGGATTTCGAAGACAATTTTCGAGCCCGAGCCGACTCGATGTCGCATTCATACTCGAACGTCGTTCGAAGGTGCCATTTGAACCAAGATAGTCCTGTTGGGCTGCGAATTGACGATTCGAAGAGTGCCGAATATAGCGAGCGCGTTTCTGTCAACAGGGTAGAAGGCGAAGGCGTGCGCAGAGGCGAGTCGGAGCAGAAATCCAAGGAAGAAATTGACAGACTGAAATGGCGCCTTGAGCCGAATGGCGTAGCAGCGTTATTATTGGCGTTTGGCGTAAGAGACATCCCTTCAACTGGGTATCGTGCACGTTCTTCTACAGCAGCAGCCAGTACTTGACTACAGAGGCATGACACGGGCCTGGGAATCTCCTCATTAGATCGCCAGGTCACACAGGCCCCCAAGTTTCCAGCTCTGAGTCGTCGTTGCCGACCTCTCTGAGCCAGTCCCAAGGCCTCACTGAGCCATTTAATCGGTAGTAGCGACGGGCGGTGTGTACACCGCCAAGCACATCAGACACCAACAATCTCGCCCACGCACCGCTCAATGACCCTCGCCAGCTCCCTCCCATCCTCCCAACAGGCATTATGCTTCCCCTTGATCTCCTCTACATCGCACTTGACCGTCACTGCTGCCGGCCCGTCCTTGCTACTGTCCATCTTAAAGACATTAGCCATAGCTTCCAACTGGCCCCAATCCACCAGTGTATCCTCCTTGCTGTGCGCAAGGAGCAGCCACCTCTTATTTTCCTTCCCCCCACCCTCGCCTCCAGCAGCCGCCCACGCCGCCTCAATCTCCCCTCTCCGTTTCCTAGCAACACTAATCCCCTCCCAATCCTCCTCATCAACCGCATTCCGCGTCATCGCATCATACCCCGGAAACGTCTCATGCAACCTAATAAAATCATATATCCCGGAGACACCCACAATGCCCACCGGCGGCGCTATCCCCTCCTGATTCTGCATGTGCAACAGCGCATTCATCGCCAACGTCGCGCCCACACTGTGGCCCACCAACACATACCCTTCGTCACCTCCAGGTCGAGTGCTGGGGTGTTTGGCCTGGAAGTGGCGCAGTGCATTCAACACGTCGCCCAAGATCTCCGGCCAGCGCGCGTTGCGCATTTCGTAGGATGGGGTGGTGGTCGGGTCTTGAGGGTGGGCTTCGTGGGGGGCGAGGCGGTAGTTTATTGATACGTAGCCGGCTGTATGTCGTTGAAGGGCCAGGATTTGCTGGTCTGGGGAGTTGGGGTCTGTTAGGAGGGATAGTGTGGCGTGGAAAGACGAGGCTAGGATGGAGGGGTCCCGGAAGTAGCCGCCGTGGATGAAGATGATCCAGAGCCTTTTGATTGGGAAGGAGGGGGTGGAGGGGTGCTTCTCGGAGTACGGAGGTGGGATGGCTGAGTCTGACTCGGACGCGGGTGGCGGGGGAATGAAGAGCTCGTAGGATTGCAGAATGTTTTCGGACGCATATTGCACGCGTTGGATGTTGGAGGAGATGCGTGATGGGATTGCAGCGCCACGGTTGGAGGGTTTGCGGTTTGGTGGCATTTTGGGCCGGAGGTGATTGTTGTTGTCGCTGGATGTCGTTTTGAGATGGTGCTTGAGTTTCTCCTGTGGTTCGTGGTTCCTGCGTGGTGAGAGGTACGCGGCCGAAGAGTACTTTTCGTCGGAGTATTGAAGTGCCTGCTTTTGGAGGTATCGCGTGAGTTTCTTCATGTTGATGGTAGTGGGGTCGGGAGGGACGCGGTCCGTGTCCGTCTGTTCAGACCCGAGAACTCAACAGTGCAGGAAGTTTCTAGGCGTTCGGAGTGCTGTATGGTAGCGAGAGATTTGTTGATGTCTTTCACTCAACAGCCAACGTTGCTATGAGGTCGAGAATAAGAAGGGTAGTGAAGTGAAGATGGTGAGGCCAATCTCGTGAGGAAAAGTTGCTTTTCGTAAGAAGTCCAAGAGTTCTGACGACCAGTCTTACCGTCCTATTCCTCAGGGCAAGGCAGCCCGTATCCCTTTCCTGTAAGTTCGAGATCAGGCCTTTTCTTTGGCCCTGGCCAACGAGGGCGCCGGGTCTGGCTGTATCTCGTTGAGCCTCTCACGAGCAGCTGAATGCAGCCCCAGTTGTGTACTTTCTACAGATAGCACTCAAGGGATGCCTACAACGTGAGACGCGTGCCTGTGATCATGCAAGCCGTGGTAGTGATACGCTTTGGACGAATTGCTCCTGCAGCAAGCCTCGGAATAGGACGCAGGTGGGGCGGCGGTGACTAAGTGGTTCGGGACAACGCAAACGGCTGCCGGATGTGTCTGTCGATTGACTGGTTGGCATGAGCACAGCAAAGCATCTGTCTGTAAAGGAACATAGCAAGAAGAAAGTCGCATTTGTCTCGTTGTAGCATTCCTGAACAACGATACCAGGGTGGTCTTTGAATGTATTTGTTGATTAGTCTTACGTGCGGAAACTCATCTGGCAACCCTACTGTTCCTTCGGATAGGCTTCGGATATCTCTGCGAGTGGCACCGCATGATCCACTGCAGAGTCCTTCCGGCAGGTCTTCTAGGGATGATCGACCGCTACGGCGGCCTGACGTAGACTACAACAAGACCAGTTCGGGGGATTGCAGGCTCGAGTTCTTCGTTATTTGAACTGCCTTCGCGCAGGACTCGGCATGGTCAGCGCAGTGTTGAGGAGCCCTCTGAGGGACCGCAAATGCTTAGATGATATCAGCGTCTGATATCCCGCTTCAGACGCAGCGGGCGCAACAACGGAAGCACCAATGCGGCAGCATCTCCAATTCAAGACCACTCTCTCGCCATGCTTGCAAATCACCCTTTCAGGATTACTCATTTTGCTATACTACTTGAACTATTCCGCGGACCGCCTCGGGGAGACACCCGAACGACCTGCTGTTATCCAGAACGCCGGAAGTGACAGTGCCCAAACGTATTCCAGAACAGTTATACGCAGCTGAATGATGCTCAGTATAGCAGACGTGGTCGACTGAAGGGCTTCAAAGGTGACTTGAAGCTCGATTCTTCGCAGGATGGCCGTAGAAGCTGTGGTCTCGCCGACACTTCCGGGAACACATCAACATTCGACCGAGAAGTGCGCGAATGTCGTGTTTGTCCACGCTCTTGTGGTTCTGGATAGTCCTCTGGAAGATGAACTGATCCGGGCTGGGCCCTGTGCTCAAAGTCATAATCGTCCGCGCGTACTTGCTCTGCAGTATGTTGCTCTTCGAGTGTCCCTAGCAAGCCGATGTCGAAATTATCGAGATGCGTCCCAGAGTCCGCCCTGTCATACAGCACTTCGAGTTCAAGGATCTCATTTCTTGAAATTACGCCAGCATGCTTCAGGCTGTCTCGCTGTTCCCCGTAGCTGAGATGCGGAGCTGAAGGAGTGCTTTCTCGCAATAACAACCCCGGAGCCGGCCCTAGCTGGATTTCGTCGTCATTCTGAGGCATCATATATGGGTCAGGTCCCTTTAGGCCTGGATGGTAAAGATTGAAGTGTGCAGGGCCATGATGGCTGGTTGGCGGATGGGGCAGACCCTCCAATAGATCCAGGAGGCCTCTATCATCGTCTCCAACGGCCTGGAGCACCTGCTTTTCAGGTTCGGCCTGTCGTCTGTCGGCAAGTAGCATAAGGTCTTCTAGTGTGTAGTACCGTCGCGTCGAATCCGCCTCATTGTTGTTTCCGGGACCAGGATCTCTGTCATTGATGATGTTACCGTAATTTCTGAGATGCGGATAGGACTGACTGGCTGAGCTTCGAGGATGCACAGAGGCCACCCGAGCACGAGAAGCTTGCTCGACAAAGGAGGACGGCGCAACCGCTGATTGACGGCGCAAGCTGATCCGAGTGTGAGGCGTCAATGCCGCAGGGCGTCTGCTAGGACTAGTGGAACACGACACGTGGGATGACAGTTGAGTACGTCCGACGTGGTCAGGCGAGTTGCGGTCGCGTTGGAACCAGGCGCCGTCTTCGAACACTTGCACCGGCGGCAGCCGTTCTTTCGAGACACTGCGATCGCTGACTGCACGCTGCTGCTGCTGCTGCTGCTGCTGCACAAGATCATCTGTCTTCAGGCGTGGAGGCCGCCCTGGCGATGTCTGGGGATTCAGTCGCGGACGGGGACTTCCTGTCGGGTGCTGCAAGATGTTGTCATGAGGAGGGTCGTGGACATGGTCTTCAGGACCTTGCTCGCCGAAATAGCCAGAGACGTCTTCGGCGCCTCCCTTCTTCTTCTTGCCAGAATGTGTCACTGCTTGCAGCCCTCGGAGCTTAGCATGGTCCAACTGACGCTTGTCATTGAGGAAGCTCATCTCGGAGAAGGTGAGATCGGGGATGCCGCGGCGTTCTATGGGTCCAGACGCCTTTCCTTTGCTGAAGATCCCTGGTAGTGCATCTTGCTTCAGAGTGAGCCTTTCTGATTCAACATTCGGAGCTTTAAAGTCCTTGTGAAGAGTGCTGCCGGTCTTTCTGTGCGACTTCCTCTTCTCTTTCGCCCGTGACTCTCTCTTGGCTTCGGCGGTCGTGTGCTGTGCGTTGTATTCGTACCGATCTTCTCGAGTCTTGTGTCGCTTTCGACGTCCATACTTTTCGCTAGCATCAATCACAGGTTGTCCGGAGTCTTTGGCTGGCTCGACATGGTCTGGAGATTGGTTATTGGCTTTGTATCTCGTGTGCCGATCGTTTTGAGCTTTCTCTTTCCGTCTCGGTCCCTGTTCTCGCCGTCCGCTATCGTCCTCCTGTGAAAGTAGCCGTGCTGCGTCGACTGGTTCGAGGTCAAGTGGACTTTTATGTCTCCTTCCAGACCTATTTTGCTCGAGATTAGTCCTCTTTGACAACCAACGCGCTGAAACATGCCCACCACTCAAACTCTGAAGCTCTCCGGCGTTTCTTCTCCGTTGTGGTCCTTCTGTACGAGATCAGCAAGCGCTACTTGATTCTTCCATTGGTCATACCTTTCCGAAGCCTTGTGGTCTCTCGTCCCCACCTCGGCTTCGGGCAGGGCACTGATCGGGTCTTCGGTCGTCGGAATGTGCGTCAGCCATTGGTTGATAAGACGGCGCTGAGACTTAGGTGAGGGAGATCTGGTCATGGCCGAGCGTAGCGCACGCGTGCAGGAAAAAAATGATGGCGAGCATTGATGCGTCAGTTACAGGACCTTTGTCACGGAGACGCGATTTGGCGCCAGGTGAAAAGGGTAGTCGCACCTGCCGCATCGCAACTGCCAAAGCGCAGAGCTTATGACTGCAGTTCGTGGGACGTGATGCGAGACAGTCGCGACTTCCGCGACTTCCGCGAAAGACTCGAGCAATCTTAAGGAAGCTGTCGCGCTCGAGAGCTACTGGTTAAAGTAACTGCGCCACTATCATCAGTTTTTGGGATGAGGGTGATCGCGCAGGGCAGCCAGCAAGAGGAGCTGCTACTGTTGCGATACTCGAGCCATCTTCCACACTACTTGGCAATCGTGTCGAGGATGAGAACCGCTCGGAGAGCGGTGATTGGGACTTTGCCGCAAAATCGCATGAAGTCCACAAGAATGTACTGGTGGTCGCTGTATTGCGCGGAGATCAGATGCCACCGTTAGCAATTAACGTGACTCAGAATGTCGCCATCGAGGAAGCAGCTCTTTGAACTACCACATCGGAGAGTATCAAGCTATAACGGCATGCCAGAGCATGAAGACCATGCTGCTCTGATGTCTGCCATGAGGGAGGGACTCAGAATTTGAATACGGAGAGGCGCGGGAAGATGAAGAATCTGCAGCCAGTGACTTGTAGCGAGATAGATTAGGGATACGCGCTCTTCACAGTGTCGCATTGCATCCTCCGGAGCACGTTTGCCGAGTCTTTGTCGTATGCACTTCTAGCAGCTTTGGGGAGCTTGCTGAGATCGCGTAGGCAGGTGCTGAACAAGGGCCAAATAATTCAGGCGTAGTGCAGTGCCCGAAATGCTTCAGGCACGGCCAGAATCCAAGTGGCGACCGTTGGTTGAATCCCGTTTCAGGGAAGGGTTGCAAATCAGAACATCATAGCGACCATGCAAGAGAGGGGATTCGGTGGAGTGGGGGCGGCTAGACTGAGATCTGCCGTTTTGTCCTACCCACCTCTCGATCACCCGTTCCCTCTGTGGCCGATGCGACTGCAACCCTGGTGCGTTGCGCATGGCAAGTCTTAGACTTTCGAGGACTTTTCATCTTGCGGGCCGGCATACGACTCGTTGATCCGTCCAGGTGACCAGTTGATTGCAGAATATGGGTAGAAAGTACTCCTCAGACGGTCTGCTTAATGTTCTAATTTGTCACGGCGCTTCGTTAATTGCCATTATGGCCGATGAGAGGAGTTTCTGAGGGGCAAGAAGCGCACTGACGCACACCAGGACAAAGTTGGTCGGATAGCGACTGACGATGGTCGAATTATCTGCATCTGTGGCGCGGTTGACTGCATAGTTCTGCCACAGGTAAGAGCCAGGAACTGGTCGCTGTGGCTCTTTGTGGGGATATTTGGGAACGGCCGGCAGCTGCGGGTTGTTGAGTCTTGACTAGAGAGCCCGCATTCTGCTGTATGCCCCCATGTCGACCTGCTGGGCACGGACCCGGGTCCAGTGTTCTGCTGCCATTCGTCGAGGATCAATTTGACATCACCAGCAGTTCGGCCACGCCCGCAGAAGTGTGGCCTGAGAAGCTTTCGGAGCATTTGAGAGATCTAGTTGGATCGGTAATTGTAACGTTGCCTGTGAATTCATCATGTCTGGGTCTTTGCTTCCGGGCGGAAATGCCTGACCTGAGTTCGTATCAGGCGCACTTGTTGGTTGAAGAATTGCCTCCGCTGTGACCGGTCAATGCTTTGCTGCTTTGTGAAGCATTTCTCTCCTGTTATTCCAGCACTCATTTCGTCCTTACACCTTGTTGGCATTGGAGTCAATCGGCGTTTGCCTCGTTTCTTGCAGTACGTTGTCGTGGATGTGTCGGATCTCACAGCAGTCAAGTTTGAGTTGTTGCGTGCGAGTGACTCGTTGAGAAGGGATTTACAGCGTCGGCACGGCTGCCTATCTGCAGGTCTGCGCTTGTGACTGCATCAACCATTACAACTTTTTCGCCCACGAGGCCACTCCATCAGGTCCGCTACCTTCTCGTAGCTATGGCGAAATTGTTTATTGGGTAAGTGAGGCGCTGTTGAAAGGGACCGCTTACAGATCTCCGTGGACAGGGGCCTAGCCTGGCATACGAACGATGAAACCCTGCGCCAGAGATTCGAGGAGTACGGTACTGTGGAAGAGGCGGTACGTTCAGGCCACGGTTCATGCTGATATACGCTGACTCCTCGCAGGTTGTTGTCAAGGATCGCGACACCAATAGAAGCCGTGGGTTTGGCTTTGTGAGATTCTCGTCTAAAGAGGAGGCAGATGCCGCGAAAGAGAAGATGGATTCCACCGAGTATGTCAATCAGGTGGTGCTCGATGCGCAGGGCTAACTTGTGGAAGGTTTGATGGTCGCATCATTCGTGTTGACCATGCAACGGACAACAGATCCGGCGGCGGCCAGCGTGGTGGCTATGGTAGTCGCGGAGGCTACCAAGGTGGAGTTGGCGCATACGGAGGTCGTGGAGGTGGCTATGCGAACCCGTTCAGTCAAGGTCGTGGTGGCGGCTTCGTTTCCAGTTACAATCGCGGAGGATATGGCGGCCAGCAGCCCCAGCAATATGGATCTCAACAGCAGCAGCAGCCCCAGCAAGGATACTACCAAGGAGGTTTCCAGGGCAACGCAGGCGACGGTGGCAACACATTTGGGTCGACTGGTGACGGACAGGCTTTCGGTTCGACTGGTGATGGGCATAATTTTGGTTCAACTGGTGACGGACAGGCTTTCGGTTCGACTGGTGATGGGCATAATTTTGGTTCAACTGGTGACGGACATTTTGGATCAGGTGGCGGCGGACAACAACGCTGAGCCGGATCTTGGTTGTCGAGGAACGAAGTCTGCTTGCTATGCAGTCCCAATTGATGAAGATGTACTCAAGCGACGGGTCAGCGCCTGAATGACGAGACACATTATGCAGTCTTCTCGACTTCTTCTTGCTCCTCAGTACTACTGACTCGTTGCAGTCCAGTTTTCGATAATCGACGATGATGAGTTGAACGAGTCGGAGGAGTCATCGAACGTACTCTCCGGGCAAGGTCACTGATGTGCTCGTCATGGCTATCAGGACTCAGAGTTTGCAAGGCCTCGTCTAGTTGAAGAAGATACTCCCTGTTCTCGCCACTTGGCCCGATACTTTCGTTGATCTTCTCCGCGACGACTTGGGGCTGAAGTGCACCGAGGAATTGAGGATTGTCAGGCATTCCAATATAGACCAGGCAAGTCTGCTCCGGGATGCCCTCTTCTGCTGGTACGAAGGGCGTATACTGTATGCTGTATCCATTGATCTCTCTGATGTCGAGGTACTCCCTGACTTCCTCGACTTTCTCCGGGATAATGTGGTACGCAACACCCCAGACTAGATCATTCTCTGGCGGATTTTGCTTACGGCACGTTAGCAGCAACCGGAGACACGTGGAACAGAATGTTACTGTGTCTCCCAGGGTCTTCCAGAAACCCCGTTCAATGAGTGTGACGACTCGACCAGGTGCTTCAGGAGTGCCCCTGTGGTCCTCGCTTTGTGCGTTAGTACGAGAACTGACAGAAGTCATCTTGACAGTACCTGGCCTTTGAATCTCAGTTGCTGTGGTGCATGACATCGAGGACATTTACTCCTACCTGCCAAAACCTGCGAACGTAGCCTTTGATGTAGCCCGGTATGCGTTGATCTGACAGCTGTCAATATCGACTGTCGTTGAATAAGAGTTTCGCATGATCGTCACCGAAATGGGGAGGGGGCTTCCAGATCAAGCTTCTATGTGACACGTCAGTAGCCAGCACGTTGATCCTGTTGCAGGAAAGTCCTAGTACCCGTATCCAAACAGCCAAAGCTCCGGCTGGTCTTGAGCATGTTCTGCGGTCATGGTCGTGAGGCTCAGTCGTCGGCAGTAGATCGGAACCAAGGTAGCTACAGGCTTCTTTAAGATAAGGCCCTGCGCGGGGTGATCGTACACGTATGTTGCAACGGTACACATGCACGAAGTGCCTTGCTGTCTTCTTAAGTCTACGCGGATGCACGACTTTGTACCCTGTACCCACAGGAGATGTCCGGTGCCAGTGCTTCCAGGTATTCGGTACCTGCTACGGTCAGCCAAGCCTAACGAATTTGAGGCAGTAGCGAATCCGAGCACTGCATCTCCGGCAGGCGGCAGGGGTAGGAACGGCGCTCCAGGGGCGCCACGTTAGCGGGAGGTGCAATTAGACTCCCACCGAGCTCAGAACTTTGGCAAGCGCAATGTGCATGACAAAGCGTGCAGGCTCGTAGATCCATGTCTAACCTACAACGACGACACCGGTTGTGCTGCGAGCTTCACAGAACATAGTAGCCGGACTTTCGACTTCTTGGACCGACCGCAACTCGCTGCTCGCTCGAGACCGAAGTACAATATAGTGACAGCGCCCTGCAATCGGAAGTTACTGGGCGCAAACGGAGCCTCCAGTGGGTGGCCGAGATTCAGCCCACTTCGTGTTTCGACTTCAGCTGATGGTCAGAGAATGTCTATAGCCATCACGTCTGAAGTCCGAAGTAGTAGCAGGATCGCAACCTAGTGAGCTCGGCCAAGAAGCGACACTTCCTGCACAAACATCGTAGCGATCGCGATTGCGCCTTCCTTGTGCAAACGTCTCCAACTCCTACGGTCGTTCAAGGGGAGACCTTGACATGGCATACAACAAAGCCTTCAACCCAGATGCGCTGCCAGCGTACGTCTCACGCACCCATCGCGAAGCTGTAGCTGACCACCTCCACAGGCATGCGGAACCAGACCAGGCGGCACAGATGCTGGCAGGCCGCCGACCATCTCCCTCAACTCAGCGACCCGCATACTCAAATCTGCCTTCACAGCAGAACCGGCCACCGTCTCCTGGGCATGGTGGACGAAGACCCTCGGGCGGGCCTCCGTCCAATTACCAGCACAATCAGCAGCCATATCACCAAAATCACCAGAATCAACAGAACTACCGCCCACCACCTCCACAGAAAGACAGCTATGATCACAATTTCAGTCGGTTAGGATCACCGCCGCCGCCAGCAGGCTACGGCAATGGCCCACGTCCACAGATGCAGCCAATATCCATAGCTCAACACCACTCGCCCTCGCCGGCACGAACGCCAGCTCCACCGGACGCGGACTCGCCAGAGCTGTGGTCAATATTCGAGGCAGCCAACATTACGAGAACAGGACATATGACACTGACAGAGTTGGGCTCAGCTCTTGTCAATGGAGATTACACACCCTTCGATCCGTCCACGAACAGAGCATTGATGCGCATGTTCACGAGTTCTCCCCCTACCCAGCTGCAAAGCGCTACGCTCACTTTCGCCGAATTCCAGAATCTATGGAGGTTTCTGGCAGCGTGGAAAGAGCTATTCGAGCGATTTGACGAGGACAGGAGCGGCCGGATCACCCTGAACGAATTCTCAAAAGCCCTCGTGGCTTTCGGCTACAGACTATCGCAACCATTTGTGAGTCTACTATATAGCACATATGAAGCAAAGGGCATGCGCATGGCGGAGGAGAGACGTGGAAGCCGTGGCGCTGCGACAACCCAGGGCATGAGTTTCGATCTGTTTGTTCAAGCATGCGTCCATTTGAAGCGCATGACGGATGTGTTCAAGAACTACGATGATGATCGAGACGGCTATATCACTGTTAGCTTCGAGGAGTTCTTGACAGAGATACTCAAACTGCGAGATTGAGCGACGACATAATGCGATACCCACCAGTTTCCCTATGAGCCTTTGGTAGAACCATTTATTTCCCAGAGAGTCCTCCCTAAGCAGGAAAACCACGACGAACTGTTTGCACTAACAGGCGCTCAAGCAATGATGAAGCGACGCTCAAGAGACGCGCATGAGAAGCTCAAGATACGCTTGAAGAACGCTCCGATGAAGGTCCCAGCTCTTGGTCGGATCTAGACTTGCGCATAAAAGCATTTCGATGAAGTACGATTTTCGTGGCGTCCGTCAGTTGCAGCTACACGTTACTGACGGCCCGGCGAGGTCGGGCGAAAGCCGCCCCAGGCTCTTAGACTTTACTGCAGTGACGTCGAGTACCATGCAACTGCAAACCGTCATTCTGATGAGGTCCTCGAGTTCCCTGTCTGACCTTTGGCCTTGACTTGCCGCCACATGAAGATCGCAGCCCGAATTGCCTGAAGATCATGCTTGCCCAGGATATGGAGCAGTTGGTAGGAATGGCGTCTAAGGGCAGTAAGCGCCGAAAAGCATCCATATAATGCGGCCTGTTGACGACCTTCCCAGGTGCCAGGCTTCTCCGTAATTCTGGAGAGGGCGTCGGCCAGTCGGGTCAGGCACGGTACCAGACCAGCGGAGCCTTCGGTCATCTTTTCGATGATGTCGGGCAACTAAGACGAGACAGGACAGGCACGGGAAGTGTATCTGGGATTTTGCTTGTGCAGGTGGGCAAGACCTCGTGGCTTATGGAGGGGCCAGCAAACCGGCGGTGGTAGTGGTTGGAAGAGTTCGTAGGAAGCTGCAGTAGAAGAGGTGGAATCGTGGTGGGGGGTTGTTCTAGGGCTGCTATTTGCTCGCCCTCGGATCTACCGCCCATCTTCTCCCACACGTATGCGCCAGCAACGGCTAAATGCTGGTCGCCTGCATATCATAGTGCAGTTACATCGCTAACAATGGCCCAAAGCATTGCAGTCGAACGACTGTCGCCGGTTGCTGGGTCTCGAAAGACAGATCTCTCGGTGCTCGTCCGCTTCCAAGCCGCCACTGCTGGCCAGCTACCTATTAGTCGGTATAATTATACTTCCTACAGGCTCGGTTCGCGAACGCCCTCCATGCGACTCCAACAAGAGGCACGATCCCAGACGAACTAAGGCGATTCTTCTCCGTTCCCCGCCACGAGGGAACTAGAAGAGCACCACTGCTGCCAGCTGCCACCTACTGCTGTTTCTGAACTTGCGCCCCATCTTCTTTGACTTCTTCAATTGATATCATCCACGCGGTGACAAACTTTGAATTCGGCCAGTCCCAGCAACATCGCCAAAAAGCACACTTGATCAACCAGGACTGTTATATATCCAACAGCAACATCACACGAATTGATTGATGGTGTCCCTCATGTTGATTTGAGGCATCTCCACAGCACACCCATATGTCGGGCAGCTGCATATCTGAGCCGCCAACATGAGTTCCTTCTTCTCCAAGATCAAATCGAACACTGTATGACATTCCAGAAGTCTGGCGCTCGCTCGCTTCGCTTGCTGACCAACTGTGCAGCAGACAGCCTCGACGCAAAATGTATCGCCGACCAAGAAAGATCTCACTGCGCCTCAGCCGACACCGCTGGAGCGCATGCTCCAGAATGCCGGCCCTATACGGAACGATGGCAGCGACAAATTTTGGGGAATGGAAAACGTGCGTACCGATGGCCCAAGCCGCAGCCAAATGTATTTGCTAACATACAACTTATAGTTCGGCAATACCTGGTATACACTACCCTTTGTGATCGCGATAGCCATAACTGACAGGCTGCTAGCTACTGCAACTCAATTCTACAATGTCTATACTACTCAGTCCCGTTCCGAGAACAGATTCTCAGCTACCCACAACGATCGCTGCCCGACGATGTCTTCGCCGCCATGAAAACAGCGCCACCTCGGCCACCATTCAACCCAAACAATGGACAGAAGAAGCCAGCCGCCCAGCCTACCGCACGCAACTCGTCCGGTCAACAGCAACAGCAGAAGCCTGAGGACAAGGAATCGCCCGAGTACAAGAAAAAGCAGGCGCTGATGACAGGACCTATACTGAATATGGGCTACCAGAACGCTGGAGGCTATGAGATGCCGGAGTCGCTCTTCACAGCTACAAAGGATATCTTCGAGGCCGTGGTAACAAATCAGGGCCGATCTGGTGTGATCAGTCCGACAAAATTCCTGGAGACGCTACGGAAAGAGAACGAGATGTTCAGATCTGCTATGCACCAGGACGCCCACGAGTTTCTCAACTTATTGCTGAATACAGTCATAGAGAACGTGGAGGCGCACGACAAGATATTGAAGCAGAAAGCCGAGGCCGAAAACCCATTTGCAGACGATGCTGACAAAGAGGAAGAGAGCACCGAGCATGGCACAGTGTCGTTCCCTTCAATACTGCCGGCGCCCAGCTCAGAATCACCTGCAAAGATGTTCCACGATCTATTCGAGGGCAAGCTGACTTCGGAGACAAGGTGTCTGACCTGTGAAAACACATCACAACGAGACGAGCCTTTCTTGGACCTATCAGTCGACTTAGAACAGCATTCATCCGTCACAGCATGCTTACGGCGCTTCTCCGAAGAAGAAATGTTATGCGAGCGCAACAAATTCCACTGCGACAACTGCGGCGGTCTGCAAGAAGCCGAAAAGCGTATGAAGATAAAACGCCTACCCAAAATCCTCGCCCTCCACCTCAAACGCTTTAAATACACCGAAGACCTCCAACGATTACAAAAACTATTCCACAAAGTAGTGTACCCCTACCACCTCCGCCTCTTCAACACGACCGATGATGCCGAAGACCCTGACCGCCTCTACGAACTCTACGCTGTTGTCGTCCACATCGGCGGCGGTCCTTACCACGGCCACTACGTCGCAATCATCAAAACCCAAGACCGCGGCTGGCTGCTCTTCGACGACGAAATGGTCGAGCCTGTGGATCGCAACTACGTCAAGAACTTTTTTGGCGACAAGCCCGGCCTGGCTTGCGCGTACGTGCTCTTCTACCAGGAAACGACCCTCGAACAGGTTCAGAAGGAGCAGCGTTCCCACGGCAAACGCCGCGCATCCCAGTCCGGCGAAGCCGGCATCGCCGTCAACATGCGCGAGTCAGCCGAGCTGCACCGCGTCGTCAGCGACGCTACCTCACCTTCAGGGGACGCATTCGCCAACCTAGACCACGCCGCCACGGCCCCCGCATTAATGAAAACAACAAATGGCCACGTCGATCCGCCGAAATCACCCACCGCCACCACGACCCCAGTGTTCCCCAGACCAGTCAGCCCTGTAGTGCAGTCCAAAAAGGAGAAAGCAAAAGAAGAAAAGGCAGCAGAAAAGGCACGCAAAGCCGCCGAGAAAGCCGCCGAGAAGGAACGTGTCGAAGCCGAGAAAGAACGTCGCAAGCAGTTGTCGATTAAGCTGCAGGATGCACATAAGAGGCAAGAGGCGGATCTGAAGGCGGCGATGGAGGCGAGTAAAGTCAGCGCGGCGGAGGAGGCGAGGATGCGGGATGTGGATGGTGCGATAGGCAGTCCGGGAGCTGGCGCATCGCCGGCGAACGGCAACGGGGTTGCGTCAGGATTGGACCGCTTCAGACGGAGCAAGAGTCTGAGGTTCGGCAGTCTGGGTGGCGGTTCAAAGAAGGAGAAGGATAAAGTTGTGGCCAGCATGCCTACGAGTACGAGCATGGGCGGCGTGGGTGGCGGGCTGGCGAGGGCGGCGACTGAGGGGGAGAAGTTAGGCTCTGCCGCACCGCCACAAACGCCTGCAGCGAATGGGAACGGGAATGCACCAGCGGCGACAGACTCGTCCACTGCGCTTGTGGATGGTGAAGAGCCAACAGGCGCACCGGCCAAGGATGGCGGGAAAAAGGAGAAGCACAGTCGATTCAGTATACGGAAGAAGAGTTTTGGGATGCTCTAGTACAGACCCACTAGCGCGGACTTGGTGGTTGGATAGGGACGAAAATGGTATGTAATGAGCATGGCATAGCAGTATGAATGTAGCGTGATGTACATTTTCTGGTACAGCCTGCTAAGTCGTACACACCCTGCCTCGACTTGGTCTCTGCGACTTGATTTCGAGCTGTTCTAAGTGACTGTACCCGAGAACAGGCCAACAGAAGCATTGTGATAAGTGACCAGCGAATCTGCTGCTAATCCACGTGTATTCATACCTTCCTCTTCTTGATAAGACACTCGCAGAAGTCGGCACACAGCGGATGCTCTGTTGGATACATGTGCTGTACGTATTGAAACCCGACTTGACTGTAGTGGAGCGGCCATAAAGCGAGGGCTGCTGATGTCCATATCCGGCATGACCTGCACAGCGTCCGATCCCGTTCAAGCTCCTGTATGAGCGACGCTGGCAAGGGTCGAGAGCGGCCTCACGAAGCACGGCGTCCGTTCTGGCATCGCGTGCAATGGTGAGTTCGCATGTTGCTGACGATGGTGCGGCAGCTGCTTCGTGTCCTTTATGTTAACCCACTACTGATGAGTCTGGGTCTGACCTGAGCTCGCTCTGGATGATACCTTTAAGGATCATGCCGCTGATATTGCAGATATTGCTTCTCAGCGCAACGTCAACGCCGTAGAGCGCCCTCGTGAAGATCATGTTGTAGCCATTTCTTCTAACACACCTGTCGTAACCGCCTCAGCCCAGCACCAACTCATACAATATCAACACCACGTTCACCGCAATCAACGGCACCCGCGCCACCATCCGTATACTACTGATCAAATTCACCGCGCGACTCTTCAGACTATCCGGATCGTTCGCGCTTTGGCCGAAAGAGGGCTCGGATTGCTGGAGGTGGGCGCGGCCCCAGCCGATGCGGGCGAGGAAGCGGTCTTCGGAGAGGACGGCGATGGCGTTGAGGAGCAGGACTGAGACGTAGATTAGGGGGCCGAAGCCGAAGAGGGATAACATGGCGTGGGTTGCTTGTGGGTTGCGTGTGAGTGTGGGCGTGGTTGTTGGTCGTAGGACAGTATCTCTTGCGCGAGGTCCAAGAGGGGCAGCCTGGAAGGGTGTAGACTGGTGGTGTAGCAGCCAGGCGGACCGGACTGGGTGATTTCAGTAGGGGAACTGGTCTGCCTGGTTCGGAAGGACACTCTGGCTTGTTCAATCCACCTGCAGTGCCTGTCCGTTGTGCATCTACTAATTCGATACGGCAACGCAGGAGGTCAGGCACGAGATCTTCGGCGAGTCGTGTGCGCCAAAAGCGCAGCTGAGCTCTACTTTATGAAGCCCTCCCTGGCCAGAAAGTCTGCAACGAGGTTTCCTTCAGACTGACGCTCAAGTGAGGCTCATTGAAATTCAACTGCTCAACCAGCGAACTCATATGAGACCTGCAGAGCCCTCCCTGACCTGCAAACGATTAGCAGCCTTTCGTCACAAGGACGCTCAGTACTTTGGCACCTCGGCTCAATCCTATAGCTGGGCGTGAATATCCCCGCAAACTCGCAAGACCATTCCGGTTCTGATACATAAGGTGAGACGCGAAGACTGAAGCGGTGCCTATTGCGACCGTAGACATTCAGATTGGCCCATAGCTGGGTCACATAACCTGTAGTATTTTTCCTGCTGTGCTCCTCTGACGCCAGATCGCTACTCTACTACTCCAGCAAAGCATTGGCCATTCGCCACAATGTCAGGCAAAGAACCAGGAGATTCAGCATCTGGTCTCCGACCAAATAAGCGCCACTTCACAGGCCATGACAGCAATGGCAAGAGCGTCTACATCGACTCGCCGCCACAGAAGTACTACGGACTAGAGGGATTCGGGTGGGTAGCGCGCTCCTTTGCCACGGACAGTATCCCGGCCGTGATGAAGGACAATGCCGATATCGCTAAGTACAAGAACGATCGTGGGAGTGCAAGCTTCAGAAAGCGCGACATTGTGATTCCTGGTGGTGGTGTTCACCTTGTGGTGATGGATCTCGCGCCAGGTGGAGAGTCAGCATTTCATCGGACGAAGAGTGTTGACTTCTCGATATGCGTGATGGGGGAGATTGAGCATACGCTGGATAGCGGGGAAAAGGTCAGACTACTGCCAGGGTGAGTTGTACGCAGGGGCTGTTCGACACGCAGACTGACTGACTTCTTTCTAGGATCATATTGTACAACGAGGCACGGTAAGTTTTGACAGGACACGCCGAAGGGCGCAGGCTGTGACTAAAAGAACTGGGCGTTTTCCTGGCAACGCCCTCCCTGGCGAGAAAGTCCACGAGGTATCAGGCTGTCACACTGACGCTCGAGTGAGGCTCATTCCAAGCCCCCACTTGATCAGTGTAACAGTGCCTGGACCTCAGTGCCCTCCATGGCCGAGAAATAAATGATGAGCAACATTTGTGGCTCGGTAATGGCAGGTGGTCGACTTGGAGGAAAACGCCCAGTAATTAGAATCACAGCTCGGGGCGCAGGAACAGCCGCTTATCGTATACGACGGCTCAAATTTATGTTCCAATTCTGCTGATACAAGACTGACTCATCTGGCAGATGCATAAATGGAGCAACGCGTCGAAGACCGAAGCAGCAAGAGCGGTAGCCGTGGTAATACCCGCCGAACCCTTCAAGATTCCTGGCACAGACAAGATGCTCGACCTGGAGTATCTCCCACATGTAAAGCTCTGAGCGATGCTTTTCCCGGTTGCCCGTATTTTTGGGCATGGATAGGTCTAAACGACTGGCTGGACGAGTTGAGCATGAGTCGATCTAGGTTAGGGCAAATCTTTCGCAATCAGGCGGGCCCCCTAGCGAAAGCAGCATTGGCCACACGTTGCCCTCTTGTATTCAAGTCGTCCTTAATGACTGTTGCATGCCATGACAGTCGGGACGCTTCCAGTCCAAAACCTTTACCAATAGCGTTCGATCGTCCCTTGCCGTGACTCATCTCCTGCACTGTACCAGATGTGGGCGGTCAATGAAGACATGCGGCACCTGCTCACTTTTTGTATTGCTGTCGTGTAATTTTCGATCCACGAAAGCCACCTTCTACTGGCCACCTTTAAGCAGCATGGTGTTAGTGATCCAACATGCCTTACAATTGGTGGTGCTTCATGTGGTCGACCATGGTCGTCTAGTGTTAGTCCCATCGCAAGGAGAGCTCGGTTCGATTCCGAGTGCTGCAGCAGGAAGATTGCTTTTTTGCAATTCTGAATTGGTCCAGCTCCTATCAATTCACAGAGACTACAATCATACACAACGAGTACGATAAACTGAATACCATATTTCCCTCAGCAGGTAGCCCTACACCTTGTCCCGAACGAGTGAGCGATGCCGGACCTCATCTGTCTCTCTTGTCGCTTGGGCTATCCTGATCTCTGTTTCGTGTCATACATGCGCCGCCGGCTTTGCTCGAAATACTTCAATTGTGCCAAGACTCGTTGCCCTCTTTCCAAGGCAACCGTGAACATTTAGGGTGGATCCGTACAGGTATCTCGCGTCTCAAGGTTCCTGTTCAATGTCTTTTCCTACCTTTGGTACCGTCTGCATGCTGACCGCCCAACAGTCTATGGCCTACACGTCGCTTTCGTCTCTCCCACTGTCGCTCATGGGCCTCACTCGGTAACGCTCTGTTGATGTATTGCTAGCGATGCGAATCGAAGCATGGCACGCTGGTGTGATCCTCATCCCTACACTCGTCCTGCTCCATCTGGTGGTCGCGCCCTACAACAAGGTCGAGGAGTCATTCAACATACAGGCCGCACATGACTTCTTAACGTACGGCATCTCACTGGATCGCCCTGTTGCGCGCATAAAGGCGTTCTACGATCATGTCAAGTTTCCCGGCGCCGTGCCGCGTACCTTCATTGGTGCACTTGTGTTGGCTGGGCTTTCGAATCCATTCGTGGCTCTGCTGAGTCTTGATCTACCGCAACAGCAGACCTTAGGTAGGCTCTCCGGTCATTGTACAGGACTATGACTAAGACTTGGCAGTCCGAGCAGTGTTAGGTCTGCTTACAGCGGCCTCAGTCGTCTTTTACGCATTCGGCGTTCGCAAGGCCTATGGCAAGGTCACGGCATCGTGGTTCGTTGCTTTCCAGGCAAGCCAGTTCCACGTCACCTTCTATGCATCTCGCACTTTGCCCAATACTTTTGCTTTCGTTCTAAGTAAGTCAGACATATGCGTCTAGACCAGTCACAGCTAACACGATCTACCAGCCACATTCGCCCTGCGATTCACCCTCCCTGAGCCAGCCAGCCGCATGTCTCCCACTAAGCGGCTCAGACTCGCAATCTACATCATGACCATAACGACCATCATCTTCCGCTCCGAGATCGCACTACTTCTAGCTGGACATGGCCTTCTCGCACTGCTCCCATCAACTTCCCTGGCCCGCGCAATCTCGACAGTCCGCTCAGTCCTCCTTCCCGCGGTGCTAACGGCCACAGTTGCTGGTCTGCTGCTCACCGTCTCAATCGACACGTTCATGTGGCAGACTTCCAGATTCGTTTGGCCCGAAGCCGCCGCTTTCCTCTCCAATGTCTTCCCACCACCCGGCTCGCAGGGTGCCTCCGCATGGGGCACCTCGCCGTGGCACTGGTATCTGACGTCCGCCATCCCTCGACTGACGCCAACACCAGCATTGCTACTCCTTCCGATCTCTGCCGTTCTCGTCCCAACCCTCCGCCAGACACTTCTGCCACTGCTGCTCCCGGTGGGAGTTTATGTCACCTTGTACTCGATTCTCCCACACAAGGAAACACGCTTCCTCTTCCCCATCGTCCCCACACTCAACACTGTCCTCGCTCTAGTCGCGACTCACAGCACGAACCGTATCAGCCGGTCCAGACTTCAACAACTAGTCACTCTCAGCCTTATCGTCTCAACAACCATCACTTTCCTGGTATCCCACCTAATCCTCCTCCCGCTCTCCGCCCTCACCTACCCCGGTGGCGCCTCGCTTTCTCTCGTGCACGCCAATGCCGCACAGACGCCCCACGTCATGAGACAGAGCGACGTCCACGTGCATCTGACCAACCTGGCGCTGCAGACGGGCGTAACTAGGTTCCTGGAGCACCGAGCTCCGACACCACATCACAGGGACCACTCAGAGCCGCGCAAGGGTATGATGAGCGCCTCGACACCGAGATTCCGATACGACAAGTCGACGAACGCCACCGGCCTTTACCTCAAAGCAGGCTTCTGGGCGCGCTTCGACTATATTGTCGTGGAGGAAGCGGTGGCTGCCGACGTGGTTCAGATCTTTCAGACGGTCACTGACAATATGGATGACTTGTCTTGGTCTACGGTAGCACGCGTCCCGGGCCTGGGGCGTCCTGTCTTGACCAACATCGTGGAAGCCCGCCGCAATGCGCCCAACAAGTCTCGCAGGGATAGTCTACAAGATTTGTTCAGCCGGATGTACGGGAGGGGATCTCTGCTTGCGAGGCTGTTCACGGAAGTTCATGGCGCGGCCAGACAGGTATTGGCCGAGGATGCATGGGTTCCTTCCAGCGGTGGGAGGAGCCTGACGAGAGGATGGTGGGTTGAGTGGGCTGGTACTGAGGAAGGGGCCTTAGTTGTTATGCAGCAGCGAAGGAGAAGGTAGCCTGAGCTCAGTGGAAGCCAGACTGGAGTGTGGCTTGGTAAAATCGCTTTTTGGGGTATCTCGTAGAAGAATGCTATGCAGAAATTACGCCTGCAGCAGCCACGATAGGGTCTGCCTCACACCATCCATGATACACGGCTCTACGCTCATCTCAGAGCCAAAGATGTCCATTCAACTTATCCCTCCTTAGTCTGCAAAGCCTTCACCCGCCCCTCAACTCCCTGCACCATGGTCCCCAACACACCCACATTCTCCCGCATCTCCCCCTTCAACTCCTCAATCTTGGCCTCCACCCCCTCCACGGCCGTTCGCCACTTCGCTATCTCCTGGCGTGCCTCCGCCTGTCGCGCAACAACATCGTCCAGCTCGCCCCTCGCTTCCGCCGCACCGGCGTGGATGACGCTTAGGCTGCGGAGGCGGTCGAGGACGAGTGGTAACAGGGGTTGGAGGGAGGTTATGGAGGGCAAGAGTTGGTAGAGGGCGGTTATTTTGGAGGATTGCTCGGAGAGAAAGAGTTGTGCGTGGATTTGTGCTTCTTTCGCATCGAGCTGTTGTGTCGCGGGCGCAGCATCGGATTTTGATGCTTGGTCAGAGGTGTGCCGTGCAGAGGAGGAGTGTGTGTGGCGTGCAGCGGCGTTGTAGCGGAGGCGGGCGTCGTGGAGGTCTGAGAGGGAGGCGAGGGCGGCTTTGCGCGAGGCGGTGAGTTTGTCTGCTTCAGAGGTGAGGTGCTGGATGCGGGAGTGGAGGTCGTCGAGGTTGGGCGTTGTGGGTGTTAAGGTGGGTGGGTTGATGCCGGTGCGGGATGGTGGGAGGAGAGTGGATGTTAGGGTGTCGAGTTGGGTGGTGAGGTGGTCGAGGGCAGGGAGGATGGAGGGTGGAGAGGTGGAGATTGAGGGGAGGCCGAGGGCTGTTTCGAGGGCGGTGAGGCGGTCTGCTATGGCTGCTTGGGTCGCTGACGGATCTGGTTGTGGTTGTGACTGCGGTTTTGTGGAAGATGAGTCGCCGTTGGTTGTGGCTGATGTGGGATTCGAGAGAGATTTGAGAAGAGCCTCTTCTCTTGACGAGCCTCTAGTCGCACTGTGAGCTGACGTGTCCAAGCCGTTAATCAGCGACTGCAGCTCGTCCACAGCGGTGTCGTCGCTGTGCGCCGCTTCCTCTGGCTTTGAGACCTTGATCCCAGGAACTGGCTCAGCCTGCTTGTCCTGTAGCGCAATTCGAACCTCCTCAGCCTCCCTCTTCAACCGTGTGATCTTCTCGGCCAATGTCTCGTCATCGCTCTCGCTTCCGCTTTCTACACTCTGCCTTTCCGCCGCCGTCTAGACCTTGTCCGGTAACTTCTTCGCTCGCCTGCCGCGATTGTGTCTGAGAAGTTGACGTCTTTTGCGTGAACCAGTGTTGGCTCGAAGCGCCGTCTTGCACTATTCTGGTCTATCCGCTCGCGGACTACCCGCTCGTCGCTGTGATCTTCGTCTGACGGGGTCGGCGAGTCTGTGCGGAGAGTGTCTGTCTGTATAGTGGACGCATCGTCTGTCAAAGCCGGAGTCTCGTAGATCTCTTGTGACGCGTCGAGGTCCGGCAGGCCGGAGTATTTCTTCGCTAGAGACATGCCTGCGGGCTGTAGAAACGCTGCTTATGCGTACTGTGCTGTGAATGCAGGTAGACTGTGGAAAGCACCTCTGGGAGTCTGTACCTGAATGCGCTGAGTCAATGTTACCTCAGATATCACGCTAATGACTCGTGGACATAAACAAGGCAATCAACAAGGCAGCGAGTGCTTGTCACAATGCAGAGACCTCTGCTACGTACATAGATACCTGGGTAGGCTCGCACAGCTCAATCCACCCAGACTGGTACAAAGAAGTATGCTGGCTCACTAAAGATGTCGATGGGTGACACCACAAATGGATCCTGGTGGCTGTTAGCAGGATGGGGCCCTATTCTCTCATTGAATGCATGGCTCCAAGAACGACCAAATCGACTGTGGTGGGTGCTAGTGCCTGCTGCAGTGTTTGTGAGCAGCTACGCGCTGGAAGCAACTCTGCATGATGTGAACAGATTGCCAGCCGCACCACACCCGGACCCAGCTCCAACGGCTCAGGAACTGGACGAGGACGCCGAGAAACACATTCCTGTGCACGCACTCAAAGTCCTAGCAGAGAGTCACAGCTTCGAATTGCGAAAGGCTGCATTCAACACAGTCCTGAATCAATCTCTCCAAGACGGCACCCGACGACTCCTCCTTCAAGATCTAGCCGGCAAAGACCCCGAACGTCGCGAAGACGCCGTTCGAGCTTTCGAGTATCTACTCGCCGGTCCTGAACCAACCAACGAGCCAACCCACGAGATCCGCCACCGTCATCGCGCGCAACTTCACCACTTCGACACCTACGAAGCAATAGTCTCCGCCCTCGTCAACCTCCTACCACAGCACCGTTTTCAACCCACCCCAGCGCAATTCTCAGACCCAAGTCTCCCCTCACCAGTCCGCCGCTGCACCGACCACGCCTTGAAGCAACCCTGATCCGCCTCCTTGTCCACCTCCTCCGCGCCCACAACCATTCACCCGTCCCTCTCCCCGAAGGCGGCATCTCAACCGTCCTCGCAGCAGGCCTAGTCCGTCGCTGGCTAATCCCCTACCCATTCCCATGCGCGCTCCCACACTTCAAACACATAAATGGCAACCTGCACCGCTCTGACGTCGCTGAGCTTCTAACAAACCACCACCACGAATACGTGCGCGACGACCCATTGATGTCCGCGCTCTTCACCCTGCTATCCCAGAACCCAGAATCGCGTCTGCAGCTCCAACAAGCGGGTCTCGCAAAGCGTAAATCGAGGCTCAAGGAGGACCTCCCAGCACAGACGGACTCTACAGCAGAAGGCGAAGACGCAAGAGAAGAAGAAGCAGACCCAGTCCCAGACGAATACCGCCCTGCCTCACCACATATACATCCAGCACCAGATCCCGCCCTCGTCGTCGACGAAATGGCAGCAAGACGCGTCCCACCGCCTATCTCGCCCACCACGCGTGCGTTGTCTGCGTGGAGGAGCTTTAACCCGCCTGCTGCGCTTGTTCCGCCCGCTCAGGAGCGCGTGGGAACGGATCTGACGCGTCCGGGTGATGCAGAGGGAGAGGTGAGGGAGTTGGAGGCGGAGAATCGGCGGAGGAATCGCGAGGCGGTTGTTTATACGGAGGAGGAGGATATGGTCGCGGGCGGTGGAAGCGGAGGTGGAGAGGTAGTCGGAGACGGAGCTCGAAACGAGGATGGGAACGAAAACGGAAATGAAAGCAGTGGCAGTGAGAGCGGAAGCGGAAGCGGCAGCGAAGAAGCGGCCTCTCGCGTTTCGTTTTCGCCTATTGATTCCAATTCTGCTTCTCCGCCTGGTGGTGCTGCTGTTCCTGCTCCTGTTGCAAGTGCTGCATCTCCTGTTCTGGCTGGAGGCATTGGAAGAGCGGAATTCGAGCGCCGGCTCGCTGCGCTGCAGAGCAGCAGCAGCAGCAGTAGAAGCAGCAATGGCGAGTCGGGCCGTGCTGGGATCAGGAGAACGAGCAGCACGATCCTGCGGGCTGTGAGGGAGATGGAGGAGCGAGACCGTGCTGTGAGTAGTGGCAGTGGGAGTAGTGGTGGAGGTGGAGGAGGAGGAAGGGAAGCGGAGGCGTAGCAGGAGGCCTTTTAGGGCACGGGGAGGACTCTATGGGTGGGATTTGTATATTTAATGGATGTATGATTATGACAAGCGAGGCGTTCTGGGCTGGGCCGGGTACTACAATACAGCACATAGCTGGGAGAGGGAAAGCATGGGTTGGTCAATTGATTCGATTGCGTTGCTTTGACATTCTCGTGAGTTCGATGAAGCCTTTCGACTTGCTGGAGGGTGCCCTGAGCACACAGCAGTCGCTGTGTTCCATCTCAGCTCTGCCCTGACTGTGTATCTGACGCGACAGAATGCTCCTGGAAGAATTGATGCAGATTGCTGGCTATGGCCTTGTTGGGCAAGACGTCTCATCTTCGCCATTGACACCATGATCTGCTCAATGTTGAATCCTTGGGCAAACGCTGCTCAACCCCATCACTGGTTCTCGTCCCTCTCAATCGCTCCACCATCTACACACCCACACATCTACAGCACACTACTTCAACGGAATGAACCGCGACGAGTGCGTCGCACCAATACCCGGCCGACCATGCTTAACCGGCTTGTACGAGATCGAAAACTCTCCCAAATAGTGACCCACCATCTCCGGCTTGACCTCGACCTGGTTGAATTCCTTTCCGCTGTAGACACCAATGACCGAGCCGATCATCTCGGGGACAATGATCATGTCGCGCAGGTGGGTTTTGACCAAGTCGGGCTTCTCGTTGGGCTTGGCTTCCTGTTTGGCCTTGCGGAGTTTCTTGATCAGGCCCATGGGGCGGCGCTTGAGCCTCGGTTGAAGCGGCGGCGGGCACGGGCGTGGAGGATTGTTAGAAGGTCGTTGGAGGGGATGTCGAGGAGTCTGTTTGGGGTAAGATGTTAGTGGAGGGCTTCGATATAATGGAGGATGTGTTGTTGCGGGCTGCAAGCCGTGGGTGCTCGATTGTCACGAGACTGGTGTCGGGAGAACGTACTGATCGAGGTCGATGCCACGGTATGAGAACTTGCGGAAGGTTCTTCTCTTCTTGATCTCGGCCGCCTGCTCGGCATCCTGTTATGAGTGTTAGTCGTCACTTCATCAGTCGTCGTCGGGCAGGTTCTTCACGTACGTAGTCAGCGTCAGCCATGATTGCGGTGTTGAGTGCTTCGGAGCCTTTCGATTTACCGGTCGAAAGGCGAGAAGAACGATGGTTGTCGTAGAGAGGTGTGCTTGCGGGTTGTGTGATGCGTTGAAGTCGAGCGCAGGAATCGAATGAGTCCGCAGGCTTGGCGCTCGAGTGTGCGCCCCACCTAGTTCTTGGCATCAATGGCTGGTCGCTTGAAGTCTTCAATCTACACGTTCAATTTCGAGGTCTACAACGTTTCTATACAAGCGAACAAGCATGGTCCAGACAAACTGAGCGGTGAAATGAATGTGTACTCGTAATTTCCAGTCAGGACAAATCAATGCCGGATCATATGTTGCGAGAGAATGACGGTCGTGCACGGACATTTGATTTTCGCATTGTATTGGCGTAAATCTATCTGCATTCTTGCTCGTTGTCGTCACGCCAGGCTAGATACTGTTGACCTGCACGTAGGCGTTGATAGGCACTGACTGCGAGTTGAACTGGCCCGCTCAGGCTTTTCGCATTGCCGTGGAACTTTAAGCCGCGCATCAACGTGAACGTGATGCATGTCGACTTTGCGGAACTTGATCGTGTTCTAAGGAGCCGTGGCTTGATGCACTTAGTCGAAAAGACCGAACCCCATGTCCTCGTCTGACTCCTCCTTCTCTTCTTCCTTCGCAGGAGCAGCCTCCTCGGCCGCCGCAGCACCACCACCCGAAGCAGCAGCAGCACCGCCAGCAGCGGGAGCACCACCACCGCCGCCACCTGATGGGACAGACGCCAGCTTCTGGCTACCAGATGCGATCAGCTGTATATTGTTAGCGTATCTTCTTGGTTCACGGTTGCTGCTGATCGTCTGATCGTACCTCGTTGATATCCTTGCCCTCGAGCTCTTCAAGCAGCTTGGACAGACGGTCGTCGTCAGCGTCGACACCGACGGAGGAGAGGACGCCCTTGACATCATCGGCAGATGGGCTCGTGTTGCCAGCAAGGCCGAGGAGGAGATAAGCTGCGAGGTGCTTCATTTTGTCGTTGGTCTATCGCTAATTAGCCTTGTGCAGGTTGCAGCAGTCGCGGGAGGATTACTGAGAGAAGGAGGTATGTCGAACGAGAGAGACAATCGATTTAACCGCAATGAGGCGGAGACTGGCACTTCAGGTTCTTGCGAAAGTAGTTGATCGCGGTGAGTCAATCTTCGAGACGATGAGTCCAAGCCGAAGTGCGCACCTGCCAAGATTTCAGCTTGGCGGCAGGTCACTCGGGGATAAGGACCTTAATGCCTGAGGCATGAGAGTTGCCGCCGCAGTGACTTCTGACGATTCCAGTCACGACCATCCTTTGTTTGCTGCTTCATTTCTTTCCGTTCACTCGCCCGTCTTTCAATTGACGATCTAATTAGGCAGCAGTATATTCTATGAGTCTTTTCATTTCCACCAGGTGACTCTGTCGCCCTGTCTCGCCCCATATGAGGATCTATCATCCCCCAATTCAGCAGCGGTAGCACGCCAACTATCCTTGCCAACCTCTGTGACTCACGGACCTCGCAAAGATGAGCTTTCTCGGTAGTATGCTCGACTCGATCGGGTCAGGCAAGGCACCTCCGCCCAGGCCGCAGCATGCTAAGCCGACCGGTGCTGGCGTCCCTCGCACAGCGTCCCCTGCTCCGAAGCCACAGCATTCAACGACTGGCGTATCTCAGGCAAGCACTCTCAAGCGGAAAGCCGAAGACACCGCATCGGTCTCTACCAACAAGGCCAACAAGCCAATCACAGCTCCGCCTGGTACGATTCCTGCTAAGAAGCCGACACTGCCAGCGAAGCCGGTCCCATCAGTGGCCAGCAAACTCGCTAGCACAACTCAGCCAGCAACGCAGGTCCGAGATAGCAATCACAAGACCACTACAATTGCTCCTGCCTCTCCAGCAAAGCCGGCGCCAGCCAAGGGATCTTTTGCTGATCTGATGGCAAGAGCCCAGGCGCAGAACGCTCCTCAGACTTTCGGCATAATCAAACACACCAAGGCTACGCCGAAGGAGAAGTTGTCTCGAAGAGAGCAAGAGCGTCGCAACGCCAAGGCTAGTACGCGGACTGAGAAGTCAGGCAGCGGAGCAATTGGTAAGCCTGAGAAGAGCCGCAGTGCTAGTCCTACGAAGGATGCGGTGCAATCAGGCCGAATCACAAAGCCCGGCCCTCCGAAGTCGACCTACAAAGGCACACTGGGCTTGTCTACGGGCCGCAGCAAACCCCGCCAGGCAAACAAATCTCGGTTCGACGACTACCTGGGCACAGACGAGGAAGATAACAGTGAGATTGAAGACCAGGGCGAGGATGGCTACGAGAGCTCAGACATGGAAGGCGGCTTCGACGACCTTGAGATGGAGGAGGCGCAGGCCATCAGAGTTGCAAAGCAAGAAGACGCTCGGGAATTGGCAGAGGAGAATCGCCTGAAGGCTGAGAAAGAAGAGCGTCGACGTCGATTGGCTGCTCTTGCGAAGAAGGGGCGGAAGTAGTGCGTGCAACCTAGAGTATGATTCCAGTGATTTAGCAACGGCGTTGAAGGATATTCGGAAATCTGGGCAAGTCCATAGCGGTGCATTGGGTTGTTGGTACTGGGAGTGCATAAGACACAGGGAAGCATCGAGGAGTGCTCCAAGCAGACTTGCTGTTGCTACCTTATATTCGTAGCTCAATAGCTTTCGTCTAAGTAGACCGATATCGACCGGACGAGCTCTCAACAACGCGAGGAAGATTGTCTTGACGCTTAGCGTTAGGCAACGCTACGCGCGACTTCCTGGTGAATAGTCCACCTCTAGGCTACATATGTACATTTTCAGGCAACGAGAAGGCAAGCCGCAAAGTTCTTGTTTCTGACTACTACGTGCTGTTTTCGTCTTCCATCCTTTCCTACCGAGCACCATCTTTCAGATCAGGCAAAACAGCTCACGGTCATGCAGCCTTGAAACATAGACATGCATGGCACGTCTCTCAGCGAGACATTTCTCGACCTTCGCTCGTCTCGCCATCACGATGGACACCTCGATTCTGCCATCTATTTTCTGGCCAACCAAAAACCAGTCCATGCGCGACCTAGACAGGCCATTCTTCAACAAGTCGATCACCCTCGCTGCGGCGACTGTCACGGATCCTAAGCAGATCGCTGGCGTCCGCAAAGCATTGTCGAAAGATGTTTTGGTGTTCAGCAAACCTATCAGAGACTCTCCGCACATAGCGGGAGCGAAGTGTGTGCTGCTGCATTCACGCATCGTAACAGCGGACAGCACGACATGGCCTGCCGCTCTGAAGTCATTGAATGAAGAGGGCGTAGTCCATGTGCATAACTATGACCTGAAGTTGGGCTACGAGGACTACTCGATGCAGTCCATCCTCGACGCCATCCTGCCATCAATGCCTGAGGACGAGCAGGAAACCCCAGCTGGCTTCGCACAAGTAGGCCACGTCGCCCACTTAAACTTGCGCAGGCAATACCTTCCCTATAAGCACCTCATTGGTCAAGTCCTTCTCGACAAGAATCCTCAGATCAGGACAGTCATCAATAAGCTGCTTGACGTGGGCACGGAATCAGCCTTCCGCACGTTTCCCTACGAAGTGCTAGCCGGCGATGACGATCTCGATGTTACGGTCAGCGAGTCGCAATGCACATTCTGCTTCAACTTTGGGAAAGTGTATTGGAATTCACGGCTGGGAACGGAGCATGCGCGAATCGTTGACAAGTTCAGTGAGGGCGAGGCGGTGTGCGACCTAATGGCAGGTGTTGGGCCATTTGCCGTACCAGCAGGTAAGCGCAGGGTATTTGTGTACGCCAACGACCTCAACCCGGACTCATTCGCTGGGCTGCAGGATGCGATAACGCGCAACAAGGTCGGTGACTTTGTCCAGGGCTTCTGCGACGATGCACGGACATTTGTGCATAGCTCTGCAAAGCGACTTCAACGAGACTTTCGCGTTGCTACAATACCACCTAAGACCAAGATCTCTCGCACGATGTCGCGAGAACAGCAGGCGGAGGCGGAGGCCAAGATCATTGCGGAGACTATAATACTGCGACAGCCGACTTCATTTGACCACTATGTAATGAATCTCCCGGCGTCAGCTGTGGAGTTTCTCAACGCGTTCAAGGGGCTCTTGCACGGTCGAGAGGACGAGTTCTACCCTTATACTGAGAAGCAGCTTCCCTGGATACATGTGCATCTCTTTCAGGCCAAGTGCCCTACAACAGAAGAAGAGCACGCCGGAGTTCTGGCGACCGTGTCGAAGCATCTCGGTCATGAATTGAAGCCTGCGTACGACAATGGCGAGATTGAGCTGTTTGACGTTCGACTCGTGGCGCCCAATAAGCGTATGTACTGTGCCAGCTTCCGCCTGCCCGCGGAGATTGCTTTTCCGAGCCCTAAGACAGTGACTACTCAATCGGTCCAGCCGTGACTCATGTATCTCACTCTCTGGGACAAAGGCATCCGGGACAGTCCTGCACAAGGCGCCAACACGGTGGTTGAAGCTATACCTGTCTCCTCTCAGCCGCGCACACGGAACAAGATGTCTTCTAACAAGATGTCTTCTCTGTGAAAGCGTGATGTTGCGAGACATGAGAGGACAAAGCCGTCGTTTTCAAAGATGTTTCGGGATCTGGATCCATAAGAGACAAGGCAATATGCCTCATTGTACCTGGCTGAGTTGCCTTGCTCTGGCAGTATGGTGGCGGTGACAATACTAAAAGGGCCTCCCGGCATGTTTGAACAATATCTGGATAATTCTCCTCTGCCGCGGCCAACACAAGCATATTATCGAAATTCTGTCCTAGAACACGAAATCACAGCAAAGCAACGTACCTATAGCTTACACTCAGGTGGAATTCCAGTATGAACTTCGCCATCGGTATGTCCGACACAGATTCCAAGTCAACGAATACAACACCATCACCGAATCGAAGTTCAGCTACCGCGAAGCAATGGAAAATCGAACATGAAGCGATAGTCGCAGAACGCACGCGGCGGATCCTTCACGGAAGCACTACCAGATCTACGAGCGGCGCGGGTGACCTTGGGCATCCCAGCGTTGCTGATGAGGAGTCCGGTATCTGGCGGGCTGCTAGGTCTGAAGGTCGAGATGAGAGTGCCACATCCTTGGAAACGCCAGGTGCACAGAGTGATGAGATGAGCCGTGAGGCGATGGTGAGTGTCGATATTGAAGCATGGCGCGATGAGGTGCAAAGAGAGACAGCCACAGACCTGGGCGCAATATCAGCACAAGGAAGCGGCGAAACGAAAATGGAACAATCAGACATTCGGGGGTCCAGAGCAAGCACCGAGGATGCAGGATCGCAGGGACTTCACCATATGCGCAACAACGAGGGTAGCAAGGCTGTCGATTCCGGTTACAGCAGCTCTCCCGGCGTGTCTTCTCACTGGAACGATGCTACTGGCGGTGAGGGCTACCTCGGCACGACGAATACTACAATTAACAGCAACGACAGCGAAACCAACATGTCCATTGAAAGCTCAACCCCGTCTGGACCAACTACACCACTGCTGAAGCGGGCATTTGCTTCCTGCTGGAACTCTCTCAAAAGCGGTATAGGTTTGCTGAACAAACCTTCTGTAATGGAACCCAGCGATTTTTGCGTCGTGGCTGGAGTCGAGAACCTGCATATCGGCGAAGGAGTGGGGATGCCTGGGACGTATGGGAGTGATCACGGAGACGAGGACTCCTCGCAGGACGGGCACAATGTGTGGCAGAATGACGACGACGCTTTAGATATCAACACCAATCCGACAAGCAGTGTATGGCGATCCGGCTCAAGACTCGAGCGTGGCGTTCATTTGGCATGATTGCACGCTCGATCATCTGGAGACATACAGGCCACCTGGGCACGGTCATAATAAGTGTGGGTGCTAGTAACGATCCAGACACTATAAGTTATGACGTAGCACACCTGCAATAATTTAGAAGTTGTCCTTCACTACGATTGCTTTGCTTCTTTCCTTCCCGCGTTTAAGAATATGGCAACTTCGATCTGACTTACTACAGCATGAAGTCGCAAGCCCGTAATCATGCAATCACTAGCCCGCCTGCATGGCGGAAGACGATGGTTTCATGCACCCCAGGAAAAACAATGACGGTCAGGCGAGGAGCAGATTTTTTTACTAGCAAGAAGTGCGCCGCTTCGCACCTCTCAGCCGTTACTCACCATTCCATGCGTCGTACCTTTGCTATCGTTGCTTCCTGCAACGCTGTTGGTAGGACCTTGCCAGGCACTCCCTGCTGTGACTGGTCATCCCACGACGCAGGCGCAAAGAGCAACGTACCAGTGACGGTCGATCGCCTAGGAGAGTGACAGCGATCCATGCTCATGCTACTTGCGACGGCAAGTCTTGGAATGCTTCCAAGTCACACGCAGGTGAAGTCTGAAGAGCAACACAGCAAACAGGAACAAGACTCGATTGCACTACTTGTGCAAACATGTGATTCTATAGGCAGTTGCAGGTAAGTTTCAGGCATGTCACAAATCGTCGGAGTGTCTCGGGCTGCAATTTCCTACCGCCAAGTCGCTACTGCAACTCGATGGGAACTCTCGGCGCCTGCGATCCTCGATCTTCTAGGCATTACGGATTTGATTTCCTACGGGGCAAACGGCAGATACCAGACTCTTGTCTGCAGCACTACTGTCTTGACGTTCTGCTCGGCCACTGTGCGCTGACGTGGTACAATTGTATATCAAGTTAATGATTCCCATCAGCTAATATGTACATCAACAACAGCGACATTCCTCGAGGGAAAGCTCGTGTCATTTCAGAAGCAATCCAATTTCAAGCCACAACCCCCATGCCGCCGTACCTGAAACTCAAGAATTGCATCCGGAAGACAAGCGTTCCACACTTTTCTAGCGTTGCTTCTTCCGCTGCCGAGTCATGTCACGTCCTCACCGCTCCGAACCATATTATTACAACAGTCACAGCCCTCCTCTAAGTTCGTCTCGACCTCGACCTCGTCATCGTGACGACCGCCCACACCATCATCACCGTTGCTCGAGCTTTCATTCACAGCATGACTCTGTCTCCAGCCACGGGAAGTATACTGGGAAATACAACGCACCTTCGTACTACGCCATGACACGCCCATCTACAGCCATGTACGCCGATACCAAAGCCACATACCCACAACTCCGTCCAGACTATCCACGAAGGCACAGCCATTCGCCACACGGCCGCGTCGTAACCCGACGTGCCCGCAGCGACGAGTCTGACTCGGACTCAAGTGACAACGAGCCTCCACGGCATGCTCATCTGAACCGGTCAAAGCGACACTCAACCTTCCCCTTCCCACCCACAGCGTTATCACGGCTCGCACCAGAAGCATCTGCAGCTACAGACTTATCGACAGCACCCTGCCATTCCACCTGCAGCACCCATGATCGCCCCAGCGTCCCATTCGGGCCACAGGTACCACCAAGTGATCACGCGGGACGATGCTTTGTATGAGGAGCCTCGCTACATCTACCAGCCGCCCAGATCGGAGAACAGGTATCATTTCGATCGTCCAGACCTTGGGCCTCGGTCCGAAACCTGGAGTCAGAGTCAATCCTCGAGCCGTCGCTCTTCCAATGAGCCTCCTGGTCGCCAGGGTACCCGAAGTGTTCCGCCACGCTCTCGGACAGCCGACGATAGGCACCGGGAAGATGCTGCCGGACCGAACAGCGGACAGTGGGGAAAGACGAAAAAGTTAGTTCAGAACAAGACTGTCCTGAACACTGCTGAGATCGCAATGTTTGGGTTGATGGCTCTATCGAAGGCGTTGTGATCGAACTCACTCGCCGATAGACAAGGCTTAATGTGCGCAGCCAGACCAAGTCCAAGCTCAGGAAGCTGGCTCGGTCGTGAGATCAAGAATGGCCATAAGCTCGACTTTATAAAAGTCGTTCATTTTTGACAGGAGGATAAGATTTAAGAAGCGTTCGCCATCATTGGAGCCTTGTATGGCCGAACGAAGCTGTCTCGAGTATTCGAGATGCAGTGCAAAGGAGATGCAGAAAGATAAGGTCTGAATGACGGGTGCAGTTTGGGCAGGACATGGATATGATACCCCGGGCACGGAATCTTGGACGTTCGACAAAAGTCAGATAGACTGGCAGTATTCGGCAGGAATGCACCGCACATCATTTTGGACTATCGCACCCTCTTCGTGCTTCCATCGACGCCAAGTCGGACCGACGATGCGCCTGCTGCGTCTGCTCTTGCCTTTCTTCGCACCTGCCATTGTTGCCAAGCGAAAATTAACTGGGGCAGGTCTGATCGTTGCTCCGGTCACTTACAAGTATTCCAGATGGTGGGAAAGGAGATCTTGATGCCAACTTTATTCCGCTTTGCCTGTTCCCTTCAATGGCCTCGACTTCGAATGCACGACTTCAGGCAGCCACCTCACCGACTCTTCACAGCGCTCCGCAAGTCGAGAAGCTCTGAAAAGCTGGCCATCCACTAGTGTTGCGACGTATCAAGAGATCGACATATACGACCCGGGCGTGTTCCGCATCCAAAGGTCTTGTAACAAGCCAATCGTTTCCGTTGGGAGCCGACGTCTCGGCGACAGACCTCGCCCGTGCGAGTTCTCCTACAAGGACATGAAACAAGTTATTGCTCCGAAGTATCGACCAAGTTTAGCCAATGATCTAAGTCGTGATTCGTGCTTTCTGACGATAGGAGTACATCTGGCATCGCTTGAGTCCCGTGAACGGTAAGGATGCCGAAAGGAGGCTCGACATACCTGCAGAGGAACGCCCATACTGGGGGGTGGGATGCCCAAGGGATCGACTGATCGTGGACTCTGTCGTGAGACGAGCGATAGATCTTCATCTAGGCCGCCCGGAATCGTACACTATGCCGGAAAAGGCGCTCGACGGACGAGTGGGATCGTCTGGACACCTAATCCGGCATGTTGTGTTGACTGTAAAAATGCAAGCATCAAGCGAGCGCCCGGAACGAGCGGTGCAGCATCAAAAGGTCCCGACGTACGACTGCTTGGTTCGTGGCTTTACTCGGCCCAAATAGCATCAGTCGACCACTCTCAGCCATTGCGTTATTATCAGCACAGCTATGTTTGTACAAGCCACCGGCCAGCACGAGGCTGTTGAGGTTTTGATTTACCCTAGTGGTTCGCTTAAACGGCTTTCAGCCCGCCACAAGGCAACGACACCTGGCCCTGCTCCAAACACGAGTTCGAGGTAGACGCCATTCATGCAGCACAGCCCTACCTGAGCTTCACCGCAATCGAAATAATGCCATTAATGGCTCCCTGAAGCTCGTCTATCTGCACGACGCCCGGCGCATCCCCAGCTTTGGACCTCCGCCAAGCTCGGGTGCAAGTAGCTTCTGCAACGGGAAAGAGTGTTAGCCAGCCTCATCGGGTCACAGAAGGTCTCGATACAATGGACAGCAGCAGCAATAACAGCACACGGCTATATAGAATGGCGATGTCCGCCACAGCATCAAGTGGCAATGGCACCGACAATACCGCAATCCAAAATGATCCAATACTGCTTTGCTTTCATTTGTGCATTCCTGCAGATGGGCGAATGTCTGCGAGACACGCCCTTCGGAGAGCTCCTACGCTTTCTCGGCCTCAAGGCCTACTTGTTCTTCCCAGAAGAAGCTGAGAACTTCCAGGCACCATCATTCTCGACTGTCATCGAAGCTACACCATCCAAAGAGATCGAGAATGATGTCGAAGATCCAGAAAGAGCCGTGCCCAAGTCTCCCGTCGTCGATGCTCCGCCCGAAGAGATCATCAAGAGGCTGTCGTCTAAGAACATCTCCGCTGCGACTATTGTCACCTGGTATTCCCCTGAAGATCCAGAGAACCCAAGGAACTGGTCCGACTTGAAGAAGGCATGGGTCATCATCGTCTTGACCGTCTACACTTTCGTGGTCTACTGTACAGCTTCCATCATCACGCCGACAGTGGACTATGTTATGCACGAGTTCGACGTCTCCATCGATGTTGCCAGCCTAGGACTGTCACTGTACGTGGTAGGATATGGCGTTGGACCAATGTTCTTCTCACCGATCAGCGAAATCCCCGCAATAGGCCGGAATCCGCCCTACTTGTACTCCTTCATCCTGTTCTTCATCATCAGTATCGTTCTGGCTGTGGTCAAAAGCTTTCCAGCTCTCCTCGTTCTTCGTTTCTTACAAGGTGTCTTCGGGTCACCAGTTCTGGCCTCTGGGGCTGCTACGATCGAGGACATCTATGACATCTACTCAGCACCTTATGGGTATATTTGGTGGATCGCCGCCATGTACTGCGGACCTGCTTTTGGACCGCTCTTCCCGGCTTGGGCTGTGGCGGATGACTGGCGGTGGGCTCTGTGGATCACAGTCATCATGGCCGGTATCGTCATGGTTATGCTTCCACTCGTCCCTGAGACCTCGCCTACGAAGATCATCCTCCATCGTGCTCGCCGCCTGCGGAAGGTCACAAAGGATGAATCATACATGGCCCCAAGCGAACTGAAGCCTCTCAACTTCGGCGCCAACCTCCAAATTGCGTTGAACAAGCCTTTGGAAATCACAGTCAAGGATCCTGCCATCGCTTTCGCATGCATATACGGAGCGATCGTGTATGCCACATACGTACGTCGCCCTCTTTCCTCCCGCTACTGGCTGTAGCTGACCTGCCTCACCAGTATTCCTTCTTCGAATGCTTCCCGATAGTTTACCTCAAAATCTACCACTTCGACCTTGGGCAGCTCGGCCTCGTCTTCTGCGGCTCCATCACCGGCGGCTGCGCGGTCGGCCTGGTCATCTACTACACCTACCTTCGCCACTACTTCATCCCGCGCGCCCGCCATATCCAATCCACATCACCAACCCTCCAACCCGTACCACAAGAAGCATGGCTACGCCCCGGCCTCCTCGGAGTCTTCGGCCCGCCCATAGGTCTCTTCCTCTTTGCCTTCACCGCCAAGGAGTCCACCCACTGGATCGTCCCCACTATGGGCATCGGCATCTTCGCGGCGACTAGCTTCGCTGTCTTCCAGAGTCTGATCTGCTATATCCCGCTGACGTACCCGAAGTACGTGGCGAGTCTGTTCGCGGCGAATGATCTGACGAGGAGTGCGGCGGCTGCGGTCATGGTTGTTGTGGGTAGGTGGATGTATGAGGATTTGGGCATTGAGAAGGGTGTTTGTGTTGTGGCGGGGTTGAGTGGGTTGGGGACCGTGGGGATGTGGGTGCTTTGGTGGTTTGGGGCGCGGATGCGGGCGAGGAGTAAGTTCACGGGGTGAGTGAGAGGCCGGACGGTAGGGTTATTGCAGCAGTGCATGGGCGAGACTGAAATTTGACGCAGGGGCTGCATCGGAGGAGATCGTCGACTCTCTGTACGGCGGTATAATTTCCAGGCGTTGGGTGTGCACGACTGCTAGGAAATATCGGCAGAACAGGACTCGAGGAGCTGGGCGGGATTCACTGTCACGACCAGATCGTTGACTGAGACACGCTGCGGCGCTTCAGGGTCAACCACGAGGCGACGAAGACATGACACTCACTCGTTTGTAGATGTATTGTAACATAATGTCAATGATCATTCCAAAGGCTTCTCTCGTTCTTGCCTGGACAAGAGTCTTCCACCGTTCTTTCCGAATGCACGCTGGGCAAAAAAAGAAGGTAAGCGGAACTTGCCCTGGTCGTGCCTTCCTTTAGAACTCAAGCTGAGGGGCCTTATAAGAAACCGGATGACTGGTCGTCCGGCCTAGGCACAGCTTTCTGGCAACCCGTCCTCGGGCATGTAACAGAAGTCTCTGACACGATTCTACTGCAATGGCAAGCATCGAGGACACGTGCCGTCCCTGCGCTTACGCTTTTGCACTGCAGATCAGCACGATTCTCGCTAGAATGAATGTCACTGGCACTTCGGTCGAAACTTGGTTCTGTGAATATATTTGAAAGGCTTGAGCAAGCTGGATCTTGTTGCTCCCCCCCCTGCCTGCTGTGGCTTACTACATTAGGCATCATATTGGAGCACATCAGCTGAGCTGCTGCATACGCTGCGTGGCATCACATCATGACTTCCTAGTAGTGCGGCATCCTCATTCCTCCCAGAGGCATCGCACTCCGCTTGTTCTTATTGTTCCCAGGTCGCCATGCAGGACGGGACGCTCTCTTCCGCTGCTTCGCCCTCGCCTTCTCCCGCTTCCTCATCTTCTCCTCGTACTCAGTACTGCTCCGCACCCGCAGCGCCGAGCTGCTGTTCGACCCTGGCCCGGTGTTCGCGCTACTGCCGTTCAAGAACACCGGCAGATTGGTTTCATGGTCATACACCACAACATCGTCCTCGCCCACCACTTCCAGCTGGACGGTGCTGTTGCCCTCTCTGAACGTGCTGTATTGTGTTCCTTTGGTGAGGTAGCTCGAGTTGATCGTAGACGTGCCAGAAGCAATGTCCAGATTGTTGATCACCCGGGTGAACATTTCCAACGCAAGCAGCGGTTGGAAGAACGGCACGAGATGCCCAGAGTCGTAGATACGCACGAACGCAAAGTTACCCGCCTGTTTGACTTGACCATGGACTACGCTGTCCGAGGTGGTGATGTTGGCAAAGCCGGCGTTCTCGAAGTCAGTGGCGTTAACATGCTCCGCGACAACCTGGCCACCCAACCAGTTACAGTTGTAGTCTGCATCGCCGAAGTACATCGTGACACTGACGCCAGCGTCCAAGATGGCTCTCATCGCCTCCACGGTTCCGCTCTCGCGGTCATCATCGCCTGTGTTGTCGAAGGCAAGGCCTACGACGTTGCTGGAAGATGTGAAGTTGACGAACGCGCCAATTGCTTCCAGCACCTCTTCCGTATTGAGATAGTCCTCATAGTAACTCGGTGGGAAGGGGTTGGGACTGATATACCGAATGTCATACTCGTCACGATTGGTCTCAATGTCGAAGATGTTCTCCACCGTCGCAGCGCAGAATGCGTCGGCGATGTGGCAGACGGCGTTGCCCGTATCAAGGCTGTAATTTTGGCACATGACTGTCTGATCGTAGCAGTTGCCAGGACCGTAGAGACTGTTGTAGATCATGGCTTTGGTGGATTCGTTGTAGGGTGAATAGTCGTAGGTGTTTCCGGGGTATACAGAGAAGTTGTAGAATGCTTGGTATTGGATGAGAGGGTCGTACCTGTATCGTCTGTCAGCTCTGAGCGCCAGGGTCCTCGATCCGAGGCCTTGCAGGAGTCGACATACCAGCCATTTCCTATCATAACATGCGTCAGATTGATCTTATGTGCACCCGATATGTCCTTTTCGTTTTGCTCCAAGAAGTATTGGTTGAAGATAGGAGCATAGTGACCTCCATACGATTCGGTCGTGAATATGAAGCCATCGCGCGAGTACTGCGGGAACGCGCCCATGAATCCCTGCAAGGTCTTCCAGAAATTGTCTGCCGCGTTGAGCGTCGTGTTCGCCGTGAGCGTGACGTCGGGCAAGGAGTATGTTCCGCAGGACGAAGCGACCGTCTCGTCGTCGCCGTTCTGGGCATAATCCGGACAAGTATTGTTTGGAAGCGTGATTACATAGTTTCCGGACGAGTCGATTGCAAAGTTTTCGGCTCCCAGATATGCTGGAACGGCCTTGCTGTAGCTGAATCCGGTCGTGGTAGGCTGGTCGATAAAAAGCATGTTCGACGACTGATGATACGAGAGTCAGTCACTTGTTACAGATCGACTTGTGAAGCCGCACATGGCGATGCGAAGATCACCCAAGGGTTGACATACATTGGACCAGCTATACGGATTGTCAACGACGTCGCCCGAACTATTGACGTTACACGGTCCCAGCTCCTGGAACAAACCGATCATGCTCGACGATCCAGGTCCGCTGCAGCACCATTAGCTAGACACACGGATCTTGGCTTGCATGCTACCTGCCCATTGATCCAAACAGTTCTGTTCGCCATCAGCAGTCATACATACTCTGTAGTGTGCGAATGTCACTCACAAAGGCGCCTCCGAAGCATTCATGTTCCTCGCCTCGAAGAACCACCAGAAGATATGCTGGTCCTCCGCAACGTCGGCATATCCAGAATAGCTTTTGACATCTTCTCGCTGCTCACAGATACCAGCAGGCACCTGCTTGTAGCGCACCGGTATCCCAGCATAGCCGGTGGCATTCGTTAAGTTAGTAGGAGGTGACACAAACTGAGCCAAAGCTCGCTGCGCGAAGCATGTTAACAGCACAGACACAAAGAACTGCGACTTCGCCATGTTGCACACGCTAGGGAAGAGTCGACTGCGCAGACGCGACAAAGTGGCCGGCCGGACATCTTTGTAAAATACTAGGTGCCACGCGTAGCTCGCGAGAGCTCGAGAGCTGCCGGATAGCTGCGCATGTACCTGGTTACCTCATCGCCCAAGTATCGTGGGAGAAGACCTATCTGATGACGCACCGCTGCAACGGTCCTGTACCATGTGCAGCAGGTACCCAGATAGCTGAAGTCTAGTCAATAACGCAGCGAATGATGCTGTCACAACAGGTAGAGGCCGAACCCAAATGAGTGACAAGTGTCGGGAAGCTTTGTGGGGAGAGCTTGATCATGCTTGAACTTTCGGTCCTGTCGGTCCCGCTTACTGTGAACGAGATAGTGGCAATGAGAGGTTGCATTGAAGCTTTAGTCAATGTAGCTGCTTATCAGTCGAGAAGCTCGCGCTTTGCAATCCTTCCGGCAATCCACGTATTCGCAGACCGCTCGATCTTTCCGTGTGAGGCGTCCTGCGCGAATCGAGTTCGGCACCGGGAAGGTGCGGATGAATCTGAGCGGATTCCCGTTCCCCAAGGACTCATTAGCGGAAGAGAAGTCGCGAATGACAGTCTGAGTATGCATAGTTTGATGAATGTATTTTGACTGCTAAAGTATCACCATACCGCACCTTCCAGAATGCCCATCAGGTCTCACTCGAAACCAATCCCGAACGGCGACAGATAAGTCCTATTCGCATCCCGGTACACCCGGTCTCGTGTAGCGCCCTTCATCATCCGGCGTCCCATCAGTCTCGCTTGAGGCAGTCAACCGGTCTACCGTCGTTCGGTCTACGTCAACCGGCTGGGGAATAAATGTTTCCGAGGTCTCGAAGCAGTCTCTACGTAACCAGACGCTTCCGCCTCATCAGAACTTGGACCCTTTCCGCTCTGCGCTGAAGACATGGCCGAACGTGACCACCTGGGTATTCTCGCCACTTCGAAGCTCCCAGCCGACCTTGCACCACCACCGCAAGTCCTCCTCTTCAACGGCGTGTGCTAATAATACCCACCCGCGGATATACGTCTGGACAGGTATTGTGGACAGCGCGCTGCACGACAAGCTTCTCTACTTGATATGTATTGTTATGTTACAGCGCAAGGAAATTACATGCAACAATAAGACGTCGAGCTCAATCCCATAAGACAGCCATCCCCTGAGCGTTCGCCCCGACTCCTAAGCCAGCAACATCAAAATTCTGCACCAACGAAGCAGTTCCCTGTCCACCAGAAACTTCCAGTACAGCGACAGCAGGGTTCGTAGTTCCATTGCCAGGACTGAGGCATATATAAAGTTGCCAGTTGATCGGAGGTCAATCAGACCTGGCGCCCCGGTCTCTGAGAGATCCGTTTCACCAAGAATGCTCGCGTCAGTCACGCTCATTTCAACGACTCGATTGCGTCCAACGTCTGTCACGAACGCGCTCCCCGTTGCCCTCGAGATGGTAACCCAACAAGTTGCCGCTTGATCGTCGATAGCTTGCCGAGCGACCAGTGAGGCGCCGCTATTCGAGCTGTCAATCGAGAGGACTGCAGCACCAAAGGACGCGTCCGTGACAAAGACCGATGAGTTCCCTGGAATGACTGCTGAGCCGAACAGTACTGCGGTCCCGCTGGGCGAGCTTCGGACATCTTGTCTTCCAATGGTAGCGTGGCTGCTCCCGTGGCCTCTCATCACGGCGAACGTGGAGAAGAACCCGGTGTTGTTCACCGCTGGGTCTCCCTTGACAGTCGCAAACAGAGTTGATTCATCTTCCGAAAAGAACAGCTGCGACACACTGTTCGTTGGCCCTACAGGCGGTGTTGTTTGATCGAGATTGAATGACCGAAGCTGATCGAATTGACCTAAACCTCGTCGTGAGAATGAGGCGCACGAGATACCGTTTGCTGCTCCAGTTGTTCCAACGCAAGTAAGTCTGTTCTTCTGCGATACAGCAACCGTGTTAGGGAATTCTCCCTGAATCTGAACTGGCTGGCCGAGCATGGTTAGTTTAGTCGGGTCGTCCTTGTCAATTGCCATCATTGACAACGTATTACTTCCTGCATTGACAGCAAAGACGTTCTGACCGGCTACGGCCAAGGCCGACTGCCCGATGAGAGGATCAGGCGCCGCGGCTCATTCGTCGCGCCATCGATGCTGTTTGAGCCCACACCTCCCGTCGAAGTGACTGAGCCCCCAGAAAGCATACCATCCCCACCAATTGGTATCGCAACAACAGAGTTCTGCGCATCGTTGGTCAGGAAGTAAATGGCGTTCTGTGATGATTGAGATTCGCAAGGCCGACACTCGGCTTGCAAGATAAGCGATACGGCCAGCAGGAGGCCGTTGGGAAGATCAACGCGCATGTCGAAGGTGAGAGGCGATTGGTGAGAGTGTTTGGTTGGGAAGTTCAAGGACCGGCGGCCTTGAATGGCGAACTGTCAGACTTGAACCATGATGGTGCAGACATATTTATACATCTCTCTTGCCTGGCGCCGAGTCCCGGGAAGATCGATGATTTGGTGTACAGGAGCAATCATTGTCTGAAAAAAAGTCCGTGGCGCCAGCGCGTGTGGTCTCGAATTCCCAAAAACGTCACAAATGTTGTCGAGCCATGCCTCTGCTATAATGGGATTATGTATTCAGTTTCTTCCTGGTGAGGTATAGTCCGGATCTTGAGCAGAATCCAGCTAACTCCATAAGGTAGAATTCGATTATCTATCGTAGCACCCCCGACATGATACGAACAGGCCAAGACCATTCTCTCGGCGCGAAACATGTTTCAGGTTGGGCTGGGGAATGAGCCCACGTTTCAGCAACAACAAGCACTTTGATTCGTTGCCTGCCTTAACGGCCAGCACAAGGCCTCCCCAGGGGGGCCATCATACATGGTGAAGACAGATGCTGCTGCTTCCACCGTTGCCTGTCACGCTGCTCGCCCTGCCCACATGACTGAAGGTAGCGTTAGCAGATTGTTGACAGGCAACAATGTTGAGCCTAGAGATCCGACCCTTTTTTCTATCATCACAAGGTGAGAAGACCCAGCTCCCGTGCTCTCAGCGCATACTGAAGGAAAACTTCTATTGACTCCGTCTACGCTCAGAACGTACCGCGAGGCGTCGAGAGCAGGTGCGTAAAGCACAGAAGTAAGAAAGGCGTCCGTTCACGACTCAGAGGGGATGTCATTGATTGTAACGCTCAGAACTTCCGCGAGCGACGCGATCAGTATCTTGCCCTGCTTGAGCGACAGCTTGGGCGCTTGCAGTTAGAGAATGCACGCCTGGCCTCCCAAGTCTCTGACCTTCAGCAGAAGCTGGACGTGCACGGGGATGCAGTCCGCAAACCTCATGCCGGATCTGGCTCCGACCCATATTCCACTCAGAGCCAAAGGCCAGTCAAGTCGAAGGCGGGTAGACGTTCACGGGCCACTACGATTCGCCTGGAGAAGGTCGATGGCAAACCTCAGACTCTACAGGTGGAACCTCCTAATTCGGGGAGAATCACCGCGGCATACACCTATTTCAGCTCACCACTCTGGGGCGCACGCAATACCCACGAAGCAGCATTGACGAGCTCGTCGGGACCAGAGCAGCCCGCGCATCTTGTGATGCACCTTGATTTGTTGGCGGTAGCTATGGAGTTTGTGCTGAAGTAGGTTCCCCATCGCATGAAGCTCACCCGTACTCAAGCGCACTCTTTGACATATATAGACTCGAGTCCCCCTGTCTGCCACACATCCACGACGTATGCTTTAACCAAGTCGATGCTGAAGCTGCACCTCAAGGCCACGTGCATCTAGTAAGCGCCACGGTACTCACCTGCATGTCCAGACACGACCCCTGCCAGACCCCGGGCGGCCTTCCAGTGCCGAGTAGCTCACTCGACAACACAGCAGTGCATGGCCGACAGCGGAGCGTCTCCAAGCCTCTTCCGTGTCTTCCGCCTACACAATTGTGGGACGCGCCGCACTCGATCCTGCAGAACCTATTGCAGATATCCGAGCAGCTCCCTATCGATGGTGGAGAGGTGACACCCGTACAAGCATGGGCTTGTCTCCAGCAGCATGCGAGTTTTCCGCAACTCACAGCCGGGCAACTACACCACATGTCGGATGAGCTACTGGCGCACATCAAGTGCTACGGGTAAGTTTACACACCCTCGTTGACTGCGTTGTTCTATTCCTGAGATGCTGGATTACACCATGTGACGTCAGCCCATGGTTCTGACACTGCTGACGACGTTGTGTCACTTACAGGTTCGGCGGCGTAATCAAGTGCAAGTTCTTGGAATCGCTGCTCGACGGCAGGCATGGCTGAGAACCCCATGCAGGGAATGCAGAATCTCTTCGGTCCTCAGTCTAGTCCTCGCATCTATATCACAAACGTGAGTCGGACCTGCTACAAATGCGACTTACGTGATGTTCACGTAGCTACATGGTGAAGACGCCGCCAAAGTCTCACTGGCTGCCCATGTGAGGCCTTGGCTTGTCCGTCTCACCACACGTGTCGACAGGCCGTTGCCAGACCTCCGCTTCATCCGCTTTGAAGAGCCTAGAGGGGTTGGCGGCAAGCCTAAGCCTCCTGTTCAACAGTGCGGTGATGAAATACCGTATGACTCGGGCCTGATATTTCGGAGGCGAGCTTGATGAGCCGACAGAGCCTGCCATCAGGCCAACCTCGTGGTTCGCGTCGACTAACCACAAGGCCTCAATCGACACGGGCACAAAGGCAGAGAAACACCAGGGTGGCTCGTATGGCAACGGCAGCACTCAGCGTTCCAGCAAGAGCTCTGCAATACTGGAGACGCGCAATACTGTTGAGAACGCATATCGACATGAATAAGCTATAATGGAAAAGCAAAAGCAAAACATAACTCCCTCAGCCATTAAATCATTCGCCCCAATCCTGCGCTCAGTCCACCCCTACTGGCTCCAACAGCGACCGCTTGATCTCCCCAAGCCACCACTTCACCCCTTTTTCACCTTGCAGAACATCTTCCTGCCCGAAGATGCCAACACCCAATTCCTCGTCTCGATCTGAGCCTTCCTCTCTTACCACCTTGGCTTCTATGTCAATCGAGGGTACGCACCAGGGCATATCTGTTAACTTAGAACCTCCTCTGTCGATGAACGGTGACGGCGGCGGTGCAACGTGGTTCGTAACATCGCGATCGGCACTGTCGAAGCTCTCGATGAAGTCTCGAGAAGCGTGCTTTACCACTTCTTCGGCCGATCTGCCATCGCCACCTTTTTCGACATCATCGTGCTCCATGTCGGCCAGGAAATTCACCACACAACCCAGTCGTACTTTCTCGTCAGTCCACTCCCAGATTTCTTGCAAGCTCACACCACAGTGCTCTGCCTTGCTGATGAGCGCCAAATCTTGCTGAACCTGACATGCTACATCCCAGATCTTGTTCGGCCCAGCATCACTGCCAGAGCCACTGTCGATGATCGGTATGCGGAGCGGCACAATGTTGACGGTTGGCGCGGCCAAAGTTGTAAGATCTGGAATGTCGAGGTTGCGAAGCGAGAGGTAGATGCCAATCACGACCGCCTTGCCTGCCGTTGACCCAGCTGCATTTGTCGCCGGGGCGTCGAGTTGCTGGTTCTTGTGCATATCGGCATGGTATACCTGTCCAACAATCGCGAAGAAGAGCGCCTGGAGGCTTACTCCATTCGCTCGTAGGCGATTCTTGAGAGTCTGTGTCGGCGTGAGACCTGGTTCGAACTGCTTCATGCGTGGTCGCTGAGCATTCTGGAATTGAACGGGACTTGGCAGGATTAGTGCTTGAGAATCCAGGTATGCAGTCCAGAACTTGCGTTGGCGGGCCTTGACTTCCTTGTTCAGCACCCTTGTGGCCCTGACGAACGATGCAAGCTCGCTATTCTGCGGCGCCACAGTCAGGCCGGCGCACAGTCGGTTGAGCTGGTTGGCGACAATGTGCATGCTGACGGCATCGTAGAGCGCATGGTGGATTGTCAGAGTGACGAGTCTTCTTCCTGTTGACGCGTTGTGTAGGATCTGGTATCTCCAAGGCAACGAGTCGCGGTTCGCTTGGGCGAATTTTGAGGTGAGAACAACTTGAACGATCTCGTCAATGCTTTGGGTGCCTGAGCGAATAGCGAAACTTGTGCGCAAAGCGGGAGTTGCTTCCATCAGTGTCTCAAATGCATGGCTGATGCCACCTTCCCTGACGCTGCTACCCACCTCGAACCAGAAGGAAGGACAGAATAGCCTGCCATGAGATTTCTGCCAGACATCGAGCATGTACTGCTGTCCAGCCGTGGTCGGAAGCACATTCTCGATATCTTCCCTCTTCAAACCACACCGCTCGAGGTGTGGTAGGTACTGCTCGACGGGGTCGTGTTGCGAAGTGTCCGCAGTCGCAGGTCCGGGCATGGCATCATTCTGTCGGACTGCTTCTATTGCTGCGGCAATCCCCTCGACAGTCTGTCCTTCGAGTATCCTGCTGATGGGAAGCTTCAGACCTCGCTTCTTCAACAGCGACGCAAGCTTGATTGCACTAATGCTGTCGAGACCCAGATTGAAGAGGTTGGTATTCTTCCCAATAGCCGACGTATCACTTCTGGAGACCTCTGCGAGTACGCCTCTGACACTCAATTCGATCTGCGTGAGATTGTGGGAAGGCGTCGAGAAGTCTGTTTGGCTTTCTGTATCTTGAGCAGAAGGTACTTCTGCACGCTCTGCTCGAAGGTCGAACGGCAGGTCATCTCTGCCGTGCACAGGCTCTTCTGGGCGCTCTACCAATCGGTGTAGGACCTCGTCCAAGTGCTGCATGCATTCCTCAGCTTCATTGGTACTGAACACGCCTGACTGGCTCGCTAGAGTCCAGAGCAGCTGACCATGCTTTGCTTCCAGCTCAATGTTGACAGCATATGGTGGTTCCTTTGGCTGATCACCAAGTTCGACAACCTCCAACAGAGGCTCGTCCGAAGATTCCGCCCCTGGTGTCTTCTGGTAAGTGAACAACGTATTGAACAGTTCGGTACAGCCTAGACTCTCGCGGGCGGTCTTCAAGGAGTCTTTCAGCGGGTAGTGTTGGTGATCCGACACGTCCATTGCAGTCTGATGGACTCGCCGGATGATCGCCCGGCCTGTGCTGCTCGGATCGATGCCAATGCTGAAGATGACTGTGTTAAAGGTTGGATAAATCAAGTCTTCGGAACCTTGACTTGTGCGACCGGAAAGAACGAGGCCAAAGCACACACGTGAACTCTGAAGTCTCTTCGCGAGAGTCAATGACCAAGCAGCTAAGCCGAGAGACTGTAGAGTAGTCCCGCTGGCTTTGCAGAACTTGTACACCTCTGACAGAGACACTCCGGAAGACCGATGACTCGTCTGTGCAGGCTTCTGCTGTTCGCTGGCGGCTTTCGGGAATAGAGTCTGGCGAGTATCTAGGACAGCTCGATCCCAGAACTGCTTCGCTTTCTCACTTCGGGCGTACGACAGCACAGCCGACACATGCTGCTTGTATGAAGCTGTGGTTTCAGAGATATCCGCGCGGGAATTGCCTTTGAGTAGATTCTCGTAAGATCTCATCAGACTCTGGTAGACAAGTTGAATAGACCATCCATCGTACGCGGCATGGGGCAGTCCTACCACCATTCTCTTGTGATCGTCCTTCCCAACCAGTGCCACTTGCACCACAGGGGTGCGAACGCCGCGGTTGCTGGCCTCGCGTCTCGTGCTGGCTACGATTTGGTCAACTTCAGCTTCAAATTCGGACCGAATGACAGCGGTAGGCTTGCGATGCACTGTTTGTAGGAATGGTTCGTCGCGGTTGCCATTCTCGACAGCAAGAAATTCGGTTCGCAGGACTGGTAATTCTGCAGCGATACAATTCCAGGCTTCGCTCAATGTGCCGAGATTAAGGTCTGCTGACATCTTGAAGACTGTGATGTTGTAGTACTTCTCAAAGTCGAGCAAAAGCCCCTGTTGCATGCTGGTGAGAGGTAGGACGACCTCCACATCGCTCGCATCGATCCCATGGGCGGCAACAACGTCGCGGAAAGTAGCTTGCTTTGTCGTGCTGAGCATGCTGGATTCGGGCTCCTCGGTTCCTTCACTGTCTTGGACAGTGGCGGCAATGCCTGCTATGGTCGGCGTCCGCATGATCGCACTGACGTTGACTTTGATGCCAACGTGCTTGAGTCGCGTTGCTATTTTCATTGCGTCGATACTGTCCAGCCCTAGCTCGAAGATGGTAGGCTGATGCAGTGCTAGGTTCTCGATGTCAACCACCGCAACATCTGCGATCGCCTGGCGTATGAGTCCAGTTGTCTCCGACCATGATTCGGTACTTGGTTTAGACGTCAACGATGCATGTTCGCTCTTTGGTGTAGATGACGGGACATCTTGCTGAGCTTCGGCCTTGAACACTTCTGGCAGGTTCAGCTGTGCTCCCTTCATGATCTTGCCAAGTAGATCCATGTACGACTGTCCAAGATCATCACAGTCGCTTTGCCGCAGATATTCGCCCCGACACACAAGCGCCACATGGAAGCTGCCGTCCTTGTGTTGTTCGACCTCGAGATTCATCGGGTAGTCGGGCTGAGCGGCGGATGGTACCAATTCCCACAAATCGTCTGATACGCCTCGTCACGCTCTCGCAAGAAAACGAACAAGCTATCAAAGATGCCTTTAGTGTTTAAGCCCATCCACTTTGCAATCTGTCGGAGAGATGTATGTTGATATGGAAGCACGTCCATGTTGAACTTATGACATGCCTTGATGAGATCATTGGTCGTAGCTGCGGTCGCCGATACTTCAACGCTGCTGGGTATTGTGTTGAACATCGGGCCAATGGCCGTCTCAGCATCCGCATGTGCAATTGACCGACCAGAGACCACCACACCTATGGTCGGGTTGGTCGCGTACCGCGCTTGTAGACAAAGAAGCCACGCAGCATGAAAGACTGCTGGAGAGGTCACGTCCAGAGTCTTGCAGAGAGTCCCGATGTCACCGAGCCGAGCATTTGATGAGAAGGTCACGGTCGTGCTCTGACGATCCTCAGCATCCAGCTCGGACAACCCGAGCATGGACGTGCTTTGTAGAGTCTGTCTCCAGAATGATTCGCTGCTCGTCGATATGCTGAGCGGACCATAAGGCAGAAGCTCGTAGAACTTGGACTTCTGACACTTTGTGGCAGACTGGGTCTCATAGATCCTGACAACCTGTTCTAATAGGAGATCTAAGGAGATGCCATCATAAAGGCCGTGAAAGATTTCGAAGGCCATGCTCCGGCGGCGATCTTGCTCTCTGTGCTCGAGTGTCCATGGACGAAAGGGTCCGAAGCGTTTGGCGCCGCTGATCCACCCCAGACGCTCATCGCTCAACGCGCCTGTCGGAGAGTATTGCGGCTTAGAGCCGCGCTTGAGGACAACCTGAGCGTACCCATCCTTAGTCGGCACAAAATACGTCCTCAGTATCGAGAAAGCCGCCTCGACTGCCCGCCACGCGGCTTCAAGTCGCTCGACTGACACGTTGTGCTGTAAATTCATTACACATTCGTTGAAGTAGGTGGTATCTCTGCTGCTACTGTTGACAACCCTAGATATCATTCCTTCCTGGAGCGGCGTGCAAGGACTGATGTCCTCAATCGCTACCGCGTCAACGTGAAGGCTATCAATAACAGTCTGGCGGTGCGTTCTGGCAAACCGGGCGATGGCGTTCTTGGCCTCGGTCAGCCTCGTCTTTTCCGCGTCTGATTCGCCGCCAACGTTGAGCACATGCACGAGGTCGGCGACCAGAGAACTGCGCATAACAGCTTGAATACTGCAGTGCTCGAAGCCTTCATCTTTGAGAGCTCGTGAGAGGCCAATGGCTGAGATTGAATCAAGACCAAGCTCGAAGAGTCGCGATGACGGCTTGACAGAGCTGGGTTCGAGACGTAGACGTCGCTCGATGACAACAGCAACGATTTGGAACGTCGCGTGATCACTTCCAGATAACTGCGCCTGAGCCATGCTCTGCTGTTGCATTGTACCATCGTCCAGGCTCTCGTACAGTGCTTTCAGCATCTTCATCTCGATTTTGTTGTTCGCTGACAGCGGAATATTCGAAACCCGCAGCAGACTAGAAGGTACCATATATGCCGGCAATTTGCTTGAGCAGTGCTTTCGGATCGTCGTTGCAAGTGCTGCTGCACCATCGTCCGCGATTACGGTGGCACTAGTTCCTCTCTTGGGGCGATTGGTGGAGAAGAACGTAATCAGTTGCTCCTTGGCTTGCTTCGGATGCTTCAATACCATGGTCGCAACTTCTTGGATTCTCAGCGAGCTAGCCTTGACAACTTGGTTGATTTCGCCGATCTCCAGTCTCTGACCACGCAACTTGACCTGGTCATCGATCCGACCCAGAAACTCGAAGCTATCATCATGCAGCAGTCGGACCAGATCGCCCGTTCGGTATGCGCGTGTTCCATCACGCAGAATCGCAAACTTTGACCGCGTCAGATCTGGTCTGTTGAGGTAGCCTTTGCCCACGAGGACGCCTGTCAGACATAGTTCACCCACCGCACCACGTAGCACTGGGTCTTGACTGTCGGGCTTGAGCACTCGCGCGCCAACGTTGTCCCAAAGCCAACCAATGTTGGTCGGCTTGGTCCCCTTCTTGACGCGTGGATGCACAGTGCATCCAATTGTGACCTCGCTTGGTCCGTAGAAGTTGTACAAGCAACCGGCATCGCCCCATGTGTCAATAATATCTTGCTAAGCTGTTCACCGCCAACAATGAAGACGCCGCTGCAAAGGCTTGGGACCTCTTCTGGAGAGATGAGCCGGGCTAAGCTGGGCGTGAGATCCAGATGCGTGATCTCAGCCCGCCGAAGGAAACCAGGTAGATCTTCAAGAATCAGGTCGCGAGGCGCTGTGACCATAATGATGCCAACACTCCAGCTCCAGTACTGCTCAAGAACGCTGACATCGAAGTGGAAGGAAGCGAATTGCAGCCAGCGAGATTCAGCAGTCCAATGGCCTTTGAAGATGCGTTGAAAGGAGAGCATTGCCTGGACCGCGCTTTGGTGGCTGATAAGGCAGCCCTTTGGTGTTCCGGTTGTGCCAGAAGTGTACAGACAGTAGCAGGTGTCCTGCGAATGGAGCGGGCGTGTAAGTATAGGGCTCTGGCTAGACATCATCTGCAGCATAGCTGCATCGTCGGCTAAAATGCACGACACTCCTGCCTTCTCAAAATCAGGAGCAAGATTGGCAGTAGTCAGCACAATTTTGCAACCGGAATCCTCGAGTATGAAGTGCTTTCGATCTGCAGGTGCGCTTGGATCAATGGCAACGTAGGCGCAACCAGCCTTCAAAACACCTAGAATGGCAAATGACGCTTCTGGGCACTTGTCGAAGCACGTGGCCACCAGATCGCCCGTCGCAGCACCATTTTTGAGCAAAGCGTTTGCCACACGATTACCCTCACTGTTTAGATGTGCATAGCTCCACGTGTTTTTGATCGGACTGGTCTCGTCAAAGGCGGTCACAAATTCCAACGCTGGCGAGTCCGGGTGCTTCCGCGCGCTCTCTTCGACAAATTGATGCAGGAAAGTAATGTTTGTCTTTAGTAGATCTTCCTTGGCTTGTAGGACTGCGTGATGCTCTTCATGGCCAGCTGCAAGTCCGAGTACACTGAGCAACTCCTGCTCAAATTCCTTTAGTAGAGTACTTGATGCTTCCTCAGGCAATACTCGTTGCGCAGCAGTCAAACGAAGAGATAGAACATTCAATGACTCGTCCGGAATGATTTCGATAGACACGCTATATTCGGCATTGGCTTGTTCCTCAATGACCTGCCACGGCACGTTACTAGGTTGTTGCGACTCGTATTTTTGTACAACGAGTAAAGCATCGAATGCTTCGCCATCGACATCCTGCCATCTCTTGATTGATGACAGCGGGGTCCGCTGATTCCTGAGGAGGCCAGAGGTAGTGCTAGCTAGATTCCGAATCATTTGTTGCCTGTCGGGGCTCTTTTCCACGGTACAGGGTAGTGTGTTGATGCATGGGAAGACGATATCGTCACGTTCGTCTCCAAAGTCGCGACCTGACAGCAACAGGCCGAACGTGACTCGATCCTGGCCAGTGTATTCAGAAAGCAGTCGGGACCATGCGGCCTGGCACACTACCTGTAGCGTACATTCCAGTCCGGCACATGCCTCATTGACATCTGTCAGGCTCTTGGGAAGGCGATCTTCTATAACTTCGAAGTGGTTATCAAGCTGCTTGTGGATGTTAAGATCGGGAAATTTCGTAGGCTCGATTGCATTTTCTGATCGTTTCCAGAATGCCGCCGCTGCCGGAGACTTACTGCTCTCGAGGAAAAGGGGCAAGACGGCATCAATTGATCCTACGGCCACAACCGGCTCGCTTGAACGACCCAAGTATGCGCGAACCACGCTTGTCAGGATGTGATCGAGAGACTTGGCATCGTACAGCGCATGAAGCATGCTCAATTCGACTGTGCGTGAGTCCTCGTCAAGGCTGACACGCCAAGGAGGCATTGAAAGGTCTCCTTGTGAGTCGACCATATTGGCGTTCGCGTCGTCGTTCGCTTTTACCACAATTTGCGGCTGGAAATGCTCGTAGGTCACCATTAGATAGCCGCAGATGGGGTCGTCACATTCAACGAAGCCAGAACGGAGCACCTCGTGCTCATTCGTAGCGGCTTCCCAAGCCGATCGCATATCCGAGAGACTTACATCACTGTCCATTCTGAACTTCATTGTGTTGTAGTACAATCTGCCAGACGACTGAATGTACTGTGACAACATGCCACACTGCAACGGCGTACACGGCCGGACAGCACTTATCTTGGAGGTTTGGTCCTTGCATCGATCAGAGACCATCGCCGTGTGTTTTTCGGAGAAGTCTGCTAGGCTTATCTGCTCAACTTCGCTTTCACTGGCCCCTCTCGATGGAGTGTTTATGCAGAAGGAAGCAATCTCACCGAGACTTGGAAATTCCAATATGTCGCTCGAGGTAATGCCGTAACCCGCTGAGCGCAGCTTCGATGCCAACTGGACTGCACTGATGCTGTCAAGACCGAGCTTGAAGATAGTCGTTGCGGGACTGAGCTCTTGGACATCCTGCGCTGGATTCCGCGCGAGTGTCAGCATGAGCTCGCCGACTTGTTGCTGAATATCAGACAGCGTCGGATGGCTGTTTGCTGCCGATGTAGACGGTATCGCACCACGTTTTTCACTGATCTCGTCACGTCGACGAATGAACCATCGCGCTTCTGAGTTGCTTTGTATTAATGCTTCGGGATAGCGGACACAGTGGGTCAACAACCCGTCGAGTGTTGACAGCATTTCTACAAGTACTGCGTCACCCACCACGGTGGAATGCAGAGACAGGCACAACGTACCCGAAGTCTCTGGAGTAACAACTTCAAGGATGAACGGGAAGTCCATGTCGCCTTGCTCCTCCGACAGCTCCCAGATGCGGTCATCTAGCTCCAGCTGACTTTGCTGGAACAGAAGAAGGAAATCGAACAATGGTCTGCCATCTGAGCTATACTCTCGTTGAAGTGCACGAAGACTTGTGGTCTGGAATTGCATCATCTCCACGTTCTCTTGATGCAGCATTCGCAGCAGGGCACCGTTGGTGCTGTTACGCAGGTCACGGGCGTGTATTGGCAGAGTGTTGAAGCATGGCCCGGCAATGCGGTCAACACCATCGACTGGAATGCTCCTTCCGCTGTGAACATTCCCGAAAGTCACATCATCTGTCTGTGAGTACTGTTTGAGCATCTGAGCGACCGCTGCTTGGAGATACGCCAAGATCGTTACAGATTGCTTTCGCGTTTGTTCTTTCAGTTCTGCTAGTCGCACGCTCGACTGTCTTCCAGCGAAACCTCCGTTCCGCGCAGCAGCGCGAGCTGAGGGCATCAATAAATCCGCCAGTCGTGTCGGTTGGATACCATTCAGTCGCGGCCGCCAGAACGCGGCAGCTGCTGATGTGTCGACGCTCTCCACGTGCTGTAAGTACAGGTCGAAGTGTACTACAGGTTCTAGTTCTTGCGAGTTGTAGCAAGCTTCGACCTCCCGTAACAGCACCTTCATGCCTTCGGCATCATATAGAGCGTGGTGAACGTCCAGTGTCATGATATTAGCCTCGTTCAACCGCCCGACTTGCATGTGAGACCAGGTCTCCGTGGGAGATAGAGGGACATTCCTGTCCTGCTCCTGGTCCATCAACTGCAGCGGCACATCTTTCAGCACAACCTGCAGATAAGGCATTCCTGGGTCGTCCTGTTCGACAAAGACAGTGCGTAACAATTGCTGTCGCTGCATTACGTGTAGCCATGCACTTTTGACTTTCGCGAGGTCACCTTTGATCTTGAATGTAAGACGATTGCGGTACGACGTATTGGTCCCATTACTGGACGCCGACAACATCGAAACTTGCAAGCTTGTACACGGCAGCACTTTCTCAATCGTACAACCGTTGTCGGAAAGCTGTTCACGCAGCTGCTTGACCGACTCGACTTGTGCAAGATGCTTCCAGCCGACATGCCCGGAGGAGCTCTGCTTGTGATGCGTCTGCGACGTTACCCTCGAGAGCTTTTTGATTGATGAGTTCTTCAATATCGTCGACACGTCCAGCATGGGCAGCCCCTCTGCTCTCAGGTTCTTCCCAAACCTGATCACGCTCAGAGAATCCAGACCAAGAGAATAGAATGATGTTTCTCGACGGATTGACTCTGGTGAAATTTTGAGTGTGACTGCCAGAGCATGCGCTATGCTGCGATCTTGGGAGGTCAGGGGCTCGGTGTCCGTAGTGCCGGATGAATCTCGACGATGTTGATCTTGTTCGCTCTTGCTGAGACCTTCGAATCCACTGACCATTCTCTTCTTATCAACTTTGCCTTGCGCCGTCAAAAGCAACGCTCGCATCGGCATGATAATGTCTGGAATCATGTAGGCAGGTAGGCGATCGCTGAGAACGTCAAAGAGGTGCCGAGCAGCAGAGTGGCTCTTCTTGAAACCATTTCTGTCGTTATGTGCAACGAATGTCACAAGCCTCTCGCCGTCCTGTGCTTTATGGATTATGGTCAGGGCATCGACCACACCTTCGACCTGCAAGAGGGTCGTGTTGATTTCCCCGAGCTCAATACGTTGCCCTCTCAATTTGGCTTGGTCGTCTTCGCGCCCAAGGATCACGAATGTGTCGTCGGCTAGCACACGGCCGATGTCGCCAGAACGATACAGCCAGCCATAATCCGGATGCATCAAGAATGAATGAGCGGTCAGCACTGGATCGATATAACCTCTTCCGACTTGATCTCCACCGATCCAAATCTCGCCTGTTGCACCCCGGGGAACAGGTTTGAAGTCGCTTAGGATGAGCGGTACATCAGTCGAGGCTCTGTCGTGCGCGAGCCGGCGGCAGACGAACATGGATGTGTTGCTGAACGCGACACCGACATTATTTGGAGCGTCACCCTGCGCAACTTCAGGTCGAACGTTGCAGATATTCGTCGTCTCACTCGGGCCGTAGCCTTGGTAGAGCCCACGCCCAGCCCATTGACTGAACACTTTCGAGTTCATCGGCTCACCAGCAGTGACCAGCATTTTCAGCTTGGGCACTTTATCCGAGTCAACGAGGGCGGCCACGGTAGGTGTCATGCTCAGGTGCGTGACTCCCGCCGCGTCGATGAAGCGCTGTAGATCCCGGAAGAGCACGTCGTTGGAGGCGGCAACTAAAGTCATACCCATATGCCAGGTCCAGAATATCTCGAACACCGAAACATCGAAAGCTGGAGAACATGCCTGTAGTAAAGAGTCCGTGTGAGACTCATGAGGGTAGACTGACCGGAGATGGTTGATGTGGCTCATTAGATTTCTTCTCGTCATAAGAATGCCTTTTGGAACCCCCGTAGTGCCGGAAGTGAACACGGCGTATGCAAGAGCATCGCCGTGTGGGCGGACTTCTGCTTCTGGATGACCCTTGGGATGCTGCTTGACCAGCGTCATGATCTCTAGTTGCCTGCAATCTAGTCCTTCCACTGAAATGTGTTGGCCAGTCAACACGACAGCAGGCTTGGCCTGATCGAGGATCTGCTGCATACGCGTTCGTGGAGTCTCGGGATTGACACACATATAGCCTGCGCCAGCACAGACAGCGGCCAGAATTGCAACATAGAGCTCTATGGATTTGTGGGCGATGATGCAAACCAGATCGTCTTCTGCAATCGAGCAAGATCGGACGAGTTGCGTGGCCACGTTCGATGCTTTCTGCACAAGATCTGAGTACGTCACTTCCGTAGCTGTCAGCCTCCGGCTCATTGGGTCAAAGTCGGAAACGAATCTGAGGGCAACCCGCTCTGGATAGTCATTTGCCATCGTTTCCAGTGGCTGGACCAGGTCAACGCCTCCTGTATAAGCTTGGAAAGTCGGATTGACCAGTGACAACACTTGATCGGCGTGTACGGACCAGAGATCTTGAAGCAGACAACTCGGCTGGCTCAGCATACGGCTCATAATTGCATTAAGTTGTTCTGTCAGCACGACAGCTTGTTCCTGTGGGACGAGCCCGTTGTCGTAGGTCAGCTTCAGATTACAAGCCTCGTCAAGTACTTCGACCTCCAGGACTACAGCATAGTCCAGGCAATCTTCTCCGTCGCTTGTCCAGACCAGCTGGTTGGCGCGCGGCTCGACGTCTGCCTGTTCCTGCCAGACGACCAGAGTATCGAAAAGTCTCTGAGCTGGGTCTAACCCAGACTGTTTTTGAATATCACGAAGCGGCGTATCATAACAATCAAGGCTTTCAAGATTCTGCCGCTGGACGTAATTGAGCAGATCTGTCACCGTCGCAACCTTACTCAAGTCGAGTCTTGTCGGGATTGTGGCCAAACATGGACCGATCGTCTCCTCGATGCCTGGGATGCCCGCGTGTCGACCAGATATGACCGTCCCGAAGACAATGTCTTCGCTATCGGCGTAGCACGATAAGAGAATGGCCCAGGATGCTTGTAGAATCGCTTGTCGAGTAATGCGCAGATCCGTAGACAGCTTCCTCAAGTCATTCGCCTTGACATCTAGGCTGCGCTGTATAGTATGATGTGCTGGCGAAGAAGGTGTGGATGCGACCAGCGACGGAAATGGAGCTGTTGACGTGTCTGTCAACAGATCCCTCCAGTACTCGAGGCTCGCATTTCCCAGTGCCTTTGGCAGACGATGTCTTAGGGACCGGCTGACAGCCTCGAAAGGCGTACGAGTGCGCAGCTGCTCATGGTTTAGCAATCGGTTCAGATCATTTATTAGGAGGTCCCACGACCATCCGTCATAAAGCGCGTGATGTATGAGGACATTTGCACCGGACTTGTTGCCAGCAGTGTCGGGAAGAATCTGGAATGGACGTGCAAGATTGAGCTCATGGGCCTCGAGCGTAGTCCATCTGACCTGGACGAAAGGCATGCGTTCGTCATGAGTGGATAGGAAGCCAGAGCGCAATATGCTCCTGGCTTGGGCCAACTTTTGAAAGGCATGTTGCAATTGCCGGAAATCTGTACCCGCACGCAGCTGGAGCTGAATGCGATTGAAATTCAGGTCCGGCTTCAATACTGTTTCTGCAAGCATTCCCAGTTGCATCGGGGTACATGGAGACACGAACTCTACGCCGCGGCTGTCTTCCTGGCTGAGATCCTCGAGGGCACCTTGCTGAATGCCTTTCCAGGCGTCACTGTCTTCGATCAGTCTGTCGTGATAGCCATTTTGCGTGTCTGTGCTCCCTGAACAGAGCACATCTGCGATCTCCTTCACACTCGCACAGCGCAGGACAATAGCAACACCGATCGGCGGGAAGCGGCCACGCAGCTCCGACGCTATCCGGATTGCTCGAAGCGAGTCCAGTCCGCAGCGCCAGAGATCATCGTCTCGACCAACGTTTCTCCGCAAGTATCTGCTGACAACCTGTGCAATGGTAGCTTCTGTCTCTGATTCGAATGTCATATCTCCAGTGTTGTGTTCAGGGCTTCGGCGAAGCAGACCATCCGCAATGCCCTTACGGTCGACTTTGCCTGAGGGAAGCGTTGGCAGAGGCGAATGATGAAGGACTATTTCCGTCGGGCGCATGAACGGAGGCAGCCATGCTTTGCAGATGTCCGAGATCGAATCAGCTTTGATATCTTGCTCTGCATAACAAGACAAGATCAGTGATTCTTCAACGACGCTTGCAATGGCCTGTGCCACACCGCTCGCCCTTGACGCGACTTCTTCAATCTCGCCGAGTTCAACGCGCTGACCGCGAAGCTTTACCTGACCACCTGCGATGCGCCCGAGGATCTCGAGCTCGTCTTGGCTCCGGCATACAGCTTGATCGCCTGTTCTGTAGACCCTGCCGTGGCCAGGAAGGTCTATGAAAGCCTCTCTTGTCTGCTCGTCGCGATTAAGGTACCCATCAGCGAGCTGGCCTGCGATGGCAAGCTCGCCCTCCTCATCCCGCCTAGCAATGTGGAACGTGTTTGCGCCCGAATCTTTTTTCAGCACAAATGCTGAGACTGTGGAAAGCGGTTGTCCAATTTGTCTCACCGAAGCTGCAGACGACAAGCGTGGGGCGATTGTACAGTGGATGGCAGCCTCAGTTGGCCCATACATAGCATAAAGTATGCTTGCCTTGTTCTTGTCTCCGCCGAACTCTTGGATGACTTGTGTGTTCAGCATTTCGCCAATAGTCAGGAGCATCTTCAGCTTAGGTGTCGCGCTTCGAGTTCTTAAAAGCGTGCTAGCCACCGTCGGCGTGAGCTCAGCAGCATCAGCTTTGAGCACATTGATAGTACCAGGCAGATCTCCAAGCATTGTTTCTCGTACTCTGCTAACTAAAGTTGCACCTCGGAAGAATGGAAAGAAGATCTCAAAGATCGACACATCAAATGTGGGTGAGGCGAACTGAAGGAATCGCTTGAAAGTCGGGATATGCTCATCGTGGGCGAGGATGGACTGTGTCGCCGACATGTGCGATACGGGGACGCCTTTCGGCAGTCCAGTTGAGCCAGAGGTGTACATGATGTACGCTGGACTTCCAGGCTCGATCACTCGGTTAGGGACGCCGTCTGAACTGTCCCTTTCCTGGGAGCTGTGACCAGTTCGAAGCGACTCCAGCGATATGGCAAGGCTCTTGACTCCTCCTTTGACGCAATCCACGAGCTGTGAGCTAGAGGCGTCGTGTATGATGAGTTGAGCTCCAACGTCGGTCAAAATGAACTTCAGTCGTTCAGGAGGCACATCTGCACTGACCGGACAGATACAGTGGCCTGCTTGCAGAACACCTCTCCATGCCAAGTAAAGTTCCGGAGACTGTGGTATTACAACTGGTACCACCGATGGGCCGCTGTCAGGTCCAAGCACCTCGAGGATCTGTTGGGTGAGTTGTCGACTTAAGGTCCGGAAATCGCGGTACGATAGCCTGCAGAGGACGTCCTTGGCCAGTAGAAATTCGATAGCAGGATCTTCACCGTTGTTTTGAGCTATTAGCTCGTGCAATAGCTGTGGTCCAGGTAAAATTCGACGATGCGCATTGAGAACAGCCAAGCCTTGTGCGGCGAAGCCGTTGGTCGTCGCCATCTTCGCCGTCGTACTCAAGGGTCGTGATGAAGTCGGTGCCAATGACCGACTTACTCTACACGTTCCGCTTCATCCCAGTCTGGGGACCGTACTCGCCATGTCGCTCGGTAATCGACGTCTCGTATGCCCGACACGATCTCGTATACTACGGTACCGCCCGCTATGAACGCGTCAGAAGAATGAAGAAATCAAAGACGAATGAACGATCGTGGCATGTTCTTGCATGGGAGTGAATTGCCAACGGAGTATGGCAAAACACAAGCCAAACGATGGATGTTCAGGTCAGCACCGAGTATCAAGATCCAATAGAGGAAGTCTTCATCCAAACCTTATGGCTTGCATCATAGAAATTTCTGCTCTTCTCGTGAGCAACAGGTCTCCTTGACTTCATCTCGGTCATAGTCGCATATCGCTACAACGAAAGACCGTCGACTCCAAGGTCACAAGCCCTCTCCGATAGCGCTTTCCTCGGCCGATCTGGGAAGATTTTCGCAGGAAGGCTACCACAAACGCGGTGCTGGACGTGTCAGGTCGAACCTACCATTCCCCCACCACAACCCTGCTGATTGGTGAGCGACACTCTTACAGCGCCCTCCCTGGTCAGGAAAATTTTAATCTAATCAATCTGATCAGCTTGGCCGACGTCAATCACATTACAAGCCGACGACTTCGTCCAGTCAGACCACTCTCTGTGGGAGCGGTTACTCATTTTGTGGTGAGATATGGATCTCTTTCGTGTGTTCATCGGAGCTCCTGAAGAGAACCTTGTCGAGAGCAGAAGCGATGCATGCGAAATCGCGGAGCTATGCAACGATGTTGGTCCCAGCAGTGTTACGACACCTGGGACGCTGCTACACGCTCATGCTTCTCATCTTCCTTCTCCGCGAACGTCGTAGATCACTCCTACCGTGATCTTGCTCCCAGTCTTGTCTTTGAAGCCTCGTCTTCGCAGCTGTTCGATGGAGACGCTCGGCCCCAGCGCTCAGATGGCACCAGGACTAATATCAGAGCAGATTCGAATTGATAACAGTGCTCCCATGTTTCTATATGAGAGCCGCGACTCGGAAATGGTCCAAACAAATTCGGCAGGCGGTGATGAAGTGCACAATCCGTCATTAGAGAGATCTTCCCAGAAGCCCGGCCATCAAGCAAACGCCTTGACACCACCGTTGTCTCCTACAGAACGCAATGAAATGAACGACCTGGTCTGCATCGGCTTTGGTCCGGCTGGCTTGGGCATCGCCGTTGCCCTCAATGATATGTACGGATCCGACACAACCGGGAATGCGGGCTCCGAAACTACCATTCGTCAGAGAGTACGCTTCCTCGAGAAGCAGTCGAATTTTTCCTGGCATCCTGGCATGCTGTTACCAGGAGCGAAGATGCAGATATCCTTCATCAAGGACCTCGCTACTTTGCGAGATCCTCGCAGCTATTTCACATTTCTAAACTATCTCAAGGAAGAGCAGAGGCTGGTTCAGTTCACCAACCTCAGCACCTTTCTGCCTTCTCGTCTGGAGTTTGAGCGTTACATGCGCTGGGCCGCAAATCATTTCGAAAGCTCTGTTGATTACTCCGAGGAAGTGACAAGCGTGAGGCCCATCAGATACGTGACAGGACAGAAATACGATCGCCTCGAGATTGAGTCTCGAAATTGCCGAACCGGCCACACATCGAAGCGCATTAGCAAGAACGTAGTCATTGCGGTGGGCGGCTACCAAAGCAGACCGGCCATATTTCAGAAGCACAACCACCGCATACTCCATACATCAGAGTATCTCACCAAGATCGGTTCGATCCTCCAGATGCCGACAAGGCATACTCAGTTGCTGTGGTTGGCAGTGGGCAGAGTGCCGCAGAAGTCTTTAATGACCTTCATACGCGGTATCCCAATGCTTCGACACGCTTGATCATGCGAGATACGGCATTGCGGCCGAGCGACGACTCGCCATTCGTCAACGAAGTCTTCGATCCTTCCGCAGTCGACACATTCTACCATGCTGACCGACACCAGCGTGACGAGGCGATCAAGAAGAACAGAGCAACCAATTACAGTGTTGTTCGGTTGCCGCTCTTGGAGCACATCTACGAGAGCATGTATACTCAAAGCATTGAAGAGCCAGACCGAAGCAAATGGCAACATCAAATCCTGCCATCGCGAGATGTTGTTGGTGTTAGTGAAGAGGGTGCTGATCAGAAGATCAGCCTGGCACTTCGTCGACTGGACAGCGGTGATGGGAAGAACGAAGAGAATGCTTCTTTCGATGCCGTCATTCTAGCAACAGGCTATAAGCGAGACCAACATATCGCAATGCTGGAAGCTTGCCAGGAGATCAACAGCTCGAAGGATGGTAGCTGGACACCCAACCGAGACTACAGTCTCGGCCTAGATCGATCTATGGTAGAAGCTGACGTTGGCATCTGGCTCCAAGGTGCCAATGAGTCCAGTCACGGCTTGGCAGACTCGTTGCTCTCCATCATTGCGACGAGGAGTGGCGAACTTGTGCAGAGTATCTTCGGAAATGGAAAGAGGTAACACGATGCTCAAACGACTGGTAGAATGTAAGGACGATAACATCGTCCGACTCGGAATATAGATCATAGATGATGAATTCAAGACGCGTCACAGTAGTCGCTGCTCCACACTCAAGACATTCACTATTTCCTCGTGGATTCGCTTTGTATGAAGTACTCCGCCGACTCAAATCATGGCGGCGAAGCAAAGAACGAACACAATACCCGAACATCAAGGGAGAATGACGAGCTTGAACAAGGACAATCTCAAGCTCCCCGATGCCCATCGGGGAAGTGAAGATGAGCGGCCGTGGTTGCCGAGAATACATTTCTACGAGATCAACGACCAGTCTTGGTAAGCGACTCTATCTTCTTCCTGTCCACCATCTATGCTGCCGTCTACACTGTCAATCCATCAGCAGTCACTGCGAGCCATCTGGCATACTATGACTGGGAATATAATGATACGTCTGTCGCTGCAAAGCCCGCCTTTGTTCCCGTCGAGAGTCCCTCATGCGCCCTGCACTTGGGCGCCCACTATGATCTCGCAACACGAACTAATCACGACCCTGCCTATTCCTTCTACCCTGACCCGCGCAAGACCACACTCCAATCCGTTCAAAAGCTAACACTCTTCCCAAGGTGGCCACCCCTCCTCCGCGGCTACGTACAAGACTACCTGACCCTAGGCTGGACAGTATGCCTCCCAATCATCCAACGTGTCGCGCCCTGCGCACTCGCAGCCTCCATCCTTACCACTCAGCTCGGCAAGAACATCAGTGACTACGCTTCATTGACTTCTGCTCCGGCTCCGGCGGACCCACGCCGTTCTTCGAGAAGCACGTGAATCAAATACTCAGAAAGCAGAACAAGGAAGAGGTGCAGTTCGTGATGACCGACATCGAGCCAAATGTGCCGGCATGGCAAGGGTGGTGTAAGAAGAGCGAGAGTGGGAAGTTGGATTACGTCGAGGAGAAGGTTGATGCTACGGGTGCGCCTGGGCGGTCTGTGTTGCTGGGTGAGGACAAGAGCATGAATGGGCACGGGAAGCAGAAGAAGGGTAAGAAGATTATGAGGCTGTTTAGTCTTGCGTTTCACCATTTTGACGATGATATGGCGAGACGGGTGCTCAAGGATGCTGTTGAGACGGGTGATGGGTTCTGGTAAAAATAATCCCATCCTGAGTCTGAAGAACACCATCTAACAGCATGCGCTTAGTATCTTCGAGCTACAAGCCCGCAACTTCCTATCATTCATTATGGTCAGCCTCCTGTGGCCGCTGGCCATCGTCATCCTGGCGCCGATCTACTTCTACAACTCGCCCGGCCGACTCGTCTTCACCTACCTGGTGCCTTGTGTGCCATTCGTGTGGGTCTTTGACGGGTATATATCATGTCTGCGGACACGGACGCCTGCGGAAGTGCGGACACTGATGAGGGAGGCAGTGGGCGAAGATAAGCTGAGAGACTGGATCATAAGATCGGGTCAGGAGACACATACTGTGCCTATTGGCAAACTGCGATGGTTCATGGCCACGAAGGACGATCGGTGACACGTGAGCTCAGAAGTTAGATTCATGTCATTTAGTTTGCAAGATTGAGCACATCGCAATTAGTGCCTTATTTCAATAGATGTATATGTATCCGGCATGATTGACACATGATCTGTGCGCCGCTACAGGCCTCGTTTTAGGGACCAAGGGCCACTTAGCTACCTTATTAGGTACCTAGGTAGGTAGTAGAGTCCTCCTCAAAGGCGGCTGGGCACGCAATCACCACAATGCTAGGCCGGTTGACGGGCAGCTGTTCGCCGAGTGCGGGGGACTTTGACTGAACGAGTTTTTCCGCACAGACTCATTCCGATGAGAACAGCTGAGGCTGACCACTGAAATTATCGTCTGTCCTTGCGTTCGTACCTCAGGAAACATTCCATAACAGACACCATTAGCACATTCGATTTTGCCCGCTATCACCAGTCTGACCGCATCATTCACACCGCATCGCTGCCAACAAGCAACATGGCGAACCCTCTCAAGCGGAAGTTGTCTAGTATGTGAGATGAACGGACATATGACTCTTCAAGCTGACCCAAGCAGGAGCACAATCTCTCCCGCCCCCCGAACTACCACGTCTGGTGGCCGAGCAGCATTTCCCAATCCCCAGCAACGACAAGAGCACACAAAGCTGATCGTTGTTCTCTCCCACGCCAGTCTTGAGACATACAGAGCGTCCCACAGTGCAAAGCCAGGCTCGAAAGACGAAAAATTCTCGCTGCTGAACAGCGACGAGCATATAGGCATCATGCGGAAGATGGGCAGAGACATCAGCGAGGCTCGGCCTGACATTACCCACCAGGTTTGAGATCTACACACACAGCAGCCTGGAACAACTAACCACGGGTCACAGTGTCTTCTTACGCTCCTGGACTCACCCATCAACAAAGCTGGCAGGCTTCAGATATACATTCACACCGCTAAGGGCACACTGATTGAGGTCAGCCCATCCGTCCGCATACCTCGAACATTCAAGCGGTTCGCGGGCTTGATGGTGCAGCTGCTTCACAAACTTTCCATTAGGTCTGTGAATTCACAGGAGAAGCTGCTCAAGGTCATCAAGAACCCCATCACTGATCACCTGCCCCCGAACTGCCGCAAGGTCACGCTCTCCTTTGACGCCGAAGTTGTTCGAGTCAGAGACTACATCGCAGACTTGTCGGCCGACGAGAGCATATGCGTCTTCGTCGGTGCAATGGCCAAAGGTCGCGACGACTTCGCCGATGCCTTCAAAGACGATGCCATCTCAATCAGCAACTACAGTCTCAGCGCCAGCGTGGCATGTAGCAAATTCTGCCATGCTGCAGAAGATGTGTGGAACATCATCTAGGTATGAATTCCTTCTAACACCATTTCCTTCTTCTCTGGCGGACTCCTGGGACGGCTGAGATCATAACATCGAAGCTCAGTCTCGGGAGTATCCTGCCGCTCGGCATTGGGGGCGTTGGATCAGCACTGTTTTACAACAAGACACTCGTGGTTCAACAATATCTCAATGACGAAAATTTCATTCGTCGAAACGTCTGGTAGGCACTCAACGTGTCTACCGCCCAGCATCACCAGGGAATCAGGATCATCTAGGAGGGATCTAAGGTCATAAATGCATAGCATCTGGCGCAGGATGGCATTCGCAAAGCATTAATGAGATCTGCTTCATGTCCACCAAAAAGCACACACGTAGATCCAAGCATCATCGTGCATCCCAATTCTCCGTCTTTCAGACCGACTCGTATCGTGGCAGGGTAAATTCTGCTTCTTCAGCCAATGGCACAAGCGCTGACCGCCTATTGGCGAGCTGGAGTCGATTTTGCTTGGGATTCCTAGGTTGCTGCCCAACGTTACGCTCCGTTCCGCCAACCACACACCCTCCACCAAATTCCACAACGACCTCCAAACAAATCAAGGTCCTCGACGACACCGTACTTGAATCCTACCCGCTCCCAGACATGGAGGCTTTCTTCTTTGTGGCGCCCCAGAAACGGTACCTTCGATTCGTACCATTTGCAACGGCAGGCGCGGCTTTGTCGCCTCACCTTCCAGGCGGCAGACCAGCGCTGTCTCATGCGCCAAATTGACAGGACCTGTACCTTGGACTCCAGTATTGGGCACCAGCTGATGCTTGTTGCCTGCTCGTGCCTTCACATATCGTTCTTTCAGGTCACAGGGAATCCCCCGAGTCAGCAGGTAGGTTTCTCGCTTCCTTCCTTTCGCCTCTTCCCGTCTGGTGATCTTCACCTGTGAGTGTGCCCATCACTGCCGTCTGCACTCACGGCCTTCGCCGAACATTCGTGCGATCTGAGATCGTTACGTGAGTACAATTTTCGCAGCGACAACTCATAAACCAGACAGCCACTGCTCTCATCGACCTTCGTAGGGCTTGTCCCACCATCACCGACGCTTCATTTGCTTGAGCCTCACAACAACGCCAAGGTCACACTACATACCTCCATCACATCCCGTGGTCAGCAAGAAAGAACCGTGCACCAGAGTCTAGACTGCTGAGTTGCTGCCACAGAGGTGCCAGTCCTCGCCCGGAGGCCTCCAGTCCCCCAGACCCAAAGAACGACGGGTTACACAAAACGATGCCATATACCTGAACGATTTTCCTGTTGCCACCCATTGCCAGAGACACAAGACCACTGATATGCCATCTTCCATCACCCTTACAGTCTCGCAATTAGGGCAGTCGACCTCATTCTTCCTCTCCGCCCTCCAACCTCTAGGCTATATTTACCGTGGTCAAGCCTGCAGTACCACAATAGCATTTGGTCCCAGAGACACCTCAATACATCCGGACTTCTGGCTGACACAAGCGACAGCCTCGGTGCCTGCCGGGGCCGCTCATGTCGCCTTCCCAGCTGCGTCACGGCAAGCTGTGCAAGAGTTCTTCTCAGCAGCACAGCGAGCTGGCGGGACCACCCTCGGGGCGCCGTGCTTGAGGGATTCGAGCGGCTATTACTCGGCGGCTGTTGTTGACTTCGACGGAAACAGCATTGAAGCCGTCCACAGACCTGCCCTAGATGCCGGAGCAGCACAACTCAGGACCGAAATATGCTCTGTGGTATCAAGGCGTAGCCTAGCAAGGCCCGATCGGTAGTCTCCCGAACGCCCTCGACGAGACCAACACCTCGAGAGGATGTGACGCCCGAACGCTCCGAAGGCGCTCAGGGATCACAGGTCGGATCGAGGCAAGGCGACGCCTTCGACATCGTTCTCGCACAGGCTCGTTCTGCCGCTGATGTTGCCAGACAACTCGTCAGCTCTGTACGCCCGAATCTGAAATCTAGCCCCTCCGCTCCAGCGACCAGCACCCCTTCAACTCAAGTACACAACAAGGATGCCTTTGCCAAGGCCGGCGATCCATCTAATGCCGTCGTCGGCACCTTATTTGGTGTGGCCGCCGGCGCTGCTATGGCCTACGCCCTGACCTCCAGAAGCTCCTCGTCCTCGCCTCCGAATGCTAGATCTGCCAACGATCGCCATTTGCACGATGACCGACCAAGAATAGCACGCAGCGCCACCATTCCCTCTCACCTAACCCGTGGCCGGGACAGCAGCCGAGACCACGACCACTACATCGCTCTCCAAGACAATGACTCAACCACCACCGCCAAACCAGACCAACACCGCCGTCGCAGAGGCAGCTTCGACTCGGGACTCGGTCCCTCGCCGCCTTCATCTACATCTACAGTTCAATCATCGCGCAGGACCAAGCAGAGACTCATAGACGCACCGCCTCCACCGTCAGCGTATCGCGGACCTGTTACTACAAGTGCGGCTGCTGTACCACCTCTTCCCACCCGGTCGTCCCGATCAAAGACCCGCGACGCCGCCGATCATCATGCATCCAACAACTCGCGTAGTGGTGTTCGCAGCCGTTCGGAATCACGCAGCAAACATCAGCGCCACGACAGCGGTTACTCCGAGAACGGCTATGAGACTGTCCTACACGTTACCACAAGACAATCGTATGGCCCGTCATCGGCTAAAGATATCCAACCGCAGAATTTTGAGAGAGGAGATGTCAGATCCACCAGCAAGACCCGTAGTAAAGCTTCCACGACGACAGCACGCCCGCCTTCGGAAGCAGCCCACCCGCTCCCACCGTCGCGAGCGGCGACCTGGACTGCAGACGGCGGCAGTATTTCTCGGGCGCGAGGCAGGCTAGACACAACGAGGAAGATAGGTGACGACGATGCGGACACGTTCGTCAGCGCTCGTACTGGCATCAGTGGCCTACGTACTGGTCACAGAGGGGCGGGAAATGGGAGGGATGCGCAGACGGTGATTGGGAGGATGCGGGACATCCAGAGGTTGAAAGTGAGGGCTGGGGAGGTGCGTCCAGAGGACAGCGTTAGCCAGGTTGGCTGATCTCGAGGAAGGCCTATGAAGAGCAAGACTGAGCAGAGATCGTCAAATGGTAAATGACCAACCCATGCCTATGCGCAGAGAGACAGCATCGCCGCCCGTGGGCGCAAGAAAGCACGAAAGGCCCGGGTTGTAATGCCACGATGATTTGCTAGCCCGTACACAACGCATGAGCGATCCTCTGCTAGCTCGTATTACAACGCTTCTGCTACTGCCCACACCATCATGACCCTTGCGACCAACCTACCCTCCGCGTTGATGCCTCTACACTTGCAAGCCCACCATCCTCAACAACCCCACTCCCGCATCGCCTCGGTTCCCCCCTACTCCTCATGCGTAACAATCCCCATCTTAGCCAACAAATTCTTCCTCGCCCAAAAACTCCTATACCGCTTGCCCCAAAAGTACAACACGGGCGTCGTCGCCGTGATCGCCAGCGCCACGCCTCCCCACACATGAAACGCATGCTTCACCCCCACCTTCGCTGTCCAGTCGTTCACAAAGTAGCTGAAGCCATAGATCATGAGATTCTTCACCGCCATGTTCGCGATAAACACCTCGGCCGTCATCGCGCGGTATGCGTCGATGATGTAGGCGTTTGTTGCGATGCAGATACCAATGATGCCGAAGAGGGTAATGCCGTGCACGGCTGCGCATGCGACGGGGCTGATGCCGTCCGCGACCATGGTGCCCCAACCCAGCAGGCCGGCGCCGGCGACGAGGCCGAGCCAAGACGCAAAAGCCGGTATTCGGGCTCGTAGACGCCGTTGTTCTTGCGGGAGCACCACTGATCAGGGGGTCGGAGATGGCTCCCAAGACAATGGCGCCCAGTAGGCCGCCGACGAAGGGACCCAAGGAGAGCAGGCCGATGGCGGTCGGGGAGAGGAGGTACGGTGGTGGCGCGAAGACTTGGGCCATGACGAAGGCGATGACGACGTAGAGCGTCACAAACATACTGGGGACAAGAACGACCCAGCTGACGGCGAGGTTGGTGACAACGGCGAAGGGCGCGATGAAGAGCTGGAAGAGGTTCTCGCGGGAGAAGGTGCCGTTGAAGATGGCGAGTTCTTGGCGGAAGGTCTTTTTCGGTGGGGGAGGCGTGGTGGAGGTTGTTGCTGCGAGGCGGTTCTCTGTGGTTGAGGCAGAGACGGCTTTCTCTCCTGTTTCTTCTTGGTGAGTCGCGTTGATCTCGCGCTTGTGCTCGAGCTCGGCGAGACCTTCTAGGTCGTCGTTGATGCGCTCGTCGATCTCGTAGCGGCGGTCGCGCACGTAGGAGGTTTCCGGGGCGAAGAAGTATTGTGCGATAGTTTGGAGGGCGCCGAGGATCACGCAGAGGTGGTAGATCCATTGCCAGCCGAGGTTGGTGGCGATGGGGCCGCTGACGACGCCGGTGAGATTGCTTATGCCGGCGAGGACGAAGTTGATCACGGCGGTATAGATGCCGCGTTCGTGGACGAAGAAGAGGTCGGAGATCAGGGCGAAGATCAGGGACTCATATGGTGCGATGGCGAAGCCTTGCAGGATACGGGATATCAGGATGCCGTTGTAGCTGTACTGTGCAGAGCCCACGATATTGCCCACGAGGCATACGAGTGAAGCCCACAGGAAAATCGGTCGCTTGCCATACTTGCGACCAAGAGCGCTGAAGATGGGTCCAGTGACGCCGACGACCAGGGTCTGGTAGCCAGTTGCCGAAATCAAGGCGGCGATGGTTGTGTTCAGCTCAACGGAGATCTGAAAGAATGCAGGATTCAGCATGGCTGAACACACAGCCGCATATAGAACGGAGCCGCTGAGCGTGACGGAGAGGACCATCAGCTTCTTCCATTGTGGCCAATTCAAGGGGTCATTGGGGTCGTCTGAGGGCTGGGGGATGAGCACAACGTTTGCGTTTCGTCCGGTGCCATGCTTTAATCCTCCGGTGATCTCGCCTGAATGTGCAGCCGCCTCTTCCAGGATGACCGTTCCTGGGACGTGTGGGAGCTTGTTGTCTTCGAGGATGCCGAGGAAAGGCATGTTGGGCGGATGTGATCGCCGAGGTCGCGAATATGTGCAGACGATCTGAGCTTCAAGGAAGTTGTGACCCAAGCCTTCGAATAGTCTTGACTTAAGACTAGCAGTGGCCGAAGTCCAATCTTCGGTGTGTCCAAGGGCCAACGCACACGCAAGATCTAGGTCCTGTAATGAAAAGACTTGACCACCTGGACACCGAGATCATGGGCCTTCGCAGATCTTTAATGCGATCGCCCTGCCTGGATAGCTCCTAGACTTCGATGGTTAAGGACATCCACCTACCCCAGACAGTCCATAGAGCTGGTACCAATCAGCTCGATATTCAGGAGGGCTGGCTTTGCCTTCCCCAGGAATCTAGACGCATTCGCCCCATGGTCTTCGTGTTGGAGGCTGTGGGGCACTCCTTGGGGACAATGATTTCAGGTGTTAGCAAAATATGGCCGAGCCGCTCTGGAGGCGGTCGGTCTCAATTTCTCTATCGTGTTAGCGCAAGCTTCAAGTTGGGGTAGCTTCGGGGTACATGGTTAGAGCTTGCTCCTGGTGCGCACTCGAAACAATGCGCACTCAAGCGCTGGCAGGACGGCCATTGAAGAATGACCGCGCACAGGAGAGCGATGCGAGCTAGTGACTCTTTCAGAGCACCGTCTCTTGCTAAGTCATCACTTTGGGGGATCCCAATTCATCCCCAGTCGTGGAAGTCTACTTCAGATTCAGGTTGAAATGGAAAGCTAGGCCTTGACAGGGGCCGTTGCGAGGGCGCGCATGGCATGCATGTTCGCATTAATGGCATGGCGCCGCGAGCGTCATTCACGGTGGGCGCTGTACCAGATCGTCTTATACGAGTTACTTGTTCGATACCTAACGATGTTGAGGGGCAGAGAAAATATTGGAGCAAAACTGCTGAGACAAGCGTGGTAGCGTGTGGGGCAGATTACGCGGGGCCGGGGTTAGGGGACGAACAGAGTTCAAGTCTGCCCAGGTTCAATGGCCCTCTCCACGTGTCTGATGTCCTGTACTTTGTACACAAACACCACGAGACATCGGGGAGGACTTTGGAGAAAAGGCGACTGCGTTATCAGCACAGAGTGAGTAATCAGACACGTCAAGTCCACCTAGGTACCCAGGTTCTACGTCTCTCAGAGGTCTCCAGAGCAGAAGGCACTCCAGCCGACTGATCTAGTGTGGGACCGGAGCATCAGTGGCTTTATTGGTACCTCTACCCGCCAGCGAGGCTGAGTAGTTAAGATCGTACGCCGAATTCTCCCAAATGAAGCTTGCTTGTGGTAGTCATCTGTCTCTCGAGGACGAGGTGGTGACAACAGTCTGGCAAAGGAGAGACCAAGCACCGTCATAGTGTCCACAAGTAAGTGGAAGCATCCTCGTAGCAGTATGCGGCCGTCGAAAAAGCGAAAGACGAGAATAGTGGTGGATTTAGCAGCGTCATAGCTAGTCAAGAGCAGCATGGTAGTACCTCAGGTATTTCTCGTTCAATTTTTGTTCACCTGCTCTTCGCTGTCGATGCACATTGGCTACACTGCTTTACCCTCACTTGGCCCTCAGCCCGATAGATGTCGCCGCAGATGCTTGATATTATCTTCGATTTCTTCGATGTGTGAAAGCTTTGAGTCTTATTCCAGCTTTATCGTGACTGTTGACGAGGGTAATGAGACAGACTGCAGGGCCATCGACGAGATCAGCCTCATCCGAGGGATCGAGGGATCGAGGGATCGAGGAACTCGAGGGACTCATCGTGGAGTCCCTGATTAAAGAGGGCGCCGTGGAGAACTCGACGAGTGCTGCAGTTGCAGTATGGCTGAGCACACTGCTGCTGAATTCCCCCAAACTGAAGGGCCACCGCAGACGCACTGGCTTCTCACCTGGACGTGGACAAGATTGCTTTCACTGGCTCAACAGT